AGTGCAAATAGTACATTTTATTTTATAAATGTACCTTCACATCTTATTGAAATTTTCATGCAAATTGTCCACGATCGTTGGTTCAAGGGTATCAAGACGGATGTTGTGATGAACGTTACCGCTGTTGGAAGTGTACATGTATTTATTTTATCGGAATCATTGAGCAGGAAAAGAGACAGTTACACTTTTCATTTAAGAAGTCTCCTCTGTAATGTTATTGAAAGTTACACAGCATATGGTTGGAGATTAATAATGACGGGAGATGTATCCGCTGGCAATAAAACAAATGATAAATGCTCAGACTTTTGGTTTGAGCGTTGTGAAAGAGAATCATCTCAAACAAGGAACGAAAGTTTTAACTGTGTTTTGTAACTGTAACATATATATTGTAAATAAATAAATTCTAATATTGTATTTTTTACAGTTTTTGTCTTATTCCTGACCAATTCTTAACACTGGTATGTTATCGTGTCTTCGTCAGCTGAATTGACTTTCAGAAATACGTTGTACATTAAAAGCTTTGCTTTGCATGAATAAATCTGTGATCGTTTTTTCTTCAATATAATCACCAAATACTGCTCGTTCCACATAGTAAATTATTCAAACTTTTCTGTTAGAATAGTGTAATTATTTATGTAGCTTTATTAGTTTTCACTAAAAGTAAATAAGAAAAGCATTATCCAAAATTCAATATCTGATGTTCATTGACATTGGTAGTATTTTCAAAAACATGAAAAGTTTGGTAGATAAACTAGATTTGGAAGATTTTTAAAGAAGTGATTAAGCTATAGTTGACGTACAGCTAACTCATGTCACAAGTTGTTTGTTTAATAAAACAATGTTTCAATTAATTCAGATATATTCACTCAAAAAACAATCCACATATATACACAAATGTACTTCCAAGTTCACATATAAATGATCCATCATTATCCATCATCAAATTTGTCTTCTATCCTTCGAAATATAGCAATTAATTTGGCTCCACCGTTTCTTGTGACTTTCTTTGCTTCTTCAGACGACATTCCAAGTTCAGGTACTATGGGATCTTTCTCCTGTTCAAAATGACACAATGTTGTTTACAGCTCAGTAATCGCCTGGCAGTTGTAAAACGTTAAATTATCTCCTCTTCCTACTTCACACTAAACCTTATTAAAATGTTTGAGCCCGGGAGTATCGTTACATATTTGTACATGTAGATCATCCATGTTGGTAGAGTCCTGAGAAGGACTGTTTGTGTTTATATTGGCTGACGTTTCTACAACCTTAGCAGTATTCATCTTCAGAGTCAAAGTTAGTCAAGACAATGGCGTAGCCAGGATTTACTGACAAGGAGGGCGGTAAAAAAAGAGGCAGCATCACTGTCGTTTAAACAATGTAATGTACATAAAGTACAATATTTAAGGGGGCCAAGAATTTGAACAGAAAGCTTGCGCCCCCGGGGATCTCATCAAAACCAACAGCGAGCAGTCCTTCACAAGATTTTACTAACCTGGACGATCTACATCTACATTTATGTAACTACATCTTTCTGATAAAATTATTCGATGCAGAGATTCGTTCATTCTGACACTTGAAAATTGGTGCGCGCAAACGGTCGTCAAGTCTTGATTTCAAATGCGCTTTAATGTATGTTGAGATTTACATTATAGATATAGAGACAGGAAGCCCATTGCATGCAATTAACAATATAAGATGACCTTTAAAAGGTTTTTTACGTTGGAAAATATAAAAATAAAGTTTTATCTTTGATGATGATTTTACTTGTTCATCTTGAGATAGTTCTTCAAATAATGGATGTTGAATGAAGTGCTTCTTCATCCATTCATGAAGATCTGGTACATCTGTGATCGTATATACAATACCCTTAAACACAATCATCTTGTAAATTATCTCATGTAACTAAACATGGCAAATGAAACAAAACTTACTCCAACAGATAAAATGTAGGCATACTCTGCAAGAAGTGTGGGACTGAAAAAATAAACAAAACAAGAAGTAAAATGATACAGTTGGCAATCAAACCAATTAATTAAAAACAGAGAAAAAATCACTTTATAACTTTGAAAAAATTTTGTTTTCAAAATCAGAGTTGTTGATAAACACAAAGGAACGGTCATAGAAACAAGAATATTTTCAAAACTTGTCCACCATAACCTAAACGCTTTACAACTAAATGATTCTTAATCAGTTTTATTTCTCAAATTTACTTCAGAATACCTTATTATACGCCATTTATGTTTCTTTTGTTTAAAGTGAGGATCCGGAAATAAAAAAAACAACTTCTTCAACTGGAATAAAAATTGAAACAGTTATTTACTTTCAGTGAAATAGTTGCACCATTATACTCATGCACATTTAATTTTATAATTACCTGTCCTTTATTAAAATAGTTTGGCAAATATTTCATTGCATTTCCACGAAGAACATTGATGTTTTGATATTGACCAGGATTTTCTTTACGTAGTGCAACAATCTTGTCCTTAACATAATCACTAACCTAAAACAGAATAATTTCAAAATATGATGCATAAAACGGTAAATTTATTCAGCACAGATTTTGTTACGCCAGTCAAATATTTTTCTACACCATCAACCAGTAGCACAGCCCACCCTCAGATTCAGTACAAAAATATTTACCCAGTGGAGCAAACTTGGGTTGGTTACTCACCACACTGAAAAGTTCTGCGAAAAATTTTCGTAAAATTTGATCTTGGGTGCGCAGTTTACAAACTTTACAGTCTGGGCTACCCAGGTTGGTGACTAGTTGCTTTTACAGGTGTTTATAACTATCATAAATCACCTGATAATTTTTCAAATGGGAGTAAATTCACCTTGATTCTGATCTCTAATCCAAGCATCAAGGTCTCAGGATATTTTGTGGCTAAAGAAACTATAAGAATGTTGAAATGTTTTCACAATATTTATTAAGCTTTTTATTGTAACAAGTGATTTTTTTACTCACCTAGTAACCCACCATAACCGCAACCAATGTCAGCAAACTCCACTTGAACTTTTGACTGGGTAGAACAATCATTCTTACCATAGAATGCAGGGTATAAAGACGACCAATCCATTTTGTCGGGACTTGTGGGACTACAAGTAAATACATTCTTTTTTTCCATGATGAAAAATTACAACACAGTTCATCGACCATAAATTATGCATAATTGAACGTACTATTCGAGAGCATGATCTGCTATAGGGTTAGAGTGTGCTCTTTGTCGATAATATTTCTTTTGTGGCATTTTGCTAACAGTGTCTTCGTCCGCCATATTTCATATTTTATCGATACTTCATGTAAATCTATATTTTATTTATTAATTAACCAATCAAATGCATTGATTTTTTCAGCAGTGATTTGAAATTTACATAATTGGCATTCCATCGATCACAACAACGTTCCACGTGTCTGTAGCAGTCTACAAACGTTTATCATTTTGGCGATATTTTAAACATTTGGAAGTGATAGAATGCAATCTGCTCAAACTGTAGCATTATTTTCTGATAGCGAACCTTTTAGAGCGACAAAAATTGTGAGTGATTCTTGATATAGATGTTTTTCAATTGAATATTTCAACACTATTTTATTTCGTTTAATATTTTAAATTTTCATTTTACTAATTTAGTGGAACGAACTTCTGCGGAACTTTAAAATTGGTATACCATTAAAAAAGAAAAGATGGCGAATGAAGATATACGAAAATTGTTTTAATGGTCCGAAGCGATTGCTTGGATTTACGATTTTTTAAAAGCCAATCCAAACTTTCGGCAAAATGTCAATAGGACCAAAGCAAAGCTGTTATGTGAAAAGTTTTTAGAACGACGTGTTATTTTTGATCTAGTTGATGAAGCTGATTCGACAAATTGTTCTTTTGAAGAAAGTCGTTTATATGGTTTTCAAAAAACACAGACACGTACAAGAAAGTTGAGGCAAAGAGATAAGAACGAAAACTTATTATGTTCTTCCAAAAAACTAGTGCCGAGTCTAAAAAGGCACTCTAGTTTTGTAGAGCCATTTCATTCATTTAGACAACCTTTAGCAGATGCAAAAGAACTTAAAAACATTGTCACAAGCACAAATGTAAAAAAAATGAAGAATAATTCTAAGCATTGCGTGACAAAAAAATTGGTGGAAATTTCTACTCAAATAATGAAAATACAGACGTAAATGTTGCTCAAACAGGAGATTTATCTCAGAAAGAGAACTATGAGTTTGGCATCAGAGTCAAGGAAAATATTGGAAAGATTTTTGGTGAAAATTTAATGGCTGTAATGAATGATGAAGAAGAAGTTGTTTGTGAAGAGAAAGAACTTGATAATATGTGTTCTAGAGATTTATGTAAAAGTACCAAGGAAGTAGTTAATGACATTTATGATGAAGACGATAAGGATGATGTAATGTCACAAATTTTACCATCTCAAGATAGGGGATGTGTAAAATCAGACCCAAACAAGTTGTGGCTAAATGTGTGCCTTCACAGGTGATCATCATTTGATAATAAATAGCATTTATTTTTTAATTATCATAGAGTGCATCTGAACATTTTATAAACAAAATTATCAAATTCTTACAATACTAATATGTAAATTATTTTTTGATTCCTTCTATGTTTATTTAAAGGTTAAAGCAAATATTAAATGTGACTGACATCAATGATCTTGTTAATTATGACCTGCTGAGTGCCAAGAATGTGATGGAAAATGTTGAATCCAATTTCAGATGTGGTATGTTTACAATTTCAGCGTATTTTTACTTTTATAAATTACATGTAGTACATAATAAAAGTTCAGAAATGCTCCTGATTGTTTAGTACTAAATTATTAAACTGTGTTTTTCAGTCACAAAAGATGTCCCAAAATCATTGATCTTGGCCATGAAATACCTCATATACTGTAGGTACCTCATATACTGTATGTACCTCCTTTACTGTAGGTACCTCCTATACTGTAAGTACCTCATATACTGTAGGTACCTCCTATATTGTAGGCCTATATACTGTGGTAGGTACCTCCTATATTGTAAGTACCTCATATACTGTAGGTACCTCCTATATTGTAAGTACCTCATATACTGTAGGTACCTCCTATACTGTAAGTACCTTATATACTGTAGGTACCTCCTATACTGTAGGTACCTCCTATACTGTAGGTACCTCATATACTGTAGGTACCTCCTATACTGTAGGTACCTCCTATACTGTAGGTACCTCCTATACTGTAGGTACCTCCTATACTGTAGGTACCTCCTATACTGTAGGTACCTCCTATACTGTAGGTACCTCCTATACTGTAAGTACCTCATATACTGTATGTACCTCCTTTACTGTAGGTACCTCATATATACTATAGGTACCTCATATACTGTAGGTACCTCCTTTACTGTAGGTACCTCCTATACTGTAGGTACCTCCTATACTGTAGGTACCTCATATACTGTAGGTACCTCATATACTGTAGGTACCTCATCTGTAGATTCACTCTTGTACCGTATGTTAACAGATACACAAGGGGTACCATACCAACTTATCTAATGTAGATATCTCAACTAACTGTAGGTATCTCATCTAATGATTAATGATATAATTCACAACTTAGGACATTTATTACTTGGTTTTAATAATATACGTACGTTGGGAGACAGGGTATTTACAAATGAGTATGCCCAACTTTAAATTTTGTCTCTCATATCACAGGGCCACAAAGTATTGAATTTTCCGTATTTGAGAACGTAAATTCTGTATTCGGTACAATTCAAGAGTATTTTGAATCGCTATCTGAACCACTAGTTGAATCCAACCTTGTTAAAGTATTCAATAAAATATCAGGTGAATGGTAATGTTTTCGTGAATGTATGTATGTCAAAATAAAATGATTGGGTTTCTTTAGCGTTTCCTCATTATTTTAAGGATTGATAAAGCGTTGTAAGGTGTCAGCTTTAAGAGCTCTACAGAATACCTTACTTCTTATTAAGAAAGAAAAAAGACAAATGCTTCAGCTTCTTCTGCGTTTCATGGTCAAAATATCAAATAATCATCAACTAAACCTAAACCACTTTTTACCAACACGAGAGCTGGTAAGATGAACCTACATATTCTTTTTTATGTACAGTAGACAATTCTAAATTTTTTTAATTGTCGTTAACACATTTATTTTCTTTTTTCCAGGTCATTCAAACGTTTGTTCCTTGTATTTTTGGTGACAAAGATCGTGTTGACGAAATTCTTGAATTTGTGTAACTTCGTTTATGATGGAAAACTACGCTGAAATATTTCAGGTTTACCAATCGTTCGGGAAAACTTTCAACGCTTTTACACTAAAATATTTAGCTATATTGTCCAATTTTCTATCAATTTTCTATCAACAGATTTCTCCAGCTATGAGATTTCAATTTGAGCAACATTTTGCTCTGTTACGTGCACGTGGGAACGAAGTTAGTACTCTACAGATTAATGAAATCAGTTTGCGAAGTTTTGGGGAAAAAAAACACGATATGATCGATTTTTGAAAATTATTATCATCTTTCTGGATATTTTTATTAGAGCTTTATATATCTTGTAAAAATACACGTTTTGGAATATTGCAAAGTACAAATACTTCAAACACATTTATTCATTTTGTTGATGGTTTAATTCAGGGAGAAATGTTAAAAACGGGTCAGGATATTGCATTTTGCTTTCGTGTAACAAAACAAGAGTATGAAGAACAGAAAAAATTTGAAACTCAAAGATCGCTGGAGGAGCTACTTCATTGCATTGTCGAACAAGAAAATGTTAGCAAGAAAAATCGAAGAAAAATGTTGAAACAGGTTTAAAACTACATAAAATGTCTAATATGCCTTTTTCATAGAAATTTTAAAATTCAGTTCTCTTATTACGTACAATGTTCATGTTCTTAGGAAATGATGCATGCTCATCTTCAGATAGCTTGAATACAACATTTTATAATGATCCATTTTAATTATCATGTGAATAAAATATATTTATTTATTCTCAGTTTCAGAAAACATATCCTGAAATTTACTTCAATAAATATCCAATTGATGATCCATCAGTAATGTCCTAATCTCACATGAATGTAATCTACTATCATTTATCTCAACGACATAACACTACGGTAATTTTGGCAAGTTTGTCTTAATGAGAATTCATGTATTACCTTCACTAGTAGTACAAATATTTTCTTGGGTTAGTCATTTTGATTTTCTTATGGTTTTTCTATGATATGATTCAAAAGTTATACTGTCACCATATATACTGTAGGTATGTATTAGCTACGATATGTTATTTTACTCTGAGTTTGACCAGTGATTATTATTTAACAGAAATTATGTTCCACGTATTTTTAAATGTTTTTTGAAATTGCCATATCACAAGATATCTTTGCATTGAAGTTCCAAACCAAATTTATGGTTATGTTAACATTGATTTCGTTTTGAAACTTCGTAAAAACCTGATAAGGAAACCTTTCGGAATCACGTTTTAGTTTCTTAAAATGGTTTTCTACAAACCAAGGTTGAATATCTCCCATTACAGCCTTAAATTGTTTATATATTATGTAAACCATTTGTATCGTTGAGTTTATATCATAAAATATTTCAGTCGTTAATTTAATTTGGGCTGTTTCACTATCGTTTTTGTACAGTTTGCTTTCAATAAAATCGCTGCGACTATTTGATATCTTATCATAAATTTGTTTCTCCGTAATATTTTGTATTTCACTACTGAGGACAAAATCCAATCTTTTCTGTTGTCTCCAACCTATGGTAATTAATGATATGAACCAATTAACCTGCCATAGTTCCTCTATTTCATGATGTATTTATTTTTACCTTTTCCTTTGATCTGAAACTCTACTGGATAGTGGTCACTGATCATTTTTGCCTGTGTGTAAAAAGGTTATGAGAAGTTTAATACAATTTGTTCAGATTTGAATTGTATGCTTTCATTGCATGTTTTAATTGTAGAATATCAACCTTATTCATTTAATTGAGTTCTTAGAAATTATCATTTCGTCCATTTATTTTTCTATATATTCATTTGCTCGAAACAACTGCAGATTTCAAAATAATTTTATCGAAGCATATAATATTATGAATTGAATCAAATTTTGATCATATAGAAAAGGTTATTGTAGTGATGTTGTCTGTAATTATGACTTCGAATTCGTTTGAAATTTCTACTACCTTGTTTATATCAAGATTGTAAAAAGATGTAAAGTTAAAAACTCCAACACTTTCACCAACAATGTCCTTGAGTAGATTAAAGTTTGATATCACTCTATAGAAAATGGATTATATTCATTAAAACATTGTGTTTCAAAGCAAATGGCTTTTAAGAGAATGACTACAAGAAAGAAGTATTTAAAATACGATTAAGACGAAAAAGCTAAAATATTTTTTGGTGACCTATCATAAGCACATCTTGAACCCTGTACTGTCGTGTCTTCGCTGTCATCAATAAGCCACCAAAATCTTTGATCTGTTGCAAGACGTATATTTGGCCAATCTCTATCACGAACGTAATCACATGCAGCGTTGAAATCACCCATGATAATTACGTTTGGCGAACGCCATCTTTTCATAAAGTAATCGTATACATCAACCAGTTTATCCACTTCATATGCTGCGTCATCAGGCTTGGCATGAACACCAATAAACACAATATCTTTCACTGCTGCTTATCATACAAAATAAGTTGTTATGATACAGCTTTGAGTCAATTCATAAATTATCATTCATACAGTGTTGTGAAACTTGTGTTCTATAACTAGTAACAATTGCTTGGTTTCCATTTCAAAAGCACTCAGTCAATATTTTTCTTATTCAATTAAATCTTGCGTGCATGCCAAAATCATTGTCTTGTATGCCTGTCACCAAATAAATAAGTCGATATTTGATGATGGAGACTAATTTTGAAGTTTTTGAAATAATGATTAAAATGCATTTAGCTACATATGATGTGTGGGAAACCATTATCTAAAATGTCTAGAAAACGTGAGTTTATCGTTTTAGTAATAATGATGTACTGTTTATAGAAATTATTTAGTAGTGATCTTAAGGCATAGGTTTTTTGTTTGAAAGACAAATCGAGCTCACCTACATCATATTTACCTGCGGATTGGAGACGAAAGTATACAGCGAATGGTTCTCTCTCAAAATCATCTTTGCTATCCAAATATGTGTGGAATGCTAAAACCTTGGCGATGTTTTTTCTAAAATTTATAAGTTGTATTGACATCTGTTCAAATTGTGACACCATACAATAAAAATTTGTTTGATAAGATTTTCCACTTTCATGAGAAGTAAAATATCACCTATACAAGAAAGCATATTGCTCTTTGCTTATTGTTCGACCCAATCTTTTACTTATTACCATTGCGTACTTGCCAGTACCATTCTTCTTAGCGTACCTTAAAAATTATACGATGATTTAGTGAAGATTTTTTGTCAAATTACGATATACTATAGTATGCATAAACCTAGCGTACCGATTCACTTTTTGAAGAAGAATGTCCATTGCATTTTTATTCAACCTTGAGTCGCGTATTTCTTGAATTAGTATTATGTCATAACGATTGATTATCTACAATAATAGCTGATGAAATAGTTTCCAATAAAGAATTACATTTAGTAGCTATATCACATTAAAAATAATTTAGAGAAAAAGACATGGTCAGGGAGGCCAGGTTCAGATGGTTTATTCATGTACAGAGTAAAGATAACCAGAATTAAAGTAGAAGGATATCTGAGTTTAAAGCTACTGTGTAAAAGAGGAGGCAAAAAGAAGATACTTAAAGAGAACATGAATTTGGTAATTTAAACGAAGAGAATACATTAGACATAAATGTGTAGAGTCTAAATTCCACTATAATAAGCAACTTTTCTTTGACAAACCTTAACAAGAATTTTCACAACATTTGTCTTGGATATTTTGGTCTGGCCTAACACTTGTACATTAAATGCAGCTATTTTCACTGGCGCTTTAAATGTAGAACATTTTGATATTGTAATCAATGCAGTGATAATAAGCAATGACAACTTCATAAAGTTTTCCATGATGATTGTATAGTTTCAAACAACAGCCACGAGTAATCTATGAAATAAGCGAAATTTTTCAATTAAGTCTTGAAGTCAAAGTTTATATATAGTTTAGGATAATATACCTGTTGAATTTCTGGGACCTTTTGCACGAAATGTAACCATTGGATGGTAATATTTTTGTAACCATTGGATGATAAGATTTTGTAATCTTAGAAGCAATATTTTCTTTTCGTGAATGCTCATTTCAAGTATTATATTTTTCTTTTAAGGGTTTTTTTAAAAGCTCGAAAAAATTTGCTATCAGTGCTATTCAGTCTTCGTGGAGCCTGCCCTGCACTGTACTATTTGCAACTGATTATATGATAAAAAAACACTCCTTTTGTTGGTTTTGTTTTGCGTGTGATATGAGTTGATGCAAAATCTGTTTTTGTTTCTTGAAAGACTAAAGAACATACAAAAACGAATGCTGTGTTTATCTTATTTCACTGACAATACCACATGATCTTATGCTTCAGTAAAAATTTTTAATCCTAGTTAGGTTTTCATTTTTCACTGTCGTTGTATTTGTGCCGGGATTTTTTAATAAGATCGCATGTCGTATAGATGGAATATCGTTAAACTTTAGAAAAAAATGCTGGTTTTTTGAATAATCAAAAACAATTTGGGGCGTATTATTATAAAGATAAGAAATGTACTACAATGAATAGTAACATTAATAATTAAATACATCATTAGCATCATAAATGTAAAATAGACAAAATTAAATCTTTTTTATTACACGGATCCAAATACTCAAATGTTTTTTTTCTAATATTTTAATAATACTTTGGATCCGTGAAAATTTCCTATGAAAGTTGTTCTTAAAGTTTTTTTCCTATGTCTTATAAATAACGCGCGGAGAGCGCAAATTGCTTTTGCGGGGTGGAGGGAATATGACCACAACTAAACCAATGTCCGTGACAATAGAAACATTAAAATAGAATATATTTTCTTTTCTAATATCTAGCATCGTCTTTCGAATGTCCTTACACATTACACGCTGGTAAGACAATTGACATAAACAATAAAAGACAACAGAACTATGTTTATTTTAAGATTTAAAGCTTTTATTCTGTCTTGGCGTTTGCTGGAGTTTTAACATTCATTGTTTTAGCCGGAAGGATTATGATCCTTCCAAGCAGCTCATTAATTGTTGACAGAAGTACGCTCATTAATTGTTGACAGAAGTACGCTCATTAATTGTTGACAGAAGTACGTAATTTATTATTTCTTCTTGTGAAATAATGGCAAGTTATTATAAAGTCAATCCTTGATGATTTTTGTATGACTTTACCCCCACGCCCCTCTGCTGCAGTCGCACTTTTTAAATACTTACACATACATACTTAAATCGACATTATAAACTCCTAACCAGTGAATTGGACAATTATCAATAATATAATATGATTATTCATATAACTTGTCTCGATCACCAGCAAAATAGATTTTATTTGTGAACGATTTTTTCATCGTCATCTATATTGTCGTAGCTTGACAGTAAATATACAACACTTATTTATAGGAAGACAAAGGAAGCCTTCTGTACATCGCTTACTATGTGCCCAAAGTGTATCTGAGAAAACGTATTTTTCCTTTGATTGCAAGACATCATCACCTGAAATATGACTTCTTTGTAAGATTTTTCTTTAATTTATCACCATGTTTTGATGTTGTGATATTTTCACTTTATGATATGCTAATGATTACAATACAAAAATCTTCTCCATAAATACCTGAGTTTCGCAAGCATTTTTCTTTGCGTTATTTAATGATATTAACCAAGCACAAAAGACAATGTCTAACCATGGGTTAACTGGCCGGGGGGGGGGAGTGTGGACCTTACTAATTTACTTCACTTTCTAAGTCGTGAACATAGGTTCAACCCCGGGCTGAACTGTGCGTGGCCCCGTTGTTGTAAATTGTCATGTTATGTTGTGTAGAGTGTGAATATACCGTATGATATAAACTGTAAAATGTTAAGTCATATATTACTAGACAAATACGTATATAGTTACTAAACTGTGGTTTCAGTGGAAATCCTGTACGTAAATTCAAAATACTTAGGAACACTTTTTCTACCCAATGTGGCATTGCGGTAGGATGTAGGTAATGACGGTACTCTATAAACGGAATGGCGTGTTGCAAGTCATGCAAACGCCCAAAAATCATATCCTAATAATTATAATATAAATAAGAGCTTGCAAGCGTTGGTTCGGCATTCGGAAAAACAGACGTTGTTATACGTACAAAAGTGATAAGTTGGAAGTCGTATCGCAGGAGGCGATAGCGTTTGAATAAGTTTCAAGTTTAAAGATTGACGGTTGGCCGTTATCTCAACGTTTCAATAACATATTTGTGTCGCAAAGAACCAACGTTTGGAACTCCGTATCATAAATCGTGCACAAACCACTGTAAATATCCTATCAAGTGTTAAATACAATTGTCAAAATACAGTCCCATCGTTAGAGTGAAGTTTCGAGAGCAGTGAACCAGCACTTCGCGCAGATTGTGCGAAACCCGTTAAGTGAGTTGAAATTTATTTTGCTTGCATTGTCTTATGCCGAGGATAGAAATAAACGTGAATCTAATTTAATAAACACGCGAAACATAAAACTCGTGCGTAGCCAACAACCATCAGACTACACATGCTCAAATGAAACAGGGTTGAAATTTCAGGCTTCAGACAGAGGGGTTGAAAATTTGCTATGTAATTGCACGTTTGATATAGCAAATGATTCGAACTAAGACTGGTCTGAAATTTCAACTCATTTAGCAAGGCTCAGTTCTGCCTGAGGTTGAAAATGCTCCATGTCATCAGGACTAAGTTATATTGGTTTAAAAATATATCACTTAAATGTTTTTGTTTCGTGACCTTTCCTCTGCAAACTGGTCTCCTAAATATTGGTAAAATCGTCAATGATTTCGTAAAAATTGATAAAACCACTTCTTAATTTTGTCATTTTTTGTCGTTTGATAATCCTCGTCATTATTTTATCTATTTTTCAAAACATTGTTTAATTGCACGTACACATTTTATTGGACACGTGAATTTATACAATAGATCATAGAAATGAATATCGTTAATTAGTAAGTTCTTGATAGCATCAATGTTGAATAGTAATAAAATATTTAAAGTGCTACTGAAGTGAAATTTTGGGTATCGATTTTTTTCTATAATCAAATAGTTCTATCTTTCCTGATCACTTTGGTATAATTTTTATGCATATTGAAGCACGGGATCATCAATAAATTTTTGCTCAAAGTTGGGTTACGCGTGCGAATTTTTACCACTGAAATATTATACGGATGTGACGTAATAAAAAGGACGGAAGTCGAAGTAGGAACATTGATTTACTAGTATTTTGTTAGATTTTTAACACATATACACAATAAAATATGAGTTCTTCAAGCAGTGAAAGCGAACGCAGTTCGGATACTGAAAACTCAGATATGGCAAATGAAAATTTACTTTCAAATTCCGGCGATGAGGATACAATTGTGGCTAATTCAGTTGTAAATCCTTACGAAAATGAACCTCTTGCGAACGCAGTCGGAGAGAATTTTGTGTCGGTCGAAGAAGACGCAGATGGCTTAGAACCTCGAACATTGGAAGCGAGGTTCGAAGGAAACTTTCAGTTAGATAAGTGGTAAGTTGATAAATGTTACTAGAACTCTAGAAGAAATTAAACCATGAATTAAACATGTTATTTTGTCCTTATGTCGTGGTGCATAAATATGATAACAAACCACTTTTTTATAGGTGTGCATGTAGCTTGTGTCGTACTCAACTGCTGACAGATGCCATTGAATACCGTTGTTGTCAATAGGTTGGGCCTACTTTACATAAACTGGTATTCGATGTTAGCATTGAAAAAATTAGCTGTGTTACTCTTCACGAAGAGTACACGATTATGACACATGCTACAGTCTTGAAGAATGTTGGAAGAATGTTGGCTCACTTCGAAGAGACCAAGATGGAAGGTCATACAAGCGTATGACCAAGAATACATGAAAATGAGTTAGTACATTTTTGATTTCTAATTTTGTTTTGTAACGAATGATTAATATCTTGCCATGTATCTCTACTTTTTACCTTTATGTGGTTCATTATTGTGCTGTGATGCTTCACAATTTTGTTGTGTGAAGTCAAAATAATTAATCAAATAAGAATATTTTTTGTAGCATAGTATATTATTTTATAACTAACTTTAAAGTTGGCCTGCTAAGAATATTTGTCCTGCTAAGAATATTTGTCAAGTAATTCTTGTGGACAATGACCTTTTGGATGTCCTTTCATTGGCTGTCCACAATTTTTGCATAAGCGCATTTTTTTTGGATCTGAAGGACCTGTTGAAGCAGCTTGTTTTTCTTTGTCTAAACCTTTTGCTTGCAGTACATCTTGCTGTTGATCTATAAATAACAATTTAATTTGTTTACTTTTAGAATGCACTGGCCATACCTATTATACATGGTAGCATGAACAACTTACATGTGGGAAACAATGGTGTTGAAGATAGTTGTTTCCTATCCAAATGCCGTTGGATTGCCTCAGTTTTGGAAATTCGATCCGAGAAGTTTTGTTTAAGGCTTCTGGGACTTTTCCTTATACTTCTTAAATATGTTGTCCATGGATTCCTCACAACTAAGAACCATGATATTTTTGATTTCATTAACATAGTCTGGAAAAATGACAAGTGGTTAGATGTGTAAGTCAAGAGTACCAATGTACCAAGCCAAGAAAAGTGGGTCATCTTTGGATGCCAACCATTTAATGTTGAATGAAAACCTTCGAGACAACTAGTTTGTGCTTCTGAAGATAGTTTTTTAACATCTTTGAGAACAGATTTTAACTAACTAACTTAATAAAAAATTATTCTCCTTATATTATGTGCGTTGTGATAATATTGCATGGGTTTTAAAACCACAGACTACGTCAAGGATGCGACACCCATATGATAAGAATGATAAGTCTAATCCAGAAGTTTATAAAAGTAGTATACATTGGATGATTGGAAATAAGCGCGTTACAGTTAGTTTCTGATAACATTGCGTGTGTGTTAAAACCGCAGACTTCGTCAAGGATGCGGCACCCAGCTTATTGAGAAATATAAGTTAATTCAAGAAGTTTATAAAACTCTAATCGATTGTAAATGTTGCTTACCTGTGCGTGTTGCTCATTAGTCACTAAATATACGCAATTTTTGCGAAGAGAAGTTATAAAATATGTAAAATTCCAGTTGGAAATATGCTTGTTCGTATGTAATTTTTATATACTAAGAGCTTTAAAATTGAACTTCCGTCCTTTATATGACGTCACGCACTCAAAGTAAAATTCGCATCAAAACAAGCAAATATGCCATGTTTGAACACAAAGTTCGATGCGTTCCCATCGATTAAATTCAGTGGGCGATAGCTCAAAATGATCAGTAAAATACAGAGAAAACGTTTGTATCGAAAAACGAAATATGAAAATTTCACTTCAGTAGCACTTTAAAGTTCACATTCCACAAGGTAGTGCACGTGCCAGAAGGAAATATACACGTGCACTAAACATGCGAACGCAATCACGCGAGGTTGGACTCTACAACGTTAGCGTGAATATGAAATAATTTTGAACGCCAATTTTTAGGCCATGGTAGTTGCTTTTCCTTCCCTTCCCTTCTTCCCGTTACAGGCATGGATGTTTATTGTATAAATTACCACATCGAACAGCTCTTGAAAGATTTCGGCAAGTAAGACAACTCCCTCTGCCCTCCTCCATAGCAACTTCCGTATGTCTATTTATCATTATTCAACAGTTTGCTGATACAAAACTTAGAGTTCACTTCTTGACCTAAACGAGGAATTTTGTATTTTAAGTCGACCTTGAACGTATTAACATTTTATTTTTGGTTTTATTTACATAATTTCCTCAAAAATAAAATTGGCTGACCTTCCATATTGTACTTTCTGAAAGTCAATTAAGCAATTAAGCCATGCATGTAATTTCCCGCTTTTCCTGCATTCTCGACCAATGACACGTGCTAATGACGTAAAGTAAGACGACGTGTCATAAATTGTGTGAAGTACAAAGTCTACAGTTATTTCCATAAACTGGTTTTACTTTCGTTCGATTGTACAGCTTCTCTTTCCTCGTCTTGAATTGTTTTCTAGTAACAGTAAGTACTTTTTTTTACAGATTTCTTGTACAAATATGCTAACATTTTTTTGAGAATTATATATTTCTACTTCGCGACTAAGGTCCAAACTCCACTTCAATGTGCGTGCTATTTTTTTTATTTTATTCAAACATCCTCTTGATTTTCTCGTGATTTTCTGCGTGAAAAATAGATTATAGTGTCTCCAAGATAGCTAGACAACATTAAGTTGTCCATTCTTTGAAAATGTAGTATTGAATAATAAATTACCTGTTTTTATTTTTATTTTAAACGGACGTGAACTGAACAGTATTTTCTTTCTTCGGAATTACTGTATTTGCATCGTCTGTTGTAATTTAAGATTATGATATTTATGCGCCTTATGTAACTACGAATTATGCATTTACTCTCTTAAAGAAAAACCTAAGAAGCATGAGTTCTACTACAGTAAAGTCTAATGTTGGAAGTTACCTTGAACTTGATCAAAAAGGATTAGTTCAAGTTATGTATGTATGGATCGATGGAACTGGACAAAATATGAGATGTAAAACCAAAACTATGGACTTTGAACCGCAAGCACCAAGCGATTGTCCGATTTGGAACTTCGACGGTTCAAGGTTTGAAAGACAATTTTCCAATGATATTCTATCTTAAGATAAAGACATTGGTAATAATCAGGCATTGAGCTCTTTGGGCTTATCATATATTATATATAATATGAGGTTTTCGTTGAAATTATTGTGTATCATATATCATTACATGTTTTGATATTTACAAGCTTTAGTTTAATGAAACATGCAGTATTCACGTGTTATTGCTGCCTGTGGCTGATGAAATATCCAAAAATTTTAATATTGTAATATTGGCTTTTTTATTTCACAAATGTTTTGAATGTTTTAAATTTTATTTGTGTCAATCAAGGTTGATGTGTTTACCGACTTGAAAGTTCATCCCCAGCTCAAGTTTCAAATAATGATTTTTTTTAATTAGACATGTAGTATTTATTTTCATTTTTTTTTGTTATGGAGGTCAGGGTAATAAGAAAGCTTGCCTTTAGAGTCTACTTTCATTTTTATGGAATTCCTGGTACAAACATTTTCACGGTTGATTGAATGTAGTATTTGCCAAGATATTTTACAATAAAATGTTGTTTACACTTAATGCTTAAACAATGCCATATGTTTGTAATTTCATGTCAGTTAAAACATGGATTGTTCAATGTATGACGTCTTGTGACCTGTGTTCAAAGAAAACATTGTTGTGTAACCATCTTTATCCATCATTTCAAAATATGAAAATGCTTCACCTATAGCATTTCAAAACCATGGAACAGCTTTTTAATATATAATTTTAATGACACGTTTTTGTTGCTAATGGTGATTTGCCTAAATTTAATTAATATCAACTGTAGTTTCATGAAATATTTGTAGCCAAAGATGACTTTAGCAATATTACCAACAATTTAATGCAAAGTTAAAGTTATTAGTGAAATATTAGAACTAGCAACTACTTACTGACTGTAATGTCAAATCCTGGCAGTTTCCAGAGGCCTAACTAGAAGGTTAATTGGGGGTGCATATTCATATATTCAGGTGTGGCCTACTGATTTCTTTTGAAAGTGAATTTAATTACAAAAGAAATCAGAAGGGCACAACTGAATATATGAATATACACCAATTAACATTGTTACATCTCCGCAGTGTCTCAAGTTTGTTTTATTTTACTTGATGTGTTATCACATTTGTCCATTTATGCTTTTCCATAATCCTAAAATTCAATCAATCATAAAATTTATTTTACCTCTAGCACTGGTCAAGCAACTGGTGCAAACAGTGATGTTTACCTTCACCCTGTTGCTTTGTTTCAAGATCCATTTCGACGTGGACCTAACAAGTTATTGTTGTGTGAAACATATCATTATGATCATAAACCAACTGCAACAAACCTCAGAAAGTCATGCAAAGCTGTCATGGAAAAAGCTAAAGTGAGAATTTAATACATATAAAGTAGTTGCAGCTTGTATTATATATACCGATACTAGTTACTTTGACATGTGATTTCTGAATAAAATAAATTGAGTTTTATTTATTTTGGTGTATTTTGATGATTTTTACTTGTTTTAGGAAGAGCATCCGTGGTTTGGTATCGAGCAAGAGTATACACTTTTCGATACAGATGGACATCCATATGGTTGGCCCAAGGGTGGTTATCCTGAACCACAGGGAAAATATTACTGCTCTGTTGGTACAGGAAATGTATATGGACGTGATATAGTTGAAGCTCATTATCGTGCTTGTCTCTATGCTGGTATTAAGATTGCAGGTACCAATGCAGAAGTAATGCCTTCTCAGGTTTGTGATTAGCAATAATTTGGATACATTTTTTAATTGCTTTTGGATATGTGTAGTAATAAATGTAGGTCATTGCCAAAAGAATGATTTTCACTTTTCCAGTGGGAATTTCAAGTTGGTCCTTGCGAGGGAATTGAGATGGGTGATCATTTGTGGATGGCTCGATTTATCTTGCATCGTGTTGCTGAAGATTTTGGAGTTGTTATTACATTAGATCCTAAACCAATAAATGGAGATTGGAATGGCGCTGGAGCTCACACAAACTTCAGGTAAGTTTTACATATTGGTGCTGTGAAATTTTGTGTTCAGTGATCCTTCAAGATTCAACGTTTTATCATTTAGTACCCTCGCAATGCGCGAAGATGGTGGTCTCACTCATATTTATGAAGCAATTGAAAAATTATCAAAAGTTCATGATCTTCATATTAAAGCTTATGATCCAAAAGGAGGAAAAGATAACTTACGTCGTTTAACTGGCCGTCATGAAACAGCAGATATCAATACTTTCACTCATGGAGTTGCGCATCGTGGAGCAAGTGTCAGAATCCCCAGACAGTGCGCTGAGGACGGGAAAGGTTACTTGGAAGACCGCAGACCAGCAGCTAATGCAGACCCCTACAAAGTGACTGAAGTTGTTGTACGCACCGTTTGTGAAATTAGCCATTAAACCCCTCTTCAATTAACTGCATCAAAACAATAGTTATATTTTTAGTTTAGATAAAACCTAAAGTCTTTGTCTCTTTGTTGTGTCATGTGAAATGTCGTCGTTTGGTTATTCTTACGAGCAAGTTGATTCTAAAATTTTAGAGATCTTGTTTGTACTCAAGGGTATATTTCTGTATAATTACAAATAAAAGCATGAATTTGGGGATATAGTCATATTAACAATTCTTTAGGAAGTAAGAAAAATACGCCAACAATATTAAGCTTGCTGAATTTCATTCACAAAAATGGATTTCTTCACTTTCACCTCATGCTTTCACTCTCGGCACGTGATGTACAAGTTTTCTTGCTGTGAAAATTCCCCTGAAAGATTCGTATCAGAACCTGAAGTACACTTATACTGTACTGAAAGTGTTCATTCCACGTAGGAGAATGATGTTTACTTGGTCAGTATTTTTTTGGATGTCTTCCGGCTTTGAGCGTAAGAAAAACCTTTTCTTCAATGCATACAAAATATTGCTGTTTCCAGGCCTTTAAACACAATATGATAAGCATGTATTGCAAGCTTTATCCAGAAAAGATTTCACACACTTTTATAAAATCGTTTATTGAACAATAATTCATTTGCAATTAAGTGAACTAACGTAATAGAATGTTTTAAGATTATGTCAGTGTGTACTGCATTGAGAATCTGTGTATAAAAGCACTGAAACAACGATATCGAGCAACATTGTAAACTTTATTCAAGATTTCATCTAGTTCAAATGATTCATTTTTGAAGCTCGTATTGAAATGTTTCTATAATTTTAATGAAGCTGTCTCGTTATTGGTGGGATTTTGTGGTATAATACTTTGGACTTTTTTGTGCTTGCAGTAATTGTTTTAGTATTTTTCTGAACAAACACCTCTCCAATGCCAATTACTTTGTCCTCCTGGAATAACTACGAATGGCTCCTTTGCGTATTTCGAGTTGTCCATTACCCAGTATTCGGTTCCTTTAAAGAAATACGTTTGATTAAAGACCAATGAATAATATCCACCATCAATGTTGTTTGGAAGACCACGCCAGACTTCACTTATTTTCTTTGGATAGCCTGGCTCAACAGTAAGATATTCATCTAACATCTTATAACATAGATCGTCTTTGAAAAACCATGATATTCCCCATTCACCTCGATAAATCATTAAGCACACGCTTGCATCCGGATTATTGGGGATTCCAGGCCAATGGTTTGACACAGTATCATAGTAGCCAATTTTTTTGTCCCAACGGCTATAACCCCAGGATTGTGATCCTTAAAAAATGAATTTTTTTATTAGTTTAAAAAGTGTAAATGATGCCAATCTTTGAACACAAATCGATGATTATCATACTTGCATGATAATAAATAAAAAATTATAAATACCTTTAAGAAAATATAAATAATAATCGGACCATTTCACTGTAGAGTCAAGATTATCAGGTACTAGTCCATTGAATTCCTCCTTAATTTTCTTCGGATAGCCTTGACTTACATAGTTATCCATACTAAATTCATCCACTTTCCAAACCATATCTTTTCTGAACAGGTACAATTCAGCCCAAATGTATAAAGCGCTGTCTACAACCGTGGCACATCTGCCTGAAAAACAATTATAAGCAAACTTTTTAGTTGCGAAGAGAATCAAGGCTTTTACTCCCTGTAATCACATGCTATCCCTCTTCATCCCTTTCTCATTAACAGCGCTGCCAATCATTAAAAACTTATATTCTGGACGTTGAAAACTTGAGCGTACAGTATAAAAGTGCTGATACAAAAATTCAAGTGATATTAAAAAAAGACAAGACAAGATTCATGAGCAATATTTTTCATTTTTGACGTTGTTAAGTCAAGTGACGCAAGCCTGATCATCGCTACAGGGAAATAGCATAAACAACAAAAAGTCAAAAAGATGACAAACTAACCGTATAATGCCTCAACACCCATGCGATCATCCAATTTAAGTAATTTGCTTGCTTTATTATACTGAGCGTACATGACCGAGTTATAGTACTTAGAATGATAAAGACCAATGCTATGACCTATCTCGTGAAGGGCAACAACAAATATATCATAGTCAACATTCCATTTTTCTGCATTATCCATGTGAATGTCGCCATTTATACGTTTAATTCCAGGTAAAAATGTATGTGCAAGAACTCCACCTTGACCATCAAAATTGAATCCATCGCCATGATAAGCTAGTAAATAACAGAAAAAAATAAACTTTTCATGCATTATAAGTTATATATCTATTCTTACGCCCTGTTTTGAAATGAAAGAAAACCTTGATTACATACATAGACCGAGTTGTTTTAGGATGAACGGGAGGTTTTTGCTATTTTCCACTTGTGTTCACACTCATGTGATCAAGTGCTCATACTCATGCAACCAGAAAAAGAATTGACTACCTGAGGACAAGCGGCAATTTTTATCCCAAATTGCCGTGTCCAGTAAGTCTACCGTTGCTAGATGTCTTAGGAAAGCGAGTTTACTCGTTTCCCATGTAATCATGTTGTTTTTACTAGAATTATCTCGCCTCAGCTTGCAGGGACAACTCAAACCATGTAATCGTCCCTCCTAATTCTCTATACTCAACCTACGCCATTTCTTGACGTTTATCATTCTCAATTATGTGTAAAAAGTGCAAGAAATCTTCATAAAAGAGTTCTACACATACTTGGAGCAAACTGAATGAGAATATCAGCATAGTTGCTTGTCGATCTCTTGAAGATAAGGGGTGATACAGCTTCCCATTGGTGAAAAGCTTTTTCAAAAGTCATAATTTGTGTTTGTATTGCTATATTATGGCGATATCTAGTAATTTTCCATGTTACGTATTTCTTCGTCCACCGTCTACGAGAAATGGAATATCGTTTCATTCTTGATACTATCGTCATTCCTAATGAATTTTGAGAATGTTTCGTTATATCTGGTACCCCACAGCGTGGACTTTTTATCGCTTTCAATGTTTCTTCATTAAGCTCTCCTGATATTTCTAGATTTAGTGAATTTTGAAGACTTTTCAATGCATTTTTTATTTCTTCTTTAGTAAATGGATGTAAGCTGTTCTCTCCTATTTCAGTTGAAATTCGTCGTGTAGGTGGCGATGAATGAGAACGTCGATTTTTTCTTATTTCACTCATTTTGTCTCCGTTTAAATGTCCAAATCGTACAAGGTATTGCTTAAAGATAAAAGGCATCCTTTAAGAGAACTTGATAGGCTTCGATATGAAAGTAAGATTTATTATGTATGACAAGAGGTTAATAAGAGAAACAGACCAATTCGTAGAATGTTGTGGGAGTCATACTGTTAATCCAATTCTTATTTTTAGATGAGCTATTCAATTCGTAAAAAAATGTCAGTTGAATAAATAATTCTTTCTCACAACTTTAATGGAAACAGGTGTCAGTGATTAAGTGGTGTTAGGTAACCATTGAACGGCTATAGGGTGAGCGTTGACAACTTTTGGATTATGTCTCGAAAGAGGTTTTATTAAAGAAGTTGAGATTTTTTTGAGATTTTTAAGTTGGAGAAATAAATTTTAAGAAATAGAATTTTGTAAAAATTGATTAATTACTTAACAAGTTCATTGCATGCTACAAAATTGGCCATCAACTTTCTTATTAGAAGGTTCTTAAAATTAGAGTCATGCCTTCAAATCCTGCAAGATAAAATCCTCAAACATCAATTTTGGTGACCTTGCCAAGCCTTGATTGAAAATCTTACCAAGTTTTTTCTCGTGCATATATAGCTTGTAATAACAACTTCTTCCTTACAAGATTTAAAATTTGATATCATGTTTGCGCGCCAAAAAAATAATGCCTTGACTATTACCTTGACTACAGTTATACGGTCCAAAAATTTTGATTTAAAAATAAAAATTGAGGTTATTTCTACATTGATGTTTTAAAGTTTCCTTAAACTGCAAATGATTAGGTATACCGAAAATAGTTCAAGTTTGATTATATTACTCAATGAAATAGTAAATGCGTGATATTTAATCTGTTTAGAGTAAATTACACGCACACTTACCACAGCGTCGAGTTCTTTCATTATGTTTGCTTTCTTCATAGCGACATTGTCGCTGGTCATTGTTTGTAATGGTAATGCTGTTGCCAAAATAGGCAACATTGTCGAAAATAATATTTGATACAATTGCATCATTGTCGTGATGTTGTCACTGCAAAGTCAGTGTCGTCGTTTGAGGCGCAAAGTGTGCGCGTGTGCTTTTTGAGGAGCAAGATTGTGTTCATGAAAATGATTGGCAGTACATACATCGCACATGCGCATCTCACAGTTGGTAATTTGTTTAAAACGCGACGACAGCTTCCGTACTTTGATGAAAAACATCAGAATAGTGATGATATTTTTTTACAATAAAATAAAGTAAAAAATGCAATAAAGTAACTGAATGAAATAATCCATAAAAAAACAATTTTCCAGAGTTCAATATTGTCTTGGACATATCTGACAACAGTGGACGTGATCTTAAAATTATCAAAAACTGTTTTTTAGATTTGATAATTTAAATGCAATATGTTAATCTTTTTCACCCTTTTTCACCTTTTTTGGTGTTTTTATTTTAAACCCTTAAATTTTTATCATGAAAATGGGTATCGTAAATTTAATTCGACTTTCAAAGTGATTTTCGTGTCAATTTGTATTTGTTACGACCAGTCACAAATTACAACACAAAATGATCATGGTATTTAGAAAATGCACGATTCTAGACCACACGTAAGATTTGAGGATTCTTCCCCCTGAAGGAAACGCGGTAGCTTGCTATAGAAAGTTTACAAAACACTTTTGTAATTGTCAAAAATATCAAAATAGAAAAATATTTAAAGGAAAAAACAATTGTTTCGGGTCAGCCGCAAATGTCCTTTACATTTCATAGCAAATAGCTGTTTTTAGTACATTTCATACTGGACTTATTGTTTTGTGTTATTTTCCCGGTCAAAGTGCAGACAAAGCCCGCTGAGTGTATCACGACGAGAAAAGAGGAAATATTTGATAACAGATAAAATGATAGAGCTTTTATCACAAAAAATTTAGACATTACACAGTAATTTGAATGACAAACTGTACCCAATTAAAAAAGTTTTTCTGGTTGAATTGACTTTTCGTTCTGGTTGTTGCAATGGAAAGGGGGGAAATTTTTTATGTGGATTACGTGTTCCTTTTTTCACCATAAAGAATACAAGAAATTAAGCTGAAAACGTTTTCAATAATGTTTATTATATTAATTCAGTAAGCGACAAGATGAAGGTTGACATGGTTAGATATCCTGGGTAGAAATTCCTTCGTTAAATCATCTAATTCTATAATCATAATCTAATAAAGCCAGACGTAAGATGCTTAAAATGAAAGACAACTTGACACCTCGACCGAGACAGCTATCACATTTTGAATTTCCGCGGTGCCTGAGGGTATTTACTTCACGCGATAAAATGTAACGAAAAGCATAATTTGCATCGATTTCTTACCTCTGTATAAACGAAAGATGATAAGTTCGTCGAAGTATTTGGTAGCTATAAAAGAGGTGATGTTTTTGATTTCTTGGAAATTAATAAAATGCTATCAATGTTACTCTTACAGTTATAAAATTGTATATTGACGCGTTCTTCTTATGTTTAATTGATGAAAAGTGAATCAGATGTTAATGTATTTGAAAAGGATTATATTTTTTTACCATACATACTGTATGTGGGACAGATTTTAAGTGAAAAGCCCCCATAGTGTTTTTGCCTCTAGTTAATACTTGTAATTTTTTCAATATTTTGTTGTAATATTAGAAAATTTTCCTATCGTTCTAAGGTCATTGCCAAATATTTATTTCCGTTTTATTGCGGCATGAAGTGACTGAATTGTTAGTTGAACAATTCACATTCTCTCTAATATAGTCATAACAAAATGACATAAATCAAACTAAATTTTTAAATGTTTTTTGACAACATAAAAGGCTGGGGAAAAAGATTTTTTAAAAATTTAAATACCTGAGCAAATCTTTTTGCACTCCTGTAAGTTCTCATTATTTAATTTTTTGAATGATAATTTAGATTTTCTATTGTAATGTCTTACAGAAAACATTGGAAGGCTGAGAGCAATGATTGAGCTAGTAAATACATTGAAGTCACTTATTTATATACCTTATGGAATAGATGAATTATATATACTATAACTGAGCACTCAATCTTAATGAGTTTAATCGCAAATTAAGTTAACCTTCGATCATCAAAACTCATGATACGATTCTTGGAGGAAAAGTCACAACATGGTGCAAAGTTTGTAATACAACTTTCTGTGATAATGTTGATGATCTATTTTTGTATCGTGTCAAATTACTCTATACAACAACACCAGCAGTTACATTCAGAAGTTTGCAAGATATTAATTACCAAATTCCAACAAAGTCTTAACGAGAAAGTATTTCGAAATCGATTGCAATTTCTGCTTAAATTGGTTTTTGCTGTAAAGATTTATAAATGCTTTTAAGATACTTGTTTTTTTAATCATTTCATTCATTACTAAACAATCAGCGCACAAAATTGTCGATCTTTAAAGCATTCGTTTATGTGTTTCTTGGTTTTGTCATTATGTTGAGAATGTCTTTAACATTAGCAGAATCTATTGCAGATAGATTGTTGCAGCTGTGATCTCTTTGTTCTGTGAAACAAGATCATCACTAGACAAATATTGTATGCAAGACCTCTTAAAAACACAAACTGGCTGTGAAAAACACAGTCAAGTTAAGTTATAAAAAATTTGATCTTCTTTTCTGACCTTTGCTTTCCTTCAATAATCGTACCAGTCATATAATTATTTGATATGCGCTGTATTTTACGTATAACAAAATGGCTAGGCACCACAAGAGAGGAGATATTTCGGTTTTGTATGAAAAATGATGCTTAAACTCTCTAATTCGAGGATTACAAATGTTGCACAATCACAAAGCCAAGTATAAGTCAAAAGTTTTTTACAAATGTGTATACAAACAGAGCCCTTGTATACACTAGTCTTAAACGAGGACAGTTGCATTACGCTTAGCGTACCTACTTTTGAACTATTCAGTGCAAATTATTGATAGCAGCGTCAACTGGCGACCCTGAAAGGGCTTTCAAACGACATAAATTTTTAGGAAATAGGTATCAATATTCTGCACAAACAACATCTGTGTTCTGGTTTGAGCTCTAATGAACATTTCTGAATGTGTATCAACAGAGTAATGTCTGTGAACAGACGACAGATTATAACTGCATTATAAAATTGTAATAGAGTAATTGAATTAAATTGTTCAATGAGTTTGCTTTAGAAACATCCGTTGAATCATTGTGATTGCCAATTGGTATTTTTTCCTTCAGCCTGTTTTATATAAAATCCACATAATAAGATTTCATCTTCTTCTATCTGTATTACATGAAGTATCTCGCAGTAGTAAGTAACGTGTTTTTGTAGTGTTTACTTTTAAGAAAGTTTTTTTGTTATATTTACAATGATTCATGTATAAATCTTCTCATTTAAAAAATGAGTGAATTTCAAGCTATTGTCATGGCAGCTGGCCATGGTTCACGGATGTATCCATTAACAGAAAATTTTCCGAAGTCTATTCTTCCTGTTGGAAATCTTCCTCTTATATGGTATCCATTAAACCTTCTATTCACTTCAGGATTTCAAGGTAAAATTTATTTCTGGCATTTTTTTTATATTATTCTCATTATTTCCTCTTAAATTTCCCCATATAGATGTAATAGTCGTTGTTCTTGAGTCTGAAGAATTATTGATTAGCAATACAATCAAGGGATACTTTAAAAGCAAACTTCAAATTGATATAATTCCCATTCCTGATGATGTTGTAATGGGAACAGCAGATTCATTAAGATATATTAAAGAAAAGATTAAGGTAAAATGTTTTTATCCATTGAAGGTTTTTGCTGAGCAGAATTAACTTAAAATACAATAGATACATAACTAGCCAATGCAGGTACATAAACTGAACACGAAACCTATCACCGATGCTAATTAGGGAAATTCATTCATGAATTTTCAATCCTTGTGAACTAAATTGAATTGTGTCTGCTGTTTAATTTTTTAAGTAGCAAGCAATTCTGACAACATAAGAACCGGTATTTTAAATTTTTTTATTGCATGTGTATGTTTGTTATAAATGTTCAATACTTTATGAGAGTTTGCAGTTCTTGCTTGTTAATTTCATTGTACAAAGATGGCTCAAAAGATGAGCCAAACCAATCAATTTATTTTAAAAAGAACTTGCTTTCAGATAGCATGCAAAAGCATGTTTTATACAATCACTTTTTAATGTTTTTCAAAGGATATAAAATAATTGATTTCTTGTCAGCACGACGGAAAGTAAAGTTAAGATTAGATGTTACGTAAAGATTGAAAGTTTTTGTGTGACATTAAAACATTTCTCTTTTGATAAATCTCCCCATTAGACACTGTCACAAAGAATGTATTAATGTTGTTATTTGTGATAGTTGTTGACTGTCTTTCATTAAATTGCTTTCTTAAATTTTACATAAAATATGCTGGATTTATTTAAAATGTAGAAAGATGTACTTGTTGTAAGCTGTGATCTCATTGCTGAAGTAAAACTTCATCAAATGGCTGACATTCATAGAACTTATGATGCAACCCTGACAGTTTTGCTTGCTTGCAATGAAATGAAAGACAATGAAAATGGAGAAAATCAAAAAATCAAAAGAAAAAAAGACATGTTGAGTACGACACAAAGTTTTTTTGTTGTGAAATTAATCAATGTTCAACTTTTTATTTTGACTATATTTTATGTACGTACATGTTTATGTATACATTCTTGTTGTATTCCTGTTGGCTGTAGATTCTGTTCTTCAAAAAATAATGTTTAACTTTAGGTCAAAGAGATATTATTGGTTTGGATGCAAAACACAACAGATTATTATTACTTGATGCTGAAGATGATTTGGATGAAAAATTAGTCTTACACAAATCATTATTTAAAAGGTACTATTCCTTGTATTAAGTACCAAATTAATGTTATCTTCAATTGGTACTCTCTCTCTAAAAGTTTTACCTAAATCTGGCAAACTTTTCTACAGTTTTCACTTTCAGCAGACAGCAAAATTTTTGGAGTACAAAGTTTTATGTTTTAGTTTTAGATTGGTTGTAGTTTTTAAATTATTTGTGTAAATTTTATCAAGTTCTTCAAGTAATTATTATGATTTTGTTTAAAGTTTTTGTTTTTGTGATAAATTTATTGTAGATTTCCATACTTGAAAATCAAGAGTAACCTAGTTGATGGTCATTTGTATATTATCAAGAAATGGGTTGTGGATTTTCTTATTTCAAGTAACAACGTGTCAGAGTATGTTAACGCCTTCAGAGTTTGTAAACGTTGTCGGAGTGTGTAAACGTTGTCAGAGTGTGTAAACGTTTTCAGTCAGAGCGTTGTCAAAGTTTGTAAACGTTGTCAGTCAGAGTGTTGTCAGTCAGAAAACGTTGTCAGTCAGAAACGTTGTCAGTCAAAACGTTGTCAGTCAAAGAAACGTTGTCAGTCAAAGTGTAAACGTTGTCAGTCAGAGTGTGTAAACGTTGTCAGTCAGAGTGTAAACGTTGTCAGAAAACGTTGTCAGTCAGAGTGTGTAAACGTTGTCAGTCAGAGTGTAAACGTTGTCAGTCAAAACGTTGTCAGTCAAAGTGTGTAAACGTTGTCAGTCAGAGTGTGTAAACGTTGTCAAAAACGTGTGTGTAAACGTTGTCAGTCAGAGTGTGTAAACGTTGTCAGTGTAAACGTTGTCAGTCGTTGTCAGTCAGAGTGTGTAAACGTTGTCAGTCAGAGTGTAAACGTTGTCAACGTTGTCAGTGTAAACGTTGTCAGTCAGACGTTGTCAGTCAGAGTCGTTGTCAGTCAGAGTGTGTAAACGTTGTCAGTCAGAGTGTAAACGTTGTCAAACGTTGTCAGTCAGTTGTCAGTCAGTGTCAGTCAGACGTGTAAACGTTGTCAGTCAGAGTGTAAACGTTGTCAAACGTTGTCAGTCAGAAACGTGTGTAAACGTTGTCAGTCAGTGTGTAAACGTTGTCAGTCAGAGTGTAAACGTTGTCAGTCAGAGTGTGTAAACGTTGTCAGTCAGAGTGTGTAAACGTTGTCAGTCAGAGTGTGTAAACGTTGTCAGTCAGAGTGTAAACGTTGTCAGTCAGAGTGTGTAAACGTTGTCAGTCAGAGTGTGTAAACGTTGTCAGTCAAAGTGTGTAAACGTTTAAATATTCACTATTAACGTTTTTTTAGATCACTCAATTCAATTAAAGGAGAGCTTATTCCGTACGTTATTAAAAAGCAATATAGGTCAAATAAAAAACTCAATCAAGAACAAAATTCAAAGATGTTGGAAGAAGAAGGATTAAAAAACGGTAATGGTTACGTTTTGGCAAACAAATGAGAAAAGAAAGACGACTAATATTTCCAACCATTCTTCTAGATATTTATGATTACATTGAAAGCAATTCATTACATGCTTTGTCTCAAACTTTATCAACGTCTGATCTCACTTGTGATGATAGTATACGATGTCATTGTTTTGTTATGGAGAATGGGCAATGTCTACGGGTTAATACAACTCCTCTTTATATGGAGGCTAACAGACTGGTGAGTGAAAATGTTCAAACTAAAACGAACAGCGTGATTTTACTTTTTCAAATTGAAAATTCAGATTCCAAAGATTTTACCAATGCTGTCAGAGATAAAGGATTTTGTACATCCAACAGTCAACGCGAAAAGATCCCAGGTATTTGTTATTATGAGCATTCTTGAAGAAGAGTCATATTGATATACTACAATGCTCTCTTGAACTTTAGCCACAGTTTTTTAATTTTTTGTAAATTTTGTTTATTCTCTATTATGATTGTTTGTTTTTTTTTAATGATAGAATAATAATAGACTTTGAGCTTGTGGAAGCCACTGTAAATGTAATGATGAAGTAGAAATACGTAACTACGTACATACTTTGCATTTTTGACTAGGTGAGCTATGACAGTATGGTTGGAGAAGGTTCACAAATATCAGAAAAAGTATCGATTAAAAAGTCCATTATTGGCAAACATGTGACTATAGGAGATAAAGTTAAGATTGCCAATTCTGTAATAATGGATCACGTCACAGTGAAAGACGGGTCAGTGTGTATTAGTATTAAGATTGATGCTCGTTTTCAATTTTACTTTTGAGCTTGTTGAAAATCTGCGTACTTTATTAAAATATCAAAAAATCAAAAGATTTATTCAGTGTTTGCAAATTTTGCCAATTGTGAAACTTTGTTCATCGTATCAACATATTACTTGGATTTGCTCTTACATCCATCTTCGTTTGATGTCAAATATTTTCACGCGATTCTTCTATATTCCTGGCGTTAAAGCTGTGTAAACGTACACAAGTTTAGAGTCAGCAACCAAACGTGGTTCAAATAGGGACAAAGAAAGCCCTAATTTTAAATGCAAATGCAATTTTTCAGTAAAATAATTTTTCGGTTTTTTCTGAAAATAACTTTCATTGTTTTTTCTGTGATTCAACACAAAAATATTTGCATTATAAGAGTAAAAAACGGGCTAAATTATCTACTGTTGGGCTCAGATAGATAAAGAGTTGCACTTGCTGAAAACACAGCAGGACTGTTTACATTTGTTACATCATTTAATTTAGGTGTAACATAGTTGGAAGTGTGATTTGTAATAACGCTTTAGTCAACGAAAATTGTCAAGTAAAGGATTGTCAAATTGGTGAATCACATACTTTACCAACGGGATGTAAGTATTATTGTTTTTATCATTTAAAATAATGATCATGGTCATACCATACCATAACATACCATACCACACCATACCATACCAAACGTACCATACCATACCATACCATACCATACCATACCATACCATACCATACCATACCATACCATACCATACCATACCATACCATACCATACCATACCATACCATACCATACCATACCATACCATACCATACCATACCATACCATACCAAAACGTACCATACCATACCATACCATACCAAACGTACCATACCATAACATACCATACCATGCCATACCATACCATACCATATACCATACCATACCGTGCCATACAATAACATACCATACCATACCATAACATACCATACCATACCATACCATAACATACCATGCCATACCATGCCATAACATACCATACCATACCATACCATACCATACCATACCATACCATACCATACCATACCATACCATACCATACCATACCATACCATACCATGCCATACCATGCCATACCATACCATACCATGCCATACCATGCCATACCATACCATGCTATACCATGCCATACCATACCATACCATGCTATACCATACCATACCATACCATACCATACCATACCATACCATACTATACAATACTATACCTTACTAAGTTATTGTAACAATTTAGAACGGTGTGAGACATATTATACAGACGTATTATATTCAGCATGTTGTATAAAGTACATTACAACACAGTACAACATAGGATAGCGTTATATGTGGTGGAATAGAATGGGATTGGAAGAGTTAGTAGGTGTGGCAAGGTAATGATGAAATGAAATTTCATGTCCTAACAAAAATTCTTTCGTTTGTTTGATCTAGCGGACGTAAAAGGCGAAACATTTGCTAAAGGACATATGAATATTTAAACTAGGTATCTTATAAAAGCATTACATAAAGTTTTATAAATAAAGGAGAATACTTATGGTACGGTTTGTGGAAAATTTTGTTTAAGGCTTAAAGTAAAAGTTACTTTATCAATACATACGCTATTTCTTGCAAGGTTTTACAACGTTAATGGAACATGAACGGGTGCGAGATAACTCATAGGGACATCTGTCAATAATATGGTACAGCTATTTTATTTTATTAATATAGCGAAGTGCAAAAATGTTGTAAATCAAGGAATAAACGATCATCTAACAATTCATTTAAATATCTCCTCTCGTCCATACAGTCTAACCTCTTACTTTCTTACACTCTCATGAAATGTACGTAGAAATGTAAGTGGTGTTGAAACTATGTATATTTTTGTATGGTGCATTGTAGGGGTAGTAGGGGATACAAGGGGATTTTATCATCGTGGCTTATGCGAGGCTTTATTGTACCTCTCTAACTTATGTTTAAAATGCACGAACGCTTGTGAAAGGATGTAAAAGCGTTGTAATGGTTGATACTGACTGCGAGCAACAAATACTAGACGTCCAATGTTAGTAAAACCACTTTCCATACATTAATAAAGTACTCAATCTGCAAGATAAATGTGTTTTTAACTATATTAATGTATGTATGACAAACTATTTGGCAAAGTTCAATGAAAATAAATAATTTGTTTAAGGATGATTACATCTTCGTTGTGAAAACTTCAATAACATGCGTTGTTCAATAACCTGTTACACAAATCTTGAATGGAAGTATTGGATGCCAAAAGAGGCTTTACGTCTTTGAGTTTTTAACTATGGAAAACTTCACTTTCTTAACTCAAAATTATCCAGATTCAGGCTTAGTACAACCGACCCAAGTCTTAATGCCCATCGACCTTAGTGTAACGTATCGCGCTCACAATTTAAAGTATTAATGTTTAGATGATGTTGAATGTTTCATCTTCGGAGTAATCATGGGAAATCCAATCGTCTTCTATCCATCCTTCATCCTGATCATCCTCATAAGTACACAACTCTTGAAGTACTATGTACTCAAATTCCCTCGGGCTTTCTTGGTGTATGGGTATGTGTCCTTCTCCATCGATAATATGAATGTTAACTGTGTCTTGTTGAGTGCGAGAGCATTTTACCTCGTAGGCCGAACGATGGTCAAACCAAGATTTTGAACCAAATATGAAAGTTAGTGATAGTTTATCGTCAAGACAATGGATGCGTCGAATTAACGGATCCCTTGCCCAAGTATTCAATACACTTAGTTTACTATAAGCATTTTTTCCAGACGACTTTTGTGCATTTTCGCAGAGTGTTTTATAAAATACCCACGGATCTTTTTTCTTATTTAAATCTTGAATGAACTGACAAGGATGTCGAAATAAGCCGTAAACATTACACAACTGTCGACACCAAAAGCACACAATTTTAAACACAAAATTAAAGTATTGCACGAAATGAAAAGCTTTATCGGTGGTGATGATCCATTTTGGAAGAAATTGATTGCAGTTTTTCGTTGCTTTTTTATTTAGGTTTCGATCTGTCATACCAAAAGGTAAAATTGGGAAACCCCAAGGTTCATATAAAGTTAAACGACAAACTCTCCAGGGGTACTTGAGGCTATACAGTGTCGCTATGTAACCGCCAAAATCGTGACCAAGCAGAAAATATTTTTCAATCGCAAGATTCTGTCGCCACAGGTCCAACCATCTCACGTAATTAGCCTCAATTTCATCGACACTTTTGTCCATTCTTGGTCTTGTACTACGAGCAAAGCCTGGTAGATCAATGACATAAACTGTGCAATTTCTACTCAATCGTCTAACGTTTTGAAGAAATGAGCAGAGACCAGAATTAAGACCATGCAGAAGTACTAGTGGTGGTCTGTTAGGAACTCCAGGGTTGAAGATGACTGTTCGTATCGACACGTCTTCAACTGTTATGAATTTTTCTTCGTAGAAACGTCTTGATGATTTTAATAGAACTGACTCAGTTCGCTGTAATTTCATTTCTAACGGTTCGAATATTAGTAACAATTTGAGCAAGAAATTTATGATAGATTTTAAAATAAAACTGAAAAGTCGATCAATTCCAAATAACATTTTGCTGTCGTTTAAAGCCAACATAGACAGAGATCTCTGCGGAACCTGCTCTCTTTATGTATGAAATTTATGCAAATAGTTGTTATTATGATAGCCACAAGGGCAAAGAGCATTAATTAAAGAAAACAAAGACGAGTAAAAGTATTTCTGCTGCTTGCACTTGCGTCTAATAAAATTATTCTAGTATTAATCCAGTCCAATTAATAACGATTACCTCACTATTTACGTAAATAGAAATACCCTCCTAATGCCTAACTTTACAGCCTGTGTGCAGGTCGTACGCGTCGTTGTCATGGTAACAAAACATGGCTGATTATGATGGAGAAGATGAGAGATTTTGCTTCAGATGAATAAATATTTTGAAAGATGACTGATATTCTGTGCAAGTGGTTGAATGACGATGTTAAACTCAGTTCTGTCGTTGGTAGTAGTTACTTGCGTTATATTATTCTTAGTAAAATCTAAGTATTGTTCTGCAAAATTTTTTGAAGTGGTGCTTTTATAAAAATGTTTTTGTCAATGACTCAATGTCAGGCAATTTATCCATCCATTAAATATTTCTAGCACCACTTTGTGCAGTGTGCAAACTAGAAGATATCCATGAAATTAACGCATATGGTTTTTGTACTGCCAGCTTGTAGTTAACGCTCAACACTTGCAGAACAGAAATCTATTTTGCAAATTGCAATTTCTTTTCTTTTTACCTATAAAAAAATATTTTAAATTTTCTAATGTAAACATGCATTTGCTTTAAGACAAAGAGAATGTGTCCAGATTGTTTAGCAGTGGCTTTTTGTTTGGTGAAATTCTCTTTAAATATGGCATACAAGATGATTTTTCCTTTTTTTCCAAAGGACGGTAAGCAATTAAAAAATCATACATAGTTTGGTAGTAGATCCAGAATTTTGAAAAATGAAATATAATTACTAATTTCTAATTAAAAACACATTACAATTGTAATTGCGATTTTCCAAAGATTGCCAAAAATTTCTGTTTTGCAGAACTGCTGAATCAAAACTTAATAATTTTACGAGAATCGAGTCTGTAATGAAGCTTTTGGAAATTCCTTATAATATCAATGTTGTGAGTATAATACATGTATCCTTATAGAACTCTATGTACCCATATATGTACCTCTTATCAATTTTTTTTGTTTTTTTAGGCAAAATCTATAATGAATGAGAATCATGGTGCTGCTTCAAGACTTCTCTATCAACTATTCATTGCTTTAGGAAGAAAAGCTAAGAAAAAATTAACAGGAGTTGCCATGGAAACTATGCGACCTAGCGCACCAGTTAAACTAGAAAGTATAGAAAGTGCTATTTATAAAGAGGTGAATGATATGCATATATTCATATTTGCTAAACTATTAATAAAATGTTTTTTGCAATGTTTGAACAAATTATTTTCATTTCTATAGCAATTAAAGCAACTTGTTCCCAGGCAAGTTGATGTGAATATTGAAACAATGATGGAGAGATACCAAAACAAGCGAAAACATCAGGAAGAACTTGCTTTGAAAGCCAAGTATGATCTAAAATACTCTATTTCTAAATTAGAAAGCATCGTGCAGGTGTAGTTTTTTGAATGAGGGTTTACTCTGAGTTATTTCAAAATCTCTAACACATTTTTTTTTAAACAACAAGAATACGTACTATACATATATGACTATAGTGCTAAGGCATGTCAAAATGTTAGTAAACACTTAAAACAATATATAGTTCTTCTCAAGTCTTGACGAACTTGTACAATCATCATATACCAATTGTGAATTATAATAATATTTTCAAGTTAAAACCATTCACTTTATGAATTTGTACAATATATATTCTAGAATAACCGTAGATGAATTTAAAAATGTTCATATTCATGATCTCCACAACCAAAAATGTTTGGTTTTTATGAATATTTCAGTAGAAATGCTTACATTCAACATTATGTATTTATGTGATTGTTTCTAGAAAAAAAGAAGAGTTTTTGTCAAAGAAATATAAAGAAGATGTGCGTCAACAAGGATTAGAGAAGGTTAGTTGTGTTAATTTATTGGCAATATTTTTTATGAAGATTTCATGATGGCAGATTTGTACTTCTACTTTATCTACATATGAGTATGTATTAATACAGCATGTACTAGCCAATGGTGTTTGCTGCTAGATCAAATAAATTTTTGTTTCTTCATTTTAGTCACGACTTATTCGTGACAAGCAAAATGAGGTGATGCAAAGGATCAAGTAAGATTTTGTTCAATTCATTTTTGTTTTAAAGTGTTTTGAAAACAATCAATTTGACAACTACATGAATTGTCCACCAATGATGTGAAATATCCACAAATAATGTGAATTATCAACAAATGATATGAATTATCCTGCTAATTATGTAAACACTCATAATTTTTAATACACATATGTTGTCATTACATATTGAACTATTTTGTAAATTTTTGATGTTTGGGCAGACTAATCTTTCAGTGAAAACATCGAATGATTTGATTAAAAAGTATTCAACTTTAGGGATGCTCAAGTAAACATTCAAAAGCCTCCACCTTCGAAGGTTGATTATTCAAATTTTCTCATAATATTTTTTGTTTTTTCTATGGCAATTGTTAATTATTTATGTTTTGTAGAGATTGTTGAAAACAAAGAAAGAAGTTGACAGAGAAATGGAGATACAAGTATAAAATGTTTCAAGAATATTTTCTGATGAAATAGTATGAGTTTACATGAAACCTAATGCTTTTTGACATCCATTTACATGCATAGAATGTTACACATGTAGAATGTTACACATGTAAAATGTTACACATGTAGAATGTTACACATGTAAAATGTTACACATGTAGAATGTTACACATGTAAAATGTTACACATGTAGAATGTTACACATGTAGAATGTTACACATGTAAAATGTTACACATGTAAAATGTTACACATGTAGAATGTTACACATGTAGAATGTTACACATGTAGAATGTTACACATGTAGAATTTACACATGTAGAATGTTACAGATGTAGAATGTTACACATGTAGAATGTTACACATGTAGAATGTTACACATGTAGAATGTTACACATGTAGAATGTTACACATGTGGAATGTTACACATGTAGAATGTTACACATGTATAATGTTACACATGTAGAATGTTACACATGTAGAATGTTACACATGTAGAATTTACACATGTAGAATGTTACACATGTAGAATTTACACATGTTGAATTTACACATGTAGAATGTTACACATGTAGAAATAACACATTTAGAATGTTACACATGTAGAATGGTGCACATGTAGAATTACACATGTAGAATGTTACACATGTAGAATGTTACACATGTAGAATGTTACACATGTAGAATGTTACACATGCAGAATGTTACACATGCAGAATTTACACATGTAGAATGTTACACATGTAGAATGTTACACATGTAGAAATAACACATTTAGAATGTTACACATGTAGAATGGTGCACATGTAGAATTACACATGTAGAATGTTACACATGTAGAATGTTACACATGTAGAATGTTACACAAGTAGAATGTTACACATGTAGAATGTTACACATGTAGAATGTTACACATGTAGAATTTACACATGTAGAATGTTACACATGTAGAATGTTACACATGTAGAAATAACACATTTAGAATGTTACACATGTAGAATGGTGCACATGTAGAATTACACATGTAGAATGTTACACATGTAGAATGTTACACATGTAGAATGTTACACATGTAGAATGTTACACATGTAGAATTTACACATGTAGAATGTTACACATGTAGAATGTTACACATGTAGAATGTTACACATGTAGAATTTACACATGTAGAATGTTACACATGTAGAAATAACACATTTAGAATGTTACACATGTAGAATGGTGCACATGTAGAATTACACATGTAGAATGTTACACATGTAGAATGTTACACATGTAGAATGTTACACATGTAGAATGTTACACATGTAGAATTTACACATGTAGAATTTACACATGTAGAATGTTTCCTTGTGTACTTAAACAACTATCGTCATGTGAAGTTTTTTTCCAACAATTCAGGAAGTTAAAGAAGACATTGCTTTATTTGAAGAGACGATGAAAAATCTTATTCCTCATCAGAGCTCAATGCAACTGGAAGAGTAAGATATATATTTTTTTATGATATCTGTTATTTCTTGAATATTTATCACATTTAATGGGAGATATTGAAAAAAATTTACATCATTTTTATACAGTTATTTTGAAGAGAATGAGCGTGTTGATTTCGACAGAAGATCTCGTCGAAAACCACTTCAACCTATTTTACTGGTAAGCATTAACATACAGACAGTGAAAATATCACATCTATCGACGCGATGTATTTACAAACTTTTCTTATTTTGAATACTTCTTTTTATTGACAAATGAATTGATGATGGCAAGAACGAATGACATAGTTGATTGTTATAAAGAAACTCTATTTTTGTGTACACTAGATCCAATAAAGAACTATTATTTTTGCATTAGCTTCTAAATTTTTTGATATAATCTCTCATGGATATTTATTAGAATTTTTATGTTTTTTTTAGAAAACATCAGGCGACGATTATGTTTCTCAGATAAAAAAGAAATTGAACGAAAATAGTGTCGCTAGAAAGGTGTTTTATGACCAATTATATTTTAATTGTAGCAATACAAAAACGTCACTGGCATTTTATTTACTTCATAAATAGCTGTTTTATATTTACAATTCTTTTTTCTACAATTGATGACAGAGATATTAAATTTTCCATGTGTTTCCTAACATTTTAATATTCTCTGTATAAACAATAATTTTGGTGCGCATTTGAAGATCTCAACATCGTATTTTATAGTATTAGTTTTTAATGTATTTGATTTCAGGAACGGGAAAAAAGAAGAAGAAGAGTTTTGATTGAACAACTAAAAGCCCACGAAGCTCAAGAGGTAAGATTTCTTTTGTTGTAGTTATTGCAAAGTAATGTATAAAATCTCGTACATGCAATCATTTGTGGTTTGAAAAAAATTGCTTGCTTAAAATCTTTATACAATTTTTTTAAATTATATTTTCTGCATGTTACTTTTGAGCGTTGATATCCTTTGAGGAAGTATAAAGTTTTAAAGACGTGTATGAATGTCAGCATATACAAAAACAAGAAGTGCATTTTCTTTCAATAATTTTTACGAGTTATTTTCATATTTCGCTGAGCTATAACTTAGGAGGAACGGCGAGAAGAAATGTTGGTAAAACGTCTGATGAGACAGTCTCAACAAGAAAAAAGAATTACTGTTCAACTTATGCAGGTAAAAATTTGTAAACATAAAATTTGGAATGGTTGTACAAGGGGAGAGAGAATGTAATTTAAATGCTTATTAACTTTAGCTACAGTCATTTAGTTGTGTTGAGATTAAATTCCCTCTGTATTGACAGATAAGACGTGAAAAACAAATTATTAAAGAAAACAGGTAGACATTGAGCGAATTTGTCGTCAGTTGAAAAATTTATACCATATAGTAGTTATCGCATGGAAATAGGATTCTTGTGCTGTTGTTTTTTGTTTTGGAAAAAGCAATTTTTGCTTTCTTTAGGATATTTCGTGAAAAGCAATACGCAGAAAGACGCTTAAAAGATTTCGAAGATGCTTTAAATAGGGAAGCGGTACTTAAATTTACTTGCATTGACCTTTGTTTGAAAGAAATCTATGTCTTTGATAGCCATTTCATATCAGTATGATTTTACCATTTTATTTCAAGCAAAAAATTTTTGTTTTACTGTATAGGAGATGTGTCTTCTATCGCAAATTGAATATAAACATAAAATAGAGCGAGATAAACAACAACGGAAAGAACTGTTGGAAGAACGAAGAAAGGCAAAATATGAAAAACATTTTGACATTTGTAAAAAGGTAGAATACTTTTTGTTTTTTCATCTAGTGTTTGCACTGAAGCTTGATTTAGAACGGCTACGAACATTTTCTTCAAAGTCTTGAAAACTTTTGAATGATTAACTCTTTCTCCACGTGACCATGCAACTTCTATACTTATTTTCGCTTTTTCCACTATTTTTAACTTTCTCTTTCCTTATGTTATCAAACTCTAGATATTTTGCACTTTCTCCAGTCTTTATCCTCACTAATCTTTACTATCACTAACTATATCTGTTCCTCTCACTCTCTGTGACACTTATTGTCCTACCTTAACCTCTGTAATCCTTCATCCTCACTAATCTTTACTATCACTAACTATATCTGTTCCTCTTACTCTCTGTGACACTTATCGTCCTACCTTAACCTCTGTAATCCTTTTTTACTCTTCTGCTAAAACATCAGTTGCAATTGAAAATCATAATTTTTCTCATTCAGATTTTGTCAGATGTTGTAGACCTGAGTTGTAAAATTGGTGAATATCGTGAACTAACGGACAGGTGAAAAATGTTTCCCGCAGTCATTTTGTTCAGCAGTAGTCATCATAATGATGTTTCTTCTGAGTGTTAATACTTTGCTCCGTTACTTTAGAAATGTTCCTGAGAAATTAATTCGTGAATGGAAAGGTTATTTTGACGCTGCTTTGCCTCTCTATCAATCTTCGGTGAGTGTACATATTCTTTAGTTTTCACTTACGAACATGAAAGATTTTATGGTATAAGTCAAATTTTAAAGGATTTGTGTGAAGATGAGATGGAGAAATCAAAACTTGCGATTATTGAAGAAGAGAAAAACATGTTGACGGATGAGTCAGACTTTGTTGAATATAGAGTGAGTTTATGAATATACATTTTCTAGAGTATTTAAACTTTGGATTTAGTATTAAAATTATGAATTTAGTATTGAAATTAATGATTTATGTACCATTTAGAATATTCATGATTTTTATTGTTTTCAGATGGCTGTTGGTGAATGGCAACAAAGTGATGATACTTCAGATCATATTCCACCCAAAGATAATCCAATCCTTGGTCATATTATTCAGAAATTATTTAAAATCATTTATCCACCAGAGGTGTGTCATTGTTTCATGTTCTCGTATCTACCACTCGTATCTAAAGAAAAACTCTCCATTGAAGGTCATTTTTTTAGATTTTACCGTCCATTTTTTATGTTCATTTTAGTGTCCTTCGCCAACTCCCGACTTTCCACCATTTCCGATCAAAGCTTGTTTTCTGGGAAAATTTTTTACTGGCAAAACGTCTGCTGCAAATCATTTTGTTTCAGGCAAGTGTCAACGAAATTATGTCGTTGAGGAGTTAAAATATTATATTGAAAGTTTTTTGTAGGAAGTTATAATCAGATTTTTTTCTTATTGTTCAACTTTGTCTTTACGTTTTATTACGCAACTACAATTTGCCACCGCCAAAATTGAAGTATTTTATGGTATAAGAAATTTGTCCATAAATTTTTCATGTTTGTTACAAATAAGAGATGTGGCTATAAAATTTTCTATTTTGTATATGTGGGTAAAAATTATGTTTAGGTCATAGAGTTGTGAGTTTGTGTATTGATGAACTTGTTAAAGATGTAATTGAAATTTACCATGCTGAAGAAAACAAAAAAGAAATAATCAATAATATTCAGGTATGGAGTTCTCTACGAAGTTTTATCGTTGAGTTTACGATTTGAAATTGTTTAGTAATACTGTTTTACAACTCTGACTGTCTTTGTCAACAATTTTGACAGCAGTTTTTGACGACAGGTTTACTGACAACAAAGTTTTACCTACGTATCCATATGTGGTGTTTTAGCTGAATAATTTAAATTTTTAGCCTGAGAATGAAGCATTAGTTGAGGAAAAACCTGTTGATCAAGATGATAAGACGTTTGAACACTCGATGGAGGAAACGAAAGGTAGCTAAGCTTCCATTCCTTCAAGTTAGCTAAGCTTCCATTCCTTTAGCGTTCATAAGCTTCCAAGCCTTCAAGTTAGCTAAGCTTCCATTCCTTTAGCGTTCATAAGCTTCCAAGCCTTCAAGTTAGCTAAGCTTTCACTCCTTTAGCGTTCACGAGCTTCCAAGCCTTCAAGTTAGCTAAGGTTCCATTCCTTTAGCGTTCATAAGCTTCCAAGCCTTCAAGTTATCTAAGCTTCCATTCCTTTAGCGTTCATAAGCTTCCAAGCCTTCAAGTTAGCTAAGCTTCCATTCCTTTAGCGTTCATAAGCTCCAAGCCTTCAAGTTAGCTAAGCTTTCACTCCTTTAGCGTTCACGAGCTTCCAAGCCTTCAAGTTAGCTAAGGTTCCATTCCTTTAGCGTTCATAAGCTTCCAAGCCTTCAAGTTAGCTAAGCTTTCACTCCTTTAGCGTTCATGAGCTTCCAAGCCTTCAAGTTAGCTAAGCTTCCATTCCTTTAGCGTTCATAGGCTTCCAAGCCTTCAAGTTAGCTAAGCTTTCGCTCCTTTAGCGTTCATAAGCTTCCAAGCCTTCAAGTTAGCTAAGCTTTCACTCCTTTAGCGTTCATAAGCTTCCAAGCCTTCAAGTTAGCTAAGGTTCCATTCCTTTAGTGTTCATAACCTTCCAAGCCTTCAAGTTAGCTAAGCTTCCATTCCTTTAGCGTTCATAAGCTTCCAAGCCTTCAAGTTAGCTAAGCTTTCACTCCTTTAGCGTTCATAAGCTTCCAAGCCTTCAAGTTAGCTAAGCTTCCATTCCTTTAGCGTTCATAAGCTTCCAAGCCTTCGAGTTAGCTAAGCTTTCGCTCCTTCAACGTAAGATTCCAATCTTTCAATGATGTTCTACTGTTTTGTTGTGTTTCGTAAGAAAATCAAAAAATTTCAGTCATGTTTTACAAGTTTGCCTAGATGTTGATTTTCCAGATTAGTGAAGTCCTGAGAAGGACTGAAGTCATCTTTAGAGTCACTTAAGAATGTCGACAATTCAGTCAAACATCAACAGTTGCTTCTTAAGACTTCACCAATTTGGACATTGTAGTGGACGTTCTACATGTACAAACATGTAGCGATACTCCAGGGTTCAAACAATTCTTTTCAGTCATGTTTGTATCGATTATCTTTGTCGATTGAACTGTCATATACTTAGAAAATCATGAGGCAAGCAGCCCCAGCAGAATGACAGAAGTCAATGAACAGTTCGTGCAAAATAAAACCCCTGAAGACGAGTTGAAAGAGGAGAATTCTGTGGCTACAAAGGTTCACTGAAAATTTCTTACAATGTAATGAAGTTTTTTAGAGTTTACATTTTAATTGTTTTTGAATGTTGGAATGATTTCTTCCAGGCTTCATTGCGGACAATTTTAGGCAAAAAGGCGTATGAATGCTTAAAAAAAGGAAAAGAAATTTCTGACCAAATATTAGTTGATATTATGATTGATGCGATAAGGTATTTTTTGTATAAACATGGCTTATACAATTCATATGTTTTATGCTAATTTACGAGTTGTATGATAAACGTTTTTGTTAATTTCATAGAGAGATTCCATCTGGCACAGGTTGGATATTAGATGGCTTTCCTTCAACGATAAACCAAGCAAAGGTAAGTTTTCAACGTAGAAATCTTTTTGTTTGGTTCATAACAATTTTTGTGTTTTTAGTTGTTGGAGAAATCACTTACTGGCTATGATGCAACTAAAGATACTAAAACAAAAGATGGCAAAATGAAAGGAAAGAAATCTCGTATCGCTCCTGATCCTCATCCTGATATAGAGGTCAGTAATTCTTCCAACATAAAGTCATTTTCTTTGTTCGGACATTGTTAGTATATATTATAGTTCTTGCGTGCATCAGTTACCCGTAGTTATAGTACGTCAAATAATTTACATCATACTGTGTTATCTTGCAATTCTTAATATATATAAGAAAAGCAAGTTGGTTTATTCTATATTGTTAATGTAGCCTCCTCCTCTGAAAGCGGTATTGATACTGTGATATTATTTGATGTATCTGATGAAGTGATTTTACGTCGCAGCGAGGGAAGAACATGTGAGATTATAAACCATATCTTTTTTTTAATGCTTTAATTTAATTTGTGCATGAAAGCAAAAACTGTCATAGTTGTTTATTTTATAATCATGTAGACATTCCAAGCAATGGTGAAGTATATCATCAAGAGTTTAAGCCTCCTCTCGAAGGTTCTTATACTGGTATTGGAAAACAAGAAAAAATTCATCCATTTCCTGATCCTTCAAATGACAAAGAGCAAATACAACAAAGGTACAACCAATACAACAAAGGTACAACCAATACAACAAAGGTACAACCAATACAACAAAGGTACAACCAATACAACAAAGGTACAACCAATACAACAAAGGAACAACCAATACAACAAAGGTACAACCAATACAACAAAGGTACAACCAATACAACAAAGGTACAACCAATACAACAAAGGTACAACCAATACAACAAAGGTACAACCAATACAACAAAGGTACAACCAATACAACAAAGGTACAAACAATACAACAAAGGTACAACCAATACAACAAAGGTACAACCAATACAACAAAGGTACAACCAATACAACAAAGGTACAACCAATACAACAAAGGTACAACCAATACAACAAAGGTACAACCAATACAACAAAGGTACAACCCACAAAGATATTTATCGATCTTAATAATTTTATTTTATAACTTGAATTGGTGAAATACATGAAGGGAATAATTTTTTTTCCTGAAAATTGCTTTAAATTTACGAAATTTAAAGCAGTTAAAAAACTTCCCATACCCCGAGACAGTAGAGCGTCGCGCGTTTACGTTTCGGTGGGAGATGCTAATAAAAATTTTGAATAGTTTGTGTCTGAGCGAGCTAGATGCTCTCAGAAACATTTTATAAGTTTTCAGTCATTTATTATATTGGTGTTGTTTTTCTTCATCCTTGTGTTAAAAAATGCATTTTTAAACTCGTTGCTTGAAAGACCGCTACCGGCCAGGCGTGAATGCAAAGTAGCCACAGTGATAACCATAGAACACAACCATAGACATTACAACATGGACAGAAAGAAAATGACTTAGCTACATGTAAACCAGTGACAACAAGCGGTTATTTAGACTGTGCCATGTGATAGGTTTTATGAAAAATGTTTTTATTGGCCATAAAGTCAATGGATGTTTACCTCATGGTACATGAATCACCTCATGATACATGAATCACCTCACGATACATGAATCACCTCATGATACATGAATCACCTCACGATACATGAATCACCTCACGATACATGAATCACCTCACGATACATGAATCACCTCATGATACATGAATCACCTCATGATACATGAATCACCTCATGATACATGAATCACCTCATGATACATGAATCACCTCATGATACATGAATCACCTCATGATACATGAATCACCTCATGATACATGAATCACCCCATGATACATGGATCACCTCATGATACATGAATTAAAATTAAATGGAAGTTAATGGAGAAATAAATGTATGAAACATTTTATGATTGAATCAAATTACTAGTCAAAAGGCAGTACTTTTTTTGAAACTTTGCTTCTCCCTGGATTTCTAGTTCTTGATTTGAATCTTGTAGGATAACTGGTTTTGATGAATCTTGGTCGAAACTCGAGAAGTGGTTCAATAAATTTGGAATCCTGACTAAACTTGATGTTCATCGGTCAATTGGTTAGTTTTCCTGATTTGAACAACTAATCACAAATCAAACGTTGATATTATTTTTTTAGAGGAGGTTAATGATAATGTAGCATCAATTCTTATGACGATCATGGAAAAAATCCAAGAAAGTGAAAAAAAAGACGACGTTGTAATGAATTTTTTCAAATATTATGATACGTAACACTAACATATTTTGATGTATAAGTTGCTCGAATTTACGTGTTAGGAATTGATATAATCTTTATTTCAGGAAAACATTCTTACAAATGCTTTGATTGAAGGTAAAATTCAAGAGAATTTTTTTTATCCAGATATTTTGTATCATTTTTATGGGAAATTTGTTGCTTTTCTATGTTTAGTAACGGAGCAATCGACAATCGATGATTCGATGAATGAAAAAAAAGATAAAGATAATGCTTTAAATACTCTTGTTACAAATGAGGAAATAAAAGACAAGAAAATAGGTCAAGCATTAATTTATTTTGAAATATTTGTTGATCTAAGAAACTACTGAACACAAAATACTTCTTGTTTTTTTACTTATTTCTACCTCCGTATTTTAGTGTCACCACAACCATCTCAAATGATTTCTACCTCCGTATTTTAGTGTCACCACAACCATCTCAAATGATTTCTACCTCCGTATTTTAGTGTCACCACAACCATCTCAAATGATTTCTACCTCCGTATTTTAGTATCACCACAACCATCTCAAATGATTTCTAAAGATGATTCGCCACCTCGGAAATCAGTTTCACCAAAATCATCCAAAAAAAGCATACGTCCTGCTTCAAAGAAAATTTCTCCGTCAGTGTCAAGGAAAGGATCAAAAATTAAATCTTCAACAGCTATACGGGCAGGTCTTGCTAAATCACCCGGTAAAATGTTATCTCTTTGTCAGACTTAAACTTTGTAATGTGACGGTTGTCATAAACGAAGACGAGTTTCTTGAATATATAACTGTACTCTTAGCATAAGTGTATAACTTTGGTTTGAACGGAGAATTTGAATGGAGAAAATAATTTTGTAGGAGTTTAGTTTTTAACTAGCTTAAGGATCGTAGCTATATTTTCTATAATAAAATCTTCATTTGTTTTATAGTGAAAAAACAGGAGTTGGTGGAAGATGAACCTGTTGAACCGGTTATTCAGAGTGATGGCCCAGAACCTGGATCCAAAGAATGGGAATATGTTGATGAAGCAATAGAAAATGTAAATTTAACGCACAAAAGAAATTTAGTAAACAACTATTAATGAAATCATTTACTGTGGAAGTAAAACACTGTGGTTGATAAAATATGGTTTTACTATCGTAGTATGAAAAACAATATTTCTCATGGAAAATTTTTATGTAATGGTAGTATAATTTTTTTATTTTTGTAGTCGTTCGTGGATATTCTTGTAAATCGTTGGGAAAATATTGAAGAAACCTACATTGATACATGTAAAAAGGTTTTTCGAGAAATTCGTCAAGAACGAGAGTTGATTTACAGATACTTTTATGGTACAAGGTAGTGATGTGGTTATAAATAATTGTTTACTTTTAATAATGTTCATTGCATGGATGGAAATTGACGAAAATTATTACCCATCCAAACTTTTGTCATTATTTGTGAAATAGGAAAGATTTCTTGTCATTTCTACGAAGACCAGATGAAAAAGAAGAATATGTTCTTCAATGGCAAAACTACTATAATGACATTACGCAGGATATGCGATCTGATGACGATGTTAAAGCTGAATTACATCAACAAATTGACGTAAGATTATCTTATGCAAAATTACATGTACACACTTATTGGAATAACATGGGGTTTTCTTCAGTATTTTTAAATGGAAACTGGTAATAAGAAAATTTGAAAATTTTACTACAAACATTTTACTCTGCTACACATGCAAAGTTTTTTTTCCCTTTTCGGCTATAGATTTACCCTTCATTTTCAGCCGCTTTTGGTTACGATTTTATGCCCCGAATGATATCATTGTTAGATTTTAATGTCTTTTCTTTCCTAGGATCTTTGTGATCGTTTGCACGAGATTTGTGATAGTCGAAAGGAAATGGCGGAAAAAGAAAGAAATATAGTAATGGAAGACGGATGGCTTCAAGATCGTTTGGGATTATTGACAAATCACTATTTGACTTTAATGCAAATTGAAGTGGATCGTCATCAAGATACTTATCGAGTTTTGAAAGATTATTACAATTCAGTCGATGGTAGCAATTTTTCACAGTCTTTGTCTTTCTAAACCAACAAACCTCTTGTTCATATATTTCTCAACATTAAAGGTAAACCTCCAGTTGAAGCTTGCTCGGAAATTTGTCGTATTCCGCTGGTAGATCTACCTGCCATTGTTCCTACTTTACAGTCATCTGTGAGTGATAAAAGTTGTGATAGTGAAGTGAAATATACTACTGGTAAAAGAGATGGTGAAAATGTTAAAAGTCCTGATGGTGCAACGGCTGAAGGTGAAAATCATCGCAACAGGTCGATATCTTCAACACATTATGTATTAGATCATTGATGATACTTAATAAATATATCCATCATTTAAATTCCCAGAATTCCTCTGGTTCCTCGTCGTCCCAAATCTGGCGATGGAGCATTAATGAAAGAGAAAAACAACAAACGGTCTTCAAAGGAAAAACGGGATAATCAATGTGAAACACCTGTTTTACCATGCGATCCTGATGAAAGAGTACGTGTCAAAATATTCCAAAAAATTATATTTTAATTCTAAGAATTTTATTCTTCAGATTTGAGGAATATCTACATACGTGAAGAAGCGTTATGGCGTGATGTTTTACCAATTTTTTTTATAAATATTTTTCTTTTCTAGCTAATTTTTGATGGTTTTTACAATGCTCTTGCTGTCATTGATAATCTGGTATATTATGATTTTTTTGTCTGTTATTTATTGTCAAATTCTTCATCGTTAATCATGCTTTATACTTTGAAATAATGATTAGTTATCCTTATTTTTACCTGAATTTCCTCAACATCAATCTTTATCCCATGTTGTCCTTATTTTTACCTGAATTCCTCAACATCAATCTCTATCCCATGTTATCCTTATTTTTACCTGAATTCCTCAACATCAATCTTTATTCCATGTTATCCTAAATTTATCTGAATGTCCACAACGTTAAAATTCATCCCATGTTAACCTTAATTTTAACATCAGTCTGCTCTGCTAATTATTTTACTCTTCATCAGGCAAATCTTGATCAAGGTGAGCAAGAAGAAGAAGCGAATAAAATGGCAGAAGTTCTTCGAGAGAAAGAAAAAGACATTGGAAAGAAAGGAGGAGGGACAGGAAAAGATAAAAAAACTGATAAAAAAGCAGGAAAAAGTGCGAACAAGGGAAAAGTACAAGAAACTGTCACACCTGGTGTGTATGATTTACACTTTTTATTTAAACATGGCATTTGTTTACCGTCAATAGATTTTATTCATAAAACAAATTAAATTGAAATAAGCGATCTCCAAACTGTCTATCGTACTTATATCTTTTTGTCGAAATTCACTTGCAACGGAGTGTCAACTCTTCGATACAAAAACTTGGGTAAGATACATGACTAGGAAAAACACATGGGAGGGAACTAGGGTAAGACGCATGCTGGGAAGGCTGGGTAGGGTAAGACGCATGCTGGGGGCTAGGGTAAGACGCATGCTGGGTAAGACGCATGCTGGGGAACTGGGAAGGGGTGGGGGAACTAGGGTAAGACGCAGGGGGGAAAGCACATGCTGGGGGAACTAGGGTAAGACACATAGGGAAAGGGGGAAAAGGTTCATACTAGTTACCTAGCCACAGCTCCCCCAAATATACTGACGTAGTTTTCTATTCATCAACAGCTCCTTTAAACGTCGAAGCTGAAAGTGAAGAAGAGAAAACGAAAAAAAAATTGAAGGAAAAAATTCGCCGTGAATTTCTAGCAGCCATTCATTTCGAAGGTGTAGTTTTTTAATTTAAATTGAAAATATACTGCTATCATTAATATGACGTGAGCATGACCTTAAAATAAGTTAATACTACCTGTTGTTGTTTACTTTGAACATTATGAAATATCCACAACATTAATATTATCTAGGTGTTTGTTTCACTATTAAAAATTAACGATAAATTTTGTATATAACGTTTTTCTATTTTTTGGACGTATCAAATCACTAAAAACACTCCTCGTTGTTAGTTACAAAAAAACAATCAAAAAAACCAATAAAAGTTGATGTAACTCGATTTAAGGGAAACTATACAGAAATTATTAAACAAAGAGTGTTGGATAAGCAGGTTTAATTTTTTATCCATCGTAAACAATTCTACGATGTTTCACTTTTTCACTTTCTTCATCTGTTCTACTGAAGCTTCATCGTTGGAAAGCACTGCATTTAAAAAATATAAATATTTTTCATAATTTCAGATATTTGCTTGCGCAGTCGTGTTGAAATGGTGAGGAATCGATCCGTTGCTGTGTTACAAGATTTAAAGGTTTAATATTGTTTTATACATTTATATTTTGTATATGAAATCAATATCAGACAACCTTAAAGGATGCCTTATTTTGAAAACGACATTAAATTAATCACAATACATCGACATTAACAAGTCATAATATTGCCTTGAAGAGCATATTTTCCCTGCGTAGTAACAGCTATAGCACAAATTAGTACTATTTTACACCTTCATCTTGTACAGGATGAGATCATCACACTATAAACTGGTAAAAATATACGTTGAATCACTCAAACAATTTGCAGACGTTTACACCTGATGAATTTTCTTCTCAAATGCATGGTGTCTTCACTTTCATTTGTGTTTTAGCAGGTTTCATCAAATCTGCCTAGAATATTTTATTCGTCTTGGTATATTCGTTTATCAAGGAAATATTAGATTTGTCACCATGAAAAAGTCTCTGTTCTGTAACAAAATTATAATTTAAGGAATTGTCAAACGTTTTTTATAAACCTTTAGACAAAAGCTGATTCAACTTACCAGGATATGGACGACTGGTTGGGAGAGAGATTTCTTCAGGAAATGGAAAGGTGAAGCAAGCACTGCAACTCAGGCATATTTGCCTTTCACACATCATAAAATTTTTCTTGGCCTGAATCATAATCATGCTTTTATTTGTATAGTATTCAAGCGATGGCAGATCTTGCACGAAATGCTATTGAGAAAGAAGAAAGACTTCAACATCGACTTACCCTGGAAGATAAAGATTTCATCGTTGATTTGGTAAACGTTTGGCTATGTACAACCATTATCATAAAATGATTTCTCTTGCTGAAATATTTTACAAACCTTCAGTCATTTTTGTTTAATAAATATTTTTTTTGTTTCAGGATGTGCATGTATATGAGACTGCCAGCCCACCTCCTCCGCTCAGTCCTAAGGAAATGACTGAAAATCTCTATTTTACTGTTGTTCAACTTACAAATCTTTACAAACAGGTAACCATGTTATGTCTTCAACAGAATGTTACTAGAAATGATTCAAACAGAGAAAACTGTCACGATAGACTTAGCAGTATCAAGGCTCAAAATAGCGGCTAAAAATGTCTCCGGTAAAGATGATTAGTCATAGTAGGTTTTTCTCCGTGCTTTTTGACGTGTAGTTCATACAATGTGGCGCTTCAAGCTCTCTTTTGCGTTTTTTTTTTGTTTTGTTAGTTTGATTGCAGACTTTTGATTATGTATTCATTTGCACGATTTCGTGGATTTCATTTATTATTAAATATTTATTTCAGTTTGTCAAAGCTGCACCTTCAGGTCTTATATCATGTCAAGCATTTGTTGATATGTTTCTGGACCTTACGTCAACTAGTGTAAGTGTGGATTTTTTATTCTTCATAATACATGCAAGTTTTTCATTTTGTTAATGAAAGCCTTTCCTCTCCTCAACATTTTTGAGTCGTAGAAATTGATCACATTGTTGAGTTATTTTTTCTCGCACAAATCATTTTTTTATTGTAGTTTGGTATGGAAATGTTACCGGATTTGTGGAGTCGACAAACTAGTGTTCAACTTCAAACATTGGCTTCTCAAATCTCGCTTGACTCAGAGTTTGTTAATTGGAAAAGATTTTTGTTACTAGCATCCAGTCCCTTAGCAATGCCGTCACGTAAACAATTGCTTGACATGATTTCAAAGTTCAAGAAAATTGATCGCGAGAATATGCGATTTGTTAACGAAAACGAATTTTTACAGGTGTGATGATTTTCTTTAGTATTTATGAACGTAGAATTATGTAGAGAAAACACGCAATTCTTGAAATGTATCGGAACTCCTAGAAATATTACACTCCACCTCCCCATCTTACTTAGTGCCTAGTTAACGTTGACAGAATTATTCATCTAGATTTTAAAGGCTGCTTTCAATGAAGTTAAAAATTCTCTACTCGTGATGATTTTTTGGGTAATTTTTTATTAGGTGAAGTTGTGGTTTATGGAGGAAGATGATGAAGATAACAACAATTATCCTCGTTTGAAGCTTCTTAAACAGGTCAAAAATTTTGTACGAAAAAAATATTTGACTCCAACTTATATCATGTATTTACGATGTTATAATTTTCTATTTGTTTACTTAACATTGATTTGTGTTGGTTCTGTTTTTATTATTTTAGCTTTTTTTCAAAATATTTTGTGACTCAAGCAAAGTTCCGCCAGCGATGAACTATGAAGATTTTGTAAGTTTTAGCTGTAGTACCATGCACTTCGAGAAATTAATCATTCATTTCCATCTGTATCGCTACAGTAGCTATATATTTTCCGTCCTCAACTGCTTTTGAAAGTATTTATTCCCTCTGCAAATCTCCGTTTTTCAATCAAGGTTTAATGTATTTGAGTTGTGTTCAGATGTTGGTGCTCATGAGCGTAGTTTCGCACAATTGATTTAAAAAATGAAAGATAGATGAAAATCATTTTTCTTAAATAATAAAATAGAGACTTTGTCGTGGTGACAAATCTGAAAATAGTTCTAAATATCGCAAATACCATAGTGAATGGAAAAAGTAATATAATAAGTTGATAATTATAATCATTTTTCTGTGGAAAATATCTACAAAATACAACGAAATTACGACAGTTTGTGCAAAAGGTTTTGACCGAATGGTTTAGGATACCTAGCTACTTATAGTTAAAATGTTGCTATCTTGAGTCAGAGCCATGAGAAGAAGATGTTTGATTGCATGTACAACAACAATATATGTAGTTAAATCTATCATCTTAACGTTAATTGTTTGTTATTCACGGTTTCATGTATCTTTGCTTTTTTTTGTAAAGCTTTTACACTTTTCAATGGATGAGAATCCTGTTAAGGGTTTATTGAAGGCATTGATGGTCGTTTGTCGACAGCACTTGCCTTCATTGTCATTTTTTCGAAATGAGGAAAATCTTATGAAGGATGAAGAAAAAAAAACTCACCCTGTCGCCAAGGTTTTTATAGTTTCATTGTTTCTAATAATGTTAAAATAAATCTTGAGATGGAAAGATTATTTTCATCAAAGCTAAATACAACATCTGTTCCGTTTAATGAAGTTTGTTCACTTTTTGATTGAAATTATTCCCAAATTATTGTATGGTAAACATTCAAAAAGCTCATTTTCACTTAATGATATTACAAAGCCTTCATTTTCATTTTATGTCCTATATATTTGCACGTGTAACTGACGACTTATTACATTCAAATTAAAACAACGGTTGAGCTAAACTGGTGATTTATGAAATTCGGCTATTGTATTTTTCTCTAAGTGTAATTACCGAATATTTATAAGCTGTGTTTATTTAACATTAAATTTCGATTTTTTGTTTTTCTCTTTTTGATCTTTTGCATTGTTTAATTTAGGTAACCGCTAATGTACCTGGAGGTAATGCCAAGATAACCTTAGGAAACTTAGTTAAGGTAAATGAAAGATAAACGTTTCTTCTTATATTCTCATATTTTTGTTTCAATTTGCTCGTCAAAGTATCAGCAACGTACATACATGTAGAATTCATAACATTTCTACATAACTGAACATTTCTACTGAACTGACTTTCGAATTTTCACTTCTGCAGGTGTTGCGTCATGGAAGCAACGAATCGATCCACGAACAGCGTTTTAAAGGAGCATCTTCAGAACTCAAACCACTGTCGACGGTTAGTTTCACTATGATTTTACATGAATACAAGCCTTTAAAATATTACACACGTACATTGTTGAATTATAAATTTTGTTATAATTTTAGGAGACCTTAAGTGGTGTTTATGTTGAATTGGGTGCAAATGACACAGCTTCTTTACCATTTCATGTTTTATATCAACACCCAATCATACAAGACTTTATAAAAACATGTTGCAATTATAAATATCACGTGAGTTTAATGATTATGATGTTTATTGTTATGTTCTTTCAACGTCGTGAATTTTGTTTTTGTTTTGTTATAGAATCTTGAAAGCATTTTGAAGTCTGACAGATTAGAAAGATCGTCCTTGGGTGAACCTTGTTAATGCTCCATAATGTTTAAATAATGTTTTATGCACAACATGCGTTTATATATATATCGAAATTTATCTTCTTTTGATATCGTTTTTAACTTATTTAAATGAAAATATATAACTATAAAAATAGTATTTTCATGTGTAACAGCTCTGCTTTTTTATCTACTTATTTTACAAGTAACGTCTTGCAACCAATGCTTGCAGCAATGTTTTTCTCTCATGAAAATTTTTACATCCTGATTGAAGACGTTCAAGCAAACTTTCATTATGTCAATGATGTCATGGCTAAATCTAGGTCGTTTTAGTAGATGATAAACAGTATCCATCATTGGCTTAAGCTAGGTCGTTTTAGTGGATGATAAACAGTATCCATCATTAACTAAATCTAGGTCGTTTTTGTTCTGTTCAGGTGCCATGCATGATGCATGCTTGGGCTACCATGTCTCTCCAACGTTGACGGTTACGAGCACAGGCAAAGATTTCTGCAGTGTTGGCGATTCCGGTAACTTTCTTAACTCTGTCCAAATACGTTATGCGTTGACGGCCTCGTGCTCTTTTCCCTTCGATTTTTCCTTGCAGCGCAACACATTCCAGGCCTTCCTTCCGAACTACGTGGCCAAGAAAACGAAGTTGTCTCTCGATTATTACGGAGAGTAGTTCTCTCTTCACACCGGCTCTTCTCATAACCTCTTCATTTGAGACGTGATCAATAAATGACACTTTCAACATCCTTCTCAAAAAAACCACATTTCTGCTGCTTCTAAGTTTTTCTCCAGGTCAGCAGTTAGAGTCCAGGCTTCACAGCCGTAAGTCAAGATTGACCAAATGTAGCATTTGAGTAATCGTATTTTGAGTGGCATTGATAAGTTTCGGTTGACAAAGATGGATCGCAAATCTTGAAATTTCAATTTTGCAACAGCAATTCTCTTCTTCACTTCCTTTTTGCATCTCACATCGGTCGTCAGCAGACTTCCAAGGTAGTTGAAGCTTTCCTTCTCCTCAATATGGTCGTTGCCAATTCTCAAGTAACAGTGGGGCTTTTCTGCAAGTTTGCTGACTACCATCGATTTGGTTTTATCACAGTTGATAGTCAGGCCCATTTCAGCGCTCGCTTCCACAACCTGGTCTAATAGTGCTTGCAGTTGTTCTTCAGTGGTTGCAATCAGGTCGTTTTAGTGGATGATAAACAGTATCCATCATTAACTAAAGCTAGGTCGTTTTAGTGGATGATAAACAGTATCCATCATGGCGAACAGAACGGTAACTGACGCCAAAACTGTAAAAGGGACAAATCCTCAATATTTGGTGGAGAAAATTGTTCGGACAAGGATATATGAGTCTAAATATTGGAAGGAACAATGTTTTGCGTTAAGTGGTAAGTTCTTAATTCAAATTGCATATTCTGTGTGAATTTTCAATTCAGTGAAACCTTTTGGCTCAATTTTACATAATTAATATTTGAAGTAATATTTCTTAGAAGAGTTGATAGTCGATATAAAACACGAAAGCTTGATTGATTATTCAGATGGATATTTTCAATGGCAAACAATTCAATCCATTCTTTTCCAGCTGAACTTTTGGTAGACAAAGCGATGAATCTTGAATACATTGGTGGAACATTTGGGGGCAATATTAAACCTACTCCATTTCTCTGTCTTGTATTGAAAATGTTACAAATTCAACCTGAAAAGGAAATAGTGGTTGAATTTATCAAAAACGACGATTACAAGTAAGAGTAAGAATTGTAGTATCATCTATGAAGTAGAGAAATTGTTACAATGTCAGTCTTATCCTTGACGTTGACCTGTTGAGAACATATCTATTGTTGGTAAATATTGCACCACTTAATTATCATGCCTAAAATTGGACACTTAATTATTTTCCAATCTTTAATGAATTTCTAGTCTCAAAAAGTTAAGTTTCTTTATGACTGTTTTTTAGTGGCAAAATACGTTATTAATTATCAGCAATTTATACCTGATAATTTGATCATTCTCAACATGTCATGGAAGCAAACAATCAAACATTTATCTGTCTTACTTTAATATCGTTTACGGATTAGTTTTTTGCTTTTCATTTATAACCTTTCAAAAAGCAGTGTTTTTACTGTTGCAAAGAAATGGACTTAAGTAATTTCATTATAACAAAACCATGCTGATAAATTACTATTAATGTAATTTTTTATAATTAAATAGGTATGTTCGAGCTCTTGGTGCTATATACATGAGGCTTGTAGGAACAGCGCTAGATGTTTATAATTACCTGGAACCACTCCTTAACGATTATAGAAAACTAAAAGTAAAAAATAAAATGGGTGGTAAGATATAATCGTTAAGTAAATATGAATTATTTAACGATAAAATAACATTATCATGCTCCCCATAATCATTTACAAATTTTTTTTATGTCAGTGTTTGAATTAACTCACATTGATGAGTTTGTGGATGAATTATTAAGAGAGGACAGAGTTTGTGATATAATTTTACCAAGAATTCAGGTATTTAAGCAGTTCTTCTTGTGAAATTGTAAAATTGAAAAATCAAATTGAATCCCTAGAAAGTGTCAAACTTTTTTCCCTTTTTTCGTTAGAAACGACATCTTCTGGAGAGTATTAATCAGATTGAGCCGAGAGTTAGTATATTTTTATTTCATAAATATTTACAATGTTAGTAAAATATTTTTGTGTTCATTATCATGTTGTTTTGCTCTAATTACTGAACTATTTTTGCAGCGAAGTGCTTTAGAAGATGACTTGGATGCTCTTGAATCAGAAGATGAAGAAGAAGAAGAAGAAGAAGAAGAGAAAGTATGAACTTTGAACATTTTTACATTGAAATTTACTTTGATTACGTTGAAAAAAACCAATTATCAATGTAATTTTATGCAGTCAACATTTAAATATGAACATTTGTTTTCAGGCTCCTTCTCCTCGCCATCACAAGTCACCCACTCCAGATAGACATAGAAAACGTCGACGATCCCCTCGATCACGGTATACTTACGTATATCGAATAAAGAAAGTTTTCATTATCATTTTTGCTTGTTTTCTTGTATATATTTTATCTTTCTAGACGAAGTCATTCGCGTTCACCCAGACGTCGATCTCGATCACCTCGAAGAAGAAGGTTATTTAACATTACGTATTGCTTTAAATGTTTTTATTTCTATGACATTCTAAATGATGTGGGATGATGAACAATTTGCCAGGAACATGTGTTTAGAGACCGTTTTCAACATTTCGATTTCATTCTTCAATCAGTGCAAACAAAGCGTGGAGCATAAATAAAACATTGTGCCATGATTTATGATCCTCTGGGCGCCAAAGGATACGGTCTTTGGTAGTAATTAAGACTGCTTGTAAACTATACCTTGAGTAGTAATGTATAGCAGATAATTCTTCTGGGCTATTGGATACGATTGATATGCATCGTAGGTAAAGAGATGAAAACTATTTTGTTAATTATAGTTATTTTTTTTGTTCAAGTATTTCTCCACGTCGTCACAGACATCGAAGTCGAAGTCGTTCGCCAACTCGTCGTCATCACTCGCCAACTCGTCGTGACCACTCGCCTGCTCGTCGTCATCGTCGTCGTTCACAGTCTCGTTCTCCTTCACCGCATAAATCACGAAAGTTGAGTAGACGTGGAGGAAAAACAGAGATGAGTCAAGAAAGTTTGGAAATTGAAGAAGCGAATGCATTGAGAGCTAAACTTGGTCTTAAGCCTTTAAAACCTTAACAAGTTTTATAAAATCATTTATGTACAGTTATTGTAAAACTTGCCAGGTTTTCTTGTTGTATCTTGAAAGTTTTATGATATTATATCATGGTTTTTATGATATTTTAACTGTTTTCCTCGATATTGTATAGGCGTTCATTTGTCTGAATATATGACTCTTTGGTGTAGATAATCTTCTCTCAATTGAAGAGTTTGCTGGGCAAATAGAATAAAATGCATGTAAAAAATGGTAAATTACAATAAAATAGTGATAAATAGTAAAAATTAAACTGTCATTTGACCGTTTATTTTCTCTTTTCTCTCTACTCAAACTGGATCACTATTGTATTCATTAATGCCAATGACTAGGGTGTCACCACATCCATCTCTGCAATTACCACCACCACTATCACCACTACCCCCACCACTATCACCACTACCTCCACCATCACCATCACTGTCACCACCCTCACCACTATCACCACCACCACTCTCACCATCTCCACCTCCACAATTACTATCACCACTACCTCCACCACTACCCCCACCACTATCACCACTACCTCCACCATCACCACCACTGTCACCACCATCACCACTACCTCCACCACCACCCCCACCCACATCACCACTACCTCCATCACCACCACTCACCACCACCACCACTACCACCACTACTCATGTAGCCATGTACCTAGTATAATTTGACAACAAATATTACAGATAACTATACGATCACATTTAATGTTCAACGTCTTCTATTTTACAATGATTTAACTACTTCTATTTATACAAAATTTACGTAAGATTATTTTGGGTTCTGCTAACAAATATGGTTTATTGACGTCAACGGAAAACTACTAGGAACTATAAAAAATATTGTCTTGATAACATTATAAGTATCTCTTAACATTAGTCATCTAATTACTTACACTTGAATTTATGATTTGCTAATCACGGGAAGAATATGAGAGCATATCTTAACACCCCCACCACTATCACCACTACCTCCACCATCACCACCACTGTCACTACCACCACCACTACCTCCACCACTACCCCACCACTATCACCACCCTCCACCCACCACCACCACTGTCACCACCTCCACCACCATTCCACCACCACCTCACACACCCACCACCTCACCACCCACTATCACACCACCACCACCACCACCACCACCCACCACCACCACCACCCACCCACCACCACCACACCACCACCTCCACCACACCCACTCCACCACCACCACCACCACCACTCACCCACTACCACACATCACCACCACCACCACCACCACCACCTCATCACCACTACCTCCACCAACACCACCACTGTCACCACCTCCACGTCTACAATTACTGCCACCACTAAAATGACCACCATCACCACTATAGACAAGGTCATTGTAACAGCCATTGTGTTAATTGAGTTGTCAAAAACATCAAAAAACATGGATGCTAAAAGTTATTGAACTATCAAGGAATTGAACTTCTTTTATGTTGGTTTTGATGTAGTACCTTGTTTACTATTGCATTGCATACTTAAAGTGCAGAAACACGAAGAGCATTTATGATATAATAGCAAACCTTTACCCTCATCTTTATTCTTTATAATTTATCAAATTGTGCTAAACAAGCAAGAATGTAAATATTGACAATATTGTTGTCACTGCATTCAATTTCAACACAATGACGATAAAAGCGCTAGCAAGGACAAGGTTCCTATACAAATACAACCATTAATAACAATAAATCTACTGAAGATATGTTCAAAAGAAATGTTGATGAATCACATATATAGTTTGGAAGCTTGTTGGCTCACTTGGTATATAGTAGTGGGAATTGTTCATAATGTTGCTGAAGATATGTAAAAATAACTACCAGCATCTTTCCTTTAGGACAAGGAATCTGATTTCTAAAGTGAAGAGGAAGCAATCACCACAAGAGATTTGCAGGAAGATACAAAGTGTACTCTGCAAACTTTGTATATACAGATGGAGTATTGTGAGAAGAGTACTCTATTGATAGAGGAGAAACAACGACGCTAGTTTGAAGATAGCTTTATGAAATTGAACGTAGTTCAAGCGCCTAGTGTACGCTTGAGAGTTTTGGATGAGGACCAATGAAAACACAAATGATTCCAAGTGTTTATGGAAATGTTCATTATTGAAACAAATCTCTAACTTTTTCATAGCTTTTTCTCATCCATGATTTTATGCGAAGAGAAAAGACGAATAAGGGAAAAGCCAATATACATATCAATGATTATTAATCATTAAATGTGCTTAGAGTGTTTGCTTAAATGTTTTCAAAGATTATCATTGGTTATCAACCATGATCCACTACACTGACCATAATGCATCACAGACGCACCCCTTCTTTCCGCCTGGGATGTAATCATTGACATATAATCATAGGAATATAACGTTAAATGTTTAACATAGAAGGTCACTTTAACATGATGAAGTCGTGGGTTGCTCAAGTCTCTTGTTTAGAGCAATTTCGCGATCCTAATAGTATGTATTCCTTCATGATGCCATTACTCTCACATTTCAATATTGAAAATGAAGGAGTTATAATCGACAATATTGAAGATTTTATTGAAAAGTATGGTACAGATTATTCAGTACTTACTGCTGACCTAGAACAGGAATTGCTTGTTCTCGTGAAAACTGCCGATCAAAATTTAAAGAAAAAGCCATTTTTTTATGCGGTGAGTTATGTTGTTTCAATAATTTCAAAAAAGATGCGAGTCATACGATTACGCAGTATAAAAAAGATATATCTGATCAGACTTTTATGAATGATTTACATTGAAGTTTTGGTTCAATCTACCTTTAAGGTGTTAAATGACAAAATGTGTAATGTGATAAGGTGCCGGAATTTTCTATTTTGATGCGTTTGTTAAAAACATGACGTTTTAATGATATTTAAGGATGATACTTGCGGACGAACGGAGGGACAAATGAGCTAATGTCATACAAAACTTGTGCTTTTAAGGCTCATATTTGTTTTTTCTGAAAAGGTGAAACGCGGATATGGTATAAAATAAGACTTTCTTGCGTTATTGTCAGCTGTAGTTTGAATTTATTTTGGATTTCTTCAGTGATGACAGAAGGCCACTTTACCACATTCCTCATTTACCCCGTAATGAATTCATAATAACGTCAAAAAATGCCTTAAATGTTCACTTATCCGTTTGCAAGTGAAAATGTGAACAGAGAAGGAAACGTTTCAAACTGTACATGTGCATAAACAGCATTTTTTTCACCCAATCAAAAAATCACGGCCAGTACGAACATTAAATGACATGCATTGTAAAGATTACAGTATTACATAAGTATTCGTTTGTGAAGTGTCCATTTTCCTATAGGAGAAGGAAATGTGCAGAAAGAAAAAATACATCATTTATTGCAAGCATGCATAGAGCTATTTATTTCTACAATTCAAAAACAGTTTTTATAAGTAAAAGTGCTTAAGATCTGCAGTGCTTTCTATCGGAGTTACAGTATATTTTAATAATATTTCATAATAAGAGTCATATATTACTAAACAATGCATATCATTTCTAAACTTTATCCGGAATCCGGATGGGTGTTTCAAATAGCTTACTACGTACCAACTTTCTGAAGAAGCGTGAAAATCTGATTTCAAAAGCGTCAAAGCTACGAGATGACGTAGCTTTGAAGTAAGCAGTGACTTGTGGTTTTCAAGCCACCTGACCTTAAACACAAAGTACCAAAGAAAATGATCTATTTTTGCCTTCCCTTCACTGCTGTGACGCCGGGTAGATTTTTCATTGAGGGAACAAAACACCCCAAAAATGTCACTTGCATATTTTCTGCACTGTTTCATTTTACTGACATTTTTAAGTTTCATATACAAAGACCTTAGTATGGGAAATGTTAGGGGAATTCCCCATCCCTGGCAGTGCCAGTGCTTCGCTGACTCCCTTTTTTGTCAGATTCACACTCATATCACTGACTCTACTATGCAATGCTGACTATTCTCACCTGATCTACACACACTTCATCATAATTCTTTCTTTTCAAAGATAGAATTCCCATATTTTTGAGATTTAGTGTTGCTTACTCATTTGAATGTTGACATTTGACTCAAAACACACAATTACGCACGAGAGTATAAAAACATGATAATAGAGAAAATTGTCATCTAGTCCAATTAACTCCAGTGTGTTAGCCCGTTTAAAAACCACTGGTCACTTTGCTGAATTTGATGACTTGAAAATCGTGTTCCCTTCCTTTAACATATACAAGGTATTTATGCACTAAAGTCTACTTATTTCGAATCTAATCCAAGTTTTAACGTCCAGGAAAGTTTTATTCTACTAAACTTTATCTTTGAACTCTATTTTATCACTTAAAGCACCAAAATCACAGTACATTATCATTAATAGTAGTGCATTGTGCTGTTTTGTATTGGACATTGAGGCGTGTTTCAAACGTCAAACTTTACATGCCCCAGACGCATTAAGGACAAAAGAAAATGAGATGAAGCTGATGAACGTTCTCATTATCTTTGTTTGAAATGCATTCGGGTCATGTAAAGTTCGATGTTTGAAAATGGACCTGAATGTGGTGCGAATATGGTATCTTATCTAATGGCATATTTATACAGTTTCTGTTCTTTTATTTGTCTTAGGCACAAAGATCAAGTGCAGTTCAAATGTTATGTATTCACTTTAATGATCTCACGAAAGTTGAGAAAGTATTGTCTAGGAAAGTTGATCATGTGAAAACAATATTTCTTTTTAACACAGGTATTAGAAAAGTTTTTCACAATGTGAGTTGTGGATCTTGATCTCAGAGAATATGTATTTTGAAATTTTTATTTCTGTTTAAAATCAAAATATCTATGCTTAATTTGCTATTATTGTTTGTCTTTACTTTAGGTCGTTGTGGGTCCACATTACTGTGCAAGGCACTAGATAAACTCCCAAATGTGCAGTCAATATCAGAACCGGATATATTCACTGTATTGATATCGCAATATGGCAAAGAAATGCCTCCTTTTCCAAATCCTTCAGTCTCCAAAGAAATTTTACTTTTAGTTACACGTGTTGCTACTAAGCTACTTCATAATTACTTTATCCACCGGGAGCCACTTAAGACGCATATTTGTTATAAATTAAGAGCACACATAATATATCGAAGCGAATTGCTTATGAATGCAGTTCCCAGTGCAAGAGGTTTGTACATGTATCGTAATTGTTTGCCCTTTGTTGAATCGTGGATACGTATTACGACAAAAGGAAGCTATTTTCTTTATTGGATTTTAACTTCATTACGCCTTGATGTATTTTATCTTAAGTATCGGTTGGGCCATAACTCTACATTTTATGAACATCTCACGAAAACTTCTATGAATGAAAACAGCTTATTTCGACAAGGTTTCATCTGGTGCTTTGCTCATTATTGGTGGAAAAACATCCAAAAAGCTTTAACAATAATAAAAAGCTCACCAAGGTTTTTTAATGTTGTTGTGAAGTATGAAGATCTTGTCCAAAAGAGAGAAGACTTGATATTTGAGATTGCAGTAAGCCTTGGTATTGAAGAAAAAGAAATATTGCAAAGTAAATGGTCAATTGCATCGGTATTTTCAAGGAATAGTCAGGAAGGCTCTGTTCTTTCATCCAAACGTGATCTTAATGATAACAATGATGTATGGTTTGGTGAATGGGAGAAAAATAAAATCAATAAGATTTTAAGACACTTAGGAATGGATGTAGATTTTGAACTGCCCTTCACAAATAATGCGTAGTGTTCTCTTTGGTGATTGCAAGAAAACCAAATGAAAAATGTTGAGATTTCGTACTGAGCTTTGAGCAGCTTATCATGGATATTTTTAAACACTGATTTTAGTCATATTTGATTCAGTTTTTTAACATTTATATTTGTAGTAGATAATAATGATCATAATAAAATACGTTTTTTTATAATAATTTGAGCAGCTGGTCAAGTGGTTAGACACGCGAGAGACACGCGCACTTCACGCGCATAGTAAAGTCATGAGGACCATTAGGAATTAGGATCACTAAAATTGACGTGTTTATTGGGAAGATTTTTGAGTTTAGTTTAATAAAATGTTTGTGAACAATTTATTAATCCCTTGTCATTATGTTTGCTTCTGTATATCACCAGTGTTCTTATCTGAATATCTTTGACAAATCTTTATGAGTTATTGCGATTCACAATGGCAGAAATATTTCGTTCGGCATTTGGTATTTTTGGTAGCAGTAAAGCCACTGAAAGTGATTTCGTTGGACAACGAGTTGACATCGCTTCAACTCAACTACGAGTGAAAAAGTTAATAGCAGAAGGTACATACGAATGAATTTCATGGCTGGTAATCTTAATTTTGAAATTTTTATATTTGGGACAGTCATAACGTAAAGAAAAAATTTTTAGGAGCCTATGGATTCGTTTTTGTTGCACAAGACGTTGCTTCCGGCAAAGAATACGCCTTAAAGGTGTACATAATATTTCATTGTTAATAAAACATTGTAAAAGTCTTGTTAACTTTTACTTCATCATTTTTTTCTATCACATTTAGCGTCTAATGGCTGCCGATGAGGCTGCAAGTAAAGCAATAATTCAGGAAATAACATTTATGGTATCCTTTATAAAATAAAACTCTATAAAGCTATTGTTTTAACTAGTTTATTCTAACATGATAAATCGTATCTATTCACTACTTGAGTTTAAGTACACAAAGTATTGACGTAGTCGTGTTATTTTGTGTTTTAAAAAATTTTAATAGTGGTATTTTCAAATAAAACAACAAAAATAATGTTCAACCTCCACTACACATGTTTGTATTCAACCTCCACTACACATGTTTGTATTCAACCTCCACTACACATGTTTGTATTCAACTTCCACTACACATATTTGACCTTAACTAGCTTTTAGAAACGTCTTCGTGGTCATCCCAATATTGTTCAGTTTTTAAACGCAGCCTCAATAAGTGCAGAAGAATCGGGAAATGATATGGCAGAGTTCTTGATTTTAACAGAATATTGCACTGGTATGTAAACATCGTATTTATGAAAAATGTGTTAATGAAAATAGTGCACTCAAAAAGCAATCATTTTCTTTAATTGTCTTTTTAGGTGGGCAGTTAATCAAGTGGTTTAATGACCGTAAAGGAAGGAGAATTCCCACAACTCAAGTTCTTCGAATATTTCATCAAATCTCACGTGCTGTAGCTCACATGCATAAACAGAATCCACCAATCATACATCGTGATCTCAAGGTAAAATTACAAGAAAGCATTGATAAATATTCAGTATTTATGTCCTGGTCTTTACCTAACAATGGTTTTTCTAAATATTAGTACGGTGAAATTTGTTTGTTTAGATTGAAAATTTACTGCTGAATTCAAAGGGTCAGATCAAACTTTGTGATTTTGGCAGTTCAACAACAAAATATTTGTATCCTAATGATGCTTGGACATCAGTTGAACGAAGTCTAGTTGAAGATGAGGTTAGTACAAAAAATGACAGGACAGTGTTATTGATTTTTTCTAAATATTTTATTTGTATGACAGCCTAATTACTAGACTGCACATTTATATTACTTATGATTAACTTAAGTGTAGGAATATTTTATAAAATTGTTTTAAATTTTCATCATGAATCATGTCTTTAAAGGTATTTTGATAAATAACATTCTTCATACAGATTAATCTCAACACAACACCAATGTATCGGGCTCCAGAAATGGTTGATATGTATAGCAATTATCCCATTACAACTAAATCTGATATATGGGTAGGTGATGAATTAATGAATTCATATTTTGTGATTGGTCAATAACCAAAATATGATTTCCACTCATAAATTGTTTTGATCAATTTCATGTTATAAATGTCGATTGTCCAGGTTGGTAAAGTCCTAAGAAGGACTGTTTTTGTTGTTGTTGACTGACGTTTCGACAACCTTAGCGGTAGTCATGTTCAGAGTCATTTTCATGTTAAATATAACATGATCTTTTAATTGAGATTGCTGCTGAATACTTTTGTTTTCATTCCTCTACAAATTAATGAAAGATATTTGCATTTCAAATCTTTGGCTTTTTTTATTGGCACAAAAGCTGCAAATTCCTACAAAATGAAAAATGCAATTGCTATATTTTTTATTATGTTGTTCCAATCCACAATTTTACATTTCATTAGTAGTTATGTTTATTGAAATAGATGTAATTTATTTAATTTGTGTAATATATGTATCTAATAATAATATGAATCCTAAACAATTCATAAGAATTCATATTATGATGTTTCTCTGAATATGGCTTTGGAATAAAATATGTATGTAATTTATGTAATATATGCAATACATATGATTGCTAAATACAAAGGATGCTAATGAAGTTACATAATGTTTTAGGCTTTGGGATGTTTATTGTACATGCTGTGTTACATGGAACATCCTTTTGAAGATGGGGCAAAATTAAGAATATTGAATGCAAAGTTTTGCTTGCCAGAAGTGGATAAAGAATATGATGTTTTCCATAATTTGATAAGTGAGTTACTCTGTCTTGATGAATTACTCTGTCTTTGTGGGATGTTGTACTTTCTGGTGGGACACTTGCAAGATATCTGTTTAAAATAACAGCCCACATTTTAAGCTGTACACTTTTTTTGTCCTGTATCAGTTTGTGGATTGACTTTTTTACAAATGTCACATCTCATTCTTCGATTGCCCTAGTGTGTGCCCCTTCCTACATTAGACTATCAGTGTGTGCCTCTTCCTACATTAGACTATCAGTGTGTGCCCCTTCCTACATTAGACTATCAGTGTGTGCCCCTTCCTACATTAGACTATCAGTGTGTGCCCCTTCTTACATTAGACTATCAGTGTGTGCCCTTCTTACATTAGACTATCAGTGTGTGCCCTTCCTACATTAGACTATCAGTGTGTGCCCCTTCCTACATTAGACTATCAGTGTGTGCCCTTCTTACATTAGACTATCAGTGTGTGCCCTTCCTACATTAGACTATCAGTGTGTGCTCCTTCCTACATTAGACTATCAGTGTGTGCCTCTTCCTACATTAGACTATCAGTGTGTGCCCTTCCTACATTAGACTATCAGTGTGTGCCCCTTCCTACATTAGACTATCAGTGTGTGCCTCTTCCTACCTTAGACTATCAGTGTGTGCCCCTTCCTACATTAGACTATCAGTGTGTGCCCCTTCCTACATTAGACTATCAGTGTGTGCTCCTTCCTACATTAGACTATCATTGTGTGCCCCTTCCTACATACATTAGACTAACTTGCCAAGTATAAAGCAGTTGGTTCACAATGTTTTGAGCAAATTAAGAAAGCTTGTAATCTTTTTTTCCTCTTTTTTAGATAAAATGTTGCAAGTAGATCCTACTGAACGTCCTGAAGTATCAGAAATTGTATCTGACTTAGAAATGATAGCATTGTCAAAATACATTGAATTAAAAGGATCTATTGTATGTTGCATTTAGTGTTGAATATTAAACATGTCGGAAATGCAAATGATAAACAATTAAAAGATATATTTTCATTTTTAGTTTGATGCAGAAGAAACAACATCAAAATTGGATGGTGGTGGTAATGAAACTTATTTCATTTTTACATATGAACAGCTGGTGCTTCAGTTTTCTTTTACCAAACAAAATTTGCTTTATGTACATTTCCTGCTCAAACATTTACAATTTTTTTGACAAATGCCGAGCAATACAGAACTGAGGAAATTTGTTTTCACTTTTTTGAAAAATACAACATTTCAATTGAACAAAAAACTATATGTATACAAGCGCAAAATATCTAATTTTATAAATGATTTATTCACTATAATTTACTATAATTTATTCTTCTGTTCTTATAATCATGTGAAATAATTAATTGTTCTCATGTTACAACAAAACATTTGATATATAAACAGTGTATTTATGCTCATGTAGATCAAGGACGTAATGCTATGTTTGGTGGGGTAGTTAAAGGAGCTGGAACAATCTTTTCAAACATTAAAGATATGTCAAATAAAGTTGTTCAGTCAGTAGCTGGGTAAGATTTTTATTGCTCTTGCATTTTTCATTATATAACATGTCAACAGACGAACTATGTATAAAACATTTGTTATAAATCACTTGTTTAAAAGTTTGAAATTATTATTGATGTTAATTGTTGAAGAGATTAATGTGGAAACTTTTCTTTGCTCAAATGGGATTAACGTTGAATATTTATTTTTTCCACCTTCATATCATGCACATGCACAACGTTGCTATAGTAATGAAGCATTTTTGATGACAATTATTCATCTTCCAAATTTCTACTTGTTTTCATTTTATTTTTTAGTTATGTTAAAAGTGATTTGGACATTTCTTACATTACATCTCGAGTACTTGGTATGAATGTCGTTATATTTTTGTCAAAATGTTTGTCTCGTTACTATAATATTGCTTTAATATTAAAAATAATCATCATTTATTTATACAGTGATGCCTATACCCGGCGAAGGAATTGAATCTGCGTACAAAAACAGTTTAGATGATGTTCAAGTATTTCTTGATACAAAACATCCGTCTAAATTTGTCATTGTTCATCTATCTCAGAGACCAACGAAGTTAAAAGGAAAAGTAAAGGACTTGTTATCCAATTGTATGTAATTTAAGTAATTTGTTGATAAGCGTTCGGTTTTTGTTTATTTAGATTCTTAACTGTGATTGGTCGTCGAAAAGGGCGCCATCATTGGATAAAATTTTTGTTATTTGTAAAAAGATTGTTACTTGGTTAAGAAATGATAAAAGAAACGTTGTTGTCATTCAATGTCAGGTATTTAGCTTATTTGCAAACCACATAGAAACGTTAGCAAGATGTTACAAGGCTTTTTCAGTTGTAAACTTTATCATCGTGACAAAAATGACAATTGAAATTATGAAGATTGTGTGTTTTAAAGTTAATTGAAACTTTATCGTACAACTAAGTTTCAACTTACACAAGATTCACGAATATTTATTGAGGTTTTTTGACGAGAAATTACTGATGTATAGGTAGTTTGCAGATCTACACATCAGATCGTTTAATAGAAAAAAAAAAACATTGAAATCATTCTCGTGAAAACATTGCGCTGGATCATTTGTAGTTAAAACAGATATATTTATAAATTTTCTTGACTAAGTATGTCGGTACATTTAATTTACAGGATGGCAAACTAACATCTGGTTTATTGGTGACTTCGTTATTCATATATTGTCATCTATTTATGTCTCCTGAATGTGCATTTGAAATGTTCAATATACGTCGTCAAAATATGTCTACAAGAATTGTACCAACGCCATCACAAAAACAGTGAGAAATTAATCATAACATCGTTTATTTACTCAATAATTTTTCATTATGTTGTTTTTTTACGTTTTTCCAGTTATTTCAATTACGTCACCCAGTTAATTAACGACACGAAGACAAGACCTCATAAATATTTTATTACGATAAAATCCTTTACAATGGAACCCGTGCCTTTGTTTAATCGTGCCAGGTTTGTTGCATTATTTCTTAGGCTAAATTATTATTACCACTTGCTACGTTTATTGAGGTGTCTTTGGACCTCATTAAAATTCAATGAAACTAGGATAATGAAATCCCGAAGCTCTTTTCAAAAGAAAATTTGCATTGACATTTGATATGACGAAATGTAAATGAAATATGTGCATACCTTTGAAGACTTTGTTGTGAAGTGTTGATAATATTATTGTTTTGTTAATTGTCAATAGTTAGATTGTTTTCTTATAAATTCTTGTAATTTTTATGTATTTACAAAAATATACCCAATCATTGTATTTAGTATACGCTCCCCGCGGAAATCAGCTTAGATTGCTGGGGTAAACGTGTCCATTCTATTCTACACTTGTAATTTTACTTTATATGCAATATTCCAAGTCGTCTTATCTTTTATAATTTTAGTTGTTTCATTCGTTGTTATATTTAGGAAAGGCTGCAGACCGTTTGTGGAAGTTTACAAAGATGATAAGAGAGTTTTGACGACTGCTCGTGAAATTGAGCAAATGAGGTTTGATTGTCTATTGTGTATTTAGTAATATAGCTACAGTTGTAATTTTAGTCACTTGTTTGTTTTCCTTTAAACCTGAACATATTCTGTATTTTAAATCTACAGAGAGTTCACTACAGCCGATCAAAAGATTGATTGTAACCTTCCATTGGAAATTCATGGAGATGTGACAATATGTGTGTATCATGGAAGGTCAACATTAGGCGGAAAAGTTCAAGGAAAACTCACATCAATACCTATGTTTCAAGTGCAGTTTTATACTGGTTTCATTGGAGTAAATGCCAAAAAGATGGTTTTTATTAAGTAAGTAAAGTTTCTAACTTTTATACCAAATGTAACGTGAATGTAACTTTTATACCATTTTTTGATCTTTTTTTCTCCAGAGAAGATATTGATGTACTTGATCAAAATAACGTCAATAAGTTTGCAGAAAACTTCAGTTTTACGTTAGATATAGCCGTTGATACCAGTAAAAGCAATGACGTAACACACGCATGGGAGTCTGGGGAGAATGAAAAGGCTACTAGACAACTTTTATTCACGTCATCTGAAGAATATTTGCAATGTCAAGAAGACTTTGGTATGTTTTCGTATTTAACAGCTTATTTACTCTTTGATTTTTATCCTTTCATAAATTATTTCTCCGTTCCTTGACAATCATCTGTCCTTTTAAGTCGTTTAACATCATCATCAAACACCTATTATACCCTTCAATCTCATGCTATCCATTGCAATGACGTATAATAAATTAATATTGTTATTACAAAGATACCTATGGATACAAGCAGAAAATATGAGCTGAAAATGTCGTCTATAAAATTGTCATTTTCATGAAATTTATTTTTTACAGTGCTTAGTGACGATCGTGAAATGAGTTATAGAGATCAGTTTGAACTGGAAATAAAATCGCGGCATGGAAACACGGAAGCTATGAAAGATGACGTAATTAATACTGATGATACAGCTGCTACGAGTCAGGAGAAAAAACCTGTTTCATTTTTTGATAAACTTGACTGGCAAGAAAAGGCTGAACCGTCGAAGAAGAGCGATAGTGATGATGAATGGGATACATTACGAAGTGGAAACATAACAAATAATGATTCGAAACCATTTGATTTTTTTGGTGAGACGAAATTAGAGAATGATGCGAAAAACGGTAATTTTGATCTTTTTAATGTAAGGGAGAAAAATACCTTTGATAATGATGGAAGTGCAGAGGAGGATTTATTAGGTTTACACGACACTATTGATGACGATGAATCATCCAATGCTGAACATCCGAAGATTGAAGAACAAACGAATTTTAATCTTTTGAATTTATCCAATGATTCCAAACCTGAGGTCGATCTGTTGGGATTAAACACCGAAACCACTCAAGAAAATACGTCAAAAATTGAATCTAAAGACTCGAGTGATATATTCAGCCATTTAACAAGAAATACTCAAAAAGATTCTAGTCGTTTGCCTCAAACAAACTTGGAACAATCTTTTGATGTCTTTAACAGAGAAAAAAGTGAAAATATCGATGTATTTGGTGTGTTCAAAACAAATGTTTCTGACGCGCCTCTCCTTACTCCTCAAGTTAATACTTCATGGAATCAAAGTAAAACGGAACCAAGCGAATCATCTTCTTACGATCCTTTCGCTGATTTAGGATCTATTGGGAACAGTAATGGATCAAATCAACGCAATATAAATATTGGTGTTAATTCTCAAAGGCGATCTCCTAGTCCAACTCCCACTTTCACCCAAAATAAATACAATTCACAAAATGGAGCTCGTCAAAATTCTCAGAAGCCAAACTACGCTCCAAGTTATTCGTCGTCGTCAGCATCATCAGTTTTTGGATCTTACGGTCTTCGCGATGGTTATGGTATGTTATGACTTTTAAAGTTTTTAAATTATTAATAGTCAATGATTTAAAAAAAACGTTCCCACAAGTATAAAGAAATTGAGAATTTTTATGTACGTACAACGTTCATCTTAAGCTTTGTTGTCCTGTGTTGTCCAGGTTTATCCTTACCTTAACCGTCTTCACCTTATGTTGTCCAGGTTTATCCTTACCTTAACCGTCTTCACCTTATGTTGTCCAGGTTTATCCTTACCTAACCGTCTTATCTAGGTTTATCGTTATCATTGCATTTCATTTGGTTGAAATTAAGGATGAAAATTTTATAAACTGAATGTTTTGGTGACTTTCGACAACATTAATCCAACACGTCTGTTGATTTGTACATTTGGGACCGGTTGCACAAAGGCCAATGGCGCTTTTCCAGTGGAAAGCAATAATTTTGAACACGTCAAAAGTCTCTTAAAAGGAAAAAATCTACGATTTGAACTGGACAATCAATGAAATAAATGGTTGAAGAATTGCAACGTTTCATTTTCGTAAAGTAAACTGAATACTTTTTCACAAGTTTGAAAAATCTATTATCCAATGGATAACTCTTTGCAGGCTACGTGCAACTGGCCCCTGAGTTTTATATTGTATATGTCTGTGCATATTTTATGTTTTACATTGCACATTTTATACTCCACTCTCAATTTATTTTAAGATGATGTATTTGTTATTGTCATTGTAGTGAATAAACCTGTAAAGAAAGACGAGTTTAGCGATATATTGAATTCTCATGGCTTTAAACCGACCTCATCTGAAGCTGGCTCAAATACGATGAATTCCTTGCGAAAGGAAGCTGAAATTGAGGATGATCCTGTTAAAGCAAAGGTAAAATGATTTTTTTTTGTTTTTGGATATCACTCGTTTTATGTCAAATATTCAAGAATGCCTCTACTAAGTATAATCTTGTTGTATTTTTCCTTTCATGGTGTACCCAAGATGCATATCTTACACACGAACAAAGAGAGACCCCGTTTAGTAGAATCTTTGGCTATAGTAATTTATCTATAATTGGTCATTATGTAGTTTTGTTTTAAATTTTTTTTCTACCAACTAAAAAAAATTTCTATCGCAGTGCCAAAACTTCATTTTGTGCCACTAATAATGGATTTAGGCCAAAAGTTGCTCATATGTACAAAAGGTATTTACCCACGATGAAAAAGTCTCTTTTTGACACTATTATTTTTTCATAGATTCGTAGTTGGAGTGATGGTAAACGTAAAAATATACGAGCCTTGCTTTGTTCGCTTGATACAGTTTTATGGGAAGACGAGAAACGGTGGAAGAAAATAGGAATGCATGAACTTGTCTCACCTGATCAGGTTTGTCATTTTTATCTTGTGAATAAACCATTTGAATGTGCTTTACAACCTAATGCTTTTGAACGATGCTACAACTAAATTTTCGTAACCTTTAACTCCTGTCATCTTTCATTATAGAAAAGCGTGCTTCACATTATTTAAAATTTATGTTTTTACAAGTTACAATATAAACGATGCGTTTGTTTTTACATGCGCTGAAATAACTGATGTCTAGAAATTTAGCCGATTTTTTCTTTTTGAAGCTTTTTTTCTCTCTCAAGAAGGGGAACTTCGGTGGAAATTTACCTTATTCTGATGGCGTTTTTTCAAGACTTTCTATCTATGATAACGACTTAATCAGCTAGAATTTTAGTATTCAGTTTTAATTTGTTAAATTTTCCAGGTCAAAAAATATTATAGAAAGGCAGTTCTTTCTGTTCATCCAGACAAGGTCAGTTCTTATAAACTTGATACTTAAAGTTACTATTTACACATTTAACATTTACTCTTTAACTTGTGCCTTTTTTTACACTTTTGTAGCTAATTGGTACACCCCAAGAACATCTAGCTAGAGCAATTTTTATTGAATTAAATGAATCATGGACAGCTTTCGAAGAAAGTGGAGCGAAAGCACTGTATTAAAAGGAAAATTAAGAAAAACTAAAACTTTTCATCCAATGACTTAATCAAAAACATTCGCGCAGAAGTTGCATCGTTTGATTGTGAAGACTTGTGGACATTTGCAGATACTGACCTTGTGTCTATGAGCAGCTTGAGAACATAGTTTTTGGTATCTACAACTGCGTTCGTGTAATTATCAAATGTTTATTCAAAGGAAATATGTAATTTGAAACTGAAAGTGTGTTTACGTCTCAATTATAGATATTTTTATTGTTATGTTATATGGAGGACCATTGTGCTGCAGTAAATTCTTCATGGATTCAACTAAACTCATTTCATGGGGTTAGTCTCTCTCAAAATAGACACTCTACTGTGTAAGGGTTTACGGAGTTATTTCAACGCATACATCCATTTGCTTAACGTTATAATAAGCATATTGTATCACATGCCTGTATTTCTGAGTTGTTTTACTGTTTATCTTAAACATCTCAATGATCACGCAGATGATGACATTAAAGATTTCGCTTTGCAATCTGCAAACTGTTAAAAAGGAGCAGTTTTTAGCTTTGATGAAATGCTCTTGACATATTGAAAAATAGGCACTTGTAAACTTGGAAAGGAATCCATCGGGCTACTGGTTAAGACTTAAAACAATAATTTAATTTTAGCAATAGGAAGGGCACAGTTGAATATAGGTTATAGACTAAATCCAGGATCAGCCTAAACTCATTTGATCAATAGATGACATGTTATTGCATTGAAGAAGAAATATGTAAATTAGTTTCCTCAATTCTGACATACTTTAAAGAATCTTGTTTATTTAATAAGTTTTTGATTTTTATAAATTAATTTTTACATCAAATTTCAAATATAAAAAATAGTGCTGAACAAAGAGCATTACATTATAACATTCCATAGGAATTACAATCAATTCTTCAATTTTATATTGACAGTAAAGTAAGACCGTGGTTTTCTTTCAAAAATCTGTAGCGAATTAGTTGGTTTTGGTTTATAGTTGTGCCATTCATCTTTTTATAACATGGATTCACATCATTTTCAACTAGAAAGCAACTTTCTTGAGTCCACTTCCTTCACATATAAAGAGCCAAGTGATATCTTCAACCAATCTTTAGGACTGATTTTGCTTCCTTGTATTTTGTGTAATTTAGCAGTACCTGAAGGGCCATGGAATCTTCTTCAACTAAGGCTGTTGAGTTCTACAAGAAACATCCATTACAAAATTTTCAGATAAATGAAGCAATATTAGCAGACTATACAAATATTGACTGAATAAGATTTTTGGCCTAGCATTGAAAATGCACTGTTATTCTCACAAGAATACACTCCTCACTCAGAACCTTTAGCTAACTTTGTATTCATTAACTCACCTGAACAAGAACGCAATGATGAAAATCACTTGGATTATCGTCGCACAAGTATGTCAATACTTCAGCACGGTCAACTTTAATCACTTGGATTCTGTTTTCACAACAATAAGCTTCAATAAGTCGACAAAATACATGATTAGCTGGATCATCTGATTGCACTAGTACACAGAACTGTACATCCTTAACACCACGTCTACAGAAATATAAACAGAAGAATTTCTTTTAACATACAAACATTCCATAGAAATTGCTGCAAGTTCCTCTAAGGTTGGTCAACGTGTGGGTTGAGTATTTGAAAGAAATTTTTATAGTTGCCCGTAGATACTGAAGGCGTGAAAATTTTTATGTTTTACACCCTTTTGTAACAACTACTATATTTGAATAGCCACAAATAAAATTTTGGTGCACTTTTAACGCTCCAACTCTGGCAAACTAAATTTTTACAAGACCAACATATAAAGTACATCAATAAACAACATAGTTAAAGTCTCTTACCTTCGTAAAACCTCTGCTGCCGTATATACGCCACAAACTAACTCATCTCTTTTCTTCGCCGAAGAGAGCACATCATAAAATGCTCTTCTTATACATCTCTTGCTATATCTAAGACATAATGGCATATATCAGTATCACAACAATCAATTACCAAAAGTTGAAAGAACACCTTATTACAAGTTTTGAGATAAGAGAAAACATAAAATTATTGCTTACTTGAGCACTAAGTCACTCTCTTCTATTCTTTTCATCGTGGTAAATGGCAATTATAATCAACAACAGACCAAATGTATCGAACGCAAGCCGAAGAACAACTTTGATGATAAGTCTGTCACATTCTAACAACTTGCAAACTGATGGCGTAATTAAATAGCAAAATGAGGATATTAATTAAGTACGGGAAATGCAATCATGGCGTTTTGAGTCATGATTGGTTAATATAATTCGTATATACTTCTGATTGGTCGAGCCACGGTTTATACAAACGGAAAAAGCCCCATTATTGAGGGAATGTTGTTCTTATCCGGGGAAATCCAATTACTTGGGGATGTCCAATGATGGGCAAGATAAAACATGTTTATGTACTTACACTGCTCTCCGCCATACAAATGTAATATTTATGTGATTTATGAATATTAATAGTTCACTTTATTCATCTGTTATCACAAATTTAAGAATAAAATCGATTTATATTGACAAACACGTAAGATAAACAATAAAGATTAACTCCGGGTGCAGATGCATAATGCTCGTGCGATGTTAAAGATCTTGCAGATACGGTTTCTTAGAAACAGCGATGAACGGAAATACGTTTTTCCTTGTTTCGTATCGTTCCAGCCCTGTTTAAGCAAACTGAAGCGATGTTTCATTAAAAGGGGTTTTCCAGTAGGCCGTAAGTCGTGTGACTGTGATCAGTGATGGGTGCGAAATTCACACTGATACAATTATTCTTAGACTTCAAATGTTTATTAAACTAAATATCGCGCAAAAAATTATAAATTATAAATATTTCTACACTAATTTACCAATGTAAAGTGTTCTTGGGTATTTTATCTCGAGTTGTTTCCACTGAACAAGAATCTGATCAGCAAAATAGTACAGAATTTTGGCTGATAAAGATAATGTTTCAACTCGACAAATACTTTCAATATAAATAATCGATACATGATGCATTCCCAGCACCTGAAAAAGAAATTAGAATTTTCAATTTCGATTCATCCGCAAGTTAAATTATTCATCATTCCTAAGGCTTGTGTTAATGGTTTATAGTAGACGATAATTTGCTTTGGATAAAAGAGGTGTGCTAGTTTTATATACGTCAATAAAACGTATTCGACACAACAAGTTTCCGTTAAAATCACCGTTTATATCCTGACTTTCCGTTAAATCACCGTTTATATCCTGACATACGTACTTAAAGACAATTAAAAATTTCGCCCAATTTGGTCCGCACGAATCCTCCGTTTGCAATATGAACACAGTACGGACACAATTGAATTTTTCAATCGGTTCTCAAAGAAAAATCTCAAAATATGTAACCTTGATAACAAGTGCAGCTGCACATATTGGTATGCAAGTCCCTGGTCCATTACATAAAATCTACAAAGAAACACAGTATTAAAGTAAAAATGTCAACAATGTCTAACTAGCTTCACACAAATTTTTGCCTGGTACTTCCATGCAATGTCTGTATAACTTTATGCAATATGTTTTGTGTGTTGTATTTTAATGCAATCTTAAGTTTTGTGATGTTGAGTATATAAACAAATATTATATTAAAATGAAACTTTGAAGTAAATCTAACAATACCATATCAGGCTTATGTTGGTAAACAATAGGGAAAGAAAACCAAAAAGATTTTAAGGTTGTGTAAACTGTAGATATCCATGGTTGGTGTACTTCACGACTTCTTGGAATGTTCTCAATAAAACACTATTTAAAAAAAAGTTTTTGTCAAGTTTTTAAAACTAATACAACATTAATATCAATAAGACTTGAAATTGTTAAAATGATGAGAATTTTGTTCACTTCTTGCTTTTCAACACTTTGGATTTTTTCTTTACTCATATCATCTGAATTTGCCACAATATAAATCCTTGGATAGTAAAATTTAGACAATCCTGAAAGTAATGTCAACATTTCCTTGGTGTGACCTCCTACATAAAAGAAGTCAGTTAAAAATCTTGAAAAATTCCATCAACTGACAACAAAACTTTAAATGACATTAAATGTCATATTATCAGTGGTTAAAGATTGAGTTTTAATCATTATGAGTGTTTTTAGCATCAAGAATTTGTTGTTGTGATAAAGTTGAGCATTGGTAAATAATTTAGGATATCAAAATAGTCATGAGGTAAAATATAGATGTAACTATATGTGTCAAATATAGATCAACTCAGGTTCACCAAACCAGGTTTACTAACCCAGGTTGATCAACATAGGCTCACCAAACCAGGTCCAACAACCCAGGTTGATCAACATAGGTTCACCAAACCAGGTTCATCAAACCAAATTTTTCAACCTAGGTTAACAAAACTAGATGCCCCAACACAGGTTCAGGTCCACCCTCCCAGGTTTATCAACCTACTTATGTAGGTTCATTAAGCCAGGTTGACTCATGGCCAACGTGGAAAGTAATTCAGTAAGACAAAAGAAAGTAAAATGAAAATCTTCATTATCTTTTACTTTATATGCATTTGGCACATGTAAAGTTCGACTTTTGAAACACGCCTTGGAGTATTTACTTATATGACAATTGTTATCATTACAACATAACAGGTACATATGAAGTCCATGTATTGACATTTTAGAAAACCGATTGCCACATGCAATGTTCAAGAGCATATTTTAAGTTGACTGAATTTCGCTAACCTAATAAAGAATAAAAAGCCTAAACCATGTTTCTTGGCTAGCCTAGAACAACATGCAATAAATATTGACATATTCTACCATGCAACAGACCTGAGCCTGCAACAATCATTGTCTTTACATTTCGTTTGACTCTTTCGTTCTTTAAACTTTTCTTGCGAATGAAAACCCAGTAAAATCTCAGTATAAAACAGAATATAAAGGCAACAAAAATAGTATAAACGACCAACATTTTTACACTACAGTGAGAACAACTGGGTTTTTAAGCAAATGTTGTCTCCGCTGGACATAGAGCTTGCACCTGCAGGCTCAGTTTAAGGATGAAGAATTTTGAAAAAGAGTTCTTTGACGTTTTTTGAACGTTTTTTTTTACAACAAAATCTATTTATTTTTATATTTCTTGTGGCGCACTTAAGTAAACAATGTGAAAACTAGTAAGTACACACTCATATTAATGAGTTCATTTGATTCAATGTGGGAATGTAAAGAAATATAGATTTTTTGAGGTGAAAATTATTGAATGGTGAAACAAAACAGTGATGTCTTTTTATATCACTTAGCGCTCAATTAAAAAATGTCTTCTGTTGCATATCGGTTTAATATGATGAATTCTGTTGAAAAAAACGATTGCAGAATGTAGAAATGTTAACTAAAATTACATTATTGAGGGAAAAAATGGACGTACGTACATTGCTTGGAAAAACGTGATTTTAATGTTAACTTAAAATTGGACGAATATCTTTATTTTGACTTTAAAAAATCTCTGCACGTTTCAAATTATATTGTATAGTGTTTTTCTCTGCATGCGGTGAATTTTATGGTAGTTTTTAATAATTGATGTTTTTTTCAATAACTTTTTTTGTTTTAGATTTCAAGATGACTTGACAAGAATAAAAATGATCCAGGATGAAACCACAGCAATTTAAATGTGTAAGAAACGAATAACACATTTTTAAAAATCATAATTTTAATAGTTTTAATTTGCAATTATAACTGAAAACGGCTTTTTGATTTTAGTTTTTCTAGAACAGAAGATCATGGAAACAGCATTTTATTGTTACTTATCAATGATTACATCCATCCTTTGTCTTGGTCTGTTTTTTTGTAGCTCCAAACTTTCACATTTCATTTCCTCTACTTATTTACAGCTTTCATTTAAAGATAAAATTAATTGGAATACCAGGTTTGTTTGACGTCTTCATAATCATTGAATTTATTTTTATAAATTACTATTCGTCTTAGTATACAATATCTCTTTAGAAGAATTTGGCATTGTGAATCTTAAACTCTACTTGCAATATTTACCATTTTTATAGTATTTTCATGATTAAGATCAAATGCAAATATCATTACATGTAATCCATGATTTTTGCACGTACATATAAACTATAAGAGGAGCACCATGATTAATTCAAGATTTTTGTAACATCCTTCATAAACCTTATAATTTTTATAGAATTACATCAAATATTCATGCTGTAGTTGTTACTTCTTTGGCACTCTATGCATTCTTCTATGATGAAGCAACTCTAGCTGACTCCTTTTGGTAATAATACTTGATGTTTTATTTTAATTATCTTGATATTTCATAAGTTGTATAAATGTAGTATGGTGTTCGCCATCGTTCACCATCACTACATCTGTCTAAATTCATGTATGGTGTTGACCACCACCACATCTGTCTAAATTCATGTATGGTGTTGACCACCACCACATCTGTCTAAATTCATGTATGGTGTTGACCACCACCACATCTGTCTCCATTCATGTATGGTGTTGACCACCACCACATCTGTCTAAATTCATGTATGGTGTTGACCACCACCACATCTGTCTAAATTCATGTATGGTGTTGACCACCACCACATCTGTCTCCATTCATGTATGGTGTTGACCACCACCACATCTGTCTCAATTCATGTATGGTGTTGACCACCACCACATCTGTCTAAATTCATGTATGGTGTTGACCACCACCACATCTGTCTCAATTCATGTATGGTGTTGACCACCACCACATCTGTCTAAATTCATGTATGGTGTTGACCACCACCACATCTGTCTAAATTCATGTATGGTGTTGACCACCACCACATCTGTCTCAATTCATGTATGGTGTTGACCACCACCACATCTGTCTAAATTCATGTATGGTGTTGACCACCACCACATCTGTCTAAATTCATGTATGGTGTTGACCACCACCACATCTGTCTCAATTCATGTATGGTGTTGACCACCACCACATCTGTCTCAATTCATGTATGGTGTTGACCATCACCACATCTGTCTAAATTCATGGGAAACAAAGAAGATAAACAAATAAACTTAAGCAATTTTTCTTAAGTTATGACAAGTAACTGTTGAATAGATACTAGTCAAGTTTGATGAAAATTTTCTTTATCTAAGATTTATTTCGTGTACGAAAATTGATTGTTAACACTAATATTTCTTATAGTACTAATTCAATAATTGTAAGAATTGGGATTTCAATTACTTTTGGCTTTATATTTACTGGTAAGAATGTCCACAAATGTTATTTTCTGAAAGATTTTCATTCTACTTAAGTGAGTTTGCAGGATAAATTTTCCTTAATCTTAATAATTTATTTGTTATAACCTATGTACGTACCTTCATAGAAAATTAACAATTTTTTAAGCATATTTTTTTGTATTTATATACTCTACATGATTTTGTCTATGTAGATCTCTCTTTATTTAGATCTCCTTATTATTCTGTGGTATTATGATTGTTTTCAAGAGATAAATTTTATTATTCATCATCTCATGGTTCTATTGGCATATTATTTTGTTGTGGTAAGATTATGCATTTTTATTCATTTTGTGTTCAAGTTAAGTAAAACATCCAAATATAGTTGCATCTGATTATTTGTTTGTCGTATAATTTATTCATACTACACTCATCAATTGTGTTTCAATATATTGTTGATCAATGGTTGAGTTGATGTGTAATCTCTTAGGGAAAAGGATATCTTTTGTTTTTTGCAAATATTCGTCAAATTGCTGAACTCTCTACACCATTTGTCAATCAAAGGTATGGTCCTCTTACGTACATAGTCACTTACCTCTGCAATTAAATCTGTTTTTACTTACAAAAAATTTTTGATCTGATGTCCAATAAAAATTTGTCACTATATTCAATTTAGATGGTTTTACCATATAACTGGTCAACCACGCCACTCCAGATTGTTTGTTCAGAATGGTATTATCATGGTTTTTGCTTTCTTTTTGGGTCGGATTGTGTTTATTCCATATTTTTATTTCAAGACTTTAAGTGTTTGGTCAGACCCAAAACGCATCGCACTTGGACCAGTTGTATCATTTCTTTGGATTTTTACCACCATAGTTCTGGATGTTCTTAATATTTTTTGGTTTTTTAAAATGATACAAGGTTGTGTTAAATTATTTTTTCCATATTTTTCCACAAAGTCTAAATGAATGAAAGATCAAATCTGAGTGTTCATTTACTGTGCTTGTAAAATGTGCTGTGATTACCACTAGTGTTATTATAAAAGCAACCCAAGTTGCTACATTATATTATAAATTATTGTAAACAGGATTTTTCAAAAAGGATTTTTGATTTGTGTTTATAGCAACAATTTTCCCATTTTATAAGTTTCTTATTGTATTCACACACAAGCCTTCATTTTCACTCATATTTACACTTAGTCTGAACCAATCTGAAAAGGTTAATTTACTAAAGATTTAAAATTATGTCTATATATTTTACATATTTTTATATGCTTTTATTTTTCACCCCTGCACCTCCCAATGTGCACCACCATGAAACAAAGAGTGAATGTTTAGTCTGAGTTTTTGTAGTTTTCAAAACTAACTTTTACTGCCAATTTCTTATCATCAATCTTGTACTTTTTACAGGGGTGATGCAAAACATTTTTTCGGGGAGGGAAGGTTTCGGACGTGGTTGTAAGACAAAGTAAAAGAAAGTTTATTGTTGAAACAATGCCCAGAAAAACTTACTTTAACTGTACTACTGCTTTGTTTTGCTAAACTTAGGAGGTTAAAATTCCCCTTAGAGGTGCAAGGAATTTATTTAAGGGGGATCTGACACTTGGTGGGCGCCCCCCTTAGAAAATTCGTCCATGGAAAATGTCATGGAATGAACTATTGAAATTTTTTAATTTTTTTACGTGCTTTTCATATTGGGTCTGAAAGGTTATACAAAAATATTTGACCACTAAAAATTATAAAAAAAACTACCATGTCAAAAATGGCACATTTTGTTTGATCAGTTCGCGGTACTTCGTACTCCTTTTCCCATTTGACGGTTAACCATTCCTCCGATCAAAGCATAGCAATAGCATTGTAATAGGGTTGCCAATACATAACAGTTATAATCTACATTGATACTTTTGATACAGTTGAAACTTGCGTATTACCTATAGTAAACTGCTATACTGTAATGATTTGTACAAAGAGCTTGGCTGAGTCAACTAAAACGATAGCGATAGCGAAACAATGAACAATAACTGAATAATGAATAGATGAAATGAATCAATGATAAAATAAAATGACGTCATGTAGCACGTGGTAATGGTTCCCGGCACAAGTTGCCTCATCTCATCGTCAGCAACATTCAAATGGTGATAGGATAAAAAAGAAATTTTTTATTGAAGGTTTAAAGTTTGAGTTTCTTCTTTTTATAAACTACTAACGTGATATTGGAATATGGCGTCGCAAACACCGTAAGTAAAATATTTTGGTTGTAATAATTTACGGTTCTTTGTTCACTTTATATATTACTTAGCTTGTATACAAAATTTCGTAAAAATAGATCATACTATCTTTTGAAATAATTTTATTGAGGAAATTATTCTGATTGATGTACATAGCAAAATGATTTAGATGACAACAATTTGTATTGCAAGCAAAAGATAATGTTTTTTCTGTTACTCGTGATAAGCTGTTCAGCATCTTTTGTCTGTGTTCTCTGAAAGGCAAGAAAAGCAAGATGAACTCGCCACGGCGATTTTGAAACAAAAAGCGAAACCAAACCGTTTGATTGTGGATGAAGCTGTTAATGATGATAACTCAGTTGTTACTTTATCTCAGGTTGTAAAAATCAGTTTTACTTCAATTTTGTCTTTTTGAGTAAGCATGCATACTATGTCTTACTACAATACTACATTATGTCATAGTTATAATTTTATCTTTTTTCATAGACAAAAATGGATGAACTTCAATTGTTTCGTGGAGACACAGTTCTTGTGAAAGGGAAAAAAAGACAAGACACAGTGAGTTTAGACTTAAAAGTTGAGTTAGATACAGAATGGTTAATGACTATGGAAATTACCATATTGGTGGAATTTATTAGGTAAATTATTTTAAATTGGTGAAATGCCTGAATTGTGACTTGGAATTTAGTGGGGGTTTTTTATAAACTTTGAATGATTGAAAGATTATGACTAATCAACATCACTGATTCAATGATTTTACTGAATAGGTTTGCATTGTGCTCAGTGACGACACATGTCCTGATGAAAAGGTCCGAATGAATCGTGTCATTCGACGTAATTTACGAGTTAGACTGGGCGATATCATAAGGTAAAATAACATATGATTATGTCTTGAATATAAAATAGTAGTATGTTCCCAAATATGAATAGGATTCATTTCTTTTTAAAACAACCAGCCTTCAAGCTTGTCCAGATGTCAAATATGGCAAGCGTATACATGTGCTTCCTGTTGATGATACTGTTGAAGGTCTTACAGGGTATGGCTTTCATAGAATATTTTTCTAATATCTTGATTACTTGAACCTGTTTGTCATAGTTATTTATGTTTAGTTATAGTCTAGTTAATACACAAATGCATTGATATACATGGTAAATGATCACATTGCTTTTATTTAGGAACTTATTTGATGTTTATTTGAAGCCATATTTTCTGGAAGCCTATCGACCCATTAGGAAAGGTAAAATTAAATTGATGATTTCTGTTATTTCACAAATATTATTACCTATTTTAATAGTGCATTATATTAATCTACGTAATCAAGTCTTTGATTGAATTAATGAAATTTCTTTTTAAGGGGATATGTTTCTAGTTCGAGGTGGGATGCGAGCTGTAGAGTTTAAAGTTATTGAAACGGATCCTTCACCATTCTGTATTGTTGCTCCTGATACGGTAATACATTGTGAGGGTGAACCCATAAAACGAGAGGTAATGAACTAGTTTAGTTATGTTTTATGCTTCAAACTGACCATGAAGTGTTAATGACTGAATAATATTTTAAACTTTAATGTTTTACAGGATGAGGAGGAATCATTAAATGAAGTTGGTTATGATGATGTGGGAGGCTGTAGAAAACAGTTGGCACAGATTAAGGAGGTTTGTTTTATACATTGCAATGATAAAGTACTAGAGATAACAATTAAAATTCTCAATGATAACATGATAACAAATGTCATTTTCTTAGATGGTAGAACTACCTTTACGACATCCTCAACTTTTTAAGGCTATTGGTGTTAAAGTGAGTACCTTTCACATTGATGAATGTTTTCAAACTTTACTCTAAACTTGAAAGTTTAAATTGATGTTTTAGCCTCCCAGAGGTATTTTATTATATGGACCACCAGGAACAGGAAAGACATTGTTAGCTAGGTATTTCATATTTTTATGCAAATACATATTATTCTTCATCCTAGGGACTACATATTTTATGAATATTTTGTTGACTGGTTATTGAAATCACCCATTTTTTTTACTCATTAAGAGCTGTTGCTAATGAAACTGGGGCTTTCTTCTTTCTCATCAATGGTAAATTTCTCATATTTTGATTTTACAAATAAATTTAATGTTTTAAATCTTCATATTTTTGTTACACTTAAGGTCCTGAAATCATGAGTAAACTTGCTGGCGAGTCAGAAAGTAACTTAAGAAAAGGTAAATTTCAATCAAGAATTATGCATTTACATTCAAATATTTTACATGTTTGAAAATTTTTGTTAAATTTTCATCTTTGTACTGACATGTGTGGTGACATCTTAACTCATTCGTGTTGTGTATAATCTTTTTTGAAAGTCTTAAATAATTATTAAATTTTTCAGCTTTTGAAGAAGCAGAAAAAAATTCTCCTGCAATTATCTTTATTGATGAGATTGATGCAATTGCTCCCAAGCGTGAAAAGGTCAGTTTGAGGGAAATATGTGAAGACTAGAGCTTTGACCATTCAATGACTAATGTATTAATTTGATACTTATAGACTCATGGAGAGGTAGAAAGACGCATAGTGTCACAATTATTAACATTAATGGATGGTTTAAAACAACGTTCACATGTCATAGTTATGGCTGCAACAAACAGACCAAATAGTGTTGATGGTGCTTTAAGAAGATTTGGTTTGTGTATTGCAATTGTTTGTATTAATTTGTTTGATTTTACAGCTACATTTGCCAGACATACATTAAATAGTTTGTTCTTTTTTCTCTCATGTCTTGATAAAATATTTAATTTTTAGGAAGGTTTGACCGAGAGGTTGATATTGGTATACCTGATGCAACGGGAAGATTGGAAATATTACGAATTCATACAAAAAACATGAAGTTGGCTGAGGATGTAGACTTGGAGCAGGTTTAGAAATTCATCAAAATTTGAAGACATTGTTATCTTCTTTTTTATTATTTAATAATTATTGTTTAGATTGCAGCTGAAACCCATGGTTATGTTGGTGCTGATGTTGCCTCACTGTGCAGTGAAGCTGCTTTGCAACAAGTGATTAATTGTTTTGTTTTTTTTTCTATTATCATTTCACTACTTAGATATCCTAACATAAAGAAACTCAAACTTTCACACCATTCAAATAAAGAGTGTATTTTGTCATACTATGGTTTCCATAGATACGAGAGAAAATGGATCTCATTGATTTGGAAGATGAACAAATTGATGCTGAAGTTCTTGATTCCCTTGCTGTTAACATGGATGATTTCAGAGTAAGTTGACTGATGTAGGTATGATGGCCATTGTATTCACGATGTAAATAAATATCTTTGATCTTTCTCTAAATCTTTAGTATGCCATGGGTGCATCTAATCCTTCAGCACTTCGTGAAACTGTTGTAGAAGTACCAACAGTGACATGGGATGATATTGGTGGATTGGAAACAGTTAAAAAAGAACTCCAGGAGTTGGTTCAATATCCAGTGGAACATCCAGAAAAATTCCTCAAGTTTGGTATGACACCATCAAAGGTGTTTTATTTTATGGTCCACCCGGCTGTGGTAAGACGCTACTTGCCAAGGCTATCGCTAATGAATGCCAGGCAAACTTCATCTCTATCAAAGGACCTGAGTTATTGACCATGTGGTTTGGTGAATCAGAAGCTAACGTTCGCGATGTGTTTGATAAGGTTGGTTGTAAGAACCATTTCCAGCTTACAATTTAAAAAAGTAGAGCAAAAAACAAATTCCGAAAAAACAAGTCATCTTGAGATAGCAAAATACATATGCATCAATACCAGACGCACATTACAAATCCTACGTACATTTCTATTCTAAATGTACGTACTTTGTTATCTTTCCTGAAAGTAAATTTTGTTCATCGCAATGCTGCAGGTCATTTCTTGCACTGTATAGAAATAAAAATATGAAATAGTTTAATAAAGAGAAGTTATCGTTGCTACTGTGAAAAATATCATATTATAAATGGAAATGTTTAAACTGCTCGAGAAAACCTAAAGAATGTTGAAAAACGATCCATGAAAAGTTTAGTCTAACTGTCAATTGTGTTACGTGTGTATGTAGAATTGTGTTACATGTTGCATGTGTTACGTGTATGTAGAATTGTGTTACATGTTACATGTGTTACGTGTATGTAGAATTGTGTTACATGTTACATGTGTTACGTGTATGTAGAATTGTGTTACATGTGTTACGTGTATGTAGAATTGTGTTACATGTGTTACGTGAAATTTTTTCGTTTCCAATGTTGGCTCAAGCCAATTGTATGTAGAAATTATTTATAATTTAATTAACAAAACTTTGTAATATTGTAATTTTACTGTGATTTAAATATTTTGAAGTTTTAACGATTTGGAAATGGTTTATTATTATAAAGAACAATTGTTTCGCATTATGATATGCTACGATGAATGATTATATTTTATCTTATTTTAACTTATTTTTGTTAAGGCTCGAAGTGCTGCACCATGTGTTTTGTTTTTTGATGAATTGGATTCCATTGCTAAACATCGAGGGGGAAGCGCTGGAGATGGTGGTATGTTTATTTAAGCAACCTTAATCTGTAATATTGATTTCCTTTGTTGTCTTGAAGCAAATGAATATTGTATTGACTAATGATTGCAACACCTGAAACTCATTTTCGTGAGTTATTTGAAACCAAATTTGAAATTTTCTTATTTGAAATGTTGGCTCATTTGCAAATTACATAGGGTCGTCTAAATTGCATTAAATGTAATTGTAGACGTTTCTTGTATTTCGAGCAAAGATCTCTTAAATAATCTTATTTAGGAAATTTGATTTTTGGATGTTATATTTGTATAAATAATCGGCCTGAGGTTTGTACATGTGCGAAGAAAGAAAATCTTTCATATATGATAATACCAAAGTATTTCAATATCAATATTAAATAGGTGGAGCTGCCGATCGGGTTATTAATCAAGTTCTCACTGAAATGGATGGAATGAATGCAAAGAAAAACGTCTTTATAATTGGTGCAACAAACAGGTAAATGATATAGTTTTGTGTTTAATGCTTATTATGTGTAATGTATGATTTTTTTGGAGGGTATCCTTTTGAATGGTTTTGTTTAATCTCTTCTACTCAGTAAAATAAATACTTGAAAACATACAGTGTAATGTTTCAATTTTCGTTTATTTTGTTTAGACCTGATATTATTGACGGTGCTATATTGCGTCCTGGGCGACTGGATCAACTTATATATATACCTTTGCCTGATGAATCTGTAAGATCCGTATATTTCATGAAGATTTTTGTATTTTAAGTTCATTTTGTTATACTTATAGATTATGCTTTGTTTTAGTCACGTGTGTCCATCTTAAAAGCTTGCCTTAGAAAATCTCCAGTAGCCAAGGTATGTGATATTGTTTTGTTATTGATTACAATTATTGATTATTGAACGTTTCGATCGTTGAATCTACACGTCCTTAGAAAAAACATCTTTTTTATATCCAGCTACTTTTATTCTTTCAGGATGTTGATATGAACTATATCGCTAAGGTCACACGTGGTTTTAGCGGAGCTGATTTGACTGAAATTTGTCAAAGGGTATTGATTACTTAATGTCTGTTTATGCCACCATTTCTAGCTTTTGATTTATTTTGAAGGATTGTTACAAGAATAAGATAATATTATACTTTTCTTACGTTTTATTCAATATCTACGGAACCAATTTATTTCTTAAATTCAATTTACTTCGTAATTGCTCTTTCCTTCCCCTAATCCTCTGTTCTTTCCTTTACCTAGCCAAAGTCAAGTAAATGTCGTTTTTGAAAATAATTTTAGGCATGCAAACTCGCCATTCGTGAGTCTATTATGGCGGATATCGATCGTGAAAGAAAGAGAAGTGAAAACGCTGATGGAATGGTGAGTTGTGCAGTGGATGACGAATGTGGAGTTTGAATGTTACAGCTTTAACTCATGCATTGCAACAGGATGTAGAAGATGATGATGATTATGATGCTGTACCCGAAATTCGTCGTGATCATTTTGAAGAAGCCATGAAATTTGCTCGACGTTCGGTTACTGATAACGACATTCGAAAGTATGAAATGTTTGCTCAGACTTTGCAACAAAGTCGTGGTCTTGGAGGATCCAATTTTAGGTATATGTCTTTTAATCATCATGTGTTGATGTACTGTGTAAAGGATTTACTCGTCAAAGGATATATAGGTACTTTGGGGATTTTTTATCCTACATTTGCCTGCCTGCTATGTTTTTGGTGTTTTTTAAGTATATAATGGCTGATTACTAATTAGTTAACTGCATGAAATCAGAATGTCCTGACTATCTCACATAACCGTATCTATTTGTTTTGATTTCTACTTCTTTAGTCGTTTTGGTTCAAAAATCCTTTTCTGTGTTTATTTCAGGTTTCCTAGTTCAACAGACGGTGGGTCAACAAATGAGCCTGCGGGCAATGCAGGTGGCAGCAATGCCTACGATGATGGCGATGATGATTTGTACAGTTAAATTATTTACTTTAGTTTTGTGTTTAGTACATAGATTAAATGTGACTACGTAAAAAATGCTTTGGAAGAATACTTCAGTATTTTTCTTTTTTATTGGGAATGTTATACAATGTGATATGTCCTCCAATTTTTCTTCATACAAACAAACAAAAATAAATTGCTTGTCTTTATTACAACAGCTACCCATTTATACTACGTATGACATGTTCACTTAACTGTCTTGAATCGTGACCTCATGATAAGTTATTCGTGTGAGTACTTCATTTAGGCCTGTTATATTGGAAATATAAGATGTCACTATCAGTCGGCAACAAACCAAAAGTAAATAATTATGGATTTTTAAGAATTGGTTTCATTTCTTTGGTCTTTCGTAAGTTATTCATTTTTTCTGTCTGTTTATCTAGTAGTTGTATGCATCACATTGCTATAAACAGAATTTACATTTTTGTAATTTTGTACTCATAGAATACTGGAGAATTGGGATATAACAAAAAAAAACTCTAATTATTTGATGGAATGGCTTACAATATTTGACATTTTTTCGAGGATAATTTCAATCAGAACCAACGTAAACTCTTGTGTGGTTCATTGATTATTGTTTTATTTGTTGTAAATTCAATAATTTTTATGTTCGAAATTTTTAAATTAGCGATCAAGATTGATTAATAAATGTCGACTTCAATATCATTGGTTTGAGTTTTAAAAATACAATGAATCAGTTGGATAACGAAGAAAGTGGGTTACCACAGAGTTCAAATCATAATTTAAGTATTGATACGACGCATCAACACCATCAAACACATGTAATACGAGATGTACAAACTGTTAACACTCGACAATTGGAAGAAATGGTTCCTGGTGATGACCAAACTGCACAAACATCAGATGAGGTTGTTCATTTGTCTGTTGGTAACTCTCAGAAGATTGCTTGGAATGATGAAGATGATGAGAAAATACCGAAGATAAACTGTCCAGAAAAAATTGTAAGTCTAAATTGGTTATTTTTAACAAATACTGTCACTGATGGACTTTTTAATATGCACTTATCAAGGTTGTAAGTCTATTTGTGTGTTTGCAGTGTATAGGACATTTGTTTTTGTCGGAAATTTGTCCCCGTTAACTAATGAATGAACTTCTATAATTACTGTTGAAATACCTGTACAATGTTTAAATGAAAAATCAAGTGAAGGACTTTGAAATAAGAATTTTATTATTTCAATGACTGTGCGCAAGGGGATCTCAGCATGGTCACTTAACATATTTATGTTCTACTGTAAACATCTTCTAGTCAATGGAAGAATCATGAGAATTAGGACTCTCAGTCAAAGGCTAGTAGTAGTTAGTAGTTTCGTATGGTCACACCTCCATGTGTGTCTCATCAAGCCAGCTTGCGAAGTTATCATCTGCTTTGTGCACTGTTGCGTAGCCGCCTTCAATGCGTGTGAACGGACATTGCAGGATGATATGGTCCATATTCTGGTTGGTGACGTTACATGATGGGCAAGTTGGCGAGTCTTTGTAGCCCCATCGGTATAGGTTGTTTGCTGTTCTGCCCTGTTTCGATCTTATTCGGTTACAAGTGCTCCATTGTTTACGAGTTAGCTTCTTGAAACCAGGAAGAGGGACATTTGTGGGATCTTTAATTAGATCAGCACCCCTTGGTTTATTTTCGTACCATTGTTCCTTCCATGTATTGTTGACGTCAAACGATTCAATCTTGGAGTTATAAAAAGGTTTTCATGATTTAAGTCTCGAAGTAGTTGGGGCAGACTGGATAATAGTTTTTAGTGGAGTGTCAATTAGTGTATTTTCAATGCCCTGGATCATCAGGTTGCCATCGTGCAGGGGCTTAAGTACTTCACTGAAGGAAAACTAAGAATGATCCAAACCCGGTCTCTGAACTTTGATGTCGAACTCCCGGAACCACACCTCCAAACTCATGAATAGTCCAAATACAGTCAAAGGCTAAAGCCATCTAACATTGCAGTCACCAAACTTTATCTGCCTACTTAAAACCATTATGAAACACCTGTTTTTCCCTTTTTCATTCATGGATTATGTATTTTTAGATTTTATGCTTTGATTTATCATCTGAATTGAATGAAGTAATTATCAACAGGTAGTGAATATTTTATTTATTAATTTTATACATTTGTAACAACAGTAATCAACTGTAAGTGCTCTTGCCTGCAAAAATGTTTATTAGCATGATTAAATATTGCTATATATATTTTCTATTGACTTGACAACTCCCCTGCATGATGCCACAAAAGTAAGTCATTCCAGACTTTAGGCATTGGACAAGGTCAATGAAAAATAGCATTTTTTCCAACCGCCATAAAAATGGCACAATTTGACCGAGCTAAAAATTTTTTTATATGTATGTTTAGAGCACTTTGTACTATTATTATGCAATTTTTGTATATTTGCAGGACAGTAGCATTTGAATTATTAAAGAAAGCAATTGAAATCTTTGTGAAACACAAACTTGGATTAAATAATAAACATGAATTTGCTATTATAACATTTGAAAAAGAGACGTTGTGGGTAAGAATTTGTTAACCATCATATTTTTCTATTTAGGACACTGTAGTCAGAGATTCTCTTTTTTCCAATATAAACATGCTATTATAATGTGTTTCCTATCACAAGGATCTCCTATAGTAAAGCAAGTTTTGAAAATTCCATTATTTAAAGATCCCCAACATCTTCTCCCTGTTTCACTTTTGTCAGCTGAACCTTTCTTTTTTGGTTTTTGATTTTTTCTCTGAATCAGCAAAGCATGCAGCTCCATTCAATCTAAGTGCAAAACTTTTAAAAAGTCATTGGTTATGCAATGCTTACTTTTTATGTCATAGTTTTTGACAATGGTCTTGTAAAAGTTGATGGTGGCCAATGTTATGTATACATAGAATTTGTTTATGCCCTGTGCATGGCCTGTGAATCTGTTGTTACAAAGTTGATGTTGTTATAAGTTGTGTTTGTGTCAAACACGTTGTCTGACATTTTAACTTATTAAAAATCTGAAGATGAAATAATTATTCATCTTGTTTTTAGGTACAGGATTTTAGTAATGATTTAGGTTTGATTTTGGATACAATATGTAGCATTCATCCAAACCAAAACGGACCATGCGGACAGTTTGGTATCCTTAAATACTTGTTAATCTCTCATACTTGTGATTATTTATTTCATTGAGAATTCCAACATCATATGACGAAATTGTTTTATGTGATAATCTTTTTGTCACTTTGTGTGTTTTCAATAAGTTTTTACTTTGATCTTTAACAATTTTACATCAGACATGACTTCATTTTTGGAAACTTTGTAAGTACATAAACATTGAAATAAAAGAACTTTAAATGTTTGGTGCATGGTGATCTTGTATAAAAGAATAACTTCCCTGTTTTTAGACTTAAATTTGTGCTCAATCAATTAAATGCAAACGAACTATCAAATTGTGACAGATCAATTCTTTAATTGAAGTAGCGTGTTACTTAAAAAATTATCTTTCGACAGAGAAAATCATGTTCCGTTACCAAAATCTTCAACGATTCCCGACATTCCTCCAGAGAACGTTGTTAGAGTTATTTTGATTTATGGAAGATCACACAGTGAAACACCAAACCTTAGTGATAAAAAAGCTCAACAGGTGTGTATATGCGGTTAATAAAGTTGACGATTGTGAATATTAACGATATTTGTTTATTTCAACAGTCATCTCTACGATGTTTTGCATTTATATTTAGATTTTCAACCGTTACACAGCTTGCCCTTTGTTCTTTTTTGATGTCCTTTACATCCATGATGTACCAAATGAAGACAACAACTGCCAGGTTTAACGTGAATATTTGATTAAAATTTTCGTAAATAAACATAGAAAAGATAAATTTTATTTTTGTAGGCTATTTATGATGGTTTGTGTACATTGGATGAAACTGAGAAATGTTACGTTTTTGAAGTGAGTACTTATGTTGCTGCAAGAATACATGAATTTACTGCGAAATTATTGGCCCATCCTTTACAAAGACCACGACAGCAAGATATTGATTATTCTTTAATTCAAACTAAATAAAACACACATACAGATGTAGTGGTCATCAGGTCATCTAATGATAAGGTACCAGGACAATGATTGAATTATTTTCTGGCAATCATTATATTAATGAAAAACATATTAACTGCATTTTTTGCACTGCACATTTTTTATTGTATGAGGTTTACCTACGAATCAGAGGCTACAACTATACAGACGTGGTTTGTTAGCTACTACATACATAAAGTGGTAAAAACTTTGAAAAGATGTTTTAGTGATGTTTTAAAGTATTTTTATTCACATGCCTTCATGATGGCTAACTGTTAATAAAATCACGGCTTTCAATGCCTTCTACGATGTGCATAGAACCACTATTGTTACTAATAAACACCAAAGAAAAGAAAAGGATTTCATACCTTATCGTTTTATCCACTGATAGTTTGGATGTAAACAAAATCCTCAAAAATCCTAAAATTGTTTTGCTGCATTAAATCACTGTGAAGTGTAATTTTTTGCACATCGTAGTCATAGGGATTATAATAATGAATTAAAAATATGGGCAATGAAATTGTTTGAGTGGAATTTGGAAGAAACAAATAAAAGGACAATTTGATTTAATGAAAAAAATGAATTGCATCGTCGTTATATTATACATCTTTTTTTTCACAAAAGGGTGTTTACAAATTTATAATTTATACATCGGTAACTCGTATGTCTTGTGTTGTGTAAGATATGACCTGTTTGGTGTTGAAAGATTGAATGTTAACCCAACCTGAATCGTATATCGAATGACATAAAGTAATCTTCAACTTATTCTACGAGAACGATTTGACGACATTTCATGAGAACAACTTTAATAATTTTGTATATTGTGTTGCATTTTATCATTTAACAAGGAAAGATTCTCACTAACAATACACTGATGAACGGTACCAGAGCCATCTTTCGCGTAGAGGTACGATCCAAGATTTAATTTTTGATTATTTTTTTTGGCCATTAACTCGTTTCAAAGTTTCTGATGTCAAAAGAATGAATTATTTAATGCACAATTAATTTTTAAAAAGATCACTTCATTCTCGAAAGTTGCGAAATCGTGTAAATGGCGGTTTTCAAAAAATCTTTGTGTATATTTTACAACTTAAACGTATCTGCCTCAGTTATTTCAATTTTAGTGAAATAAAAAGTAGAATTTGTTTATTTAATTGCTTTATTTTGCATGAATGAATTAGACGTAGCGAACACAAGTATTATAATGCTATTAGACAGACAGGTGATAAAGGTTATCTTGATAGATGAAACCTACTTTATAGCAATGAAACCAAGTCTACATTGTTTGTGCCATTCTCAACAAATGTTTTAATACATAACGTTTATCTCAGATAAGACTTGGATCATAATGTGCCATAAATTGAACTTTTAACTAACACTACAATTTCTGTATTAAAATTAATTTAAGCATTATATATAATATTACAGCTACCTAAATAATGTTACATAGCAGCAATAGGTAAAACCTCACAGCCACTTTTAATATGATCCATAACTTGCAGTTTTAATTCACAAACTTGTTGCCTCAATATTGATGCAATGTTACTAAGTTCACTGTGTCGAGATTTTAATTCATTAACCCTTTCTTGTAAATGGGATTCTCTTTCCAATTTTCTTTTCCTACATTTTGATGCAGCAACTCGATTTCTATGTTTCTTTCGCTCTGTTTTCACCACTTCTTGCTTGTGCAAGTCAATAGGGACGGCAGAAAGCGTAGGATAGCTTGTTGTAGCAACCCCATGAAATTCTGTTATGTCTGATTGTTTAGTAGTTGCAACAGGGTCGAATAATAACTGTCCAGCTGTAATATCATCTGGTTGATGATTAAATGAGGTGCCTTTAACCCTTTCAACGGAGACTGTGTCTGCAGTTGGTTCTGGACTGTTTATAACCGTAATTACCGGAAAATTCGAAATATATTTTGTTGATTGAAAGCCAGAAATTGTGTTGATATTATTACTACTCAAATGCGTTTGGCTGACTTGATGTGAAGAAGTCTTTACGACCGCATTTGAAATGTCGTTCGCTGCCTGATTAGATGGAATTTCGTTTTCATGATTTACTTTGCTGACATTGTTGTTATTGTTTGAGATTAAAGCGCTAACAGTCGATGCTTTGACGTCGTTTATCTGTGTCAAGTCACTTTCTTCTCTCATCTTATGTAGCGCATCTTCAAATCCTCGTACATATTGTTCTTGCTGTTCCCTCACTGTTAAATCTGAGGATTCCTTAATTCTCCTATATTGTTTTGGTGTTGGCGTAGCACTGCCTGCTGTAGCTAGAATGATCCTCTCAAGCTCAGGAGAATCAAGCTTTAACTTTATCAAATCAGGAGAAGTAAGAACAGCATTGTTAGTGTCTTGCTTTTTGACTTTGCTTGGTAGATCAAGCTTTAATCTTTTCTTGTCGTACACGGACATAGTAAAATTGTTTCTACTAGATGAAAAATCTCGTTTTTCTTTATCCAAATACGACAACACATCCATGAATAGAACTACTTGCTGTCTGCTTTGAGCATTAAAATATGTCCTTACTCCTTCGTATGTTCGTCGTGTTTTAACGGTTCGATACCGGAACATGCCGAATTTCCTCGTAAATCGGTTTTATGATGTAGATATTCCCTCATTATTTTTAGAACCTGACATTTACTTCTTGATTGGATGGTGTGTAGGTGTGTTTTTCATCCTGTATTTTGATTGGTTTTAAAAACAATTAGGGAGTTTTATGAGGATGACGACATCGTCTAAACTCTAAACATTACATTCTTTAGTTTGTAGTTGTCTAGGTGAATGTGGGTTGTTGTCGAAGCTGTGTAGATAATTCTTAGTGGTGAAAATTACTTTGTTTTTAAGTTGTCATGAGCACGTTTCTCTAGTAAATTGGCGGCAAATTGTAACCTCAAAATTAAACATTTCACTTTCGCCATCATGACGGAAGCAAAGTCAAATAATACACAAGACAGGAAGTTTACATTTCATGCACATGTTTGTAATTAGTATTTACATTCCATTGATTGTAAATCTTACAATCGTGAAAGCTATCGCTTTTGAGGAAATTTCCTTTAAACGGGGAAATTGCCAGATTTTTTGTGAGCGATTTGGGGAATCCTACTTTTGGGGGAAATTTTTGTGGAGTTTAATTTTTGGGGGAATTTAATTTTTTGAATATATTTTAGGGGAATTTTTGAATGCTAGTCCTACAGGAAGAAACTGATGTCTCATCTGTTTTTGCCTTGCTTCGCATGCTTGAAATTTTGAATACATGCGACACACATTTTGTCATTTGCGACTTGCGAGCATTGATGTATGTACTCACGACTTACAAGTCAGGGACAAAAATTGATTCGCGTTCAAATTTCCGAAAAATTCAGTTCTCATAATACGTAGAGTATAAATAAAACACTCATAAGGGAGCACAAACTGATGAGGTATTTACAATCTTACTCGTCGAACAATTTTTGATCAACGTTATTTTGATTCCGTTTGTTAACACGCCTAGTTGACAAAAACTTGATATGGTGAAGCACAACATAGCCACAACTTGTTCTGAATAACCGTGAAGAAGCAGAAGACGTATTGTGACAACTTCATTGTACTTTTTACGAGTATATTTCAGTAAACAACAATAGTGAAGTGTAATACCAACTGTTGATATTTCAGTTCACTTACTACAATGTAGCAACGTTATTTTGTCTGAGGAATTTTACAGAAACCTGGGAAAATTTTCGATTCTTTTCAACCTGTATAGGATTGCATTTTTCAAATGCATTTATTATTAGTTAGTCAATTCTCACTTTGTCGCTCTTGAGTCATTCAAACTTGTAAGACATAAAGATCCTTCGAATATATTCATTGATTATCATGAAGAAATCACACAGGCAACCCGACTCTGACCTCTAGATTGTAGATTAGATCTGGAGTGGTTGCAGTCTTGCACTGGCGATTGCAGACAGATCAGTAATGGCGGGAAAATATAAAAATTATAAATCACTTTCTTCAAGTGCATCCAAGTACAACAACTATTTTAGCATTTCTATAGACTATGGTTTGATAGAAATCTTCAGTTTGATTGCATTCTTCGAAAAGTTAGAAATAATTTGACGAAATGAGTGCCCCAGGATCGTCGAAAAGTACTAATGCAGAAGCATGTTCTTTGAGTACTTCTTCAACATGGTCGGACGAAGAAGGAAGACAATCTAGTGACAAAAATATTGAATTTGACGAAACAGGTTCATCTGCTCCTATGATGAAAAATAATGTTAGCCACAAACGGTCTGTGCTGTTTGATTCGGACGAAGACATTGATGAGGTAGGGATAGTTGGAGTGAGTTGATATTTTTCAACATCGTCCATCTTATCTTGAGCAAAAATTATGTGAGTTGATTTTCGTGTGGTCTAAAGCTGCAACCAGCTTTACACTTGATTTTAATATTCTCTTCATTTTAGATAGTTATGAGTGCCATTCTTTGTGGAGGAAAACTTGGAAGTGCTTACTATAATGCTGGTACTGCACAGCTCTTTATGCAAATGGATGTCTTGGAAACGCAGGATTTTCAATTTTTAAAACGATGTGAGTTTAGAGAGAAGTGAATTCATGCTAAAACATGTGCAGTTCTATAAAGTTTGGTTTTTTCCTCTTCCAGTAATTCACCAGGTGAACCCAACAACAGTTTTAACAAGTTCAAATCAGGATGAAAAATTTATCAAAATATTGCAGTGTAAAGGTATGATTTCATAATAATATATTTTACAGGTAAACCAAATGAGATAGTTAAAAATCCTTATATGTTTAGGAGATGAGAATAATGAAGATATGACAGACAGTAACATTGATATAAACATTCTTCCTACCATTGACTTTAGTAAGTAAATTAATTGAAAGAGGATTATCAGCAGACATGAAGACCTTACCTACACAAGTGTTGTCCTGACATGCAATATTAATGGACAAATTTACCTTTATCTTGTTTTGTTTGTCATAAAAAACAAACTCACTATAAATTACTGATTTTATTCTAGCTTTAGAAGTCTGTAAGAGACGGATTTTGGCATTGACTGGATTACCTGGAATGTCAAAAGATTTTACTGATGAAGAACGAATCATGTATCTTGGATCAATTGTTCCTTTTGACAACATCAATATGGTAAAAAGATATAAAAGTTTGTTATGGTATCTTGTTTTCACCATAGATGAACATAAATGAAATTCATGTAACTCTATGATATTCACTTGTTTCACTCTTATAAATTGATTGCTATGAATTGGGAAAATTATGGCATAGACTATGTTATTGTAAGATCCAAACTCTTCTTAAGAAACTTTGCTCACTTAGCAATAAGGGAAATTTGACATATTGCATGATTGATCTTTGCATAGATGTTTTTTTTGTTTTATAAATACATACAGATAAAAGCTATGGGAGCTTTAATGAAGTACATTGAAAAGAAGAGAATTGGTGTTGAATTGGAAGATTTGGAAACAAGAGTACCAATACTGGAATTAAAAACATATTCATTGTATGTATGTAAATTGTGGGGATAGAGATAAAGCTAGCTAGGAATTGTTTTCTTTATCTGAAGCACAGGGTTTACAAATGTGGCATCACTGGGATTTCAATGTTCTATATAGGATTTCAATACACTTTATGGGATCTCAATGAACTTCATGAGAAATTGTTTTTGGTTTATTGATTTGAGGCCATTTCTACATGAAAACATTGTGATACATTATTTCATCATGTGCAGCATAAAACTTTCTAAAATGTTTTTAGTTTGAAATATTAACATTCTAACATTTATTGTTGCTTTTTCACACACAAATTATGCTGTATCTTACCACTTAACTTCAGATTAGGGTAGTGATGTTACCATGCAGTTGGTGTTTACAATTGATTGGTAAAGGAACAAATAATGTGAATGATCTGCCATTTACATAGCATAACCAAACTTTTGGAATGACTACATCACTGATGGCTAAAATAACATAAGATCAACGATCTGGAAAGTTTCTTATTACTATCTAATGAATGTTTATAATGTTAATATTTTTGTTTATGTTTAACTACATTTAATCATTTTACAGGGCTGATGCTTTGATTATTGATGAAAATACTTACAGGTAATTAAAGTTAACACAATTGCTTTGCACGTATCAACCGTATTGAGATGTATGTATCATGTCTTTCTGAGAATTCATTGTATACTATCACATTATGATTGCAACTTACAAATTTTCTTGACGATTTTCGACAAATATGTTATTCAATTTTCCCGGCAAGATTAAAAATTCAGTGCATAGAATACTCAACACCTTGCTCTTCTTTATTCAGACATTTTATGAATTATGAAAATAGACTATATCTTGAAAATAACTGCCTTTGAATCTTCAACGAATTCCATTTTTCATTTCTTGATAGTGCATTGCAAATATTTCAAAAGGAATCTCATCCATCAGCGTATAAATGTGGATCTGGAGCAAAGGAAGGTCTTTCTCTGTTTGGTATGTAGGTAAACTCCCGAACATGTATATTAATAAATGGATTTACTTGGGAGTCATCCTTCCTATCTTTGGGTAGAGATGAATGTACCATTAATTTTCAATTGTGTTTAATAAAGCACACTTTCATAGAGTATTTTCAATCCAAGTGCAAGAGTAACAGAATTTAACAAAAAATGCCTGACATGACATGATGACAAGCACAAAGTAGCCACCAAAATCAAATCTTTATTACAGCAAACCTCTGCTGGCCTTTTTTTTACAAAATATTCTGTATCCGCCCCCTGTCAGCAGACCCACTGGCAGTTATCTCTTGCCCAAAAATATTATTTCAGTACATCAGTTATGTATAAATACAGTTGTACGAGCACATATAGTTACGTTTGGTTTTTGTTTTGTTTAAATTTCCATGATTGTTAAACACATAAACATGCCTCAATGATAAACTTTGGGTCTTTGTATGTCTTACCCACACTTTTTCCTTATACATTTCATGAAGGCATGATGAACTTGACTAAATCAAAGATAGGAAGTCGTTTGTTGAGGTATTTATGACTGGCAATAGTTGATTAGTGTTAGCGAAAATGATTTGATCAGTCGATAAATTATTACATGTAGATCGCAAAAACCATTTTAAATTGTTTAGTTGAAGTTGCAAATTTGCATCACATACGTAGATATTCGAAGTACCATCTTCTTTTTAGGGCATGGTTTTGCCAACCAACAACTAATCTAATTATTTTGAAAGAAAGACAAAAAGCAATAGCTTTTTTCCAATCGCCCCAAAACGTTGAAAACACGATTGCAATTCAAGAGTGTTTAAAACACATTAAATGTATAACAGTAAGTTTATAGATCACTAAGTCTGTTTTCGTTCTATGGAAGATAAAGTAGTTCAGATATTGTGCTCAACAAATACTTAGTGGTTTATTCTCTTACGTATAGTTATCAGAGCTTGAATATTTCTTTGTTCATAAAACTATGTTAATGTTACTATGATGTCGATAAACTTACATAGCTGATACAAAATATATCTATTTCTTAACTATTTAGAGAGTATTGATTAAAATGTCGTCATCTCATGTATCAATTGGTGACTGGCAATCACTTTATAAGGTCTATTATTGGGTTTTTTTGCTGAGGCTTTTATAGACGTGATTTTGTCTCGTTTATTCTCATTTATACTTATTATAAAATGATATTCTTACCATCGTAGACAGTGTACAACGCCATCTACATTGCAAATATATGTTCAACTATATCGGATGTTGAAATTGCACAAAAGGTATGCATCTCTGAACTTGGCAAAATGAAATTTGACGATCAAATTCAAAGATTAATTGTACATATTACAATTCGAAACTTTCTATCTAGATTTCTCGTAATTTCACCGAAGATCTCCAGAGAATTGCATCTTTGATTGATAAAATAGTAAGAAAAATACGCAAAAGACATATTCATATCAATCTAACTGACCCTAGCCCTGCTCAATAACAGACAGCACCCATGTCTTTGTCTGTATCATATGAAATTAATGTTGCAAAAAGCCAATTTGTTTTTTCAATATTTTAAGGTTGATTTTGAGGATTCGACGCAACAAAAAAGATTTATCGTAAATCCTGGAGTTGATGAACATTTGGATGAAAGTAGGTTTCATTGTACTGTTGTAATTTAAGGAGATCGAGCTTATATAATATATCTGTGTTTTTTGAATAACACTTATCTCTATCACTACTTTACCATGTTTGGCTTTTTTTCAGAAAACCTTTGTTTTAAAATATGCTGTGAAAAATAGTACATACGTATATTCCTTTTTCAATAATATAACATCACGTCCTTTGTATAAGTCATTTAGGAGAACGTCACAAGTCATTTTACGTTATTCTCAGAAAATTCATACTTTGTAAACTTTGCTTTAAATACTTTTTTTATACATTTATTTGAAAATACATTGTTTGGTTGAATTTTATTGATTTAGAGAAACGTACTTATAATGGTTTACCTGACTTCATGACCAAGGTTGCTCAAGAAGAACTTAGTAAACTAGATGAGTCAATCACTGAGTGTAATATTCTCTATTTACCACAGGTGCTTTTCTATCATCTTATCTTTCATGTTTGATCGTCAAAAAATATGGCAAAATGCATTTCTAAGAAAGCACTACTGGATATATTATTACAACAAAAATTGTCGAGCAAAATTGGTTTCGTTTTTCAAAATCAAGCAATGTAGCTATTGGAATCAAATGGTCGTTGTGAAGAATAATCAAATCTTTTACTTATGATTAAACATCATCTAACTTAATCTGTGGAAGATCATGTCTTGTTGCGTATTTTATATTTATTCCGTGAAGGTTTTGGTTGTTTTGATTGAAACAAACAGTTTTTTTTTTCATTTATAAATGTTTAGCTAGGTTATCTACTGGCTATCCCCAGAACTGAAGAGATGATGGAGGAAAAAGACTTTGAGATTGAAGGATTAGAGTTCGTAGTAAGTTTTAAGAAAGAATATAAATTTATTAAAAGAAATTTATATTTATTTCTATATTTTGCTAATGCCATAATTTTTTACAGTTTTTCTCTGACAATACTATCCATTATAAAAGTGCAAATACGAGAGGTTTGTAGTAATTTAATTTTATTTAGAAAAATCTTGATGTATTTATTGAATCACTATTGCAAACTATAGAATTGGATCGACTTCTTGGTGATACACTCTGTGAAATAACAGGTTAGGATGATCTTGTACAAAAAGGATCACAAAAAATGCTCGTAGTTTTTTACATACAAAGTAATGTATTTTAGATCATGAAACGGCCATTATGCACCGATTACAAAATATTGTTCTGGAGCACACAGATTTGTTGCTTAAAGTAATGGAATATGCAGCTGAACTAGACTGGTAAGATATTTAATTTTTTGTTTATTCATAATTCATTACTAATGTTGGGTTTTTTTCTTATTGTTCATTACGAACTTTAGTTTGATTGCTCTTTCTGTTCATGCCAAAGAAAATAATTACGTTTGTCCTGAGATAACTGTAGAAAATATCTTGACCATAAAAGGAGGAAGGTGCTGCATTTCATATTTAATACAAATACATAATATTACCTACACTAGTACTCAGAAGGGAATATCTCCCGTATAACGACACTACATCGTAGTCCCAAAGATGTCCCTCTTACGGAAAGTTCGACTTTATGTAAACACGTGTGGTCAATTGGTTTATTTTACTAGACATCCGTTGCAAGAAATGTATGTTACTCCTTTTGTTGCAAATGATACGTACATGGAAAAGGAAAATTCAAGAATGAAAATACTCACAGGACCAAATGCTAGTGGAAAGAGTGTCTATCTTAAACAGGTTAAAATTTGTCATTTGTAAATATTCTTGTGCGATTATGTACAAATATTCGCACAAGATATATATCTTATTCTGAAATATATTTTAAGAGTATATAAAATATGGGTGTTCCTCTGAAAGTTGATTATATATTTTTATCAAGGTTGGTTTGATCGTCTTTTTGGCGCATATTGGAAGTTACGTTCCTGCTGAGTCAGCAACTATTGGAACCACTGACCGTATGTTTACCAGGATTCATACACGAGAGACCGTCTCAGTTGGTCTTTCGACATTCATGATTGATTTAAATCAGGTTAATACCAGCTTAGATCGTGAAAATTTACATTGACGTATTATGGTTAGTCACATCGTGCTAGACAAATTTATAACGCGCGTTACGTTTTACAAAAGACGAATTTTAGCCAGCTCAAACTCCTCTGGTGTTCCTCGTTAACCTTCTATACATATATATTATAATTTTCACATGAAAAGACAGAATTATGTGTTTTCATATCCTTCTATATAGTATGTTGAACGTCATGTTAGTAAAAGAAGATATTTTACTCTACGTAGGTTGCAGTTGCTATTCGTTATGCAAGCAGAAAATCTCTTGTTCTTATTGATGAATTTGGCAAAGGAACAGCTACGGTAATATGATGTGAAGGAAGTAGTACATGCTACGGTAATATGATGTCAAGGAAGTAGTACATGCTATGTAATATGATGTCAAGGAAGTAGTACATGCTACGGTAATATGATGTGAAGGAAGTAGTACATGCTACGGTAATATGATGTCAAGGAAGTAGTACATGTAAACACTCCTTGATTTCACCCGATGTGTGTTAAATGATTTATTCCAGACTCTAGAGGATGAAATTTTTAATCATTTTCAAGTGCACTTGTTAAAAGGAGAGCATTATACGTAGTAGTTAATGAATCAAAGCTAAACCTGTATGTTAATGGTCTAAAAAGGATTTTAACTGACATATTGCTTTTACTAATAAATGACTAAATATCCATGACATATTTTGAAACAATTTACACAACCAACTACACCTTAGGAAAGCATCCTGTGTTTTATGGGATTATTGTATGTATTAGGAAGAGGGAGGGATTACCTTTTGTTGTCTGTTTGGTAAATTTTCTTTATTATTACTTGCTTTCCTGCAATGAAGGAAATGAATGAGAATGAAAAATGATTTCGATTTTAATTATGATAAGTAAATTATAAACAAAAAAATAGACATAGTTTGTTTTAGTGATTTATGAAGTCAATTTGTGTGTTCAACATCATTTAGGTAGATGGTCTATCATTACTGACAGCTTGTTTGAATCATTGGTTGTCTTCACAAAGTCAACATTGCCCTAAGGTCCTAGTGTCCACACATTTTCACAGTATTATTCAGCAGAAACTATTGCCCCTTACGCCTCTTGTTGATTTTCAAGTATGTAACTTTTCATTTTTGATTTAATTAATCTCGCAATCTTGTTTTACTTTTGTTCATGGCTGTATTACTTCTGTATGATTGCTTTAGACAATGGAAACAATGGAAAATGGTGATGAATTAGTATTTCTCTATCAACTTGTTGACGGATACACAAAGACAAGTTACGCTTGTCATATTGCTACATTAGCTGGGTTACCTAAACATCTTGTAAAGCGAAGTTATGAGGTATTTTTCATATTTCACATTTTGTTTTGAAACATTTCAACATTTTACTGTATCATTACTTCGTTGTTGAAATCAAGCTCAATACTGAAAGGTTTAATCATATAGAACAATATAAATAAGTGTTATAGCCTGTCATGTAGATCTTATTTCAAACCACCCACATGTACTTGAAGGTCAACTATATACGGATATTTGTTTATACTTGTATTGCTTAATGAAAGCCAATAAGTATTTACTCGATTTCCTTAAGATTCTTGACCTGCTTCGAAACAATAAAGCAATAGAGAGAATTCATAGTCAGGAAAATGATGAAGAAAGAAAAAGGTTATTTTTATCATAGTATACTATGTTTTATAATTTCTTCAACTGCCTGTTTTACGACGAACCGCCTCCCCACAGAAATTCATGTCTGCTGCATTTCTGTCCTTCATTGTTCGCTTGGTAAAATATTGATTCAACTGTCAATAAAATATTGTCACTTTTTACGGAATAACAATTTTTCGAAATAAACGGGTGCAGAACAGCGACGCTGTGTCTTCTTATTTCACTCTAACACTCTACGTCAATGTAAAGTAAACGTTTAAGAATCATACAGTAACAGTGAAGAAATATTTTGTTTAAATTAAATTACATGAAAAAAACTAAATATTTGGACACAATATCAGTGACGACAAAAAACATTACATTAATCTGTGACTAAGATATTACTTTCGATATTCACTTTCTAGTAACCATGAAATCGTTGATTCATTTCTGGCGTTAGATTTGGAAAATTGTGATATCATATCGTTTTTAAAATCCATCATTCCATCTGATGACGATGTAAATATGAAATAAGTTAAATTGTTTATTTTATTTTTGCTACATGGTGTTTATATGTTGACAGCGACATTTACAGTTAAACTTGTTGTTTAAAACTACGTCTCCATTGTATTCCTCTCCTACGATGTTAACCTTATTACACTTGGTTTTAGGAAGAGTTTTTAACAGACGAGCGTTAATTGAGCTTTTGTACGTCTTTAACAGGAAATAAAATTACAAATTGTACAAAGTTAGTAAGGTCCACCTGCCTCCTCAGTTATTGACTGGTCATGTATGCAATTCAAATCTTCGTGCGGTCATTGAAAGAACAAAAGCTTACTTAAAAGAAAATTCCTTTTGTTTTTTTTGTTCTTTAGAGAATATATTTGCTTTGCTTCATTGATTGTGCTATACAGAGCTTGAAAACAATTCATTACGCGCTAAACTGGGAGTTAATAAATTTGTTTTTATCGCTACCACTTTCCCAACAGTTAAACTAATTGTTGAAATTTCGCGCTCATTTAACGAACAAAGCAAAACTTGAAGTTTGGTATCGTTTCAGTTCGCGTGAAAGTTTGTTTCAGTTGCTTTAAGAAAGCGGAAGCATTATGTAATACTTAATGCATTTGAAAATTCCGGATGTCATCATCGGTTATTTAATGAAGAAGACGAGTGTGATGATCAATATATCTGTACTGTGGTCTGTGCAACAACAAGAAAATTTTGCATACAGACCCGATCACAATGCCCAAATGTCGTGTACGTTACACCATAAACAACTATAAACTTGTTATTTTCGGTTCAGCTGCTGTTGGTAAATCATCACTTGTTAGAAGATTTATTTTTGATGAATTTAGGATCACTTATCGTCCAACAGTTGAAGAATGTTATCGTTATATGATGCATTCCAAGAACTATTTTTATAATCTAACAATCGTTGATACTGGTGGCAGTCACGAATTTCCAGCCATGAAAGATCTTCACATCACAGGGTCTGCTGCCTTTATTCTTGTGTTGTCCGTTGATGATGTTAAATCTTTAAATCAATTTATGAAAGATTCCAAGATTATTCTTGAAAAGCGAGAAGATGCCAAAATATTGATAGTTCTTAACAAAATAGACAAGCAAAATCGAGCTTTCTCTGCCATGCAGATTATCGGACACATGGAGAAATATCGTGAATGGAATTCTAAATTTCAGTATAAATATCTTGAAACATCAGCTGAAAACAACAACAACGTGAGAAAGTTGTTCAACGAAGTTATTGACCTGCTTTCACCTGTATGTCAATGCAATGGAAAGAAAGGAAACATTTTGTATTGTGGATTATCGCAATCTTGTACGATGTTATAAATGTACTCGATAACTTAGAGTTAATGCGATAAAATGACAGGGCAAACTTCCAAAAACTCTCGATGAGAATCATTTATACATTTGGCTTGGCAGAAAGGTCGCTTTGCACAGAAGCCGTCAAATACATGTTGTTTTTTATCAATTTTTATCGTGGATAATCGATGAATTTCTTGTTGATCAAGTTCCTTATCTTGTACATGGACGGTTGCTTTCTTGAATGCATGAAAATAATATAAAACAAGTTTAAAATTGTCATTTGTTTGACGCTTTTGTCTTATAAGATGTTTGCAGTAAGAAGCTGGTTGAACTTTTTTCCAAAGAAATCAAGGTGCGAAAGAATTTTGACATGGCGAGACGTCAATTATTCCACATAATCAATCATTTTAACCTTTATGCATTGGAGATTTATTTCATGTTTGATTCGTAATTGTATATAAAGAAAATCTATATATAGTGTATATATTTCAATAAATTCATTGGGAAATTTAAAAAAATAATTCGTTGGTAATATTTGTTTTAGATAGATTATAACGATGACACATCGATCTTTTGAAATCTTTAGAAGTAGGATTTAGGGTTTTTTGTAATATTTGAACAATGCTACCTTAACCGAAACTAACATGATCGTCCAAAATTGTACGTTCTAACAAAGCGGTTTTATTTGGTTTAATTGTTTTGGGTAAGACGGAAATTGTAGCCCTGCCAACAAGGGAGGCTTGTGCCAGCTTCGTTAAAGTAAATATTTATAAGTGCACTGCCAGTATGATGTTTGAAAAGTTGTACGTTGACTATTGATAAAAGACGGTTCGACGAGACCTTAGCAATTTATATGTATATTACCTTAAAACAAGGTAAACCTGTTTAGTTATTTCATCAAAACTATACCATATCTATTATCACTTGACATTTCAGTCTTTTCTCTTTTTGAATGATCTTTGATATTATTTTTTTCGATAACTTTTTTCAGTTTAAGCGTCCTTCGATTCAAGTTTTCTCGTCTTAGATTCAAACATAATCTCAATCCACCTTTCAGTCGTTTCCTTACTGCCATCACGATTGTAGAGAGGAACACAGAGTACAAAAAAGCAAATGGCTATGGCAGTTAAATACATTTATCTGAAATAAAGCAGGAAAATAACGAGAGATGAGAGAAAGACAAGTGACCTTTAAGTGTGGATGATTTAATACGAAGAGAAGATCATGGATTGGAAAATAAATGTCAATTCTTGTGTAGTAATGCAGCACAAAATGGCGAAGTTCAATATGACTTGTATCAAACCAAGATAAAGGAGAAAAATTAAAATACAAAAGACGAACTGTTGAAACAAAGAAGTTAAGATGTTGTTTGGCTTTGGATTTCAGACTTCAGAGACAAGTTGAGGTGATCTCTAGGTGGTGATGTTCAGACTTCAGAGACAAGTTGAGATGATCTCTAGGTGGTGATGTTCAGACTTCAGAGACAAGTTGAGATGATCTCTAGGTGATGATGTTCAGACTTCAGAGACAAGTTGAGATGATCTCTAGGTGGTGATGTTCAGACTTCTGAGACAAGTTGAGATGATCTCTAGGTGGTGATGTTCAGACTTCAGAGACAAGTTGAGATGATATCTAGGTGGTGATGTTCAGACTTCAGAGACAAGTTGAGATGATCTCTAGGTGATGATGTTCAGACTTCAGAGACAAGTTGAGATGATCTCTAGGTGGTGATGTTCAGACTTCAGAGACAAGTTGAGATGATCTCTATGTGGTGATGTTCAGACTTCAGAGACAAGTTGAGATGATCTCTAGGTGGTGATGTTCAGACTTCAGAGACAAGTTGAGATGATCTCTAGGTGGTGATGTTCAGACTTCAGAGACAAGTTGAGATGATCTCTAGGTGGTGATGTTCAGACTTCAGAGACAAGTTGAGATGATCTCTAGGTGGTGATGTTCAGACTTCAGAGACAAGTTGAGATGATCTCTAGGTGGTGATGTTGGATGCTCAGATGATTATCAGCATGCATGAAGTTATCACTACGATAATAGAACATTGCATTAACACTTATTTCACTATGGGTAGTGTCTGCTTGTCAAGAAAATGACAAAGAAAAGTATTTGTTGAACGAAAACGAATTGAAAATGCTAAAAAGTCTCAGTGAATATTTACATCATACACTTGTAAATGTTTTCTTAATATAGTAAAACAAAGTTTGTGAAAGTATCTTCATATAGAGGGGGGGTCTCTGCCGACCTTATTGAAGTTTTTGTGTCTACTTTTGGTATAAGTTACTTATAGTAGAGAACCCTGTTAGAATTTTAATCCTTTGGGCGACGGTTTTTTGTTTTTTTTTCAAAAGTTGTGTGTCATTGCGTTTGGTGATTGTTGCAGATATACTACCTTGGGCAATAGAAAGAGTTAAAGTTTTAATGAAGTGTAGGGTTAAAATTTCAATGGACAGTAAGTGTTTTTCACAAAATAATGATAGAAAAAACTTTGTAATTGGAAGATAATTCTGTCATTCTGTCATTCTGTCAAGCAAGATACGTTTTGGATGACATACAGCCATTGGCAACGTTCAACATCAGACTGTTTAGAAGCATCTTGAATGATTTTTTCGTTCAGGTTGATGTATCTTTAGGTTCAAGTTACATTGCTAACGCTTTTATATGGAGGTAGCTTCGTCAGCAAATCGGTTGCAGTTTTTTTTCTAGCTGTCAATTTCAATTTCTTTATGATAAAAGCTCAAACTTATTGATGTTGGTTACAATGTCCAAGTCAGTCATCTTGAATTGCTCCTCACAAAAGAGCGTTTTCATTGTTTTAACAGTGGTTTACTAACTTTTGATGAAAAAAATATTGTGTCGCTCGTTTAGTGAACAACACTGATGTGTACAAAAGCTCTTTGTTTTTTTCCTAGAATCAGCATTATGTTTAGATTTTTTGTTCTAAGTATTGATGACATTTCTTTTCCTTTCTTTAATTCACAAAAACTTTCTTCAAATCCAATTTCAGTGCTAGCTAATAGTCCACGATAGTTGTCTTGGTTACATGTCTAAAGCAGATTTCACAAAACATCTTATTTTTCATTGACAGTAATTTAACTAACTTTGTTAAGCACGCTTTCTTTTGCAATTAAGCTTAGAAATATCATTAATTTTTCTCGAATTTTCTTAGTTCAACGTATGTGAAACAATATGTATTGTTAACTCTACACTCCATTAAAACTTTAACCCTACACTCCATTAAAACCTTAACTCTACACTCCATTAAAGCTTTAACCCTACACTCCATTAAAACTTTAACTCTACACTCCATTAATCCATTAAAACTGTAACCCTACACTCCATTAAAACTTTAACTCTACACTCCATTAAAGCTTTAACCCTACACTCCATTAAAACATTAACCCTATTTTCAACTGATACAAAAGAATATTTAATTTTCTCTTTGTTATTGTTTGCACCAGCCGATGTGGACGTGCAACATTGTTTGTGAAATCACAAGAGAATGGTAGCAAGTGAAGAATATTCAGAAACATTTATTAATTTGATTTCCAAAAATTATTAAAGTGTTATATAAAGTCAGCCGTTTGCACTGAGATTTCCACTTGTCGTGCATGGAATTTGTGATAAAATTTCATGTGTGCGTGTTATAGATTTTGATTTTAATAACTGTTTCTAGGCACACGTATAAACTTTCAACTTGTTACCATGTTTATATTTAATTTTAGGAAGTGCTTTTGTAAAAACTAATCTCCTTAATCCTTTTTGCGGCTTGCTAAGATCTTACATCTGCGATGAAAATTTTATTCTTCAAACAAGTCAGATTTTTGAGATAGAAATATAAATTTATATGTAAATGTTAAAAAAATACCCTACCATTTCTGTTAAGTTAGTAAAAGTTATTACATGCACAAAAGCTATAAATAACATCCATATTTACAAGTAATTTTCACATTTTTGATTACATTTATTTCCAGCACAGATTTTGTCTCACATTAAAATGAAAATAAGATTTTAATTCTCTAAGCATAACAAGTTTCAAAAACCACTTAAAACGCACTTGTGGCAAAATTTAATTGTCTGATGGAGTTATTCAAACACAATGGAAAACATGTAAATGTAAGGTTAATTATTTTGTGTCGAGGCATTAATTCTCTACAATCTTACAGACTAATTAATCGAGCAAACAAGAACCGCAGAGTGCACAAGGCTTATGATGAACGAAATATTTTCAGCATTATCAACATCGTCCAAGCAGTTTCCAAGATCGTCCAACATTGCACGTAACTTTAACCATTTGTGATTGACAGTGTACAGTTTTTTGAAACTTGATGAAAATTTTTATGCGAGGTTTGTAAAATGAAGTTTGTTTGTTTCTCGTCATTTTGATCAAATGTAGTCGTTGTGATCAATGGAAACATGTTTATCCTTTAAAAAAACTTGTCGTGTGTATTAAATAAGCAAAACTAATTTGTTTGTTTATATGTGTGTGATGCACCGTATCGACAATGTGTTTATACGATTATTCTTTTTCAACAAATGATATTGATTTAAGTAGGTCTTTGCTATTGAAGTGTAAAACTTTCATGTAAAAGTTGACCGCAGATGAGAAACTATACAATTCATTTCATAAAGAAAAAGACTTTCTACGTTGCATGTGAGTTGTCATCTTTTAGGTGATGATTGAAAAAGAAAACTAACTACACACAGTCAGGAATAAAATAAAATAAAACGTACTCAAGTAGAGACTACATCACTTAATGACCTTTATGATGTCATGTGAGCTGCGTAAGTGGCATTTCTAAATGTGAAATCTGTATTAATGGATTGTCACAAATACAGCCATGTAGATGTTTTATGGCAAAAATGCTTTTGCTACATGTTAAAAAATTGCTAAAATTATTGATTAAATTGTAAAAAGGGTGTACCCAATACGACTCCTGTAAGTTCTGTTGACATTAATGGCACCTATATAATTAGTAATCTTAACAGTCCAAGACCAACATAAAACAGTAAAATATCTGACAGATAAAATGACAGGATCACAAATGTCAAGCAAAGTATAAATGACAAAGTGAGACATTTTGAGAAGATTTTAAAGTTTGATATCAGCACAATATGAGATTAGTGACATACGTACATGCAAATATAAAGGAAATATCTAGGCCTAATTCAAAGTCAATTAAGATCAGTATTTAATGAAATTATTTAGTTGCTAAGTTATTGAATAAGCCATGGTTAAAGTTTATTGATTTTATGATAATAACTGCAATGTTGCATGCCTGTTTATTGTTTAACTTCATTTTATCTTGTCTTCATGTAATAATCATCGTACGTTTGAAGTTTGAGCTGTCAGTGGATGTTAATTTGGCACGAAACCTAAAAATATTCCTCGAAGAACATCAAGTATTAGATTTACTATAAAAAGTCAATGAATGCTTGCAAAATTTAATCTGAGGTAAAAAAAGCATGCCATAATTTTGTTCGACCCTCAGCACTTTATAATACACAGACACACGGTTGCTGAGTAGTGTTTAGTTTTGCTTGTTTATTTATTTTATTTGTTTTAAGTTTTAACTACAGATGGATATGTTTGTTAACATGAAAGCTTCCGTCTCTAAATAGAGTGCTTTACTTTCAACGCGTACATGGTTGACAAGTAGCTTTCTCCATTCATTTTCCATTGTTCATAAGGTCATTTCTCTCGAATCTTGTTTCAATGTGACCAGCTTACCACTTCTTTATGTGCAATAGAATCATTTATTTCATATTAATTTTATTTTATATTAATGTGATAATTTTATGCTTGCAATTGATCTTTTGTACTTTTCTATTTCAGCTTGTCGTAGAAAAAGACACAATGGTGAATCAACAATTATTGGTTGCATTATTGTTTCCTATAATTATTTTGTGCTCAACAGCGCAACTTTCATCACCGTATTATGACACAATCTCAAATTTAACTCACACCTGTACCATCAGACCTAACGTCGTCTGTGTTGATGTCAGCGTATTTAATAAGACTTGTATTGATCCTTTGTGCTTGGTTTATGCGGGAGGAAACATTATTAAGTGTTTGTCACCTTTGCTTAATCTTACTAATCTTATTGTGAGAAATGGGATAGATGGAAATTCAACAGACAGAAATTTAACCATAAACTCCACAACAACTCTCAACACAACTGATTTAAATACCTTCATGTGTAATGCAACATGGATCTACCCTTCAAACAAAACTGTTTGTTATAAAACATCATCGTGGAATAAAAGTGTTTGTAACCAGAGAAACGTAACATGTTTGGTGAATTCAACAGATTGTCTGTTTAACTCTGTTGTTTATATTGGTGGATTTTTTAATTTGAAAAATAAAGATGGTTATGGTAATATTCCTGCTGTAAATATTGCTTTGAACGAAATTAACAATGATAACAACACATTGGACAATATTACATTATCAATGGTAACAAAACATTCCACACAGGTAAGTCTGGATCTTATAAACTTTAAAGAACAATAAAGGCAAGTGAATTTTTGGACTTTTTACATCTTTTTGCGTCTGTTTTGCAAAAGAACAAAATGTATTATGAAAAGTTTCATTTAATTTACGTTAAATTGGTACAATTTAGAAAATGATATTCGTTGGATGATAAAAAAGTTGAAATAATTTCTGTTTAATATTTTAGAGTTTTCTTAGTTACGGCACGGATGTCTTATATCGCTATCTTCACTCTGCTCCAACAAAATTGATGTTATTGCTTCCTCAAGAAGATGATATTGCAAGAACTGTGGCAGCATATGCTGGACTATCGCAATGGGGAACTTTACAGGTAAAAAGCTTCGTATCATTTTTTATACTTGACTGGTAGAATAATCATTGCAAGATTTGTGTTTATAAAATGTTCTTTCAGTTCTCGTTTGGTACAAGGGACAACAGTCTTGCCTCCAGAAAGGATCTCTTTCCTCGTTTCTTTCGTCTTAATCCTCTCGAAATCACCTATAACCGTTTACGTGTAGCTTTTGTAACATCGTTTCCAACCTGGCATCTGGATGTTGCTCTCATGTATTATGCAGATCGTTACCATGAACAAGTACGTAACACTTACATAATTTCCTCCCTCCCCCCTGAAAAACTATATAACTTACAAAATATTCCTAATTTATTTAAGTCATTAAATCGTGATTTTAAGCTTTTTGACATCGCCTCAATTGCATTGGATTGTTTAGATTAATACAGACCTCAATGAAAGATTGCAGCAAAAAGGAATCAAAGTTGTTGCAAATATAGGATTCAAAACGAATCCTGCCGAAGCACTTTACTCACTGAAGGTAGGAACAATAAAAAGTAGGGCAGTTTTTTTAAAGATGTAGCTAATAATATGTACTTAGAAATCTGTTACTTATTGCAGAAAAAAAATGCTCACATTATTCTGACAAGTATTCCTCACTGGTTGGCAAAAACAATGTTTTGCAAGGTATAGTTAAATGATTTTGAGTTATTAAAATGTTTTTGTTTTTAAAATCTTTTATTAACTTATTTCAAAATGATTGAATGAGCTTACAGATTTGATTGATCTAGAGTTTGAAAAGAAATATTTGAATTGTTTGTTTTTATTCAGGCGTTTCAACTTGGTATGTATGGACCACATTATGTTTGGATAACCTTCACATTAATGCCTTTCAAGTTCTGGCTTCCAACAGCTGGTGACAATCTAAGTTGCAATGAAGAACAAATGTCATGTATTGCAGAGAATCATTTCTCCTTTAATGGAGGTTTTAATTACAGGGAAAACAATTCATTAATAAATGAGGTATAAGCAAGGAGAAAAATTCAATGTTTTTTTAACCTTTGTATTTTTGTTGTAAATTAAGCTTCTGTAAAATTTGTACCATCTCATTTTTATGATTAGTCACAAGCGTTATTGTTAAGGTCAGTTTTCAATACTTTTTCCTAGCCAAATATGACATTTTCTCAAGCTTACAAACTCTCAGTTACCGAGAAAAACAGAACAAATTCAGCGCCATATGTTTATGATGCAGTATGGACAATGGCCAACATTTTACAACGAGCAAAACCTACATTGGAAAGAAATGGAAAATCTTTGAATGACTTACGTTATGGCGAAGAAACAAAATTGTTCGAGAGACTTGCTTATGAAACTGATTTTATTGGCATAACTGTAAGTATTCAAGAAATCTGCTTAGTATGAAAATTATTTTTCGAAACTATAAAATGTAGATATAGTTTCATTTATATCTTTCATCTTAAAACAAAATGAACAAATTAAAGACAAAGAAAATTTGTTCTTGCAAGTTTATCTTCACGTAGTTCATAATTTTTAGGGTCGAGTCCGCTTTTACAGAAATGGTAACAGAAAATTTTCTATGAATGTTTTCCAAGTTCGTCGTGGTATGTTTAGTGTGCGAAACCATTAAAGTACTTTTGCGAAAAATGATGATTTTATTACTTTCGTTCGATATGTAGATGGATTTGGCTATTTGGTAGGAAACTATGATGAAAACAACGAGATTTACAGACCTCAAAACATTATGTGGCAAGGTAATTGATGTAGCCACGTTTTTATTTTCATTGGGTTGTATCATAGCTAAATGAGAAAATTGCATTTTAGCTTTTGAGCCTTTTTGTAAATTATTCACTTCGGTCCGGTAATCTGGGTGATTTACAGCTATTTTGCTATCTTTCAACGGTTGTGTGACTTTTTGTCATCATTTGAATTAATCCAGCTACATTGAATAAACATATTTTATCCAGGCGGTTGGTTGTACCGTAGAACATCAAAAATCTACGAATGGCGCTTTATCAAACTTCCTCTCTTCGTTACGTGGTGTATTTTTGCTGGAATAGGAATGTTTTATGCTATTTTTTGTCTCGCATTTATCATCATATATCGTAGAAAAAGGTAATTTATAATTTCATATTAAGTTTTTGTGTTTCTATTTGCTTGCAATGTTTGTTCATAATTATTTAAATTGTTGATTTTAGTTGCATCAGATATTCATCTCCAACAATAAGCATCTTAATAATTACTGGTTGTATTTTAAATTTTATCGCTGTTGTGCTGTATGGAATGGATCATAAACAAGCTGGTATAACGCAGATGAACGCTATTTGTAAGGCATGTATACAAAAATAACTTTTCCTAGTTAGAACATGATACCTAGTGAAAATGGTATTCATTTATTTTTAAAATATTTAGCATGATTATGAAATGTAGTTATTGTTGCAGGTTCGTGTCTGGATTTTGTCTTTTGGTTTTACGTTTTGTATTGGAGGTCTTTGGGTTAAAGTTTGGACGCTGTATCAAATTTTAATTGAACGAAAAGTTTCCAAGAAGGTATACAAATATTTATTCAAGCACTACTACGCAGTTCATTCATAATTTAGCAACAACATTGATAGTTTAAGATTTTTATCTCACGCGTCAAGGCGGCGTTTATTAGATACAAGACGTTTATTTAATACGGGGCGTTTATTGGAACATTTACGGTGAACCAGATATAGCAAAACAAACATGGAATAAATACAAATAAAAAACACGCGAGTTTTCACTCGATGTTGGCATCGAAAAATTTTAATTTTGCATATAGTTTAAGTTTTTGCTTTTTGCAATAAGAAATTAAGAATAGAACATTCTAATTTAGCTGAAGATGGACCACTGGATGTTTGGGATTTTTATCTTTCTTCTATTCGTTGATATTATCTATTTAACATTATGGATGGTGATGAACGGATTATATCGAAGTTTTGTGACAATAACAGATCAAGCAAAGTATAAATGTTTTGAGGTTTGATTTTAAACTTTATTTATTTTGATAATAAAACAGACACTTTGTCTTTGGGACAAATCTAAACTTGTTTTAAAAAGAGCAAATAGCATGGCGAATGATCAAAATAATAACGTAATGGCTCTTAAAAGAACTGTTTAAAAACAGAACACTAGCCTAATAGGTATAAAAGAACTGTTTTAAACCTAAAAGACACGTGCATTTCGGCAGACTACTCGTCAGGTGTCAACGTATGGTCGTCTGATAAATGATAACTTAAAATCACACGTTACTTATAATAGTAAGAAAAAGTTAATGTCATCTCTAAATTGGGAGATGACGCCTGAAACAGAGATAAATTAAACACGTGATACTTTTGTCTGCAATTAGTATGCCGAAATGCATTATGTCTTTTAGCTTTAAAACAGTTCTTTTAGTGTTCTGGAATATTAAAAAGTTCTTTAAAAAACTATTCCGTTACTGTTTTAATCATTAACCGTATGGTATTCTTTTTAAAACAATTTTTACCAAATACGTCAGAAATATTCGGCCACCAAGAGACATAAATATTCTCAGGTTTTCAAGTTCGTAGGGAATATAAATGCAAGGCATAAACTGTGTATAAACAGCCATAACCACAGTCAACGTCAGATTGATCTCATAGTAAACAAATAAAGTACATTTTCAATAAAGTATGAAGAGTGTGTGTCATTTTTTAGAGAATATCTGAAAATCCGTTCATTTCTTCAACATGGTACATTGAAATATGTAATTGTGACAATTTAAAAATATGGTCAGTTATCTTCATCACGTATAAAGTGTTACTATTGATGTATGGTGTATACATGGCATGGAAAGTACGTCAAGTACATACTAGCAAGCTTATTGATGCGCAGTATTGTGCATGTTTATTATTTGTATCCGTTCCGTTCGTCGTGTTTGGTTTAATCTTCGCCTATACACTCCATCATCATCCGACATTACATTATGCTTTCATTGGAATTATTATTATCATTTATACTTACATTGTCCTTGGATTTCTTTATGGACATAAGGTAAGTTTACTACATAAACACGGCAACTATAATAATTATTTTTATTCTTCATAATATTGTCATCATATTTCTCATTCATTAAGTCACTAAACAATCACAAGCAAATAAATATCATTACCTATATCAATATTGTTCATTGAACAATATTATTTTTAGATCGTTTTTCTTCCTAATTTCTTAAGCTTTATATATTTTTAATACTTTGGTTCTAGATGATGAGCATATTTTACCGTCCAAGAAATAAAATCAAAGTTCGTAGCTGTGACAAATCATCAAAATCAAAACACAAGGCAGGACGAGTCCTTGCAGTATGTTTTGCTCCTATTGGTAAATGTTTTGCTGTTTTGTGTTGCTGCGTATGTTGTCCTTTTGCGTGCTGCAAGGGGTTATGGGACGCATTTATCTATGGTCCCAAGAAATATCGAAATCAACAATTATTTTCACAAAACCACGAAAAATTTGATTTTCAAATTGGAGATGTGCTTGAAGATAAAGAAAGACAGATTGTTTTGTTGGAGAAGGACGTAAAAAATGTAAACATTATTTGTATTTAACATCTTATTCTATCATTGTGTAATAACGTTTATGATTTAGTTATATCAGTTTCTAAGATGGAAAATTTTGCAGCCATTTATTATGTATTTTAGGGAGACATAGAGCTGAAAAGACTACGTCAAATCCACCCAACAACTTCAATAGCAAAAGAAACTCAGACTGTGTTCTCTATGGGCAACGATGACGTCAATCATATGAATGACGCACAATATTTAAATGAGGGATTCATGGATAGCTGTGAGAATAAGCGTTGCGTATTAGAAAAACAGAAAGTCAGTCAGTATAAAGTCTTTCATCGTAAATTAGATTTCTCTCATGTTGGCAGTAAGGTAAATATTGATATTCTTACACCATTTTTTTAAATATAGCAAAATATCTTAGTCTGTTTGTGTTTGTCACAACTTGAACAAGTAAAATATTAATTTTTTGTCCAACAGAAAATCATTCAGTTGATTATCAACATTAACTTTTTTTCTTTCCGAGAGTTTAAAATTAATGTGTTTGTTGGACTGGCAAGCTTAACCAGTTGTTGTTACTATAAAGTTTGCATATTTTTGTGTTGAATAATTTCCAGGTTGACAGTGGACTCGACAGAAGATTTAGCAAAAGAGACAGTTTACCGTTGTTAGAAGATAGTCAAAGACGTGAATCTTCTGATTCTCAGATATTCTTACTTCAAAAAACTTTATCAGAGGTGAAATATCTATTAAACAAGACATTAAATATGATGTGTTTTCTAAGTAGAATGCATTTTCATACAGAGAGATAAAGAGCTTGCAAAACTCAAGGCTCAACTAGCCAAACAACATGAATTGCCAAATGAAGACGTGTCTAGTAAAACTAAACGTTTGACAAGTGTAAATGAGGTTTGTATGATTTATTCATTTTATAGAAAAATATTTATTGGTTGGCTTATTGCCTGTCTTATGATAAAAAATTTCCAATCAATTTATTTACCATTACTTTTGGTTGATGTTAAATTTGGTGTAATTTTTTTAAAAGGAACCTGGCTCAACAGGAGTTAACAATGTAAACAAAATTGCCATAACAATAGAAAGCTTTGATTTTGACAACGATCTAAAAATTAATGCTGATGATTTAAGTGAAGAAATTAATAAAAGAGAAAGTCCCAATCCGGAGGAAAATATAAAGAATGAAGAAGAAAAAATGGGGGTATTACAGGATCAAGCAAAACTTAAAGATAACAAAGAAAATAGAAATGAAGTAATAGTGAACACAAGTAAGCAAGAAGTTACAAAAGATAACGAAACGCAATTTTCAAATAATGTTGAAAGCATTCCTCAGGTTGATGTTTCAAGTTTCAAAACAGAGAAAGTCGAAAATGAAGAGAAAAACGGCGAAAAATCTGTTAGCAATGCAATACAGAGAAGTGATCTTCCAGATAAAGAAATGGAAAATGATGAATCAACGCTATCAACAAACAAATATGAATCAAAGAGTAAAGATGGCTATATTAAGTCCAGAAATGATGTGAAGATATTTAATGCACCAACAAATTGGTCACACGTCAAATCTCGTATCTTTGATAACAACGAAAATAATTAAAAGTCAAGCCAGAAATAAGACGACTTTCATTCAAAGATGATTCAAAACATGACTCAAATGTCTCTCCTGTCGATTACTCTTATGTGAAGACACGACTATACGATACAACTGCAACGTTTAGACGAAAATCTAAAGTTGGATTTGAAGATGATACAAACACAACCAACTTAAACGATGACACAAAAAAAAGGAATGCAGTAAAGATTTTTAATTCTTCACAAGATTACTCTCATATCAAGTCTCGATTGTTTGACTCAAGTCAAATAAACTCGGATAATTTATTGAAACCTTCAACCAATAATCGTCGTAAATCTAAGATTGGGATCGATGGAGAAAAAGAATCAAATGATTTTACGAAAAGGAGAGAGAGTGAAAATGCCTTAAAACTGTCACCAAGCAACAGGCGAAAATCAAAACTTGGTTTCGATGACGAAAATGAACATTTATCAAGAAGACGATCTAGTGTAAAAATTTTTAATGCACCTGTTGACTACTCTTATGTCAAATCTAGATTATTCGACGTAGATGGATCAACCAACAGAAGATCATCTCAAATTAATCAACAGAACGGTATTGTTACAAAAGATTATAGCGAATCAGGTCAATAAAATTCCATAAAATTCTCGAAAATGTCAAGAATAACGCACCAAAAGAATAGTTAACGTTGTGTTCTCATAAATGATATTTTTTCACTCGAGTAAACACAAATAAAATAAAAAATAGTTTCATGATTAACGAACATCCAAGTCTACGTTCTGTGAAAACTTGAAAACTGTTTTTAGTTTTTTAAATTTACATCAAAGATTTTATTTGGTTTTGCACAAACTTTACTGTATTTTCCAACTTATGGAATTATTTTCAATTATCTATCACAACAACTGGCCAAAATTTGAACAGTTTTAATGCTCTTTTAATTTTAATGTACATTAAAATACATATGTATAAAATGTATAAATGCACTTATAATACATAAATCAGCACGAAGGTTTTTGAAGGTAACAAGATTTTACAAAGTTCAAATTGAAAATTGTAGTAAAATTTCTTTCACTCTCTCCCTTGAAATGGAAGCAATCTTTCGTAAATTCGTGTGATCCCAAAGATATAATATCTCTGTTTCTTTCTATAACATTCCTCTTTCTTTATAGCTATAGTAAATTTGATGGGCTATATCAACTTCTTTCATGGCTTTGAAAAATATTCGCTTTGATCTGCTACTAAAGCTTATAGTTGACTGCCGTTTGCTAAACAATTCTGCATCAGATGAAAAACAACCATCTGCATTTCTGATTCGTAGATTCGTTGAATTTACTAAGCATGAATGTCGAGTGACGCGGTACTGTGGAAATATTGATGAGCAAAAAATTGCTATTAAACTTTCGTGACGCCTTTTGAAACGGTACTTGATCATGTAAATGAAATTTAATTCTTAAATTGATATGTTTTGCAACTGGAGGGGCAAATGACAACAAATTATTAACAAAACTTTCTAATTTAGTTCTCACAATTCTATAGTTTAATGTTTCCGCAACAAATCTGAAAATCCTTTTGAAACAGTCTTTGTCGATAATAGAGTTTGACCTTGATGTAGGTCTTCTGTGGGTCATAATTTTCATATCTGTTTCCTAATGAAAATTATCTAAATTCTTTTATTGTTTTGGAGCAATTTTATGTGGAACAATATTTGCTAACCTTTGCTACATTAGGTGACTATAAGGAAATAGCCAAAAGCCAAATACTCAGAAAGGAACTTATTCTAACAAAGAAAATCTTATTTCAATAAAAAAAATGCTAAACACGTCATATTCAGATTCTAAAATTAGCTTAATTAAATGATTTTATAGATCACAAACACTTGTGCAAAGCTAAGTACTTATAATGACTTAAAGTAGTTAGTACTTATAAACAACTTATAATCATGTTCCATGTTAGAAATTTAATACAACGACTAAATACCAAAGTTCTCGCTTCGTTCGTCTTTGTTATTAGCAACGAGTATTATATTGAATCTTGTAACTATTAGTGACTTCTGTGTCTCTGTTTTGTAAATCTGTCATCGCGTGGAAATAATAAAACTTTAAATTCAATTACGTCTATGTCAATCCTTCAATGAGAATTTATAAAAAGAGTTTACTAATAACATTAATATCGCGTGATTGATCAACAACATACTTTTTTCATATAGAATCATAATCATCTTCCATCGTTTCCATGCAAGGTATAACAAGTGCTATTTTTTATTGGCTAAGTCAAAATGAGAAATATTTTTGACCCTTTGTTGATCTAGTTAATCGAAGCTGACATTAAATTGTTTTACTTATATATTAAAATAACAAACACAAGCCACAGGTTTCGACGATAATGTCATATAAATAAACAGAGACTATTAATTTCTACGACTTTTATACGTTGCAAATGTTTCACGAATAATGTGTAAAGCTGGTAGAAAAACAGACTTGATGCATCTATGTATTATATATATTTTAACCGGAAAACCTTTTGTACCTTTCATTCTGTATTTTTATTAAAATACCATAAATGGTGGATTCTGTCGTTTAGTCGGTATGACTGAGTATTATGAGGCTTTAGTAAAAGCAATTTTTAATTATACTGAGATTTCTAACTGAGAGATGCATTGTTGAATAGGAAATGTTGTTATTAACGACATAACTCTTCAAACAAATTGTTTCTTTTAACAGTCGGAGTTCACAGGACGTAATCCCATCAAACTCACGCCATGATACATGGAATTCAAAGATATTTGAGATACGTGTGGTTATAAAATAAAAAATTGATTCAGTGCTAACAGCTAGCACATTCCGTCATCTTATAATGGAAAATCCAATTAAGAAGAATCCCTTTTCACACAATCTCATTATGCCTGAAATAATAATGAAATGTCGTATTTGTGTTTGTTAGTTTCGTTTATTGTTTTATTCCCGTCACAATGTATGTATTTAATTTTAACTTTTTTGTTTCCACCGATATTATCTTTCAAAAAAAAGCCAAATCACATTTGCTATATTTCGTGAGTGAAGTTACTTATGTCGATGGGATGTTGAAAGACAAAAGCTCTGAAACCGCCATTTTTGAGTGATTAAAACAAGACATTCACTCTAGGGTGCATTCCGTTAAGATAATTATTTCTTTCTGTTTGCTGTTTTCTGCCATTTTTACAAAATTCGAGCGTGTGAGCTTTGTCAATTGATGCATTATCAATGTTGTCAATTGATAACATTTGTTTGAAATAGATGGCTTATTGAAGGCTTGTTAGGTTGCTTGAAATATTACAACATATCGTTAAAATTAAATTGTGTTTGTGGAGATACTTCATGTTGGCAAACATTTATACATATATGATTCTTATAATGATATCATACGTTTCATAAAATATTTCAACATTAAAATCATGTAATTAGCTTTAAATACTCCTATATTGCTGATACGGTTAACGATGCTTAAGGTTAAGAAACACGTCGACGCGTCTGTAACATAATACATATTTTGTCTCCTACTTTCTCCCGTCTTAAACTTTTCAAAACATCTCATTAATTCAATTTTCAGTAAGATGATAGGGTCATGAAATGTGACGTCATAAATTAGTAGTCGAGCAGGGTGAATGGTTCAGAAGTGTTATGGTGTCGTTCTGTGTGTGACAAGCTCTTGTTATTCAATGTGATTTACAAACATGGCTTTACTAAATTGTCTGGTTTTCTTGCAAATGCTAGCATTTTATTTATTTCATATAGGTAAGTATTTAGAATAATAAATCTTGCGTTCTGTATCTCGACGTTGACAATCCAACTAAACAGCGCGAAGCGTGTCAAATGGCAGTAGAGGGTACTAGTATCTACAATTCTTGCTGAGAATATGAAACTGCGCTTTGAATAGAATTATTATATTACATCGACACACTTAACGTTATTTGCTTTCTAAACATTTGCATTATTATTTCATTTACCATCAAGTTATTCATCAATACTTTCCTGTTCTGCTTGATTGCAAAAATTAAGCATAGATTGCTTGTAAATATTCTTTTGGAGTGTTTCAATTTACAGACTGTATGCGCTTTTCTTTGACAGACATTGGATACGTATTAGACACAATGGACAATGTGTTCAAGCTTTGTTTTATAAGATCATTTGTCTTAGCATCGTTGTAATACGAAAATTAACGTATCGTATGAGTCGATTTAATGTTATGGTTTGTTTAATTATTTTTCTTTATACTGCAGACTCAAAGACGCTGGACTATAATTCACCAGCAGTCAATGGTAAACTGCCCAGGTAAACATAGAAACGTATTTATTGTCGGCGGAGATTTGAAAATACTGTTGAATAAAAACAAAGAGTTAGGAGATCAATTGAGATGAAATGCTATGATGCATCAGCGTTAGAATTTAGTCGTTTGGATGTAACTTAATATCACACAATGGGGAAAATACACAATGTTTTTTTGGAGTTAACTATGACCATCTTGGTATATTATACTAATAGTTATAGGTCCATCGTTGACACTGTTTTTTAGTCTTCTTCATCTTTTCCGTTTAAATCCAAATAGCGTGCTTTTAAATTCAAATGACCCCATATGAGTTGTGAACTTTAAATTTATACCGCTAATGATAATAATTTTCCCACTTTTTGATCGAAAGCGAGTGTGTTTGAGGTCCATGTTTATGTTCAATGCTCAAAGTTCAATGTCTGCTTTGCTATTGGAATGTCGAACCACTTTTGAAGAAAGTATATGCACTAAAATCTATAAATATCGTCTACGGAAACTAAATTCAAGCAATGACATACCCGCTTATGCTTTGTACACGGTTAAATTATAACAAAGAGAAATTATGGTTCTTCTCAGGGCTATTTTTGGTATTATAATCAATGATTTTTCTTCGAGAATAAAACAACAAGGTCTTTCAATTGCCTGCATTTTTGTCGAAACATAGAATGAAGCATTTATGTTTAACGGTTGAATGTCAAGGTAATTAAAGATCATCTTTAATATTCGCTTTTCAACTGCCCACATGCATTAACTGCACAACAGAGTTCATTAAATCAAAGTTTAGTTTGCAGAAAATAAAATTATGAAATTAAAGATAGATGTTTCATAGTTATTCTTATGAAGAATATGTCGTACAATTGATCAATTAACTCCACCATGGCCATTTACATATAAAAGCATAAAGATTTTATTAAATTCCTGTTTTTTCGGCAGCAAAGGGGCCTTTTGCTTCAAGTGCTTTTTGTTCATTGAAATGTAAAGAACATTTGTTTCCGGCAATTTACTTTAACGCACTCTACATATAGTTCAGTGACGCACTCTTTACATATAGTTCAGTGAGATTTTTGCAAAAATTCCCATTAAAATGGTGGATCATTTAAAGTTTTAAGATCCTCAGTATAACTTATTTCATGGTGCGATATTTTCATAGCAGATTTCGTGGATGGATAAGTTCGTAGAAATAGTCATTTTCAGGATAGATTTTTGTTACAACTTAAATATCGCCGTATTTATAAAAAGACAATCGACAATATGTTTAGATGAAAATACAATGTGGAAAATCGTTTTCTATAGCCTACATAACATTTTATTTTTTGTTCAAAAGATGAGTTAGGGAGGTTTTTTCAGATTTGACACGATAAGATTAACTGTTGTGTATGCTTGTATGTGGCACAGTGTCTTTATAGCTTTTGTTTGCAGATGATAACTTGTTTCCTTAAATGTATGTAAAGGACATCTATTTATAACGATAATGAATTTTTTGTGATGCCTAATTATAACAACTTAGAAAACTACAGCATTTTTAATATTTCTTGTGATTATAGTGAATTAATTGAATAATGCCGAAACTCGCACCTTGCTTTTTGTAAAAACTCGTATGAGAGCATTTGTGTATGTGTAACATGAAGTTATTTGTAACTTTAGCCATTGCATTAAATAATTTTATCATATAATTTCCACGTTAGTCTCGTCACTTTTCTTCCAAAATTTCCCAACAACGTTTTACATAAAATTCCATTAAGAAAACGTCAAGCTTGCCTTGAAAACGGCCTTTATCTAGCTAGCAATCTTCAATATACTTACTGATTCTGTCCCCAAAACTCGGAGAAATTGAAATCGTGTAAAGAAATACCAAAGATAGCTCAACTTGGTGGGCAATTTGCTCTGTTAGAAGAAAGGATGTAAAGTTCGAATTCCACAAACGAAAGTTTGCTTCTTTGAAATAATGAAGAAATATTGAGAATATACATATCTAGTTATGTGCCATATGTACATGCAATTATTCATTGGATTAATTAAACAATTACTAATACTCGTAAATGACGTAAAACTTGTTCAATGATTGCGTCTAAGACATATGCTTTATGGAATGAAAATTTTATTTCTAGCATAAGAGTTTTTGATTTTGAAAATGCAAATATTCAGTTTCTATCTCCGTAATTTTTGTTGAGTTAGTTATTTAGATATCATTACCAAATACCTATCTTTGTCACAGCTTGACTTCACTTAACAGCGTCATTTCAACTGTCCATTATTAATTTCCTCCACTTGCATTCAACCATCCTAATGAAAATATCTATTTTCAGACACACTTGCCAAATTCTTTATAATTCTAGTATATTAATGATTTTAATACCGTAAGCCATGTTTCATTATTTCTTGAAATATTTGTAAATAACCAAAAATAATCAAAGTTTTTAGTTATATTCTAAACGTGTGTTAATGGAACCATATTCTAAGGGACAACTGAAAAGTATAAACTTGACATAATCAAGTTTACTTGCTTCTTTTCGTACAAACACAAGCAATAAAGTAACTTATCAATATAAGTTTCTGTAGTTTTATTTTCATGCATAACTGTTTCTTGTCTATATCTATTTTTTCTTTGTTGTGTGAAGCGTAAAAACGAACTCTGAATAAACCTCATATTTTCTCCGTGCTGCCTAACACCGAAAATGAAATAAAAAAATTGTATCTCACGTAAAAGAGAGCTTTGACAGATAACACGTACTTAAAAAGATCTCAAGTAGTCTGAACACAGGAAGAATATAATTTAATTTTATCGACTCGAAAACACGTTATTATTAAATGAAAAAATTATTGGATTATCTTCCCTCACCCACTACTTCAGTAATTTTTAAAGTGATAATGAAAAATGAGTTTTTATAATCTCATTTACATTTGCTAACCGTAAGATCCAATTGACCAATAAATTACTTTCTTTTCACCGTCTCCAGCTTGCGACATAAAAGATTTTTCTGAATGTTTTAGCTCTATATGGGTTTGGTGTCAAATTTAAGGCACATATTAGATCTCTATTTATATATTTTCAACGCTTAAAATTAAAAATTTCTCACAATGACTTTTTGCCAAAGGTAAAATTACGTGAAAGGCCGCTGGTAATCATTTATCATACTCGTGTTCAGTACTGTAGGAGGGTAGTTCAAGAGGGTCATATAAGACAATATGCTCTAAATTTAAATTATTGAATAGCTAATCTAGTCAAGAAGTCAAGTATTTTTACGTTTCTCCACTCAAGCAAAATTTCATTGAGTTGTCTTGCGCATGTCAATTGAGTGTCAGATCTAATATTAATTGTTTTGGCAAAGTTTATATCAAGTAAACGTGGCTTTAAGTAAAATATATGATTTATTATTGTTAAATTACTTTCTAGGTGGTATTTTGTGCATATAAAATACCAAATATCTTCGATACATTAGTTCTTGATGAATATGCATTAAATATATGTATCAATTTTCCACACTAAAGAAAATTTTATTAAATTTTATAGCAAATGTGAAGTATACAATGGACAAATTTGTGCTGCCTTTGTTGGAAACATGTCAGTTTATATTCCACCAGCTTCATCACAACTTTTGAAGAACAGGCAATTGACAGCGTTACTAAGCGTCATTCCACAATACATATCGCAACAATGCAAACCTTACGCTTTAAAAGCACTTTGTCTGTCAAAATTTCCACCTTGCGATCTTACTGTGAATTATCCTAAGAAACGAATGTTTTGTCATGACGAATGCCTTTTATTAGAACAATATATTTGTTTAAATGAGTTTACACTTGGTATTTCCAAATATATGATATTACCAATACCGCCATGTTCCACATTACCCAAGGTTGGTTCTGATGAATACAAGAAATGTGTTCGAATGAATGTTACAAGTAAGTACTACAGTAAATTTGTCATTTTCATTGCAAAAGTATTATAGAGTGTTGCAAGTAAACTGACTTGACAAAATATCATTGTTTAGAAATTTGTTTTTTTCTTTCTGATGAAGTTTGATTTTGTTCTGTTTTATCGTTTGAAAAATTCTATATCCAGTCTGTTTTATCGTTTGAAAAATTCTTTATCCAGTCTGTTTTATCGTTTGAAAAATTCTTTATCCAGTCTGTTTTATCGTTTCTGATTGCATTAAATTTGCAATACGCCAAGCGTTTCATCCAACATTTGACGATATTTTTGTATAGTGACATTACATCGCGTTAATGTTCTAACGAGCATCAAGTTTTGCATCAAAATTCATAATTACAGCCAGAAATGAAAGAAAGCAAACAAATCTTTGATCCAACTAATTTGACGTGCACTCGAATGTCGAAGCTTAACTGGTTCATAGCACAATTTCTTCAACATAACTTTTGTAAAACTTAATGACGACCATCGAGCCCGTTTAAAAGTGTAAAAAGGAGGGTGAGACTAGATAAAACGTGACAATACTCTATATGTTATGGACGCTGAATTTTATCAAATATGAATGTTTATGAAAAAAAGGGTGGTTTTGATCTCTCCTCTTTCTCCCCCTAGCCTTATAGTTACTAAAATTTCTGGAACCATATTTTACTTTTTATCTGATACATTTTTGTATACACTGAATAAATTTGTTTTTATTTAGTTGATCCACTTGTGTTCAGACTGCAGCTGAAAAACCAAAACGTTAAAGTTGGCGAGACGGTCGTTCTCAGATGTAAACTCAAACTGACTAAAATACCACCGACAATTACATGGTTTAAAAATGGTCACGTGATTCAGGCCGGTCATGAACATTATAAGATTCATCTGTTTCGTCACAGTTCACGTTTAAAAATTCGTCGCATTAAAATTAAAGATGCTGGAAAATATACATGCCAGGCTTCCAACTACATCAGTAATATATCCAGTCATAGTCGGATTGTGGTATCACCACTTACTTCGTCCAGTAAGAAAAAGTTTTTGTTCGTTTCATTCACGCATGTATGGTTTAGTTTTTCAATAACTTTTTCTTTCTTATTCAATGCTGATATAATTTATAATTATTTTATTATTTTTACAGGTGTGTTCCCAGGCAGTAAAAAAGGAAGGTACAATAATTTATTGGCTATTATTGCTATAAAAAAGTAAAAATAATGCTTTTCTAGAATTCTAAAGTTTAGGCAAACTTCATTACTGAAATGTTCGAATATCGTTTCCAGTTAATACATTCAAGGATTTTACCTGTCGATAATGTGAATTTTCACTTTGTTGCAGTTGTAGGAATCTTCGACCAAGCACAATTTGTGGATCCTTCTTACAAAACGACAAAGTGTATTTTGAAAATTCCCAAACCCAAGCAGACAGTGAAAATTTTATTAAGAAGGAGCTTCTACGTCACCAGAATGTTACTAAGGACTGTTATGATCTTTTAAATGCTGCTTTGTGTTATGAAATGTTTCCTGCATGCGGGAAGAGAAACACAAAGAAAAACAGAATATGCAAGGATGATTGTTTGCTGCTAAAAAAAACTTGTAAAAATCACTTTTCAAAGCATTGCTCTCGCTTCCCTAAAAGATCGAGAAGGCGTGGAAAACATTGCAAACGACTGAGCAAAGGTAATTGAGAAAACTTCTTCTTAAGTTATAAAGAGTTGTTAATCTTTGTTAAAGATCATAATACTGATCATGTTTGACTTCCTTTTGATATTTTTTATTTTGTTTCTTTTTTATGAACAGTAGCTGAAAAGCCTCAAATCAAGTAAGTTAACATTTTTAATCAAAAAATTTAATCCGGAGATTTTTATTTTTTTACCCTTTGTTGCCGATTTGTTGGTTCTTCCAAAAAAGAACTCGAATGAAGTAGGTTTTTGTATGATCAAAAAAGTGTTGTTTTCAGAAAGAACGAGTCAATATTTTTCTTGTTTTTACCAGATGTGGTGCGTACAGAGGCAACGGTATTTGTAAAAAGTATGTTCAAAATGAAATCATATATTTCACTAACAAAGAACGGCAGCAACAGATGGAAAAAACAATCGAACTCAGTTTAGTAATGATATCGGAAGAATGTCTGCGTTTTGGAGTTCCTGCCATCTGTTATCATTTGTTTCCAGTTTGCTTTCACGGCGAGAAAAAATCTCGCTTGTGTCAAGATGAATGTCATAAAATTCAAACTGATGTTTGTAAAAATGAGATGTCAAAAATGTTGAAGTTCATATCCGAGGAACTTTTATTTCCGGATTGCTCAAGTCTTCCTAGATCCAATACTTCCTTTGGGGATCATTGTGTTCAGTTAGGAATACAAAAGAAGATTGTAAATGAAACAAAAAAATCCAATGTCAAGACTCAGTATGGTGAGTTGATTCTGAAATATCGTATATTGTTTTTGTCAAGCAAACTTTCTTTTCAATAACAAGTTCTGAAGAGGAGATCCCCATTTAACTTACTTTCGTCTTTCTTATCTATCATATCATTTATAAACATGTTTCTAGAAAACTACAAACAAGATAGAACTCGTTTAGTCGTGTTGATCGTTCATGTTTCTACTTCAAAATCTTTTCATAATCGTTCAATTCTTATCGTTAGTCGTAGTGCGTTTCTATGACAATTTCACAACTTTCTTCGTTGTGTTCATCTTTATTGCAAACACTTGGACATAAACTTCATGGGCCTAGGATATGTTTATATATTATATTTAAATTAAGCGAAAGTGCGGAGATATAACAGTATTTTGCTCTGCATTTATTGAAGTTGAGCACTAGTACTTAAATCATAAAATGTATTTTCAACGCAATGTTCCATGATCAATTGAGATCGATTTTAAGGCGATCCACGTAAATAAACTGAACTGTTATTGAATAAAACGTGTTCCCTTTATGTGTCTTTCAATTTGAAAAATGTCCGAATACTTATATACCTCTCTTTATTACTTTACTTAGCAAACTTTACTTTTCACCTTTAAAAAGCCAAAATAAACACACACAATCAATAGGCTCTTGACATTCTACTGATATAATTTCTTTATTTTCAGATTCAAATCATAAATGCTACAATAAATCTGGTGAGGACTATTTGGGTATGGTTAATGTTACTGTGTTTGGAAAGTCTTGCATTGCTTGGAACATAACTCGTCCTAATTTACATTGGCATCATAATTATTGTCGTAATCCTGACCCAAGCGCTCTTTCTCCATGGTGTTATGTAAATACGCAGAGAATGGAGTATTGTGATGTACCAAAATGTGAATCGCTTATTTCATGTAAGCTAACCTTAATTCATATTAAAATTTATATACTGTACATTAAGCAACATATAGCACACACAAATGTTTAGTGTTAAAAGTTAGTTCTGCAGAAGACAAGTTTTTAAGTTCAGTTGTATGTTTAGTGCGAAAGGCATGTTGTTTATAGAAGGAAATAGCACTTGTAACTTTGCTTTGAGTCTTTCACACTAGAACGAATGCTCAACAAAAAATAAAATACATAATTTGTTGCTGTGTAGCGAGAAAACATAACGTAATCAGTATTTTAGATTTTTTTGTATATGCTATAGTTGTCGGCCAGTACATTGCATAAAAAGCTGGGATTCTCTTCGCTGCTGATTTGTGAAAAAATAAATATTCTTATTTCTCTAGCTCTACATAAAACTGACGGTGATGGTACTTCATTGGGAAGAACAATTTATGTTGTAATTGCCATCGCTGCGGTTATTCTTTTGAGTTTTATTACTGTAATGGTGTATTGGAAAGTACAAAATTCAAAAGAAAGTGTAGATGTTTCTCCAGCAAATTCTGCTACACCATTGGCAAAGTGCTCTTCTTCTCAATCTTATGATCTCAAGGAAAACGCTTCTATACAATCTTTTGTTTTAAATGAAGTAAGTGCAAGGAAAACAATTGTGTATTGTAACACCAGAATGTTGTGCTTTGAACCCAATTGAATTGTTTTGCATTTTTTTCTTCACTTAACATCCCCTCTCTTACCTATTCTGCACCTGACTTACGAGCTTGAAAACGAAAAGAAAGTAATTCATATCCCAGATATCTATCAAAAAGTTTTTATAAAATTCAAAATGCTTAATCATGAACCGCCCACGCTCCGTTATCGGTAATCCCGTAATTCCGTGATTTCTTTAAAAATTTACTATTCTGCTCCTAAATGCATTAACTTACAAAAACGTATTTTTAAAATTCAATTTCAGAAATTAAATCGTGGCCGTGTTAAATATGTTGGTGTTATGAGCGAAGGGAAATTTTTCAAGGTCTTCAAGGGAGTTCTTATTAATGAAAATCATCAGGGAAACATAAATATTGTTATTAAAATTTTATGTGAAGACGCCAGTACGCACGAAAAGGAAGAATTTCATAAGGAGACTTGCTTACTTTGTCCTCTGCAACATGTGAACATATTAAGTCTTTTGGGTATTTCTCCTGCTCATGGTACAAAATTTGTCGTATTCGAATATCTTAGTGAAACAAATCTTCATCAGTACTTAAAACGAGCACTAAGTAATGCCTGTATACCTTCAACTGAAACATTTCTTCATATTGCAAGACAAGTAGCGAGTGGTTTAAAGTATTTGTCTGAGTTTAGCTATGTTCACGGTGATATTGCAGCAAGAAATTGCTTTATTTCTGATGCAGAGGAACACTCAGTCGTAAAGATTTCCATGTTAGCCATCGGTAGCCATAAATATCCCTCAGATTACGACTGGCTCGAGCAGGAGAATAAACTGTTTCCCATACGTTGGATGTCGCCTGAAGCCTTAAAAACGCTTGTTTTAAATAGTGAGAATGATGTATGGTCTTTTGCTGTTTTGCTATGGGAGATATTTTCGTGTGGACTCAAACCTTATTATCAATTTAGCAATCATGAAGTAATCAATAAAATCCGAGCCCATGAACTCTTGCGATGTCACGAAAAATGGCCAAAGTTTGTGAGGGACTTGCTAAACAGCTGCTGGTCGATTGAGCCATCGCAACGGCCTAACTTTGCCGATATTTATGAGGCCCTAAAATTTGAAGAACCAAAGCAGGCCACAGAGGATATCATTGAGGAAGTTGAAGTATAATGTAATTCAGCGGATTTGCTAACTTGCTCGTGTTTGAAAATCAATGATGTAAAATTTCTCTTGGAACAGTTCTTGAAAAGCATTCTCTCAAACAAGGCCAGCACTCTCTAGGTAGCCTGCTGAATTATCTCATTGGTTGGAGTGAGACATACTCCTTTATAACATCTACAATAGCTACAAAGATTTTATCAACATTCTCTGTGAATTTATAAATATGAACATAATTATCATACATTCAAAATCTATTTTTAACACGATCTTCTGTCATACTTGTAAATACAATTTCTTCCTTTACTTCTCACACTTGAAATTTATTTTGTTTTAGTTCTATTTTAGTTTTTATCACTGTGGAACCAGAATTTTACTGAAAAACTTCAACAGAGAAACTTTGTTTCATTATCATTCTTTGATCGACGAAACCCATTTTCACATAGTGCTTTATTCAAAGAAAGATTAGTTGGACTTACGTAATGCAAGTTTAATTTGTATAATTTAGGATTTGACTTTTGTTGATGTTTTAAGGCAGTCGATACAAAAGTTTTATGAAAGCAGTAACAAAAATACACATTTAAAATTTCATCCATGTGCTATTTTCCCTATCTTTTCTTGTTTTTCTTGAACTGAGGGAACTCTAGACATTTTTCTTTGCTTTTAAAGCGTGTACTGCTCCGTGTTCAGAAGTTTTTCCAAACCTAACGCATTCTACTAAATGATAATTAAATACACGATTGTATGTGTACCAATGCATGTATGTTTTCATGCATTAACCATGCATTTACTTTCCGTTTAAAAAACTCTTTCAAAAATTCTTACGATGTTTTTCATAAGAATTATGATTTATAATCCAAGAAATTAGTACAGTCTGCTTTCTTGTCATAGCCGACAATATTTTCATTTTGTCATTAATGCTCGGCACTCCCTGCAAATCCCTAGATAAGTTTCAAGTGCTTTCAATTTTTTGGCATCCATCATGACTTTCTTGTCTCAACCCGGACAATAAGCCATCCATCTCATTTTACATTTTATAATTTGAGCATTTAAAACTCGAAATGAAGAATGGAAAAAGTTGACAATGACAAAGTCAATGTGCTAATGAAGAATATTTTCGAATATTTTATAGTTCAACTTTAATCGAAACGTTTTGGAACTATATAAAAAATATAAGAATTAATTAATTCTGCTTTAGCCTTGGCACAATCTTATCATTAATTTATGTCTCGTGTTAATATTTGATACTCACATTACTATTTATGTACTTGTATTAATAAATCAAGATGAAATAAAACTTGGTTGATTGTCTTGGAGTTTATTTGGTTTATCCTTAAACGGGCTTCTTATGAATCTGCCCACAACAGGCCTACAGTTGTGCATTTCATAGCAACTCTTTGGAGCAAGAATAAATTCTTTCGTAGATATCTCTTCCCCAAACGTACGTAGTTTATGAAATTCAGGTCTCTATGTCGTAATTGCAGAAGGTCTCGTCTTTTTTTACTCTTTAGGTCTTTAAAATATTCCTTTCGAACAGATGGCTTTTGCTGATGTTTTTATGTGTGATCTCTTAGCTGGGTTACTACGCTTAATATTACTTTAAATAAAATATTTGTAAACAAAACAAGATACTTTCAAAATTAGTTGTATGTAATTATTGAAAGAAAAATTCAGGTTAGTTTGAAACAGTCCTGTGCTGTTTTGTTGAAACGTTTCTGTTACAGGAAATTTGATGTTCATTCGTTTGACACTGGGGGAGGGGCTAGCGTAATTTTTTGAACAATATGAGACACAGGGGGAGGGGCTAGCGCATGTTTTTGAAAAATATGAACTCGTATAATTAATGCAAAAAATGTCTCATGTAGCGCGCATTCATATCGTGGCGATGTGACAAGAAACGGCTGGTTGTCATTTGATGAACGCTCACTTTGTCGATCATCTTCACGCAAATACCATTTTGTAGACGATGTATAATTATATTTGGCTGATTTTCTTATTACTGGTGTTAGTAATAAGCGGTGAGTAAGACTCTATTGCCACTTCTTCTTTGTACAACATGTTTGTTTGCTTTAAAACTATGCTACAATTTGCAGTATAACTATGGAATAGAAATTATTTCGCGACCTATCGATACACATGACATTTCGCAGCAGAATTGAGAAAATGCTGTTTGTTAGATTAGTCAGTTTGTCAAAGTAATTCCAGCTATACAAGGTCTATCTTCCGGCGGATTTTGTAACTACGTTGATGATAAAGTTGGTAGTTAGGTTGCTTGAGCTTGCTGTGAGCCTACAGCGAACAGACGGCCTTGTTGAACATGTAAGCGGTATTGATCTAATTTTAATCTTTATCCATTTAATAGATGTTTTACCATTTAAGAAGAAAAAGTCATCGACTTCATTGTAAGTTTTAACGAGATTTAGCTTGTGTTTAAATTCTTGATTAATTCTCTAAGAAAGCATGTTTACTTGTTTAATGCAGCAAATAATTGAATGTGATCGCATTTTGCTTCATTCCTCCGGCATCAGTTAGTGTGGCAAATTTAATCATTTCGTATAAAGACAACAAGAAAATGTTTGACTGAGTTGCGGCTGCGTTTAATTGCGACATAAATTGGGTTCTAGTAGTATAATGGAAGGCAAAACATGTGCGATTCTTATTCCAAAGACAACTTCTACAATTGAAATGATCATATTTCATCATAACCGTTTGTATTTATAGTTTCATTACTGAACGTGTGAGCCATTAGCAAAGCATTCCTGCCAACCTGCAGACAGATCCATATTATAAACGCATTATAACATTGGGGGTTATACTGTTAATTATTTTCCTTTATTTTATGATCATAAAATACTTTGATAGTTATCTTATTTGTGGCAAATATCAACGATAGTTGATATTTTTTCAATTCCTCCTCGAATTTTGTGAATAAATTTACGAAATTGTTTTGTTAAATCGACTTTGTCTGGGCAATATCTATGGCTCTTCCAACGCAAATTACTTTATACTGTGTGATATGTTAGAGTGTTGTTTATGAAAGAATACCAGAAAATGATATTTTCTCAGTTATTTTCATTTCTTAGTGTAATATGATTTTTCCAACAATATACAATGTTAATAAATGTAATTTGAGTGACGGATGTATCAGTTTAGTGAAACAATTTTACACGTACGTGTGTGATGTTTTTACTAGACTAAACATATTGCGACGCAGGTGTTGGTACTGTTATTTAAATAATAGCATTTTGTACGCTCATTGCGATTTATGTTCATTTCGTCGAACGAGTTTGGCAAAGTAGGAGTTTTCCCGATTTTATGTTTGTTGCAATTTACGGAGTATGGACTATTGTGTCTGTTATGGCTATTCACTGTTATTTTCGTTTAAAATTTCCATAAAGTAACACAAAGAGATCCTCAGTTTTTACATAGCCATATGATGTCGAAACAAAAGTCTAACTCTACCTCTACTAGTTGGGGGTAAACTTGGGTATTTTGTTTTGCTCGAAACCTTTCTTATTAATACAAATAGCTGTGTTCGTTAATGGCCATTCAATGAAGCAGAACGTACTTAATATTGTTTTAAAACCTCGTATCCTGTAGTTACTTTTAAAGCCTTTTGTCTTTTTTCAATTTGTTTTAAAAGCTTTACTTAGAGCTTATTTATTTAGCGCGACTTTAGGCCGCATTCCTCACTGTCAGAGTCGATCGAAGAGTTGTTTTAATTAACTGTCTTTTAAACAGCGCATGATAATTCTTATTTCCATTAAAGGTGGGAGAGCCAAACATGAATTTGGAGCAAGATGTTTTACAGTTGTCTTAGTTTGCGTCCAATCTGTGAAATAATATTTGTTTTAAGGGTAGTTATAATTGAATACATTCCATGATTAACAACAAAAATGCATTCACTGTCTATGTATACGTTGTACTTACAGTAATTATTATTGACTAAGAAACTCTTATTTATTGCTCAATAAGACCAAAACACAATTTATTATATTGTAAATTGTTACTAGTAAGGGAAATGAATTTTTGAGTTTAACAATACAATCTTTCCTTTATGAAAATGTTGTGACCCTGTAGAGTGTTTGAAAACTATAAATTGGACATATGTAACAATAGCAGGAAATTATATTTTTGCCTTCGTCATATGTCGCACGAGAAAAGCTGATTACTTTTTAAAGATCAATATGTTATGTTTTAACTTGATGATATTAGTATATCCATTATAAGAATTAATTCCTTTTGACATATTACCAAACTGATAATTCTTTAGAATTATTTTAACCATTATTTTTATGTTTTCTAACCATTATTTTTATGATGTTTCCTAACCATTATTTTTATGATGTTTTCTAACCATTATTTTTATGATGTTTCCTAACAATTATTTTTATGATGTTTTCTAACAATTATTTTTATGATGTTTTCTAACAATTATTTTTATGATGTTTTCTAACCATTATTTTTATGATGTGTTTCCTAACCATTATTTTTATGATGTTTCCTAACAATTATTTTTATGATGTTTTCTAACAATTATTTTTATGATGTTTTCTAACCATTATTTTTATGATGTTTTCTAACCATTATTTTCATGATGCTTTCTAACCATTATTTTTATGATGTGTTTCCTAACCATTATTTTTATGATGTTTCCTAACCATTATTTTATGATGTTTTCTAACCATTATTTTTTGATTTTTCTAACCATTATTTTTATGATGTTTTCTAACCATTATTTTTATGATGTTTTAAACCATTATTTTTATGATGTTTTCTAACCATTATTTTTATGATGTTTTCTAACCATTATTTTTATGATGTTTCCTAACCATTATTTTTATGATGTTTTCTAACCATTATTTTTATGATGTTTTCTAACCATTATTTTTATGATGTTTTCTAACCATTATTTTTATGATGTTTTCTAACCATTATTTTTATGATGTTTTCTAACCATTATTTTTATGATGTTTCCTAACAATTATTTTTATGATGTTTCCTAACCATTATTTTTATGATGTTTTCTAACCATTATTTTTATGATGTTTTCTAACAATTATTTTTATGATGTTTTCTAACAATTATTTTTATGATGTTTTCTAACCATTATTTTTATGATGTTTTCTAATGATTTTTTTTATGATGTTTTCTAACCATTATTTTTATGATGTTTTCTAACCATTATTTTTATGATGTTTCCTAACAATTATTTTTATGATGTTTTCTAACAATTATTTTTATGATGTTTTCTAACCATTATTTTTATGATGTTTTCTAACAATTATTTTTATGATGTTTTCTAACAATTATTTTTATGATGTTTTCTAACCATTATTTTTATGATGTTTTCTAACCATTATTTTTATGATGTTTTCTAACAATTATTTTTATGATGTTTTCTAACAATTATTTTTATGATGTTTTCTAACAATTATTTTTATGATGTTTCCTAACAATTATTTTTATGATGTTTTCTAAGAATTATTTTTATGATGTTTTCTAACCATTATTTTTATGATGCTTTCTAACCATTATTTTTATGATGTTTTCTAACCATTATTTTTATGATGTTTTCTAACCATTATTTTTATGATGTTTTCTAACCATTATTTTTATGATGTTTTCTAACCATTATTTTATGATGTTTTCTAACCATTATTTTATGATGTTTTCTAACCATTATTTTTATGATGTTTTCTAACAATTATTTTTATGATGTTTTCTAACAATTATTTTTATGATGTTTTCTAACCATTATTTTTATGATGTTTTCTAACAATTATTTTTATGATGTTTTCTAACAATTATTTTTATGATGTTTTCTAACCATTATTTTTATGATGTTTTCTAACCATTATTTTTATGATGTTTTCTAACCATTATTTTTATGATGTTTTCTAACCATTATTTTTATGATGTTTTCTAACCATTATTTTCATGATATTTTCTAACCATTATTTTTATGATGGTTTTCGACTGTGTTCAATTGGTAAATAATTAGATGTAAATAGTCTGAAATGCCTGAATGAATTTAAAATATCATTTTTATGACGTATTGAAGTGAATATGGTTGAAATTTGTTTCAATTTTTTGTCTATGCACAAAGTATGTGATTCTAAAATGAGCTATTATTCCTAATTTTTCTGCTTTCAGTTTGGTTAATTAGGATAATTTTTAATATTTTTCCATTTTCAGTTCAAGTCTTTTCCATTTTGTCATAAGATTAGAGTACGTTTTCACTGAAAAGGACACAAATTGTGTAAAAAACACACTTATTTTGAAGCCTGGACGCATGTTCGACTATTTTAAATGAGAAATATATGGCTTTTGATTAAAGAAACGTTTCAAACATGGACACCTTGTTTACTAATTTATTATTAGCATGAATATAGAACAAGACCTTCAAACATTTTAAATTGACTTTTCACTAAGACTGCAATGATATGGTTAATTGAGCCTCAACTGACAATATTCGATATTCCTATACATTGAATGCAGTAAGCGATTTGATCATTTTTACCAAAGAGCACTCACTAGGTACGAGCAACTCGCTCATTTAATCTTTAATTTTGTGTGTACCAATAAATTAAGCAAGCAGACGCTCCCCTCCTCCCTCCTAAAGTTGGGAAGGAACTGTTGAGAATTCAAATAACAAACTACGTAGCGCGTGTTGGGATGCTAGATTCACACTTTACACAACACTGTTAATTTTACTTTAGTCTTGTCAACAATGTCCTCGATACACGGGTAAATGACGGTTTAACGATTTAGTGAATCAGTTTAGGCCCCAACCCTCTCTGGAAGTTCTCGATCTCGCGTGCTCGCGTACATTTCTTGGAATTGGTAGCAATGGTCTTGAAAGAATGTCAATTTACCTGAACAACTGATTAAAACACACTTCTCAGAATGACTTTTGAATATGTTGAAAACATGGATATTTCAGTTATTGTTTTGTATTGTTTGATTTTTTTTTTATCAAAACTTTTTTCTTTAAACACAGTCGCAGAAAGACAAGCAAGAAGTTTTGCGATGATTGTAAAGGTATGGAAAATTTTCGAAATATTTTACTTTTTAGTTTTTCACGTTTCCAACGCAGGCCTAAGTTGAAAATGCATGTTATTGGAAAATCTACTTCTCCGGCGAAACTAAATGGTTTTCATTTTAAAATTGAAACTGTCGGCGATTGTCTTCCTAAAGGTTTTGTGTCTGCCGACTGGTTGTATGTTTGTATTGGACGGATGGAAACCTGGAACTTTTTTATATTTGTTTTTAAGTTGCTTCATGATTTAGGCCCTTTAATGACTAGTTAAATATTTAAGTACAGCAATTCTAAAACAATGAAATTTGACTTTCAAAGGCTTAACAATATTGACTTTTGATTCTTTTTTAAAGTGCTTCGAAAAGTGTATAATCAGACGGTGGAGCTTGGAAATAGAGTGACGTTAAAATGTAGTTTTCAAGGTATTAAATATGCAAACATCACGTGGTACTGGAACAAGAAAAGATTAAAGAAACAAAAAAACATTGCCATTAGTAAATTTGGTTCTCATATTGGTTCTCATATTGGTTCTAAGCTCCGCATAAAGGAAATGAAAAAAAACAATGTTGGCTTGTACAGTTGTGTTGGTGTTGATCCTAACGATAAATATGCACTTAGTAGTGGATATATAAAGATAAAACAAGGTAGGTGATACTGTACATAATTACTCCTAATTATATATGTTTATACCTTGTGATCATAATATATTTTTAAGCTCGGATCTCCATGACCAAACCAAGTAAATCTTGGTACCACTTACGACATAAACATAAACATAATTTTTCTAAATTGCAATAAACTGCAATGAACACAAGCACCTGCATAAGAAGAACGGAAAGTTTTGATAATCTTGTGCTTTTGTTGCAAGTAAGGACCAGGCTTGAATTGCCTCCACCACCAAAAATTTTTATTGGTGTTATAAAAACTGTGTGTGATTTCTAAAGCATCGGAATAAAATTTTCAATTTTGTCAAATCGTCCTCTTGTTATGGCGGTGTAATGCTGCCTTTCAATGGGGTTTGTCCATCGTAACATGAAGTATTGATGTTTGGTTTTGGCCAAATTCTGACGTTATTCAAAATATATATTTCGTATTGACGATCAGTGAACTCCATATATATATATCTGGAATGATAACGACAATACATTTTATAGATATAAAATTGAAGCCAAAGTCCTAGTCTCTTGCGCGGTTTGTACGTCAGTTTCAGTCCTTCAAAGTCGAATATTCACGCGGTTTGTACGTCAGTTTCATTCCCCTGATTGCCAAACATACACGGCCAATATAAATTTGAATACAAATTGCAAAAGCATAAACATATAAACAACATCACGACAAACAACACACGAGGCCAACTCTTCGCAAAAGGTTATTTTTTACAGCTGAAACTTTACTACAGTGAGTTCGTTGTAACTTACAACTTGTAACGAGGAAAAGCCAACTGAAAATTACACTCAATGGTAAAAAGACAATACAATAAGAAAACATGACGAGAAAATATTCAAGCAAAAATTTTTCTTACATCCGAAGGTAAATTTTCAAACGGTGTCAGACAGTTCGTCTTTTTTTGTCATTTCAGTGGATTTAAAGATCTGTTTTTCCGAAGAAAAAAGAAACTTGAATATCCAGTTTCATAAAAAATATTGAGTCTATGACTCGCGTTTTTACTTTTTACAGAGCGATTGTATTTTTCATGGATTTTGATAGTGCTTGAAATAGTAAATGGTTGTCATCTCGATATCAATAATTGAATATCCTTAAAGACTTTGATATGTTTTAAAGGAAAACCGCAGCTTAAGAGCAGATCGACTGTGTATGACAAAAATATATAGTAGCTATATTAAAGATGTTTTCATTCTATATGTAAAATTTGTCGAATAAAAATTCATACCAACATATCCTCTTACTTTATTTGAAAAACGTAATAATACTTTTGCACTTAGGATGATGTAGAATTGAAATAAATATACTTCAAAAGATTTTCTTCATGAAGATAAAACTGACCAGTAAAATGAAATCTACTGAGGTCAAACTAAAGATCTAGGATACAAAAAAATACAAATTGTTTATAAACACGCGAGAAACACGAGTGATGACGAATGATGACGACAATTATTTTTTTGGCTTCAATTTTTGCCTTCGGTTATCATTCCAGTTATTCAAATGTCGAGTTCACTGTTGACGATTCCTTTCCATGACGTCATAAATGTAAGTCGTCCCAGTTCCCGACGACGGACAAGGAGAATTTTCGCTAAACAACCTTAAAAATGGAATGATTTGATCAAACTTAAGAATATTTTTTTCACTGATGTGTTAGAAATCGCATCTAGATTTGAAATCCCAAACAATTTTTTTTCCTGGAAAGGACAACTTCAGGATTAAGTTAGTATCGATCTTATTTTATATGGTCTTTTTTTATAGTGTATCCAACAACAACAAAACGGAATGGAAAATGTGAAACTTATCGTAAATCAATATGTTCTCCTTATATTAAAAGCAATACCATTTTTGTGGAAAATGACCCGATGAAAAGTCAAGATTTCATTGAAATGAAACTGAAGTTTGGCTTTGAGAAAATGAAAGCAAACATGACTGAATCATGCCAGAGCGTTGCACTTCCATTATGGTGTAATTATCATTTTCCTGCTTGTAATATTGCCGATTCAAAAACTCAACCAAAATCGATTTGTCGAAGTGATTGTCAAACAATACAGAATCAATATTGTAAAGGTGAATATGATCAAAGAAAGAGTTCTGAGGATGATTTATTTCCTGATTGTAACTTGTTGCCAAATGACGTTGAAAATCGTTCACAAAAGAACTGCATCTCAATAAAACAACACATGGTTATAGGTAAGTAGATAAAGCCTTGCTTTTTTTATTTATTTTATGTGTTAATATGATTGTTTATGGCCTTATTGCTATGGAACATTTGTTAATCCGCACACAAACACCTTCACAGTTTCTTCAAACGAAGAGGAGATTACATTGAAGTCGTTTTTGACGTGACCAATCGTCTTGCGCACTTTATAGTAAATGCCAATTTTAAAAATTTTAATATTTAGCTGTGTCGTTTGCGGTTTAGCGCATGCGCACTTTATAGTAAATGCCTTTATTTTCACTTTGTGTTTTCTGTTTCTTGACCGTTTTTCTATTTTTTTTTATTTCAGGTCCAACAAAAACAAGGTAAACCGTTGTTGATGTTCTTATTTATCATTGCAAGATGGCTTTATACTGACCCAATTTGTTGTTTGTGTGTAATTTGTAGAACTTTAGCTTTGTGTTTTGTTTTCAGTGGTCAATGTACAGTTTATAATGGCAACGTTTGTCCTACGATGAAAGGAAAAGAAGTCTTTGTGATGAGTGGTGTCACTAATGTTGTCGTTAGTGTTATAGAAAATCAGATCGAGAAAATTTCTAAAACGCTTAAAGTATCTCAGCAATGTAGCCGTTATATACGACCTTTATTATGTCACCTTCGTCTACCAGAATGTGATAAAACTGCATCTACTCCGAAGGCAAAGCCTATATGCAAAGATGAATGTTTATCTCTAAAAAACTTTTGCCAGAAAGAATATGCCGAAGTGGGACAATCTACGACATCAGATATTTTTTTTGATTGTTTCAATGTGCCCAAGTTGACTGTTGCCAGCGGCAAATGTTCGTCTATTGGGATTACTCAGTGTAAGTCTGGTGTCTTCTATTTTATCTTACTAGCTTTATCGTGCACTTAACAGCGAATATTTCTTTTTTTTTCAGATCCTGATATGTAAGTTGAATGAACGGGGATCCTGCAAGCTTTGATTTCATATGATGAAAATTGGCTTGCTTGAATGCAAACATATTTTCTGTTTTTTTAGGACAAGAGTTCCAAAAATCGGTAGATGTCAGCCATATACACAGAAAATCTGTAAAGAATATCTTGATAAGAAAAATATTTTTGTGGAAACGGGACAAATTGAATCTAATATTGAAAAAAAACTGGAAATTGCCCTTGCAACCATGAAGAAATCACAAATTAGCTCAAAATGTCAACCGTTTGTCTTGCCTGTAATGTGTTATCATTTGTTCCCGTTTTGTGAAGCAAATAGTAACAATCAACCAAAACCACAACGTATTTGTCGACAAGATTGCAAACGTGTGGAACACGAGTTTTGTCCGAGAGAACATCAGATCGCAGAAGATCAAAAATTGATGACTGCTCCTATGTTGTTTCCAAATTGCAATACATTATCTAAAATGAAATGTACGTCATTAAGGAAACTTTTCTTTGGAAATATTACAGGTAAAGAAGCTTTGAATATTGACAATTCGCCATTACTATGCAGTGTTCGATATCTGAGACGTAGAAGTTATTCAATTAAAATGTTTATTGTCTTATCAGTAGCAATGTAGCTGTTTCCCAATTTTCAAAGTTGTTGGTTATTCATTTTATTATAGAGCCTGCTGCTATTCATGGAGATTGTTACTTAAATAAAGGCGAGAATTACAAAGGTTTTGCAATAATGACCGAGTCTGGTGCGCTTTGCAAACGACGAACAAATACTCAGACATTACAATCTTCTAATTATTGCCGCAACTTCGATTCAAAGATGGAAAGACCTTGGTGTTACACTCAAGATGGCGATATTCAATTTTGTAACATACCAAAATGTGGTAAGTTTAGTTAACTAATCTTCATGTTTTTTTAGAATGAAAAATTTTAATAGTTACTAATTTTGCTTTTTGATTTCTGAACCCAAAATATTTGTTTCTTTATTTTTCAAAAATTTGCGCTTCTTACAGAGCTGCGTGCTTTTAATCACAAATTTGTATGCTTGCTTTTAATTTAATAGTGTATTGCTTTAAAAATAGTGAATTTTTTCAATTGTTTAAACACAAAATATTTTTTCTTTTCGGTAAAGTACCTCGAACTTTGTATTGCCCAATAATATGTGAAGTATAGTTGTAAATTTGTCGATTTGTGTATTTTGTAGAGAAAGCAGAAGGTCAACTGTGTCGTGCTAATTACAATCAGAAACACGTATTCAAAAAAACAGGGGCAGGGGGGGGTGTTTTACGTTCTGGCATTGAACGACTTTTATTGTGTTTTGATAGACGACATCCTACGAGTTTATCTGGATCGTTTTTATTCGTTCTTTGTCAGTTTACGAATCGTTATCTTTTATACATGTTTCACAAAAACTTGAGAGTGTCATAAATCCCACACCGTCTTTAATGTGCGACCCTAGTAGTTTATTTAATGTAAACATCATCTTTAATTATCTGCTTTCGCAGAGTTGAAAAATACCTTACAAAATGTAAGTGGAGAAGGTTATCTTGGTATAAAGAATACATCGATAAGCGGAAAAAAGTGTTTACCTTGGAATAAGCATGCACCTGAACTTAAACTGGGCCACAATTACTGTCGAAATCCTCGGGGTCAATATCATGAAGAAAAACCTTGGTGTTTCGTTAATGATCTTGATAAAAATGACCGGGAATATTGTAACATTCCATTGCAGAAGCGTACGAAACGTATGTATTGTTATTATTTGTTTAATTTTTATCCATGAAACATTTTAATATCTAAAGCGAAAGCTACATCGTATTTTCCACCAATTTTACCAACGATTTTTATCAACATGTGTCAAGCTCATGGATGTCTCCTTTTATTTACATAGAAGATAATGATAATGATGGATCCGCTGGTGGTTTGTCAAATCTTTTGTACACTGTCGTACCTTGTACAGTGTTTGGTATCATTGTTGCGATAGTTTTTATAGCTGTTTGTTGGCGGAAACATAAACAAGGTCCTTATACAATCAATAAAGATGCACTTTTGACTGTTCCAGTGTTTTTACCAGAGGTAAGGCTCGTTCACATCAGAATTATAGATTTTTTATAAACTGTTTTAAGATGAACCACTACTTAACAGAATTAAGCTAAGCGATACACCAGCATATTGTCTATTCATTTAAATGGTTCAGTGATACACGAGCATATTGTCTATTCATTTAAATGGTTCAGTGATACACGAGCATATTGTCTATTCATTTAAATGGTTCAGTGATACACGAGCATATTGTCTATTCATTTAAATGGTTCAGTGATACACGAGCATATTGTCTATTCATTTAAATGGTTCAGTGATACACGAGCATATTGTCTATTCATTTAAATGGTTCAGTGATACACGAGCATATTGTCTATTCATTTAAATGGTTCAGTGATACACGAGCATATTGTCTATTCATTTAAATGGTTCAGTGGTACACGAGCATATTGTCTATTCATTTAAATGGTTCAGCGGTATTTGTAAGTGAAATAGTTCTCAATGATCTATTTGCGTGATCTTTTAGCTGCGAAATATTCCTGGGGAGAATATTTTGTTATCAAAATTCATTGGAAATGGAAAATTTGGCTCAATCTACGCCGGTGAAATATGTTGCGAGGATTCGAGTCGTATAAGTAGGTTGGTTAAAGTCGCCCTTAACAATTGTCGCGAAGAATTCATGAATCAAGCGCAAATCTGGTCGCAGTTTCATCACCCAAATCTTCTCACTATAGACGCAATTACTCCGGGTACTGAGCCCGTAACGTTAGTATACGAGTCAGCAGCTCATGGTAATTTGTATCAATACTTGATACACCACTCACCAAACAACCCTAACCTAACACAAGATCACGTGTTATTGGATGAAGTAATGCTATTGGATATCTCACGTCAGATTGCTGCAGGAATGGCATATTTGTCATCACATGACTACGTTCATGGCGATCTTATGACACGTAATTGTCAAGTAGGTCATTGCAACGTAATCAAGATCACCGATTTTACGATCGATCGAGATATTTGTTATTATCGACGACCCAATCAACGAGCGTTAGCTCTGGCTTGGATGTCTCCTGAATGTATAGAGTCGGAAAATTACACTATATACTCCGACGTTTGGGCGTTTGGTGTTTTACTTTGGGAAATATTTACTTACGGTTTTCAACCATATTTTGGTTTCTCTTTTGCTGAGGTAAAAGCAAAAATTTTAAACATGGTGTTACTGGAGCAACCTCGCGATTGTGTCCCAGAGGTTTATGATCTTATGATGAGTTGTTGGATTAGAAAACCAAAAATGCGACCTCATTTTGTACATCTTCACAAAGAATTAAATGTTTTGTGCAATGAACTTGTTGAAGTCGAGTCGTGCTTTGATGATACAACAATAGATACATAGTATATAACAGAATTTATGCATAAAAAAAACTTGTAAATATGTTAACTAGCACCGTAGCAAATGAATATAATATTCGGAAGTATTCGTATTAAACTTCACAATTATTTTTCTAGTCAGCATGTGTAGATAAGTTCAAAGTATTTTTATTTTTGGCCATAACTCGGTAACATCACTGATAACATGAAAAATATCTTAAAGGAAGTAAACGCTTCTCCATAGTAAATTTTTTTTTGGTTTTGTTGCACCTTCGTTACTCCAAAACAAGTTTTCACTAAATGGAATCCAGAAGCATCCCTGTCGAAAAAAAAACGATATAAGTTGTTAAGCAATTGTGCGAAACATACAGAAACCCGGAGCATAACTACTAAGGTTCCAACTTGGCAAACCCGGGGTCCTATGACCTGCAGAAAATCCAACTTTGAAAGACCTAAAACTTAGGATCTTAAGGTGGTCACCCCCTCTATAGCAACTTTTTTTTATTTTTTTAATTTTTAAAGTGAAAATAACATTTTCTGAATGAGTAAGGTGATAGAAAATGATGTGCACAAAAAAAAATTCAGGAAGTTGCTAATTACACTAATTATCCATTATGGCATTAATTAGCCGTAATTAATTAACAGCATTAACATGATATCTCAAGAACAAGACATCACAATGAAACAAATAATACATTTTGAAAAGCCAATAATCTGAGCTAGAGAATGACATTTTTCAATTTTCTTCAAATTTTTATAAAAATTTAACAGCCGATTTATTGAATTGTCAGATATTTTGGGTTTTAATCCACCATTTTTAGGAAAAAGTGCAGAAATAATTCATCTATGAGGAAAATTTTAAAATTTGAAAATGTCAGTTTCTAGATTATATTGTACTAAATAAATATACAAAATATCAAGCTTCTACAATAAATATTTACAAAATTACAGTGTCACAAGTATTGGTGACACACAAAAATAACGAAATGGAGAAAAGTCAAGTTAAAGTTATAGTAAAGTTTTCATATCATTATACAGGGTTTAAAAGCTACCTGACTCATATGTAACTCCTTCATTGTCCTCAGCCTTGTCTAAATACTTTTTTCTATAATATCTTAGGGATTTTCTTTGTCCCTTCACCTTCTCAGTGCTCTTTTTTGCTGAAAGCTTTATTCGAGCCTGGTCACAAATGTTGAAGAAACCTGGTGTTATGTCCAAATCTTCAAATATCTTTAGGAAGGAAATGTCTCCATCATTAAATTTCAAAACAGCTAAATAAGTGGCAAGAGCCACAGTTTCATGTTCAACATAGATTGTCTTGGACATCTATCCCAAATAAGTCCATTCAAACATTCATTTGGATTTTGTGTCAAACCATGCATTTGTTTAATAATGTAGTGTCAGCCAAATCCTCAAAAATAGGCTCTAACAAATCAACAATGGACTTTGGAAGGCCATTCTTGTGGTTATAACCATCCTTTTCACGTTGATATCCACACCAACTGTCCACTTTTGGACAAAGGTGATGCTGTGGATTCTCCTTTGTTGATGCCACATGAAAAGTGATGCCTTCACAGCCTTTGCCATTTCCTCAACACTGTGAAGGTTTCTCTGATTGCCAGACCATAATAATTTTGGAGCACATCTATTTTGCCATCAGTTAGTCTACCTTTACCTGACATACCCTTCCCATCAGCGAGCTTTCTTCCTTTACTACTACTTTGAGTCTTAACCTACTTCCCACTCTTTTCTGCACATGCCCAATGCACTCCAATTTATTTGGTAGACAATCTTCTCCATATGGTTTGCTTGCTAGAATTGCATTATATGTAGATGAATCACCATCCCCAAGCATATGTTTATACTTCAGCCCTCTTGTAGCAATGGACCTTTCAAACATCCTCAGTGCACCTGCCGTTTCCATGCTGCCAGAACTCCCAGTATGATTTATTTTACAAACATGAGTTGCCTCCCATTCTTTAAATCTAGCATCACTTTGTTTCTTCCTCCACTTGATACACTGCTGACACTTGTCAGAAAGCACTTCTACGTCAAGGCACTTCTTGGTATCAAGGGAAATTACCGTGACAACACCATTGTGTGAAGAGTATCCTCGCTTCTGCCAGGTGCCATCAATGGAAATCCCACATTCTCCAGCATCATTTACAATCAAGTCCTTAACATGCATAGCATTATTCATCATGCTGTCAATTGCACACTGTTTCACAACTGGCAAAAGTTTTTTGTTTTGAATTTTGCTAAAGTTGTCACGCCTTGGTGGAGGAGGCATGTTTAGAACTTTAGTAAATGTCGTCATAGCAGTGTGACCTTTACCAATTTCTCTAAAGCTAGCACTGCTCGTACATTAATTTCATGGTTCTTTTTTGAAGAATTAAAACAATGCTTCCAATCGCATCCCACACATTGCAGTACAATGTAATGAGCAAAGCCATGCTTCTTCCTCATGTCAACATGACACCTCACATCATCAGCACAGTCGGGACATTTCAGAAGGTTTTCGAATACGCCAAACAAGATCATTAAATCAATGAATATGGTACCTTCTCTTATAGTGTCAAAATTCCCCGAGAAAGGAACATTTTTTGCACTCTCGGTGCCAATTTTTGCAGATGAAGGCCCAGCTGTTTGATCACTAGGTGCGCCATCTTTTAATCTCTTCGTCGTATTCTTAGGAGAAATTCTAGGCCGTTTTCTCTTTCTGTTTTTAAGATTTCCCATTTATTTTTGAAAATACAATAAAAAAAAACAAATAGAATTTATATAGAAACTAAAACAGCTCTTTCTTAACGCGAAATGTAAGAGAAAACTAAGATTTTCGTAGATGGCTTTGAGAAGCGTGTATATGCGAACTATACATGGCAGACAAAGTCATAGCGTTGTCAAGGCCAACCAAGGCTAGCAAAAGCAACCAATCACGGAGCAACATTCATCAAAAGACTTGAAATTACATACGCCAAAAGGACAAACCAAAAAATAATGGTTAAAAATGGATTTTGGTCGAAATTTTTCACGATTTTGGTACCTAAATGCGTTGCTAAGGCGTTGCTAAGGGTTAATTTCTTTGATAAGGTATGTTTGAGGGGATTTTTCTCACGGAGTATTATTTTTTAAAGAAAATCAACACTGCAGACTTAAACTACAATACTTAAAGTGCCAAAAATGACCAAAAAAAATTTTTGGAAAAATTTTTAAAAATTCATCTGACAAGAGGGGGTGACCACCTTAATTTTTCTTTTCCAAGATCTGGAGGATCTTAATATTTCTTTTTCAAGATCTGGAGATGAAGAGAAAAACTTAAGACAGGAGACTGTTGAAAGCAGGAAGCCTTTGTTCCAGTTGTAAATATTAAATTCAACATAAAAAAATGCACAACAAACAACTTTGGTTGCAACTTGCAAGGTAATGTGTTAGAAGATATTACTAACAGAAGATATGGCGAAGATATTCCGATTTCCTAAACTTTGTCATAATGAAAATTGACATGATTGAAAACACTGTGGAAAGCATCAAAACGTGTCATGACATTTCACATTTGGCTCACAAATTAATATTGTATATTGTTAAACTATTTAATATTTTACGTATGAAGTATATCGTATGAAATGGACGCTTAATCATTTCGTGTGGCTGGTCTGGTGGTGTTGCCCCGCAGACAGAAATATTCAGATAGAGTAGTTTATGTCCAATAATTCTTACATTAAGCAATGTCTGAAGTTTTTATACATTGAGTGCATTCAGCTGTGACTGCATCTACCTTCTGTCTTGGTTACAAGTAAGTTATCACCTCGTTCTAGTTCCTGCATTGTTTCGGCATTGTGTGAACCATTGATTGTATGAGAAGCATTTAATGTTGAGGATTGAATGATTTTGATCATCAATATTGTGCATTTAGTGTAAGAGATTTGAAGATGATTTCTTACATGGAAAGTAATATTTACTTAATCTTTAAAAACATTCCATTTATGATAATGTCAATAGCGTGTTGGGTGCTTAATTTATTTTATTCGTATAAATTTAATTCAAAGTAATACAGAAAAACAGGCGCGCGATGCGTACATGTGGGTAGCTTCTTAATTGGTTAATTCTGTCGTCACAAAATGAAGTAGTTAATTGAAATTTGTCACTTATTTGTTTGAGGAGTTCGTCGTTATTCTCTTTCCTTTTTCCTTTCGCTTTTCACAGTTTCATTTCTTGAGGTTCTTGGCGGACATTAGTGAAAGATGAATAGATTTTAAACATTTGAGTTACGAAAGGTTGAGTCACGAAAATCACCCACGATAGTGTAATAGTTTTATATTAAGCTTAAGAAAAGCTCACGTTTACGAAACTTCAACCACATTTCATATACAGTTTTAAATTAAATAAATTCATACGAAGCAAACTGCTCTAGAATTTAGTCGTTATTGTTATATTATAGTTATATGTTTAACTTTAATAGTTTTTCTTTTAATAATTGTTCTCTTTTAAGTTTATAAATTCCTCAAAAAAGGGGTCACAAAAGAGCATATGAGACGCACGGGGAAATTTCCCGATGTCCTAACACGTTACTAGCCCGCCTCCGTGAAGTCCTGATGCTAGCTCGCAAATTTTAACGATAAACTTATCATTTTCAATTAAAAACAATTTTCGATAAATACTTTATGCAAAACAATCTGTCTTCAGAAATTATTGTTCAGCTGACTTATACATAATGCAATCAACTCAGATTATCTAAGACATTCATGTTCAATTTAACTTTTGCAGTAAAGTTTGTATTTTTGCAGCTATACATAAGTCTTTGTTTTTACAAATTCTGTGAGAAAAATAAAGCGAGAAAAGTCACAACGCAATGAACATTAGTCTCGTTTTACTTTTCATTTAGCTAGCAAAGCATAAAAAGAACTAAATTAAAATAAACCAGATTGAATTTTTTCACAGGATGGAAAGATTTCAATGAGAGATGATATAAACAATATGAAAAAGAAGCTATTCATAATTTTCTTGAACTACAACAAATAAGTTCCAAATAATTGAAATGTTCGACCAATTATGTTGAGCTTTAGGTAGAGATGGCGACTATCACCAGGGAAGATTCATTGGCTGAGGATTCTGTAAATATGACATCACGACAGCGGATACTGAAAGTCTGAAATTTATATGACACAATTTAGATAAACTAATGTTTCAAAGACAGGAATCAGGCAAAGAAAAAAAGGAGAGTGATCTTTGATCTAAATGATGAAATATCCACTTACAAAAAACTGCTAAACATCTGCTTTGTATCTTCAGTTGTCTTGGAATTGGCAAAACTAATAAATGCACAATAGATTGCAGCCCAAGCTGCCCATTTCATCTAGAGAAAAATGTGAGTTTTTAGTCATTTTCCATATCAAAGTTCTTTCCTTCAATATTAAGTTTGAGCTTTTCCCATCAATTCAAATGGCCAACACAGTTCTACCAAATGATTACTTTTTATATTAAAGGCTGTTGAAGCAAGTCTTCTCCTTCTGCTTAAAACATACTAAGAAAGTGTCTTGTTCCCACATCAAGTATGCGGCATGAGGGAAGATTTCCTTTTGAACGATGGTCATGGTCATGCATTGTATTCATTACTTGGTTATTTATTGTAGTGTAAGAGAGAGGCAAAGAAAATCATATTGATTACAAAGCCATAAACCAATGGTACACAAATAAACAACTAAGGAATCGCAATATTGAAAGAACAGCAGTTAAAGTGGGAAAACAAGAAATATACAACATAGATAAAATGTATAAAAATTTGAGCTTACAGCTTTCTTCAAAAGTCTACGAAAAATTACGATACTTCAGGAAAATTTAGAGTAGCAAGACACAAACAGACTCCAAGTGGAAAGCATTATATATGGTATGTCTACTTAAACTTTAAAGATAAGCCTAAATTACTAAATAAAGATACACTGACACTCACTCTCATCATTAAACCAAGCATACTGAATATCATTCCAAGCACACTGACATATTCCGGCAGTTGATCTTGATTTGGCTTGTTTGCGGTGGGATTATTATATTTTTTTATTCTATTTTCTCGGCGAGGATCTTGAGAAGACGAGACATAGCCTGTTGAATTAACTCGAGACGACATTTTGATAAACAAATTGTGGCTGCTTTTCATCAGTCAAAATGATATGCTTGCAAGTTGCAACCAAAGTTGTTTGTTGTGCTGTATTGTAAATGCATCAAAAATTTAAACCAAAGAGAAGTTCCAATGATGTTGGATTTATTGTTATTATGGGTGATGCAAATGGCATATATTTATATTTTTTTACACAGTCTGGAGTGCAATATCTTATAGAACTAATTATAAAATTTGTAATTTTAATCTACCCATTGCATAATATGTTGAGGTTGTTTTTATATATTTTACATTCAACCAATTAAGTAAAAAAAGGCAAGGGTTTTATTTAGAGTCAATTTATCACTCTCTTGAATCAAATTCTCTGAATACAAAGCAACCAAGAAAATGTGTGCAACAAATGGTTATTGTAAGTCAATGTATATGGTCATTTTCCTGACATTTACACAATGATTGTGTTATTATTAGTCACAACATTGCCTTGTTTTATTTTTTATATTGAAAAGCTTTCTCCACAACCACAAGTTCCTTTAATATTGGGATTATTAAAAACAAATTCACTTGAAAGTGTATCTTCAACAAAATCCATTTCTGTTCCAAGTAGTGTAAGTTGTGCTTTTGAATCAATAAAGACCTTCACACCTGGAATATATGTAAAAGCTCAACATAAATCTTCAGGTCCATTCTTATAATATTGACTGCTAAGCTATTCACCCTTCATCTATATTATCCACCCACCATCTAAGTTATCCACCCAGCATCTAAGTTATCCACCCGCCATTTAAGTTATCCATCCACCATCTGAGTTATTCACCCATCATCTAAGTTATCCACCCATCATCTAAGTTATCCACCCATCATCTATGTCAGGGGTCTCCAAACTTTACAGCCAGATGGCCACATGAACTTTCATCCAGCATGTTGAGGGCCAAAGAATAAAAAAAAATTTCCACGTTATCCTTCAGCTTTTTAAATTTCACAATGTGCTTGAAACGGAAGTAGGAAGTTGGGAGAAAAATTGACGTAAGCCACTCTTGCTAGTTGGCTTGAGTCATAACGTGAACTTTCTGCACAAAGTTTATTTTGTTTAATAATATTATTATGTTTTCTTAAGTGTCTCTGCGGGCCGGATTGAGAGGCACAACAGGCCGCATCTGGCCCACGGGCCGTAGTTTGGAGACCCCTGATCTATGTTATTCACCCATCATCTATGTTATCCTCTTAGAGGTTTGATCATATTGTGATTAGTAAATTAGAGGTTGCCATATTCTGATTGGGAAATTAGTATAAAACTATTGATTAAAGAAACTTCATTTTCCAAACAACTAACATTTCATAAAATGCATGTTTATCATTGCTAAAAAACTTTGCTATCCTATCATCAGTATTTTTGCATAAAGAAATTATCAAATTATAAGTACCGTCTTGTTGAACCTCCTCATCAAATTTGCCTTTTTCCTTGATGTAATCTAAAGTGTAAGACAATCCATTACAACCTCGCTGTCGTACACCAACTTTTAAACCAATCTATTTAAAGAAAAAAAATTCATATCATCAAAAACCTAACATCAAACATGAGCAAGACAACAAAAAAAGAAATCTCTAAAAGAAAATTACCACATCAGTCTTCTGCGATAGTATTTCTTTGATTTTGGTAACAGCAGTTGGGCTCTATAAGTCAAGCAAATACTTCGGTATGAAGATAAATATTTAGGGAACAAGGACAATTCTAATGTACAGTAGTTGTGATAGTTATTTCGTATATTCAAAGAATAAGAAGAGTAAACGATTGCATAAAACATTGTATTGTGAGTGTAAACAACAACAAATTTCCAACCATATACGTACAAGTACCAAATTTCACAGTGAAGTGAAGAAAAAGCGAGTTCGATTAAATTATTTGTACATCAAATTCTCGCTCATGAAACAAATTAAATATAACAAAAAAGCATCTAAAACGATTTACCAGAGTCAAAGCTGCTCTACTCGGAACAAAACGACGAGGTTTATTGACAACTTTTGCTGTGGCAGATAAAATTGCTTTACTTGCTGCCATAACAAAACAACCATCTAAATTTATTACGTAACACTGACCTTCATTCGGAATAAGCCGTACACTCCGAAGACTCGCCGACGTTTTACCGACACTACGTACTGTATCGAAGTTAAAGTTTTCAACTTTCGTGAATTCGTGTTCACAGCAAGCAGAATTTCATTTTTCTCCTAATTTATATTTGATTTTTTAACATTGAATAAAAAACTTTTGGAATATTCGTAGCTAAAGATAACATGGATGATGAAACGGAAACATACAGATTTTGGCGCATAAGAAAGACTGTAATGCAGGTAAGTAGATAACTGCTAGCTGTAGCATGTCATTTTATATTTACAGAATTAACTTGTTTTGTCGTAATTCTGCTGACTTTCTCTTTAACTTTGCGTTATAATTCTTACATGTAACTCACATTTTGCTCAAACAAATGGTTCTAAACAGTAGGGCATCATTGTGGAATTCTTTTGCAACTTGGCTATGTTTTAACTGTATATAACAGTTACAGAAGGTAAATTCAACGTTTTGTGGTCGATGTTAATGTTAATTGTAAATTCTTTTAGATGTGTCATGATCGTGGTTATCTTGTCACTCAAGATGAGTTGGATCAAACATTGGAACAATTTAAAGAACAATTTGGGGATAGGCCGAAGTATATTTTACAATATTTTTTACCTTACAATAACATGCAATGGAACATGAGATGTTTTATTTGGAGAGATTTGTTATTATCGGTATTTATATTTAACAACTTTTATGTTTGTTATTTGTAGTGAAGGACATCCAAACAGAACAGATTTATCTGTTTTGGTTGAACACAATGATGATCCCTCAGGTTGGATAGATTAGCATGTAAACTTTCAGTTATCTTGCTTACCTTCCTCTCATCAAATGTGTTTATCTTTATATTTCTAAATGAGATCTTTTATTCCTTTATAGATAAATTATTTGTGTTTTTCCCAGAAGAACCCAAAGTTGGAATAAAAACAATAAAGACGTATGTATGTTATGATTATCAATAAAACAGTGTTTTGGTTGTAAATGTCAGCTATGAGTAACTTCATATTGAATGATTAATTCAATTATTAACTGATTAATTAAATGAAGAAATTGATTAAATAAAACCATATTTTTACATGTTTGTAAATGTAGATCGTCCAGGTTGGTATTGTCCTGAGAAGGACTGTTTTTGTTGTTGTTGACTGACGTTTTGACAACCTAGATGATCTACATTTACAAACATGCAACAATTTTCAAACCATTTACTTTAAAACCATATTTTAATGCAGTTATTGTACAAGAATGCAAGAGGAAAGTATTACTCGTGCAATCATTGTTGTACAAATGGGAATGACTCCTTCAGCAAAACAGGTATTAATTTATCATTAAATTTCTTTTAAAAAAATAGTATTTTATGGATGTTTTCATTCAAATTGCAGTCATGACACATAATAAATTAGTGAAAAGAGCACACCTCCCGAAAAATAACTTTGGAGGGGGGGTAGGCTCAAACCTCTCCTAACTTCCTTTGTGTGTGGCTCTTATTAGTTGCCAGCAGAATGTGGTTTTAATGATTTAATGGTGTTTTTACCTCTATAGGCATTGGTAGACATGGCACCTAAATATATCTTGGAAAATTTTATGGAAGCTGAATTATTGATAAACATCACTGAACATGAGGTTAATGATGCTTATTTTTTTAATGTTTTAGTCAATACTGTGAAGAGATGAACAACTCATGGTTTTTATAATCAACTTTTTATTGTTCTATGTAGCTTGTACCAGAACATGTTTTAATGACCCCAGAAGAAAAGAAAGAATTATTGACTCGTTAGTGAGTAGATTTTATGTATAATGAAATTAATTTCTTCTTCAGCAAGAAAGAATTATTGACTCGTTAGTAAAACAAACAAACAAACAAACAACATTTGTATACCGGCCAGTATTAATCCCCGCCAGGGGGGTTGACCGGTCCATGAATTTTTCCACGCCAAACGTCTATCTCTCGCCATATCTCTCGTTATACCCATCGCCTTCACAGCATGCTGTTCACAGCATCCATCCATCTCTTTCTCGGTCTACCTCGTTTGCGGACTCCATCAACATTCATATGCAACGTTCTACGAATTTCAGCACTTTCTTCCCTCCTTTCCACATGCCCAAACCACCTCAAACGCTGGCGCCTTACCCAATTCTCGATACACTCAACACCAACTCTTTCTCTAATCTCTTCACTTCGAATCCTATCCATCAACGTTACACCACACATCATCCTAAGCATTCTCCTTTCCGTCGACGCCAATCTTCTCAGGTCCTCTGCTTTCGGCGCCCAACACTCTGCTCCATATCCCAAAACACTTCTAACACATGCCTTATACAATTCTCCCTTCTGCTTCAACGAAGTCGACTTTCCGCACAACATTCCCGACAACTCTCTAAAACTCCACCACGCTGCTTGAACTCTGTTCCTCACCGCTTGCTCGCACCCTCCACCATCATTTAACACATCGCCCAGATATTTAAACTCCGATACACCTTCCAAACTCACGTCACCCAGTTCAAACCGTTCAATCGCGACTCGCCCACCACTTCGACACGTCCCGCACTCAAAATCAGTTACTCTTGTCAATGCACCACGGACACCTGAACATCTTCCATGAATTCCTAACCCCTGGACACCTGAACATCTCCCATTATTGACTCGTTAGTGAGTAGATTTTATGTATAATGAAATTAATTTCTTCTTCAGCAGGAAAGTCTAACTTTTCTATTGTAGTAAAGCTATTGAAAATATTATTATAATGCTTTAAAACATGATTTCAGTAAATTGAAAGAACATCAGTTACCAAGAATTCAAGCTGGTGATCCTGTTGCAAGATATTTTGGTCTCAAAAGAGGACAAGTATGTTTGATGTTTATATCTTGTATTTATTTAGTAGTTAGTACATCATATTCCAACTATCATAACTTTATTTTTCTATCGTCTTCTAGGTTGTGAAGATTATTCGTCCTAGTGAGACCGCTGGACGATATATCACTTATCGCCTTGTTGTGTAACTGTGAAACTGGAAGTCTGGAAGCTAGTTACTATTGCGTGAGTTTTTATAACATATTATTATTGATCGTTGAAGATTATCGTCTGCAGACAGCAGAATTAAACACATACTTCACGCGAAAACTGCACTGGGTCATTGTACTTTCACAAACGTACTAACAGTAACAGGCCTATCAATTATCAAAAAATCAAACTGTGAACGTAAACTGGTAACTGAAAATCTGAATTTGTAACAAGCCGTCAACGGTTCTAGGTTTCAAATGCTGCTTTCGTAAAACAGCATTTCAAGAAGTTTAGTGTGTATAATTAAAGTACTGTACATCAAATAGACTTAAAATAATAGTAAATTGTAATTAAGTTTGTTGAAGCCTGTATGTCGGCAATTTTTTCCTGTCCTCTAGTCATTATTAGGTCGGAAATCATTTCGGTAATTCTGGTTCCTGATCTGAAATTCCGAGGCTCGTCTGCTTGTGTATTTTCAATAATTGAAACATTGTATTAGTTGTCTAGTGAACTATGGAATGATTGAACTGATTTTAACTATGTTTGGTACTATTTAATGGTTGCTTCAAAAGAATTTTTGACTAGTTCATTAGTAAAACTAATTTGAATATGTATGATCATTTCAATGTCTAATATTGATGTGAACAAAAAATAAATTTATAGCCTTCGCATTGTTCATGCAGAAATTTTATTGGAAAAATAAAATTATTCTATATAAAAGACTAAAGAGTCATGTAAAAAGAGCTCAGAATTCCAAAATTAAAATAACCTTTTATATGTGCCAAAGCGTATACAATTTTGGAAAATCAAACGGCTTATGGGCAAAAATAGGCGCCTAAAATTAGAATTTAAGAAATGAAGAAACTGTGGTCAAATGCGTTTGCGCGAAGAATCGGTCTTTGAATTGTGTTGAAAATGTGTTTATTGCATATTTTACGTCACATTTCAAGCTGTCAATAAAATATTTTTGTTGTTTATTATTTCACACTCCTTGTACAAAGTTCTCCTCACTGAGACACGGTGTCTATAAAAAAAGTGGAAGTGTGATCATAAGCGAATCTTGATATAAACAAGTGTCATTAGTATTAAGACATATTTTACATATTTGAACACCACCCATGAAGATTAATCAATACGTAGTTAAAACTCAAAAAGCATAATAAAAAATATTTTTAGTTGATGTATATTAGTTCAACACTTTCATTTTATTGAAAACGTACTTTTGTCATTATTCGTTCGGTAGTATTCCTTGATGTAATCAACTTGATTTTATTAAAATGCAATTTATGCGTCACTGTAACGTCAAGTTTGTCTGCAGCCAGTTTGTCTGCGAGAGATTTTACCCCAGTGAAGATGGCGCCATGATTCGAGTTTTTCTGTCAGCGTGAGGTCAACGTAGTTTCCTTCGATTCTTTATATTATAGCAATCTTAATCTTGTAAGTTAATTATGTTATGTTATAATATCTTAAGTTATTAGGTATTGTTATTTGTTTCAAAGTTCTTTGAGATTGTTCAAAGATGATCAAATATTTCAAGTCGTTGTTATGTTTGCTTCTTCTCATCACCTTCGCTTCGAATTTATTCATTTATGATAGTCATTACAGATTCTAGCTCTATTTAACTTGTCTACGTTGATACATGAATGCTTTCAGTTTCAATGTACAGTAGCCTTTTTCCTCCATTTTTATGTATTTGTTCAGTGTACTTGCTATGAATATTCAACTTTTCATAAATATTATTTATTAATTGTCAGTTAATGTTGCTCCCTATGGCGAATGCAGACGCTGTTTATTGTAGGTTGTGAAGAGGTATGACGTATATTATCTGTAATAGTTTATAATTTGGCTTTCAGTTGTGCATAATAAGCTCCCAAACCCTATTTTACAAACTTCACGCGGTTTTTCTAAATTAAGACGCCAACATCTCGTAAACTTTAGTTGAAAAAGCATTAAAAACGTTATTGCAATTTCTTCCATTTAGCATTTTATCGCTTTAAATAGCAGTCCATACTTTTAGTGAAAATAAGGACTTTTCTTTACAACATATTTAACCATGTCTGCCCCAGGGTTGTTTTAATTATTTGAAATGTACGTTCTTTTCTTGATGACGAAGTATAACGACATTTTGGGAGAGGCTTCTTTATTTATGGTAAAAAATTCTTGTTTTGTTTGTTGATATGAAGGGAAACATGTGCATATTACTCTTTGACGTCATGAATATAAGCATTTGATTGTCTTTACTCTTTAGAGGTTTGTTTCTTTAAAATTTAACATATGGGCTTGCTGTGCGATAGAAATTGCTATTTGAGCAGAAATTATTCATTTTCGAGTTATTTTTCTTGATGTTGAGAGTATCTTTTTTTTGTGATGGTTCATATAGACATTTTGAATTATTGTAGTATAACGACTGTTAACAAGAAGTTACTAACGTCTTTCAGCTAAATGGATCTTTTGTTTTAATTGTCTTCGTGAATCACGTAAACATAACTATGTTCTACCTGTTTATGTCATTGCTTTTCCTTACACGTTTGTTTAGTATATTTATCGCTATTATTTCTTTTGACGTCTTCTTATAACAGTAAATTACTCTTCATATAAGAGTAATTTTGCATATTGTAAGTTGTTTTGGCATATGTACGCTGAAAAAAGAATATTACTAATGGCTAGTAATTTATAAGAACAAAATTCACATTATACGTCACTTTAATTTATGTTGATATGTTTTAACGCACGAGAACAAGAGAACTGAAATATTTTTATAACAATACAGTTATATGTAGCTACACAACAGCACACGCTGAACCTTTTAAATGTTTCAGTGCAGACAAGGACAACATAAGTAATCTGATTAGAAATAAAAAGTAATTGCTTTCTTCTAAGAGTTCTATTTTGTGTTAATACTTGTAACAAACTTCAGATTGCTTTCTAATTTGGAACGATGTCGAATATAGAAAATATAATTGTTTATACATAATTTTATTGGTTGGGATATTTTCTCATTAGACAAACGTGATTGTGAAGAAATTGTGTGTCAGTTTATGTACACAGCGAGATGAAAGAATATGTTAGTACGTCGGTTAAGCAATTTGCGAAACTCATCTCATTTATTGGCATGAAATTTACAGTCCATGACCGCCAACGTTCCAAATATTCATTCCCACACTTCACATTTAAGTCGAAATAGAATTCTACCGGTGTGTTTTCGCATACAAATGTTGCATTTTTCACAAGAAAGAGTTGACATGCGCTGGTTAATACAATTTGGTAAATATCCTATTTAAATCTGCACGACGAACATTGAAATAATCCAAAGAAAAAATAGTAAGGTAGTGTGTGCAAACGGGAAATATAAAAGATTAGCTTTTGACGGCTTGTCATTGGACCTGGGAGAAATGGAGCCTGAGTGTCTGAGGGTTTTGGCCTCCCGAGAAGCAAATGATTGCTAGCGATATTGATGCTAAAGTAGATGAATAGATATACGTTATGTGCGGTTTATAGAACGACAGGGGACTTTTCGACATCATATCCTTATAAAGGTGTTATTGGTTCTTGTTTCCAATGCTAAGTTTGTAAAGTTATATTGTAAGTTATTGCCTGGCGCCATCACGTCGTCTCCTTCCCGGTGTGTATTTGATGGAATAATTAAATATTGGATGTTGCCCATCTCCAAACATTCTACTACCTCCTATATTTACATTAAAAAATTATCATTTACGCAAAAAGACATTTAGATAACTGAGAATCGATCTGAGCTTCGCGGTCATACAACAGACAAACTTCAGGAGAGCAAACGTTTATCAATATAAGTACTGTCCATGATATTTCATCACAAATGATAGTGAGCGACTATGAAATAGAACGAAATTCTCTTACGATTCTCAACGTTGCCTTTCTCTATTTGCATTCTCTCATTTTTTCCCATTTGGTATCGATTCACCATTTCTTTGAAGTAAAGCTGACCTAAACTGAAAATCTGTCTGAAAACTGAAAATCCCTAAATGACTCAAACATTTACTTTGACACTATTTTATTGTTTTCTTTAAATAATTTTTGTGTAAAAAATTTGTTCGTATTTAATTTTCTAAATAACCACCAGTTAGTTAGATCAATGTTGACAAATCCGATCACGACTTCACGAAGCCTTTTGAAGCGCAATATCGATTTCTCTACAGCAGCGCATTTTTACCTGCAATCATATTGTGAATGAAAGTCTTTAACGTTGTGAAAAGCCCTTTTCAATTGTTCGGCTATGTTTAATTTGGGCTGCCCCGGCTTAACGTCACTTGCCTCGCTGCAGAGGCTGTGCAGACGCAGACATTCTGGCGAGAGAGGTGCTTACTTAATGAATCAGCGGGGGGCATTCCAGGCATTGCGCGTGCGCAAATTTTGTATGTTTATATCAGTAAGCAATTTCCTTTGACAGTCAGTTAGTGAAAATGACGCGCGGTACGAAGAGGTCATATGTAGCAGCTCAGTCCAATGGATCTGAACAAAACGTAAAGATTTTAAAAACTGGAACAAAACAAGAAATAAGGAAACGGCCATTATCGTTATTAGATAATTGTGCTAAAGCAGTTGCTTCTAAAATTTCATTTCAAGAAATCGAGGAGAAATTCGCCCGTATACCTGAGCCCGTGCAACTACGAGTAATATATTGGTCGTTTCCTAATGATGAAAAGGAGATTCGAATGTATTCTACTTCTGGTTTACACCAAGAGAAAATGCCATACGAATATGGGTTAAAATTGCTTGAGAAACGCGCCGTCAATAATGTTCTCCAAGTTGGTAAGTTTGTTGGACTTGTTTTCTTTTAAATATCTATTATTGTTTAGCCAGGTTGAATTTGATTCAAAAATATTTTTGGTTTTACTTGACATAATTGATCGAAGTAGTTAAAAATTTGTTTAATAATATTACATTTTTAGTGATATTTGTGATGATAAAGCATGACATATTTGTAAGTTTTTCCTCCCAACGGAGAGCTAGCGCCACAGTGTCTGCGGCTTTGTGCTGTATGTTAATGAGATTCTCAAAGATTCACGAGTGCTTGTACTAATTTCAAACTTAACTTATAACTTTGTAGAAATAATTTAACACTCTTCAACAGTAGAATGACACAAGTTATTTGCCTTTCCATTGAATCTTCGATTGGTTTTAAAATAAAATACTTGTCTTCTTTGTTGTGAAACTAAAGTAGCTACCAGTCGGGGGGGTTATTTAGGTAAAGCAATTTCTCTCCTGTGACGCGCGATTTATAACTTTGCCACAATTTGATATGGTATACAGTTACAAAATGAAAATGAATTTTGTGTGATGTCCGTAGTCAATATTATGTCAGGTGTTCAATTATGTTTGTTAAAGATGAGATATGGAAGAGTTGTAGCAAGGTTCATAATATAAACAATATTGCTGTGACGTTGTGATTGTCAGAGGGGACCTTTAGACACAATGTCTCAAGGCGCCAGGCTGGCGCCAGTCAAAGGACAGTCATTTGCATGCATTATTACAATCTTTGCAGGAGTAACTATATACTGCTGTTTATTATCATTTACTGTATATTCCCACAATAGACAACTTTTGTATGGAATAATTTTATATTTCTCGATGTATTCATTATTGGTTTTTATTAGTTTGAGACGATGGGAATTTAAGTGAGAATCGTTTTGTTTGTATTCTATGGTTTACTATTTAAGCGTCTGCTAAAGGCACTTTAAGAAATATTACCCCCTTGGCCTACTTATTAATCTACAGTATTTTTAACTTAAAGAAAGGGCCCCTGAAGTTTTAATTTTCTATGGAATTTCTTGCTTTTAACTCAATGTGAATTGCGGTTGAAACCTTTTGCTTAATGTGGTTTTAACATTTGCGTTTCGCTGTTTGTGTTAAAACATTTGATTAAGTGCGTTCGATTTCAAATGATTTATAGTCATTTGAAGACAATTAGCTCTGCTGCCTAACCAAAGTATATATTAAACAATACAAGAGAAGGGTACTTCCTTTTTTTAATGCATCATTTACTATATTTTATTACTATTATTGTCTTATCATAACGCAAGCCCAGACTTCAAATGATTTACTAATGACGACTAATGTTCAATTTAGGCTTTCATCTCAGTGGAACTGTTGTTGATGATGATGTAACATATAAAGTTTCGGTGAATTTTGATCGTTGTAAGATCACACGCGTATCGTGTAACTGCGGTAATAAAGACATTTTATGGTGTTCCCACGTTGTTGCTTTATCTTTGTATCGTCTTCGTTTTCCAAACGCAGTCACATTACGTGTTCCAATATCCGAGACGCTACTAAAAATGAACAGAAATCAACTTCAAAAACTGATACAGTATTTAATCACTGCTCATCATACAGAAATATTACCGACTGCCCAACACATAGCTGACGATATTTTCCTTGCGAAATCTGAAATAAACCTTCAGGAAGGCGCCCCCGACCCAACTGCTGGTGGGGCTGTTGAAGATGACAATAGATGGCATTTGGATGCAGAGCAAGTTCAAGAACAAGTTAAAACTTATCTTTCTCAAGGAACCACTGTAAATAGAGGAAAGCAACTTCAATGCATGTTTGCCAAGGTATTTTTTTCATATTTTGCTTTTTTTCCATACACAAGTATTATGATATTGATTTTGAATAAATTCTACATTTTTCATTCATTTATCGTACCAACTTTAACTTTTCAGGTACGTGAATTACTTCGCGTCAGAGATAGTAACGGAACAAGAATGTTGTCTCTTATTACGGAGCAGTTTTTGGCTGATACAAGATTACAACAAAATGCTATGACTGAAAAATGTCGTACACTTTGGGATCATCTTGGATCACTATGGATGTGTATTGCTCTCAATCCTGAAAGTGATGTACGAGACAAATTATGCTTAAAGAAAGAGCTAGAAATGTGGAGTGATCTTAAAGTTTGTCCAAGAGAAGATAATGATGATAAGCGTTCAATATTCTCAAGAGCAATATTTGCCTGCGGTCTTGACTGGAATAATGAACTACTTCAGAGAATATTAAAGTCTAATGTTGATGAACAATTGTCTTGGTCAGGTAAGAAAGATCATAAGTATTTCCTTTTATTGCACAATACACCAAATTCGTCTTATTGTTTTAACTTGTGCTTTTCATTTGCCAAGAATTTAGTTAATTGTTTTCAAAAGACGTCAAAGAAACCGGAAAATTTTTTTCTAAGAAAATACATGTTTCTTAGGTGTGGTAATTTTTTTTTAACAGAGGATGTATGTTTGTCCGCTGCCAGGATTGATGCATTAAAGACGCATGGTTTTAAGAAAGAAGCATTACATTTAGCTGTCGCAGTAACCAATGGTATGAAAGTACGACAGGACGAGATTTTACGTAATACAAAAGTTTTTTCCATTGTTACCTCAAGTGGATGGATTGGTAATGTTCTTGAACCTATTCCAACTCTTTACGATACGTTAATGGAAGGAAGCGATGGTGAAAGGAGATATGTTAACTTAGCTGTTGAAGTAGCGTTGATTGGACTCAGTCAGCACCGTTGTATGTCAAAATCAACATTCTCACAGCAGAAGTCAAACAATGAGGAAGAACAATTAATCGCTCAGCTCATGATGTTGAAACATGACGAATCTATTTTGAAAACAATACATGAGCAAGCGTCGAAAATTTTAGCAACAACTTCATCTCTAGGTAGTGGTTTGTGCGTTGATAAGAACAGTGTTCCCCTTCAAATATTTGCTCGATATTTATTCAACGTTTTAAAAGATGAAGATAAAGAACTTGCATTTAAACTTGCATTCAGTGCATTACAGTGTGAATTTGTCCTTAGTGAAACTTCAAGTGATTGGCACATATTCGAACATTTAACTGCTCAACAATGTGAACTTGCTGCTGTCATGATCAAATCTTGTAAAAATGATGTGGAAAATTTGAAGAAGGTTTTGTTGCTTATCAAGAAATACGTGCATAATCCTTCTTATTTATTCCGACTTGCACAAGATACGCTGAGACTAAAGACAGATGAAGATTGTGATGATGTCTGTGAGATCGTTCTCGATCTTGCTCTTCATATTTTAACGACAACAATAAACAAACCTAATGTTAGTAAACGACGTGATGTCATTCACTGGTTGATGGCTTGGTCATTACAGCTCGATAAATCTGTTATTGTGACGATCCTTCAAAATTGGCCGTCACTTTTTACCACATCAGAGATTATTAACTCTGTTGCACCTATTGTTTTATCGCAATGTGCTTCTCAAGAACTAAAACTTACTTCTTCGGAAAAAGAGTTCATTTATAGATACATTCGATCTTTGGCTCTCCAGTGCATTACTAAAGATCCACAACATTGTGCTTTATCTTCACTAACATTATGTGAAAGTGATTATGAGAGTTTCAACACCGCATACCGCATGATCGTTGATAGGGCTGGAGAGCTATCCTCTACACTTCTATTTGCTATTGCAAGATATATGGATCATAAAGATCACCCCGTTAAAGCTTTTCAACTTGCTGCGTTAGCTATAAAGCACTCCACTGTTGGAAACAACGAGCAACCTTGTGTTGGTGACGTACATTGGTCATGTGGTCTGGCTCATGCTTTGGGCAAAACTGAACTTACTCATATGATCTCACTTATTGTGAACGCAGTTCAATGTCCCACCGTTCTTTCAGATCTTCTGCATCGCTGTACTTTAACACCCGTAGGTGTTGCGCAAATTAACACAGGAACTCCAATTAAATTAACCTACAGCGATCAATGCTTACAGCCTTTAATTGAAGCTGCAATCAACGGTTTTGTTAGCTGCGTCCATAACCGTCTTACTCAAATTAGTCCTAAACATTACACTGACTTTAGTCATTTTCTCATGAAAGCAAAAGACGTTTTTCTTCTTGCAAAAGACGGTGAAAAACGATTTGAAGCTCTTATCGATAACATGAAGATATTGTATCGTGGAAAAAGAAAGTTGATGACGTTGCTCTCACAAAGACTGTGTTAGGATAGAAATTAGAAAACACATCGAAATGAAATATTATGAAATTTAAGTTATTGACAAAGATGTCAAAATTATTTGTTCATTTTTTGTAAATACGACAGAGAAATTATTGTACACGCCAATTATTTATTATGAAAAACCAAAGAAATCCTTATTAAAGAATCTGTATTTAAAATTTTGTGCGTTATTTGTGCGAAGATAATTATAATTATCTTCGAATTGTTCACACCTCTAGACATTTGGGGGGTCCAGTTTTGTGTAACTTAATCCATTTTGGATTTATCTTTCGTCAGATTATTTCGAGAAATACAGAATGAATTGAGAAAATAGAATTTATAAATAAACTTTTGCTTCAGAAGTTGGATTATGTTAAAAGATATTTTCAAGAAAACAAAGTTAAATGAAATTTCACCGACCGTGTCTGAATGTCGTTTAGATAGTAGAAAGTACAATCTCGGTGCAGAAGTTTCTATAGCAATTTTTCCAGACAGCCATTACACGCCATGTACTTTTAATGCAGTATATCTTCTTTTTTCGTATATCTAATCTAGACTTATCCAGTTGTTAAAGTAAAATCGCTTTCAAACGAAATCAGTCGGGAAGAGATGAATTATACGAATATTCATCCACCCATTCTATTCAATTGCGTTTCCCCCCAGAGGTAAACTGTTCAATTGCTGGCAAATTACACCGGTCACATTCGAAATACACTTTCATATTCCATCACCACGAAGTCAGTTTCTAGCGGATACCGGTTTTACAGGAACGAATTTTGGAATATAAACACATCCTCACTCTAGCATCGACAGTTTTAAAAAAACATTCCATCTTTCAATTGTGAGTATAACATGATTACTTTGCGGTACATTACTATCAAAATATAAAGCACAGTTGAAAACACACGTTATCATGTTTCAATATTTTTTATATTTTTTTCCTCTCCTTGAATGTCCTTGTTAATTTCAACTGATTACATACATACCCCACAGAGTAATCGTCTTGCTGTCTCATAAACAGGCTCTTAGACTTTGACACTTAGACTGATCTTAAGTATAGATTCAATGATTATTAGGAGAGACCAGACCATGTCTTTGGGTTGAACACATCTCACTCCTGAGAATCTCAATTACATAATTTTCATTTCTTGCTCACATGCAGAATATATTTTAGCGATAGTATTCATACAATTGGGAGTATCGATAGCAGGCTACGAAACAATTATCATGAGTTTTTCTATATTTAGTACACAGTAAAAGAAGAAACTGTTTGCTCGAAAAATAAATAACATCCAACAAAATCATTTACAGTTGTAAGTAATTTATGAAATTGTCTTCATATTTATAATGAAACATCAGTTCGGAAATTTTGTATAATTTGTTAAACTTGTAGCAATATTCGAAGAAACAGCTCTACAGCAACGATTCGATGTCGGAAACTAGATCCTGAAAAATCAAAATTATTTTCAATATTTTAGGCCGACAATGAAAACATATTATCACCAATACAAAAAGACGTTTACTGATATACGACATTCTTTATAGATATGAACTGAACACAAACCATTGGAGCGGTAGTTGGAGAATAACGTTTAATTGGCTTTCCTTCTCGATTGCAAAGAAACTGAAACAAATGTAAGCAAAACGTAATGATCAAAAACAAAATTTAAATGCAGAACAACGACTTGAGAAAATACCTTCGCGAAATTCCACTTAATGAAACTAAAATCAAAAGAAGAATATTTTAAATGTAGGAAAGATTACTCAAAAGCTTAATATTCCATCCATACCTTCCTAAAGTACCTTTCAACTGACTTTTTAAATATTTATACAGAGGCAAAGCATTAGAACCATTCACGTTTATTTTAGAAAACATATCAAACTCAACATTATAGCCAGCTACGAATTTTTTAATCTCTTCTTCTGAATTTGGTTCCTAATGTGTAATGAGGAAAAATACTTTTTAGTACAATTTAAAACTTGTGTAAATTAACAAACTAGCTGAAACAGTTAAAGCAGAATGATCTTACAACGATAAATTAACGACAACTTCGATCAGTTGTCTTTATGCAATTCGTGTTTGAATAAAATTCATCTGCGGAAAGCAATGTACAAATTACCTGACTCCCAAATTGATTACATGGAAATCCCAAAATTCTCAATCCGTGTTGTGAATAACGTTGATGAAGCTCCACTAACTGAGTGTAGTTCTTTGGTGTTAACCCTCAGAAAGATGCTACGTTAACAATTAACGTTACAAATCCTCTACAAACAAAATATTTAATTTATGCAATAAACATAAAAAGAGAATTAGGTATGTCTTTAATATAGGCATATGTACTTGTATGTTGAGAGAGAGACCATTGCACCATCAATGTCTTTTGCTTCAAACTCATAAATTGACTTTGCATTTTTGATTTTGTTATCAATTGCCTATAATCATAAATAAAGTTTGATCACAATGGATTGAATGATTGAATTATTCTTACTGCAAGAATTGACAATTGTTTGGAGACAGGACCATAAAATGAGGTATAAAATATTGCTGTCCATCATAGCATACCTCTTCACTAGATACAGTATTCACACCAGACTTTTCAAACTGTTTCAACCATGAGAGCACCTCAGTTTCATTCTCAAAAGCTAGTTTCAACACTAATAAAAGTGACACTTGTATAAGGCTTCTTAATTTTTCAACAGTTCTTCTACCTCATTAGAATTTTCACTTTTTACGATTAATGTGTACAATATGCAACAAACCACAATGCAAAGTATGCAGACAATAATTGCTTTACCATAAACGAGACTTTATTTACAAAGCATAGTGGAGGTTAGCAGAGAAAGATGATGGATGATCATGTTTTTGGTGAAGACATATTTTACCTTAAAAACATGATGTCCATTGAGCAGAGAATAAATATATGAATTACCTCCAATTTGAAGATTGGATAGCTTCAAAACAACACCATTCTCAACTCTATTGTCGATGCTTACAGAAGCATCTTTAAGATCGTATTTTTGGTAAGGAGATGCTTGCTGAAAATTGATCAGGATTAAAACAAAAAACATCCAACATATTGAAACTTGTTTTCTTACTTACCAAATCAGATTTAAACTCATAAAGAGTGTCATCTGCACTTTTTAATACAAAATAATGCTTGCATGAGAACACAGCACCAGGTTTTTTTGCCCAGGAGTATTTTGCTCCACACTCACTTCTTAAAGAAGCAACACTAGGTCCAGATTCACCATTCATTGGTGGATCTAAGGATAGAAAACAAACAATTTGTTGAATTGCCTGCTGTTAAATTAAAACAAAAATTGTCAAATCAGCTTTGCTAACCATCTTCTTTGAATCTATAAAATAGATAATTGTCTTTAAAATGATGTCTGTCCAATACATGATGAATAAGATTGGCATTGAGAAGATCCTAAACACAAAAACTGTGATAAATAAATTGAAATTTTTAAAATTATATTTATTAACATATTTTGTTGGATTATTATTTTTCAGTTTTGTTTTCTTTTGTGTTTTTCTGTATTGGTTTAGTAATCAATGAGCAAACACAGGAAAAGGAATATAAAACCGACTGTAAAGATGTGGTAACGAAACCAAAAACAAAATTACTTCACTTCCAAAGACAATATTTCAAATGAAATATTAAAATACATGTGAACTAACTTCGCCAATTTTGACAGCTTGAGTCCGTGTCGATGCGTGACCTTTCGATAACAACCAGTCAACCAAGACAGACCCTATTAAGTAAATATCAAATCACGAGACTGTTGTCACTGTATAACAAACTTACATTAATTTAACATAGTTTCATTTTTCTTACCTACAAAACAAGATGAATATGTCTTTAGTAGATAAGTACGATCTGTAATGACGAATGTTTCATCGCTCTTTATTTCAATAGACAAATCTTTTAACTAGGAAACAAATGTTAATCATACATGATTTACCATGATAAATGATAAAAATAAGGAATTTTATTTTATATTATGCTTTCATTTCAACCTTTTGAAGGCTCTCCTGACAGCTCATTATAAATCTTTTCGTGTGGTTAGTATTGCTTGTTCAAAACTTTGTTCAAATAAGCATCTTGCAGAGTCATACAAGGGACAAAGGACACTTCTTGCTTCGATTGAATTTAATTAAAGTCATGGGTTCAGTGATATTTGTAGCATCCAAAACAATGAAAGCCGGAAGTTTAGCTAGCGGAACGACTTAATTATGAAATCAAGAATGCCCTAAAAGACATAGCGAGTCTAAACAACATTTCCTCTTGACAATAGTCGTGATTGTAATAGATATCAATTTTTTGATTTTGCTTTAGTCAACTTTTACTTCAGTGTCAAAATATTTGATTTTTCTTATCCCGAAACTGCGAGCTTGAAGAATGTTTATGTCGTTGTCAGAGCAACGCATTAAGCGTCTTATTGCGTCATTAATACGTTTTTCCATCAATTGAGTGGACTTCGTTGTAATGTATGTTTATTCTGACAAACTGAGCAGCAGTATGCACTCGATGTGCAACAGTATCAAATGTAATTGAAAATATGAAAAATGATTTTTATTGATGAGTTTTGTATATATTTGGACGAAAATCCTTACATTGAAATGCTGAAAACACAGTGAGAAGACCACTGGACAAGACTGATAAATGACACAATGACAAGTATTACATTACCTCACTTTGATAGATGGGAAAGACTCTGATTAAGTCCACCAGTCGCATTGATCACCTATTAAAATTGCAGAAGAATCGAATGTTTTCTTAAATTATGTGGAGGATTTACTATGTTATGCATAAAACACACAGAAAAATGGTATTGTTTATGGTTTTAAATAGAAAATTGACGCGAAATATTGATAGCAAAAAAACACAAAGGTGAAGAGATAAAAGTTGACAAGTGACAGTCTTCTTTCGTTAGAAGGAATATGACAGAAGTTATTAACGAAAATACAAACTTAAAGCATGAGATAGATTTAGAGAAACGGACTCAACGGGAAAACTCTCTTCAAGGACAAGCTTGGATTACTAAAAATAGAACGAAAAAAAGAATTCATGCTAATCTTTCTGGTACAAAATATCCACTAGGTAAGGTCACTTGTGACATGTGGAAACAAAAAAAACATTAAAAATTTTTTAGCAAACTGAGTAATTATTAGAAGAAATATTATAATCTAATGTTATGTCTATATTATTTATACATTTGCGTCGTGAAATACGTCTCTATTTTCATAGTTCAGGAAGTAGTTATGCACATGGGCTTTGCAATTGTCAAGGAAACAGACGTCAATTGGTAAGATGTTCAGATATGAGTTAAGATATTTTCAATTGATTGTGATCTAAAACCAAATGGTGCATCCATCATTGTTAACTATTTTAATACAATTTATCAATAAAAAAAATTGTCATTCACAAGTAATTGTCATGCCTGATACATATAGTGCTTTTAAGAAATTGTGGAAATACAATTTATATTTTTTATAGTTACTTCATTTGGAATGATTCATCTGTTCATATGGAAAAAATTGTTAAATTAAAGTCTTATCAGGTTAAAAATATTACACAACAATCTCATCATAATTATCTAGGATGATCATTTGGATATTTTTGTCAGATTTATGTCTGTGGAATTATTTTTATTTAATCTAAAAATATTATTAATATTTTTTACTAGAGAATCAATCATTTCCATGGAATGGGAGAAATTTGTAGAAAAGATTCTCTTGCCAGAAATATGTCACGGTAATGATAATTCAACCAAATTTTTAGTATGAGGATGTGTAATAATTAAACTACAGTTTAGTTCTTAGTTTTCATTCAATTGTTTTATATTTAGAATAAAGAGGATGTTTCCTCTGGATTATAATTTTGTTCCAAATACTTGGATTTTGCCTGCCGAGTATCTTTTTAATTATTTCATATGAGAAGTTTTGTAGATACATTATTAATACACTGAGTACTTGTTTTTCAAAAAGCACAAAAAAGGCAGCTTTTACCTATTCCACTCTTAAGTTCATAGTTTCAACACAAAGTAGCATTGAAATTGGTATAACGCTTTAAAATCTCTATGTAGCAATGTTCATAAATCATTTTTCCTGTCTGTTTATGACTGAGTTTGTTTTGCAAAAGCTACGTAACACAATTCAAAATATGTTACATTTCCTTATGAAATCATAATTCCTTTTTATGGAATTCATTATTGAAATCAAACATTGAACACAAAATTGAACACCAGAAGAGGGGACCAGGATTTTTGTTTGCAGAATTTACAGCACTTCTCTGTCTCAAGTTTTCCAAGATATGAAAAATACTAGAAAAGACTTTATCTATTGTGAAAAAAGTTGTCTGTAATTACTGTCCTTGACACAACCTTCAGAAATACACTATTTGATAACTATTGCAAAGATTTAAAGAACAAAAAAAAGATAGAGATTTTCATCGTCAAACCTTCAAATGGTGCCATGGGAAATGGGTAAGAATCGGACAATTTTGACAAACTAATTAAAAATGTCTTTTTAAAGCGGCATTTTATCATATTTTAGTGAATGAGTTTTTTCACAGGTGAATGTGAAAATATGACTTGTTTGCAAGAAATGAATTGTTTTAAAATGCTAATAAAACGACCATTTTATGAATTATTGTGCATTAGCTATATAATATTTGTGTTTCGTGACTATACATAGTTTAATTTATCCTTTTAGAATTTATCTCATGAAAAACGATGAACGTGTTCGCGTTAATGGTCAAATGATCGTACAGGATTACATCAGAAAGGTCAGTATTATTTAAATTGTTTATGATACGAAATTTTATCATGAATCTCTCGAATTGATTTGATTGCATTGAAAAGAATACATAAAATGACTTTATAATCTCTTCAGTATAATTGACTTGCAAACTGCTTGCAAATGACATAGTTATGACATCGCAGAGCATAATAACATTATAAAGACCATTTAAATTTTCCTCATCGTTAGAATATTTTATGCTCCAATACAACAATTTGATGAGTAATTGTGTAAATGAATATATTTTTGAAGGCGCCAAATTTAGATATTTTAAGGCCAACTGTCGATAAAAACTATTTTTATTCATTTTGTTAATTATGCAATACGACGTTACAACGACGTCAATTGCACAGTGAAGAAAAGTTACATATCTTCAGAAGAAATAAAATAACCCATTTCTGTTGAAGAAGTTATGTAGTCATTTAAAATTTTCTTTACTGTGCAATCAGAAAAAACTATCCCAATTTTGGTGCACTTTTATAAAAATGTTTTCTTTATAATGGCGAGTTAACTTTATATATTTTTGATTACTGAAGAAATCAATACTAGTGCCCCGTGTCCAAGCTTTTACCTTGAGATGGTTTTGAAAACTGTCCTTCGATATAAGAAATATTTAAAGCCATTAAAAAAGAAAAATTTATTCTAATCAAATTGAAATATTTTTAGCCAATGCTTGTGGATAATTATAAGTTTGACCTAAGAATATATGTACTCGTGACAAGCTGTGATCCGCTGAGAATCTTTATTTATAAAAATGGCTTGGTAATATGAATTCTTGCTTTGCTATTTTTTAACTCTCTTTATAATTCTTTAGATAATTTATTTTACATGTAAAATCATCGTTTATTTATACTTCTCTATAGGTGAGATTTAGCACTGAATGTTACAATGATCCAAACGACAATAATATGGTAAGTACGTAGAACAGTACTTATTTTAGCTACTTCAAGATTATGTATTGCTGTTTGTATAAACAGTCGATGAATAGCTATATACTGATCTTGACCCGAATACAAATCCTTTTGATAATCCTGAGCAATTCCAATAATTTATATAAAACAAAAAAACTTATTGGTTACAGCAATCGGACCAGATGGTAAAAACAGCGTAGTTTCGTCGTTCATAAAATTGTGGGCCGAAGTTATCAATATATCATAATTTGCAAAAAGTATGAGATTTCTTTCATTTTTAGAGCGATTTGTTCATGCATTTAACAAATTATTCCGTCAACAAACACAGCGAGAAATTTTCACGAGATGAGGACGCAAGTAAAGGAAGTAAAAGGTTTTCGTGTTCATTTCAAATATTATGTTATTTTGTTGATTAACACGACCATTTGTTTGGTTAGTAATTAATACGTCTATTGAAGAAAAGTAATGTACATATGTCTGATGGTTTATATGTAAGGGATGGACTCGCACTGTCTTTTTTACTGATTGTTATATTACTGACATCCTTTTATGTATATTTAGGTCTTTGACATTCTTTAATGAATGGTTGAGAAAAAATGATTACAATGTTGCAAATATTTGGAGCGATATAACGGTTAGAATAACCTGCTGTTTGTTATTAACTTTATCATATATTTTGTAAAAGACAACCACAAATTTTATTTCTCAAACTTGAAGTCTACGATTAGCCTGTAATTGAAAGCGATCTCTTTTTTCAACTCTTCTGTAGTTTTGTTGACAAAGACATGATTGTACTTCCTTTTCTTAGTTTATAACATTGATAACTTTTTCTTGATAATATTTCACCTAAGGAGTAATTATTTATAATTATTTCATCTTTCTACGTTTCAGGATGTCATCGTAAAAACATTAATTGTTTCTCAGCCTCATCTCCTACATGCTTACAAATTATGTCGACCAGGATCTCATCCAAGTTTACCCAGTGTTTGTTTTGAGATTTTAGGTTTTGATATTTTACTGGATCACAAAGCAAAACCTTGGTTACTGGAGGTGTGTTGTAGCAAGAATACTGTATATTTCATTTACATACAAGTTCCACGACATTTTAGTATTTATTCATGTTCGTTAAACTTTTCTTCTTTAAATGTACGTCTAAAAAATAGCATTGCATTCTACGTATCTTGTAACTTTTTTTTACCTTCAGGTAAATCGATCTCCTAGTTTCGGCACTGATTCAAAGCTTGATTATAACATTAAAAGTGGATTATTACGAGACACAATAAAGTTGTTGAATATAAAGTAAAATATTATTGTGCTTTTAAAATTACATTACAATAATGTATTGATAGCGAGGAAAATTTGAAAAATTAAATGATCATGAATATATTTTAACATTGATTATTGCAACAGAATTAACACGTGACGCTTGAATTGCTATCCGTCATAAAATTTAGATCAAGTGATAAATTACGTGGAGTGATGACCGAAAAAAAACAAAGTCGACGACGTCTGTTGAGTCAACCATCTAGAAATGATAGGAATTTGTCTGTAAGTAGATAAAATGGCTTTACTATATCATTTTTCGACCCATGATATTTGTTTCCAGAGAATTTTTGATAATTTTTTATTATTTATTTATTTATAATTTTTGATAATTTTTTATAATTTATTTATTCAAGTATATTATATTTTTTAGGAAAGTGTTGCTCGTAGAATGGACGTGAATAAACGAAAAATTCTATTGGTTAGTATTTATCATTTTCAAATATATCTCAGTTTTAATATTACGCAGAAGTTGAGAAAAAGTTGAGGAGAGGAGAAGTTGAAAAAACAACTCTCGATTGAGCGTTGACAAAACTCACATTTTGTCAAAGTTGTACATTGTGATTGTCAAATGAACAACAGTTTACTGCTGATATGGAAAAGAAGGAATGTATCATTAAACTGACCTGAAGCGAGGTTTTCCTGGTCATGAATAAATGTCATTTCTATTCATACATAAATCTGGAACCACTCTGAGTCTACAAATATTTATGGATAATCTCACCAATAATATGCGAGATAATAAAGATGACGTTTTATGAAACATTTTACGTCATGAGGTTTTCAACGACATTTTCTTTTATACTTAACTGAATATTTTTAGAAAGAACAGTTGGCAAGTTTAAGGAGAAATTCTTCCAGAGAAGATCATGAATTTAGGAATTTGGTTAGTGACTGTTTTTCTCTTCGAATTTTTATTGACGCTCAAAGTTTAAATCTATGCTGTTTCATATCTTTTGATGTGGTTTCAATTTTGCTGTACATACATATTACATAAAGTCTTCATTTTTCATTATGTTACTAATTTCTATTTTAAAGGGACAATTTGAGCGAATATACCCACCTTACAATAAGGAAAAGTTACAATATTACGACAAATTACTTGACGGTGCAATGAAGTTATTTTCGTCAGGTATTATTTTAAAAGTTTAAAAAATTTCTCAGTCATTTCTCTAAGGCAAGAATTTCATATATTTTTATTAAGGAAAACCAGTTACAACTCCTACAAAGCAATCTCCTTTTGTTAACTTGAAGGTATGAACTTTTTAATGACTTACTTCAATACTTTGTTAATTAAAGACTATAAAAAGAGACATATATTTATAACATGTGTTAGGAGGAAGAAGTGCTGGATCTGTTAAATGAATGTGAAACTAACGAATGTACAATTTTGATAATGATAAACTTTCAATCAAAGGACCAAAGGTTTTTATTTTTTCAAAATATTGTTTATCATAAAAACATGTTATCTATTACAAAATATTTTTCTGTTCTTCGAAATACGCTCTTGTATATCAATTCATGATTAAATGGTTTCTTTTAGCCGTTGTCATCAATGCCAAGTGCAAAGGATGAACTGAATAACACAGAAGATCGTGATGATTTCAATATTCGTGTTTATCGTTCAAGGAGTGTTTCGTCAAAACATAAACGTTCAAGGCCAACTACAGCCCTTGTTGCTAGAAAAAAATCTACGGTGACTCCAAGGAATTCAAGAATGACAAAATCTTCAGTGAACTGAGAGAATCTCCTACCACTGTAATGTCCTCAATTCATTCAAAAATGATTTATTCATTTCGTGAATTTTCATGCAGTAGTCATTGTTTCATTTTCTTTCTATCACTGACGAAGAATGTTTGATACTGTTCTGTAAATTTCTGATCATTACTATTATTTATTTATTTGTAAATGTATTGTTATTATACTCAGTCAACTGCAAAGTAATTACATAACAGCTAGCACTACCAAAGGCTTCCTCACTTGAAATATTTTCTTCTTCAACAGAATTTCGAGAAAAATGACGAATTGACGCGACGAACGTTAATGTTGCTCAATGAAATGAAAATAAAATTTCCTGGAAAAACGGAAGAAGAGGCTAGCCATGTTTTAAACCAAGTAATTAATATAATATCGTACAATTATCTAACTTATTTGTACTGAGATGAAAACCGTTTGGAGGTCGTTTCTTTATTAAATTTTAACTATATAAGAAATCTGGTTTATATAACATCTCTGTATTTCACTTTATCCAGTAGATAAAACTAGTTTTTTTATCGACCATTTTTGTCTTTGACATTTTATATACCTATTCATTTTATTTCAAAAACCGTTTTGTTCTTGAGTACTTGATAACGTTGTTCTTACATCAAAATTCTGCCATTGCGACTTCAAGTAATATCTTCATTTCATCGTTCGTGATGAAAACATCGCTCTATTTAGGTTAGTGAAAGTTGGACGTATCATAAACCAAGGGTTGCTCATTATTGGTTAGGAAAACTAGATTCTGTAAAGAGACGAAAGGTAATGCTTAATGAAACTCTTTTTATCGTAAGAATGATGAAGAATGACATATACAATGCATGAAAAAAGCCTGGTGAATAAAATCGTATTCGAAATAATCTCATACTTCAATAGATAATCGATATTGTAAAAGAAAATGTGAGATCAATTTTACATCAAATTTGGGGAGTTAGTGATAATGACAAGTTAAAACTTTCAAGATTGTTTACAAAACTGTTCAACCGAATGTTATGGAGAAATGGTCAGGGATTATGGAATTGCTTTACAATGTTTGGGTGAGTTCGGCTCGTTTTTATTGCCTGTCTACTACTGCAAAAGTTGAGTTAAAGAAAAGGCGTACAGCAATCCATTTTTCGTTGCTTATTGAACTCTATTGATTTTAACCATAATACACTTAACTTCTACGTACGAGCTATTTTAATCTCATCTTAAATTGTTTAGACTCTACTGCGAGTTAATTTAACTTTAAACGAGAGTTGAACTAAACATAAGTTAATTCAATCTTAAACAGGAGTTGATTCATTCCTAATTTCTTATCGAGGAAAGTTTTGGTGTTGATTTGACATTGTAATCATATCATTTAACACAGGCAGGGCGACTTAAATCAACTCTATCGACAAAGTTGTTTCAACTCAATAAAAATAACAATGTTTGATTTTTATCTTGATTCTACTTAAATAAGATTCGTACATAATATTGCATTAAGAGCAATATTCTCTGTAATATTTAACCTATGTTAAAATGTTAGAACGTTCAAAGATACCTTAATCTACAAAATTTCTTACCTTTATCTTCACATTCCTTCACTTCAAAAATTCATTGAATTACATTCTAAAGCAAGGATACTATCTGCTTAGTTAAAAGTAATAAAGTATCCCATACAATTGACTGTAGGAACTCCTGGCAAACAATGTTTAACAAAAGTTCTGACTCATTATCAGAGGTAAGTTAATTTTGTAATTGTACATAGTTTCATTACTCACTTTTTATTCAACCTTTTGTGATCATGACATTACAGCTCGAGATGTCTTGTTGTCGTCAAACCGTATCTTTGTGTAAAGAATGCCTTCTTGTGGTTTATGTTTTTTCTACGACTGAAAGCAGACATTATCGTGGTGAATATAACCCTCTGAAGACATATACTTGACATCAGACCTTACCAGATCAGACTCATGTGAAACTTAATGCGTGGTTTTTAGCAAAATGACAAATTCTGGCGATTTTTCACCTATTGATCATGCATTACGAGGATGTAGGAAATGTGTCGATGTAAAAATGATTTACATAATGGCTTTGAAAATTTTATTACAAGCTAGAACTTAATGAAAATTGTTATGTACGCTGTTTGTATCATCAGGTTAGCCGGTTTTTTATGTATGAAACCAAAGGTTATTGTTTGGAGGTCAACTTTCACTTATGCTTGAATACTTGTTTACAAGTTTTCTCGTCATGCAAACTAAATATGGATTGAACAAACTAGGTCATGGATATTAGAAATAATTGGTAATAGGCACTCGTTCGGCATTTGAGTATTTAATTTTTTCTATGATACAATGGCTATATAGTAATCTCTAACATTTTCTGATCTGTTGATTACGTCACACGTCACATGACATGCTACGCTAACATTCAAAAAGTATTTTTTATTTTTTTGCACTAGTGTTTCACTTGCATGTTCAAAATTGTTTAAAAATTCCGTTAAGTATGAGTATGAATAATAATGTTGGTGTTGGTGAAGATTTAATGGAGAAGACATTGTCGTTGGTCCGTTTTAACGAACCTCCTTTTCTTGCACTTCATTATTTGGATGAAAATAATCCCGTCGTTCTTGATCAGAAAACAAAGAGTACACGGCCTGCTGAAACAGATGAAAGTGAGCATTTTCGTCGAAGAAGGGAAAGAAACGTTGTAAGCAGTCGTTTGTACAGGAAACGCAAAAGACAACGAATGGAAAATCTTGAATACGAAAATCAATGGTTACAAGACAACATAAATCGTACACAAATCGAAGTGAATGAACTGAGACGCACTTTCCAGCTTTTTGTACAGCATGCTGAAGGCTGTCCTCACTGTTCAAATGCAGCCATGTTTTTTGCTTAAAATGTTTTGGAGTTTAGCGCAAAAATATGAACATACAATGTCCATACTCGTGTATTTTTTTATTTTTATTCTTTAATTTTTAACAAAAACAAACAAATTTATGTTATGTTTGCTGAAATAAATTGATTGTTTTCTTTTAAAAACTTCTTATGATTGGTAAGTGTTTTTAACAATACGATAAACTAATAAAAATTTTCATTTCGTCATAGGCGGCCCAGTAATCTGTTTAAGTTTTTTATTCAATCGATTTTAATGTAAATCGTAAATACATTGTTTGATTTATGTGCAATGTTTGTCTAGCGAAGACGAAAGAAGAGGTTTTGAAAAATATTTGTGAAACACTCTAAAAATATTCGCGTTCTTCATATGCATAGGAATACATTTGAATGTTAAAAAAAATGCAAAAATATAGTAAAATGAAATAAATCAATTGAACAAAAAATCTAAACAGATTTCTGAGCCGCCTATGATTTCATGTATAAAAAAATCTATATTACTATTTCTCTTGTGAAGAAAGGTAGAAATTGCCCTATGGGTAAAATCTCCGGGACCATTATTCGGGTGTTGCTCTTAATTAACGGTATAATTAATTATTATGAATGATTAATGAAGGAATGAGATGATAGACATGGCGTCCTCTCGAACAGCAGAGTCATTAAAAGTTGACAACCTGTAGTACAACTTTGTTTGTGTAACTTTGTTAAATGTTTGAATTTTAAAGATTTTGTATATTTTCATTAAAAAATGGAGTGCAAAGGTTTATCGTGTGAAGTGAAACTTGATGTTCATTTGGTATAATTTTATCTTGTTTTATTCTTTGTCATTTGTTTTATAACTTTGAGAGAGTATTTTATTGCGCTTGCGTATTTTTGAAATTTTTCATCCCTTGATGTCTGGACGACACATACATTGTATGTAATGTAGTGTTGACTGTTTTATGGTGTTTCATTGTAGGTTTCATGTCCAGGTACAAAACATCTCTCCAATAGAAACATGCTGTTTATTAGAATTGCATTGCTTGGATGTTCCAAAAGAACAAAATCTGTCTATGCTACTTTTCCCTTACTATTCAGTGAACGACTATACTTTGAAAAGGTGATAACCAAAGATAGTAGACAACCATTTGATTAGAGTTGCTTGAACTGCTTTTAACTATAGAGATTGTACAAATTTTGAGCAAAGATATTGTACAATCATTGATTTAGAAAATTAAGCAGCCATTACTGAAAATCTCAAGAATTTATATTTGCTTTTTGTGTTAGATGTAACATTAAGAGATTCTTGAAAAATATAAATAAAGAAACAAAAATGTATGAACGAGTGTAATAGGTTCCACATGCCACTCTTAGTTTATGATTTTGTTGATACCCAACACGTGATTCACATCATAAAATGTATTTTAGAAATTTATTACTGCCACAGAACCTTCTCAAGTGATGGAGATGTTAGAAGGTATAAAATTTTCATATCATATAAGGTATTTTGCATTGAAATAATGTGCTCGTGACATTGAATAACATGTTGTTTCTGTTTAAGATGAAAATGTGGTTATTGAGTTGTTGCAATATTCTCAACAAAGACCAGGTATTCATAATGATTTTCTAGAAATAATTTTTAATGCAATGTTTTGTAGAACATTTAGTAATTGCACAAAGATGTATGTCAGACTACATTAACTTTTTTGGCATTGGGTGTCTAACATTTTGATGTATCTGAAAATTTGTGTTTTATATGCATACATATGTATGCTTTCAAATTTCAAACCTCCACCTACGTACGGAGCATTCTTTTATGTAGAGATGGATCAATGATAGTTTTGTAGGAGCTCTAACAAGGTGCTCTAACCATGCATCCCTCAAAATCCATCTTTATATATTGACCATTGAAATCATTAGATGTTCATCTCATTATATATGACTCAAAATTACATGGAATGAAATATTTTATGATTGGTTTAATCTAAGAGTCAAAGAAAATGTTTTTTTGAAACTTGACACAATCCTTGAACACCTAGTTATGTGTTTGTAATTATCAATTCATGTAATTAGTCAAGAATTATTTTTTCAAGGTGGTAAATGTTTGGCTTCTTATGAAGAATCTACTCGCAAATTCTTGTTCCCTAAGAAAACTCTCACAAAAAAAAATGACGTTGATCGTGAAATACTTCTTCGAAGATCCAAGAACTTTCCGGTTTTCTGTTCCTTTATATTGTCATCCCTATTTCAGTGATAAACAAAATGTTCAAATGGACATTTTTTACTGAACTTTAATATCATTTAGTCTTGTCAGTTTATATTAATACTTTGTATTAATATTTTTATTTCTATCTTCATACTAGGGTATAAATCCTAAATTAGAGTTCTCAACAAGCACAACAATGGAAGAAGCAAGAATATCATCTTTTTATACAAGACATTCATTTTCACAAGATAATAAAGACAATGTAAGGGTGATTTTGAGAATGTTGTTGTATTAGTTGATAAACTTTTGAAAAACTCGTGTCTTACATTCTCAATTTATTCCCAATTATACTTGCGATTTTGCATTAGTAGATCAGAATTTTTACGTTTTGTAAAGTGACATGAGTGTAAACTGTTGTATCTAAATATACTTTTCATTTATTGCTCGTTGTGATCCTTCATGTGACTCATAGTTTAATTTAAAGTAAATTTTTGTTTGAAAAATTATTTCATAGACAAGCGACTGCTCTGATGAAGACGATAAATTACCTGTAATGCAATCAGCCAATGAACGCTCTCCGAAAGCAACGAATTCCAGACTTTCACATAGTCTTAGTCCCATGCATATAGACAAATATTATGTACCTGAGTTTGCAAGAAGACCAAAGAATCATCATGATGTTTTAAAGAAATCAATGTCATTGTCTCCCAGGTTAAAGTCAAGGTTGTATTGTAATAAACCTCCATTTAAAACAGGAAAAGCAAATGAAAATATTATATCTCGACGTGATTTTCCTCCTCGTCGTCCTAATGCTAAATCTCTTGCAAAGTTAAGAAACAGTTTACCCAACACGCGTCGATCTGCTGATGATAATCTGTGTAAGGTTGATATTGTTTTGCTGGAAATGTTGCACGACAATCTTGTCTAATCACGTGTTCATGTTTAGTGTCATGTAGCTTTCAATACCTGTCTTGTTTGATATAAAGATTATCTTGTCTGTCAAGCTGAAGCATATTAAAAACTTCATGATTAAAAATTGTTAGTTCATCACCTTGGATCAGAACGAAAACTACGATCCGCTTCCAGATGTTCTGTGTCGTCATACCCGTCTCGTGCAAGGCTTCCCGACAGCGCACCAATATCAAATGATGTAGCCTACAATCGAGCACTTTCTGGTAGAAAGAAAGTCTTTGAAAGAGATTCAGATGAATACAGTTCTTCTAAAGAATCTTCTGATGATGAACTACATGAACGAGTGGCAAAACTACTGGAAAAAACTAGAGTGGTAATTTTATTTAACTTATAAAAGTAAAGTGTTTGAGTGGTATAGTTGACTGTAATATTTAATACAAACATTTTAGAGAAACGACGATTTTTTCAGTTTCTGTTTTTAAGTATAATGCTACTAAGATCATTTGGTAATGTTCAATATATTGTGTAGCATTAACATGTTGTAGTAGTATAGTTTAACCGTAATGTTCAATATATTGTGTAGCATTAACATGTTGTAGTAGTATAGTTTAACCGTAATGTTCAATATATTGTGTAGCATTAACATGTTGTAGTAGTATAGTTGACCGTAATGTTCAATATATTGTGTAACATGTTCGGTAATGTTCAATATTTGTGTAACATTAACATGTTGTAGTAGTATAGTTTAACCGTAATGTTCAATATATTGTGTAGCATTAACATGTTGTAGTAGTATAGTTTACCGTAATGTTCAATATATTGTGTAACATTAACATGTTGTAGTAGTATAGTTTAACGGTAATGTTCAATATATTGTGTAACATTAACATGTTGTAGTAGTATAGTTTAACCGTAATGTTCAATGTATTGTGTAGCATTAACATGTTGTAGTAGTATAGTTTAACCGTAATGTTCAATATATTGTGTAACATTAACATGTTGTAGTAGTATAGTTTAACCGTAATGTTCAATATATTGTGTAGCATTAACATGTTGTAGTAGTATAGTTTAACCGTAATGTTCAATATATTGTGTAGCATTAACATGTTGTAGTAGTATAGTTTAACCGTAATGTTCAATATATTGTGTAACATTAACATGTTGTAGTAGTATAGTTTAACCGTAATGTTCAATATATTGTGTAACATTAACATGTTGTAGTAGTATAGTTTAACCGTAATGTTCAATATATTGTGTAGCATTAACATGTTGTAGTAGTATAGTTTAACCGTAATGTTCAATATATTGTGTAACATTAACATGTTGTAGTAGTATAGTTTAACCGTAATGTTCAATATATTGTGTAGCATTAACATGTTGTAGTAGTATAGTTTAACCGTAATGTTCAATATGTTGTGTAGCATTAACATGTTGTAGTAGTATAGTTTAACCGTAATGTTCAATATATTGTGTAACATTAACATGTTGTAGTAGTATAGTTTAACCGTAATGTTCAATATATTGTGTAACATTAACATGTTGTAGTAGTATAGTTTAACCGTAATGTTCAATATATTGTGTAGCATTAACATGTTGTAGTAGTATAGTTTAACCGTAATGTTCAATATATTGTGTAACATTAACATGTTGTAGTAGTATAGTTTAACCGTAATGTTCAATATATTGTGTAGCATTAACATGTTGTAGTAGTATAGTTTAACCGTAATGTTCAATATATTGTGTAGCATTAACATGTTGTAGTAGTATAGTTTAACCGTAATGTTCAATATATTGTGTAACATTAACATGTTGTAGTAGTATAGTTTAACCATAATGTTCAATATATTGTGTAACATTAACATGTTGTAGTAGTATAGTTTAACCGTAATGTTCAATATATTGTGTTGAATGTAGCTCTATAGGTAGTTACACATGTTCTACGACTATAGTTGACGTCATATTCAGCAAAGCACGGACACTGTTTCATTGCAACATATGTACAACATGTTCGATCCTTAATTTTAAACTCTCATCTATAACTATATTCATTGCGCATGCGCACCGTATTACTTGAGCATAAAAGTTTTCATGTTCTTTATAGAATGTATCAGACAGTGACTCCGACTCTGATCACATAAGTTTATCATCTCTTCAGGAATTAAGGTGATTTGTATTTGCTTTTGAGAATTTATTCATGTGATGAAGAAATAGGGTGATGTACACAAATTTTGATCTAAAATATATTTGCGAAAAAAGACAGTGTCGCGAGATAAAAATATTTTGAAACTTTATCTTATACCGGAGATTTTATGGGTGTAAGTTTTTCCAGAATCTTTCTTCGTTTACTCTAAAGCCATCGAAGCGTAATCATTTATCAAGAATCATCAAAATGTTTTTACCTTTTTATCAAACTAAACATCTCATCAAGCACCTGCAATTCCCTTTATAACATCGCAAAATTTATCAAAAAACGTTTTGAGGAACGTTAGTTATATATTGTTAACATACAAGAACGTTTTTTGTTGTTTTTATCTTTAACTTTCCTTTAAAATCATTTATTTATTTAATTTAGAAATGAGATCGATGTTGCAAGACAAAAAGCTATTGATCGATCTTTTAATGATTCTTATAACTCTTCTGCTGGTGTTGGATTAGATCGTAGGTAACTTTTATACCTAAAATTCTTATAAAATTCTAAAAATTTGGAACTAAAGCTACAATTATTTTATGTTTGTCATTGAACTTTGATAAAGTGTGGTAAAGTTTATTGAGTTTAATGAAATAATTTAATTTCTTCAAGATATATTTATTTGAAACCCAATAACTGAAACAGCCGTTTTTTATTGTAGAATCTTTTAACTTTTTAAATTACCAGCGACGGTGATTGTGCATGGTGTATATAAAATTCAAACATTCAAATTAAAATTTTATATTAAGTATTTTGGTGGGAAAGAAAACGTTTGAAGTTGCGTGGAAATTTTGTATTTATCCTGTCTCTGTTCAAACTGCAAATTTCTTTATTGTTTCAGTGTAACTGTACAACTTGATGATAGGGAATCTTGGTCAAATAGAAAATACCTATACACTAGTCTGGATCATCGGAAGATATTTAATCAATCATTACAAAGCATATATCATGATTTATACAACAAAGCTGAGAAAGTGAATGCTAAAGAATAAATTCCCATTTTTACATTTTTATATGAGCACAAAAACGACTCCCATGAATACATCTATTGAAAAGTTATGCCTCGGATATTGTATAAATCTGTTTTTAACTTCAATCATGTGTATAAATTGGAAAGATTTAAGCCTTGGCAAACGCACAATAAAATTGCCAATCAAACGGCGCTTTATTGAATTCAGTAAAATCTATTTGCTATTTTCTTGAATATAACCTAGTAAGGATACGAAGCAAAATTGGTGAACACATTTGAATTCATTTAAACTGCAGGTTGCAAAGAAGCTGTGTTACTCTTAAGTTTTATATTACCTATGTTGAATTACCGTTTGTTTAGTTTCGTAACTTTCACACAGGAGTCATCTTGTAAGAACAATATAGAACTGTACATTGCTCCGAATCTAACATTTCATCAAGAGGGTCTGGAATGGGTGTTTGCCGGAAAATGGATCTTAAAATCTATGAAATTCCGGTCTTCTGTCTATAAAACAGCATTTTCATCCTTCTGAGAACACAAATTGTAGAAAAATAGATTTGCAGAAAAAAGATTCAAATAAAGAAGACGACAAAATCAAACTCAAAATTTGAATTTTCTCTGAAAGACAAACAATTTAAAACCTTAACTTTTTTTAATCATACGCTTTTAAGTTTTCGAGTTAGTTTTCTCCAAAACTTGATTTATGGAACTGCCCCTTTTCAAACAAGAACTGTCCATTTTTGGAAAATGGAAAACGCGAGAACGATCCCAGCTTCACTGCATCTTTCTTCGGCTTTTTTTAAAGCGTCAACGAAAATCTTCACCCTTGCCCCATAAATTCTCTTGGCGTCTATTATGTTAGTATATTTAATTCCTCTCTAGTATCCCCCTCAGATCCCAAACATGTCAGTTCCCTACAATGGAACATAGTCATTTCCATTTCACACACCACGTGTTAAATTGATCCAAGATGGCGATCGTTGACTTCAGATTTATGCGATTTTTGTTATTTTATCTTTTCATAACGATTCTTATGTTTTCTATAGCTTACTGCTTGTATGAAGATCAAATAGGATTGTTTGATTGGAGAAAAAGCTATGTAGGCAAGTTAAATTATGTTCATTTTGATGGATCTGCTGTAAATAAGAGAATAATCGTCTCATCAGAACAGAATGTTTTAGCTGCTATTAACTCAAGAACCGGTAATTTAATTTGGAGGCGTGTCCTTGAAAAAAGTAGGAATACTGTCGATAAAATTGTGCATTTTTCTGACAAACTGGTGAGTTTGTCAGGAGGAGGAAAGTATCTGCGTTTCTGGGATCCTAGTGGAAATATTATTTGGGAAAATGTTTTAAATAACAGTCTTTATCATGATAGCAATAATTTGGCGAGTGGTTTGAAATCAGTCGATTTAGTTTTCTCTGAGAAATATCCTAAAAATATTTATGTCATGGTAGGAAATTGGATTAAAGCATTTTCTCTCGGAACAGGAAAGGAAATTTGGTCAAATGAATTATCAAGCAAAATACTTGGTTTAGTCGCCCATAACCATGATATTTTTTCGCTTGAAATACTTGGTAATGGTAACAGTGAGATTGTTGTTAAAAAATATTATATGGATTCAGGAAAACAAAAGGACCAGGTGACATTTGTGGCTCCTTGGCTATTTAGCCAAAAAACATCTTGTGTATTTGTTGGTCTGGCCTTGGTATGTGCAGAGCTCAAAGAGAGGATTATTTATACTTTAACTTTGGGAGGGAGTGAAAAAAATGTAAAAAGCCAACAGATTATGTCATCTACATTTGATGATGAAACTATAACTGAAATATCAATGGTTGTTTTACATTCATCATCAGTAAAACACTTTTGTCAAGAGTTTGTTCTACGAATCAATGAAAAACATTCAATGTTGCTGAGGTTGGAAAAAGATAATTCAATAACACAATTAAAGGAGTATCATCAAGAAATGTTGTTTCATGCTTCATCATTTGGTGATGATTATTTATTGTTGTCTTTATCATTTAATGAAAGTAAAATATTAGAAGTAAAGTGTTTCAACCTTAGTTCTATGGATGAACTAGACACAATACAACAGACATTTTCAAATGAAAATTTTCATGGGAAGCCAATAAAATTTTATTCACATTTCTTTTCACGCAAAGATAATAGCATTGGTTATAAACTGTTAGTTGTCTTTGAAGATCATGCAGTCGTAATGTTGCAACACAATGGTCGGACTTTATGGATAAGAGAAGAGTCCTTGGCAACAATTACTGCTGCTGAGATGGTTGAACTGCCGGTTTCACCACAACAAGCAAACTTTGAGGCCTTACAAAAGGAGTTTGGTCATCATCATGATGGTAATACATGAGATATTTTGCATTTGAAATAAATCTATCGTCTCTTTCTTATTGTATATCTCTTTTTTAGGTAAAGTCTTCTCAATGTTTTCTCAACGGATTAAAGCACAATTTCAACAACTTCAGGCGTTTCTTGCCAGTTTAAACATTGATAATGATGATGGTGACAATGTAAAAAATGGAAAAGGAGAAGATTTAACTAGGGATCAATTTGATTTGAGAAAAATTATTATTGTGGTAACAGCCTCAGGAAAGTTGTTTGGTCTTGATACGATAGGTTTGTATGTATGATACTTATTTGGTTTTGATCATTATTTGTATGTTACGAAGTTTTGTTATATTTGCAGATTTTTACTGTATAGTGTGATCTTTATGTTAAATGAAATGTTTATGTTTTTAGAATCTTTTTATCTAGTTGAGCAAAGCCCCATATTTAGTATGAATGAAGTTCATGAAATGATACTTTGGCATAGAAAATAGTTTCTCTGTTTCCATAAAGTTATAGAATCATGCGGGAAAGTTTGGGGAAAATCAAAAATTCAATTGCAAGCACAAGCACAAAAGTGCAAGTGTTTCCAAGTAATTTTGAGCTCCCCCCAAACCTTCACAAGTGTTTCTGTTTCTCAATAAAAAGAAGTAAATATGTTTCCTATTTCCTCTATAGATTCTTTCCTTTATAGTATTTTGATTTTAATTATGTATTGTTTATATTCTTATCATTTAAATTATTCATGCAACTTAAGAAAAAATTTTCCTGTATTTCTATAGAGTTCTTAGAAAATGTACAGTAAGTTAACAAGTTATATTTTTGACATCGTGCAACTTATATTAAATTAGATGGTTCAATAATTTGGCGAAGATTCATTCCTGATATGCTACCATTTCAACATTCTGCAAAATCATTGTTGTATGTTCAAAGAAGTGTGGCTCATTTTCCTCTCTCTGCTCAATGTATTGTACTGGGACGAGCCAATCATGGCTCTCGTTTGTTTATATTTAATCCCTCAACTGGTAAACCAATTGATCCCAACATGCCAACAGGATTGAATTTACCATATCATATTCTGCAAACTATGCTTCTACCTTATCATGGTAAGAATTGTCAATAGTTCTTAAAAATGTGTTCTAAATTTAGAAACAATTGATTTTACGTAATTGCGCTCCAATAAAGCTTTGTATGATGATCACAATCAATCATAGCCTGACCCAATCTGTCTGCATCTTATCGCAATGACTTTAATTTCGTAGAAGAAGCTGAAGAGTAATAAAAATTTGCAATAAATGGCTTCCAAGCGGGCCAGGCTATCCGCTATAACGAGTATTATTTTATTTAAGGTTTTTTTTAAATAAAAACTTTATTAGTTGCTGCAAATATGTACATAAAATATAAATATTGAAAATAAGTTCGTAACATTGTCAATAGTTCAATCTTCATTTCATAGATGAAAAATTTTCCAAGATTCTATTAATTGCTGACACACACCTTAATGTTCATCTATTTCCACCAAACACGAAATCTGTCATCCAAAATACGATGAAATCAATATTTCTTCATGTCGCTGCTGACGTTCAATTGACAGGATATGTCGTGAATATTAATAATCTTAAGCTGGAAGAAGTTTGGAGAATAAAGTTGTTGTCGTCTGAACATGTTATTGATCAAGTTGGTAAGTTTATCATAAACATACGTGAACATACGTGAAAATACATACGTGAACATACGTGAAAATACATACTTGAACATGCGTGAACATACATACGTGAACATACGTGAAAATACATACGTGAACATACGTGAAAATACATACGTGAACATGCGTGAACATACATAAACATACGTCATCAAACACGTGAACATACATGAACATATGTGAACATACGTGAACATACATGAACATACATGAACATATGTGAACATACGTGAACATACATGAACATACATGAACATATGTGAACATACGTGAACATACATGAACATATGTGAACATACATGAACATATGTGAACATACGTGAACATAAATGAACATTTAGGGCATTTTGATGTATGTTTTTATTTTATTTTCGTATAGACACCTCTGTTTTATACTAAAAATGTGCTGTAGTGTGAACAGTGAAAAAGGATCATATACTTTGCTTAATGTCATTATTTTCAAAATAAATTATAGTGAGCAAAGAAATAGAAAACTTTATTCTCATTCCTCCTTCATTTCTAGTGTTCAAGAGAACAAATGAACATGTTCATTCACCTGGTCGTGTCTTAGGTGATCGTCAAGTTCTTTATAAATATTTGAATCCAAATCTTATGGCAGTTATCACGAAATCACCTCAAGAAACAAAACCATTCATACATGTTCTGCTCATAGATTCTGTTACAGGTAATCATATACTTTGATGGCTTTTTTTTAATTAATAATGTGTAAAAGTTTTTCGTTTATTGCGTATCCTAATACGAATTTCTTGATACTGCAAACGCTATATTCCTTGTCTATGGTATTGATTTTCAATAGTAAACCTTCAATCTTGAGATTTCTATGTTTCTAGGAAGCATAGTTCATCATGGTCGTCATAGAAACGCTCAAGGACCTGTGCACGTTATTCATTCCGAAAATTGGATCATATATAAATATCTAAACACAAAATCTCGACGTCATGAGTTAGCTGTGATTGAGTTATATGAAGGATATCATGAACGAAATAGTACAGCATTTTCGTCGTTTGATCCTCCTATATCCCCCATGGTACTACAACAGTCCTATATTTTCCCATTGAATGTTGAAACCATGGCTACTTCCATAACAAATGCTGGTATTACGAAAAAGACCTTACTTATTGGTGTAAGTCTTGGCTATGTTTATAGCTTGCCTAAATCTTTATTGGATCCTCGACGAAATTTTACTGATTCAATGAAGCTGAGAGAAGAAGGACTCTTACCTTACATTCCGGAGCTGCCAATTATTGAAACATCTTTCATCAACTACAATCAAACTGGTAAGATTGCACAGAATTTATTGATTATTTTTAATTTAAAAAAATATTAAACTTCTTTTCTTTTCAATTCTCATTATTTCATTGTTTTTTTTTTATTTTAGTGAGCAATATTCAAGGTATTTATACATCTCCTGCAGGACTAGAATCAACTTGTTTGGTATTTGTTTATGGGCTTGATCTTTATTTTACTCGTGTTACTCCATCACGTTTATTTGACGTGTTAAAGGAAGATTTTGATTATTTATTTATAACTGTAACACTAGTCATTTTGGCATTTGCTACATTTGTGTCTTCACGACTTGCTTCTGCGAAGATTTTAAGACAACTGTGGCGTTAAACTTTGTAATCTAAAAACAAGGGAAAGGAAACAAGATGAAGCCATACACATGAACTACGAAAATGGTCAGGTACATAAAATACGCAGTCAGAAGAGGAGAGTGTGGAAAATAATATGTTTGAATTGAAATATTTAGGGATTCACGTATACAAGGCCGTATTAAAATATCTTTTGGTATGTTTTCGCTTTGTGAATGAAATAATGGCAGTACTGTTTTTATTAAATTCTTTTTCCGGCTATTGAAAAAACGAATAAATTTTCGTTATGGCAGCTTGGAAATTTCAGACCATATTTTATAATCATCTCTAGAGAACATACTATAGTATAATTATCGTAGATGATTTCTTTATTTTAAATACTGTGCAATATAGGCTTTGTTCCCGTAAAGATTGGTACAATTTTCTTTTGTGCAAAATGTCTATTTCAAAAACACTTGAACACTTTAAGGTTTCTTGGTTGTTTTAAAACTAAAGACTAATTTCAAGATGGTAAAACTCGGAAAAAACGAATTTGTGAACGATTAAAATCTCCATCAAAACAATTTGTTTAAACTGTCTCTCTGTAGTTGCAAAAACAATGGTTAATATGTCTCTCTGTAGTAGCTGCAATGGTTAATATGTCTCTCTGTTGTAGCTGCAATGGTTGATATTTTTATTATTTCAGTCAATAAAATCGACATGAAAGAAAATGTAATTTTACATTTTGATGTCAGTTCTAGTGTAAAATAAATCCGTTATTTGAAAAGCATGCGAATATTTTGCTTTTTCAAAACAAGTCCAATGAAGATATGATTCAATACGTTTATTTCTTGCTAGGAATGAATAGCAGGCCTAGGTTCCAGTCCTTTGATAAACTGCTGTCAACGCATGATGTCATAACAATCAACTTTTTAATAATTGCTTAATAGAGACTTTAATTAGAATTGCAAGTAGTTCTAATTTGCGCGTTTTTGTGGAAGTTGTTTTGATTTCAAGTTGTTTAAAACTTTAAATGGCTTCATTATTTGCACAACGTAAACTGCTCGTTGCAGCTGGTGGAGCTTTAGCTGCAGGTGCTGTTGTTACTGGATTTTTTCATGGACAAAACTTAGAAGCAGCAAAATTTTATAAACTTTCCCCGTCCATGGACTATCCAGATCTTGCTATCCATAATAATCTCATGGCAAAACACCTTACACCTCGGATGTACGGCAAACTTCGCGATATCAATACGAAATCTGGATTCTCATTGGATAAAGCAATCCAAACTGGAGTAGATAATCCTGGTCATCCTTTCATTTCAACTGTTGGTATTGTTGCTGGAGATGAAGAAAGTTATGAGGTGTTTGCTGATTTATTTGATCCCATCATTGAGGAAAGACACAATGGCTTCAGGAAATCGGATATGCATAAAACAGACCTAAGTTACTCTAAATTGCAAGGAGGAATCCTTGACGATAAGTATGTTTTGTCTTCGCGCGTGCGCACTGGGCGTTCTATTCGTGGATTTGCTTTGCCTCCTCATTGTTCTCGAGGTGAACGACGGGAAGTCGAGAAGATCGTCAATGGTGCATTACAAGGATTGAAAGGTACATTACTTATGCTGTTAATCAGTCATTCACAAAGAATACAATTTCGGTTGTCAAAATGTAAAAAACTTTTTAAAAACTGTTTGTGAACAACATATCTGTTTACAGATTGATGTCAGCAAGGTTCGTAAGATTTTTCTGACTAATATTTTTATGTTCTTTTTTACCTAAATTTGGGTTGATTAATAAAATTTTTCTTCTATTCAATAATTTTAAATTGTTGAATGAAAAGAAGAGGTTAAAAAGTCAACAATAGCAAATGGATGTATGTAATAATAAAGTTATCTAGACGTTTACTGCTTTGCAAATTGCAATCATTTGTATAATTCTACCAGCGCATACTCAGAGAATTAATTAATTTTCTGTTTCGTCCGTTTTTAATTTCCTTTTTAACTGTTCATTATAAATAGTTTTTGTTCGTTTACTTATACATACATATATGTATATTATTCTCATAGTTTTGTAAGGAAGTACGTTACTAAAAAATATTATATCGACTAGTGGAAATGCAATGAGCTATACGAAACAGAACAATACATTACAGTTAAAATATTTTAGTTTGCTTTCCGTAAGAAATATAAAAATAAGAGACTTGAAGATCTCAAAATACATTTCCAACTCAGCAAGAACAGCACATTTAAAAAGAAATTTAAAGAGGTTTTGAGTATCCAATCGGTCAACATTGCAATACAAAGTTTTGTAACGTCGTTGCATGATATCTATTACAAATAGTGATAACATGTTCAACAACATAGATATATAACAGTCAGTCTATATATCAGAGGTGTCACATCACAGACAAGCATATCTTGTCAATGTTGAAATTGTTGTCTTATAATATGAAATTCGATCACTTCTGAAACGAATAACGTGGAGTACAGATGGAAGAGCAGCAAAGAAACAATATGACAAAGAAACGAAAGCATCGCAAATGATTGCTTGTTATCATTTTTAAAGGAATTTGAAAAATTCGAGAAAGTCTTACTTGACCTCAATTGTTTTGAAGATAAAGTTTTTTAAAGAAAGCTTCTATTAAACACGAAAAAAGAACAATTTGATTTTGAAAATGTTCAGAAACATAAAGACAGGAATTATGAACAGTGCATAGAAACTGATTTTTGAATCGTACAAGGTACGATCAAAGACAATGGCAGTTTCTGCATGGAAAGGTGGCGATGAGACAAATTTAACATATTTACAATCAACGATCAAAATCATCGATCAAACATTGTCAATGATTTAGAACTGTATTTTGGTTGGACAGACAAGGAGTTTGGAAAATGAACGATTATCTACTACTAAGTTCTTTAAAGTTTAAATTTAATTTCATGATGCAAATTTTAATGCAGTATTTTCAACGAGGTTAAAATAGTTGTAGACAATACAACATTGAAAAGAATACTCTTTCCTGTATTATGTATCTACTTGTCAATTATTTCTCTAATTTTGGTTCTTGGTTGTTTTTCATTTTTCATTTTGTTTTTAAGTTTTTTCGGAAAGCTATTGAATTGAGTCAGATGGACGGAGAAAATGTATCTTTAAATATAACTATCTTTGGATATTTTACAATTCAATTTAGCGCTTCAAAATACTCAAGCAACAGAGTTTATTTTTCCTGCGTAATGGATTCTTTTTCACAGCTGTATAAACATATTTTCTTTGCACAAACCATCAACGCCACCTAGTTTAAATCATTTAGATCAAGTTTAGTTTAAGGTTGTTGGTTTTTCAACAATTTTTCGACAGTGATATAAGGCCATTCTATTCTTTTACACGATAAGCAAAACCTTTGTATGCATTGCGATATAGAAAATATTCATATTTGCTTCAACCTAGCAATCTGAAAATCCAGCTATGACAGGATCATTCAAAAATTCTTTTTAAAGTGATATAAAAGCACTTCTCGCATTTTTTTCAAATTCCGTTTAATTACTTTACGAGAGAGTTTTGACGTAACAATTTAGCTCGTTTAATTAACATTTAATTAGATTGCTTGTAATAGAGGACTTCTTAAGTAATTAGCATCAATTAAAGAAGATTTTGTGCGAGCAAGAGTCAAACAAAGCTGTTGTCTTTAAAAGACGAGATTATGAATCTCCTCAATCAACGTAAAGTTTTATGGGCTGCTGGAGGTATTGTTGCGGCTGGTACAGCAATATATGCATGTTGTAGATTCACTGGGGGCAGTACATCTTCCGTATTTATGAAACTGAATGATTATCCTGATCTCAAAAAACATAACAACTTAATGGCAAAGCATCTCTCGCCAAAAGTTTACGAGAAACTGCGCAATAAGCTCACGAAATCTGGATTCTCATTGGATGAAGCAATCCAAACTGGAGTAGATAATCCTGGTCATCCTTTCATTTCAACTGTTGGTATTGTTGCTGGAGATGAAGAAAGTTATGAGGTGTTTGCTGATTTATTTGATCCCATCATTGAGGAAAGACACAATGGCTTCAAGAAATCAGATATGCATAAAACAGACCTAAGTTACTCCAAATTGCAAGGAGGAATCCTTGACGATAGATATGTTTTGTCTTCGCGCGTACGCACTGGGCGTTCCATTCGTGGATTTGCTTTGCCTCCTCATTGTTCTCGAGGTGAACGACGGGAAGTCGAGAGAATTGTGAATGGTGCCTTAGAAGGATTGAAAGGTACAACGAAAAGGCCTTGAAAGCCGTAAAGATCTGCAGTAAGAAGCTCTGCACAAAAAATACATTAAAAAGCCACAAATAATTAATGTATTTGTAATTTATGGTAGAAATGAGAAGGATCAAGACTTTTCGTGGTTTGAAACATACTGTATTTGAATATTTTTCAAACCTACATTTTCAATGTGATTTCCTGTATTAGCTAGAAGTATTTTAACGTAGAAAATACTGTTTGTAGAACTTTAATAAATGTTCAAGTTTGTTAGCATGCGGAAGACTAAATAGTTATTTGTATGTTTCATACATACAAATTAACAACTATGTTTCTTTATTGAAATTCTTTTACTACTTTCACAGGTGAACTTGCTGGACGTTATTATCCACTGAATGGCATGTCTGAAGCTGACCAAAACCAGTTGATTGAAGATCATTTCTTGTTTGATAAACCCGTTTCGCCGTTATTGACATGCGCAGGAATGGCGCGAGACTGGCCAGATGCCCGAGGCATCTTTCACAACACGAATAAAAATTTTCTTGTCTGGGTAAGTTAAAAAACTTACTACATCGACCTGTTTCTGCTGCATCCCACAAGATGTTGCATCCTTTTAGCTGTATACTGTCGTGTCTTGCAAAATCCCGCAAGGTTTAAGTGCAGCTATTAAATGGTTTTATAACTTTCAGTGAGCATTGTCACATCAGTATCTAAAAATAGAGTCCATCAAAACAACTGTTTGTTTTGCAAACCATATTATTTAGAACGCAGAACGAAAAATTTTTAACAAAATATGAGGTACTAAGTACTTAGTCACTTTTTCTTTAAAAGATTAACGAGGAAGACCACACTCGCATAATCTCGATGGAGAAAGGAGGAAACATGAAGAAAGTGTTTCAAAGATTCTGTGAAGGCCTTAATGAAGTGGAAAGATTAATAAAAAAAGAAGGATATCAATATATGTGGAATCAACATTTGGGCTACATATTGACTTGTCCCAGTAACCTTGGTACTGGTCTTAGAGCAGGAGTTCATGTTAAATTGCCTTATCTGGCAAAGGTAAAATAGAAAACGAGAGTACTGACTGTACTGTAATCTTACTAACATTGCCACCATTTTTTATATCGATGTAAACATTAATTTATACAATATATTTTTAAGAATAAACGATTTGATGAAATCCTTGGAAAATTGAAGTTGCAGAAACGTGGAACAGGTTTAGAAATTGATCAAACTAAGGCGACACCCAACAAAAGACCTTTTTTAAAAAATCATGTTTTTATTTATAGTAATAAGTTTGTCTCAGCTTGCTATCAGCAAATATAATTTTGAATGTTTTTGAAAGGTGGAGTTGACACAGCGGCAGTTGGTTCGATATTTGATATCTCAAACTCCGATCGTCTTGGTGTCTCTGAAGTTGAACTTGTTCAACTGGTTGTTGACGGAGTCAACCGTTTGATTAAAATTGAAAAGAGACTTGAGAAAAATCAGAGATTTGATGATTTAGTCCCGTCTTCTTAAGGTAGTTCGCCCATTACTCCAATACTTTCATTATACACGTCAAGTTGAAATAAATATGTTTGTATCATTCGTTGAATTAAGTTACAGGTGCAATTGATTTGGTGTTCATTTTTAGATACTGTCAATGTTGAAGAACTCGATGCAAACTAAGTATTTAATCTTTTATCTTGTGAACTGTCAAGCGGAAATAACGTAATTTTACTACAACAAATAAACTGGAAATAAAATCATCAATGTATTGATATAACAGCAATTCGTGAAATATATTTTTTATTCATTAAATTGTTCAAGTTTATCATGCACTAATCATAACTTTCAAATACCACACAATGTGCACATTTTTGTTTAGTTTTGTTGGTAGTCATCAAAATTTATTATGAAAGAAAAGTTTTGTATATTTTCTTGACTATAGCTAGTATTTATAAATCATTAGAAAAATAACACTGTTGCAACTAAAATTTGTATCAGCTTTTACAACCTTCAAATATAAATGAAACACTTCAATGCTTTATTATTAATTATTAATTTGTTTCAAACATTTTCAAGATGTACAGTTCCTGTGTTTGAATCACCGTTTATTTGGTTTAAAATTACATCTGTCTTCATAACTTGCTCATCATCGCTAAGATAGCTATCAGTTATTTCTGTCTCACGTATGTTATCATTAATATCATTTTGATTAACATTCATTTCTTTTACAATTTTAAAATACGACAACAATCGCTCAAGTTGGCCATGAAAACCTACCACTTCGTCTAAAATTTTACTTTTGCTTTGAAGTTTTTCCATTTTTACTTCAAAATCAACAATTTCTTGCTCTAGCCTAGTTATTTTATCATTTGACTCGGCTAACTGTGTCTTCAATTCTTCTATTTCGACGTCTTTCTTATTTACAATTTGCTGCATGTCGAACTTTACTTCTTCCTCTTTCTTCGATGATAACAATTGATGTAATTTATCGATTTCTTTCTGCATTCCTTGCATCTTCGTGTGCATGAGAGAGATCTGTTCGTTTGCCTCTTTGATGGCATTTGTAGATAACGCCATAACAATGTGTATTTAAGTTGAAAACGTTCTAGAGAATATTATGAAATTTTACTCCCTTACCCAAGTACCATTACCGTCACTCGCCTTAAATCAATACATCACATGTATATTTCGAATTTCCGATGTCGAACGATTAATTATCGGTTCTATGTCGTAGCTAGCTCGTACAACATTCGTGGTTTACTCACTAATTTGCTTTTTTGTGGATTTCGTTGGAGTTAGTTGTGGTGTGGTGTGTTAGTGTTCGGCTAAAGTTGTGATTGCACTGTAATGGAATGAGTTTTCAACGTTGACAAAATATAATTTTCAGTGAGAGAATTCTTCGATTGCCTGGGCAATTATGCTATCAACAGAAACATCTTTGGTGCCTGGCAGCTCGCTATCAAATATGTTGTGCGAACGAAAATTTTATAATAAATATTTTATGAAAACAAGCTTTTGCCGAGTTATAGTAATTTCATTGTAAAACTAATGGAAATACTAACATTATTCATGTGTAGTATTTTTTGTGATCTATATAGCCTAATTCCTGTTGATGTAGTAATAACATTCAGCTGTGTAAGACTGTCTATCAAATATCTATCCATGCACCAAGAGCAAATTTACAAATTCCATGTAAATGCATGAAAATGCATGAACTTTAGTCTTTGCCATGAAAATGTGTGAAATTGCATGAACTATAGTCTTTGGCATGAAAATGTGTGAAATGCATGAACTATAGTCTTTGGCATGAAAATGTGTGAAAGTGCATGAACTATAGTCTTTGGCATGAAAATGTGTGAAAGTGCATGAACTATAGTCTTTGGCATGAAAATGTGTGAAATTGCATGAACTATAGTCTTTGCATGAAAATGTGTGAAAGTGCATGAACTATAGTCTTTGGCATGAAAATGTGTGAAAGTGCATGAACTATAGTCTTTGGCATGAAAATGTGTGAAAGTGCATGAAATATAGTCTTTGGCATGAAAATGTGTGAAAGTGCATGAAATATAGTCTTTGGCATGAAAATGTGTGAAATTGCATGAAATATAGTCTTTGGCATGAAAATGTGTGAAAATACAAAGACTATAGTCTTTGGCTTCAAAATGTGTGAAAATGCAAAGACTATAGTCTTTGGCATCAAAATGTGTGAAAATGGAAAACAATAGTCTTTGGCTTCAAAATGTGTGAAAATGGAAGACTATAGTCTTTGACATCAAAATGTGTGAAAATACAAAGACTATAGACTTTGGATTAAAAATGTGTGAAAATGGAAGACTATAGTCTTTGGCATGAAACGTGTAAAAATCTAAAGACTATAGTCTTTGGCATGAAAATGTGTGAAAATGGAAAGACTATAGTCTTTGGCATGAAAATGTGTGAAAATGCAAAGACTGTAGTCTTGGCTTCAAATGTGTGAAAATACAAAGACTATAGTCTTTGGCTTCAACATGTGAAAATGCAAAGACTATAGTCTTTGCATGAAATTCGTGATCTATAGTCTTTTGCATGAAAATTCGTGAACTATAGTCTTTTGAATGAAAAATCGTGAACTATAGTCTTTTGAATGAAAATTCGTGATCTATAGTGCTTTGCATGAAAATTCGTGATATATAGTCTTTTGAATGAAAAATCGTGAATTATAGTCTTTTGCATGAAAATCGTGAACTATAGTCTTTGCATGAAAATCATAATCTATAGTCTTTTGCATGAAAAATCGTGAACTATAATCTTTTCAATGAAAATTCGTGATCCATAGTCATTTGCCTCAAAATTTGTGAACTATAGGCTTTGGCATCAAAATGTATGAAAATGCAAATACTATAGTCTGTGGCATCAAAATGTTTGAAAATACAAAGACTATAGTCTTTGGCATCAAAATATGTGAAAATGCAAAGACTATAGTCTTTTGCATGAAAATTCGTGATCTATAGTGCTTTGCATGAAAATTCGTGATCTATAGTCTTTTGAATGAAAATCGTGAATTATAGTCTTTGCATGAAAATCGTGAACTATAGTCTTTGCATGAAAATTCGTGAACTATAGTCTTTTCAATGAAAATTCGTGATCTATAGTCTTTGCCTCAAAATTCGTGAACTATAGTCTTTGCATCATGTCTTTGAACTATAGTCTTTGGCATCAAAATGTGTGAAAATGGAAGACTATAGTCTTTGGCATCAAAATGTGTGAAAATGCAAAGACTATAGTCTTTGGCATCAAAATGTGTGAAAATGCAAAGACTATAGTCTTTGGCATCAAAATGTGTGAAAATGGAAGACTATAGTCTTTGGCATCAAAATGTGAAAATGGAAGACTATGTCTCTTTGGCATCAAATGTGTGAAAATGGAAGACTATAGTCTTTGGCATGAAAATGTGTGAAATTGCATGAACTATAGTCTTTGGTATGAAAATTGCAAAAGTGGAAATTGTAAGACTATAGTCTTCATCAAAATGTGTGAAAATGTAAGAACTATAGTCTTTGGTATGAAAATGTGTGAAAATGCAATGAACATAGTCTTTGGCATGAAAATGTGAAAAATGTAATGAACTATAGTCTCTTGGCATCAAAATGTGAAATCATACGAACTCCATAGTCTATATGAAAAAATCAAAAGTGGAAAGTGTAATGAAATTATAGTCTTTGGCATCAAAATGTGTGAAAATGCAATGAAATATAGTCTTTGGCACAAAATGTGGAAAATGCAAAGAACTATAGTCTCTTTGGCATGAAAATGTGTGAAATCAATGACTATAGTCTTTGGCAAAAATGGTGAAAATGCAAAGACTATAGTCTCTTTATTCCGTGGAAAATGTAAAAGATATAGTCTTTGCATCAAAATGTGTGAAAATGGAAAGACAATAGTCTGTCTTTATCAAAATGTGTGAAAATGAAGACTATAGTCTTTGGCATCAAAATGAATAAAAGACTATAGTCTTGGATTAAAAATGTGTGAAAATGAAGACTATAGTCTTTGGCATCAAATAGTGAAAATTCAAAGACTATAGTCTTTGGCATCAAAATGTGAAATGCAAAGACTATAGTCTTGGCATCAAATGTGAAAATGCAAAGACTATAGTCTTTGGCTCAAAAATGTGAAAATGCAAAGACTATAGTCTTTGGTCAAATGTGTGAAAATGCAAAGACTAGTCTTTGCATGGAAAATTCGTGATCTATAGTCTTTGTGCATGAAAAATTGTGAACTATAGTCTTTGAATGAAAATGTGAACTATAGTCTTTGCATGAAAATTCGTGATATATAGTCTTTGAATGAAAAATCGTGAATTATAGTCTTTTATGAAAACTCGTGAACTATAGTTTTTTGCATGAAAACTCATGTAATCTATAGTCTTTTGCATGAAAAAATCGTGAACTATAGTCTTTCAATGAAAATTCGTGATCCATAGTCTTTTGCATCAAAATTTGTGAACTATAGTCTTTGGCATCAAAATGTGAAAATGGAAGACTATAGTCTTTGGCATCAAAATGTGAAAATGCAAAGACTATAGTCTTGGCATCAAAATGTGAAATGGAAGACTATAGTCTTTGGCATCAAAATGTGAAAATTCAAAGACTATAGTCTTTGCATGAAAATTCGTGAACTATAGTCTTTTGAATGAAAATCGTGACTATAGTCCTTTCATGAAAATTCGTGATCTATAGTCTTTTGCATGAAAAATCGTTAATTATAGTCTTTGCATGAAAACTCGTGAACTATAGTCTTTGAATGAAAATTGGTGAACTATAGTCTTTTGCATGAAAATTCGTGAACTATAGTCTTTTGCATGAAAATTGTGATCTATAGTCTTTGCATGAAAAATCGTGAACTATAGTCTTTTCCATGAAAATTGTGATCTATAGTCTTTTGCATGAAAATTGTGAACTATAGTCTTTGCATGAAAACTCATAATCTATAGTCTTTTGCATGAAAAATCGTGAACTATAGTCTTTCAATGAAAATTGTGATCCATAGTCTTTGGCATCAAAATTTGTGAACTATAGGCTTTGGCATCAAAAAATGTGAAAATGGAAGACTATAGTCTTTGGCTTCAAATGAAAATGCAAGAATGCAAGTCTTTCAAAATGTGTGAAAATGGAAGACTATAGTCTTTGGCATCAAAATGTGAAAATTCAAAGACTATAGTCTTTTGCATTGAAAATTCGTGAACTATAGTCTTTGAATGAAAAAATCGTGATCTATAGTCTTTTCATGAAAAATTGTGATCTATAGTCTTTTGTCTTTATGAAAAATCAGACTATAGTCTTTGTG